ATCCGGAAGAACACGTTGTGACCATGTTTCCACCTCCCTCTAACTATAAGATTGCTGCTAAAGCGGTATCCCGAAGCGAAACTCTGCGGAAAGGGCAATTTTATCGTATTTCAAACCCCCCAAATACGTTTGTGAAGGGAGAGCAATCTCTTCTTTTAGATGTTTCTAATTAGCTCTGCACTTTCCGAATCGATCACAATGCGCAGAGTGCGTTGGCCGGAGAGAGGGCGCAATGAAAAAGGTTTGAAGGCGGACTTTGAACGGGTCGTGCGATCGTTTTTTGCTCGCGCCGTACTCTGATCGACCCTTGATAGGGCAGGGTGCATTTAAATTCACTTTTTTTCTGATCTTTCCCAAGAAGAGAATACTAAAGTAAGATGTAAAAGAACGGCGAGAGAAATCTATAAAGACTAACACAAGCTACAGGGTGGATAAGGGGTACTGTAACGCGGTGATTAGCCGAGAATAAAGACGACTTTGCGCGAGAGAGGCTACGGAAATCTCGATGACGTTTGAGGTACAGAGCAGACCAGACGGTGCTAGAAGATTTTTTTGCCAATAACTCAGGATACAATACACTAAAATTTGCGAAAATTATTATTTCTTCAATTTTTATAAACAGGATGCTTTGAAAGCATGATTTTTAGATCTTACCGCAAAATTTCCACGTGATTTGAGGTGAATAAATTAAAAAAAAAGAAGATTTCCGCGAAACACCGGAGGTCTTTTAAGCGATTGCTGATAATATGCCAACAAATAGAGACTGGTATCCAGGAAAACAGTGTTTATAAATTTTGGTATACATACAATTTGTTTCAAAATGATAGACACGCCTATAAAATCTGCGATTGCGGTGTTGGGGTTCAGTCGACGGGTACGGAACCTTCACAGACTGAAAGGGGAGGTTTGTATTATTTCTCAACTTATTTGTGAAATAAACTTTCTAGGTAGCAAGACATATTAGCTCAACTTGGGAGGGTAATCGACATTAAAAAGATTAGTACTGCCGGCAATTTATGTTTGTCATTTCATGTAAATCGCTGCCACAAGATCAAAAATTCCGACTACGCTTTAAGATCACTGTAACCAGCAACTTCGCAACCCAAACTAGTTAAATTCCCTAAACTTCAAATATCATCAGATCTGAGCTCACGTCTAGATAATTTATCCTAATTTTTTTAATTTTCTCTTTCTATTTTTACTTCCCGATATAAACTTATCACTCGGGTATCTTCCTTTTACTTTTTCAAAATTTTCTTTACGTTTTTTTCAAATTCCAATGTTACAGTCTTCTTTTATTACGGAGGAGAATTCCGGAAAGTTTTCGGCGAAATTGTTTCGCTGATAAAAGTTACGGTATTATCAAGGGGAATGGGAGAAATGAGCGGGTATCTCATCCATCACAAAAAGGAAAAAATCGGAAAATGAGAAGCGAATTAAAAACGATGTTTGACATTTTTTTCAATTATGGTGACCTCAATTCAATGACTTAAGAAATTTTTTAATGACATAATTGTTGCTATGTAATGGGCCCAAAAACGGCTTGTTTCTTAAATGTTAAGGTTGTTGGATCTGATTGCTACTTCTCAAATCAGGTTCCTTAGCCTTCGTCATCAATTTGCAACTCAGAAGCTCCTCCAAAAATGTTTACTAACGTACTTTGCCCCCTTTTTTGGCCATTACCTTCACGATGCTACATTTCCTCTCATCAAGTATTCCCTTTGGCCAAACATTTCGCTGAACCTCCCTTTTCACGTCCTCTTCACGTGGCCGGCGTTCTTTTTAATTGCGTGGCTTTACAGTACGGCAAACATCGCGAATGGCATAGTTGCTTTTTTTGTCCCTAATAATGCTTGAAGGTCTCGCAATTATTTTTCTGGAGCCCAAGTAGTCATCATATTATCGTATATGAATTAAAGAAGATGTCCTTAAACAGCCTCTCCATGTGTCTGCAACGTGTCTGGGCGTATTGTTTGTGCCTTCCGCCTGATCTCCAATTCCATTTGATGACAATCAAAAGTAGAGATCGCATTTATAGTTTATGTCTGGCGAAACGTATGTGCTGATAGTTGATATCCGAAATCATGTTTCCGATCGGCGGCGGACGCTTCCTTTATCCATCCATCTGGGTCATTGGCGGAGAGAAGTTTTTTCGTGGGGATTCGACGGAATTCTTTACTTGTAACTTCCCAACTCAGTAGAGACAGAACGCTGTTCCCAAAGTCATCGTTTTTCTTTCTCGTGCATTAAAGTGTCGTTATGTTTACCATCGAGTGATCTGGACAGTGCACTCGCACTCTTCCTTGCACGAGTGTCTGTGTTATCGGAATATTTCTTTTCTGGTAGGCCTCCCTCTTTAATGTCAACAACAATATTGATTATGTGCTCAAAGGGCAAAGTCATCTCCCTTGAAAATACGGTCAAAGAGCGTCTTCTACCTTTCCTTGTTTTTTAGATACGATTATGAAGTCGTCCAATGTTTGTCTTCACATATATGGCATCATGTTTGAAACGCATTTCTTCTTTGATCCCTCCCCAAAAAACGTGGTATTCACGACGTTGGATGATAAAAGCAACGTGATAACGGGGCGCTTTGTAAAGTGGGCTGAGTAAACGACGGAGCGTTGTGCTGGTTGAGTAATGAACCCACAATGCTCGCCCAAAACGTAGTGAGAACGTCATCCCTACTTTGGGAATCTTTCCGCCGATTTTTTGATCGAATTAAACGAAAGCAATTTAAGAGTACGGTAAAACTAAAGGCTAAAACTGTTGTAGTTAGAGTGCTTTCCGGATCACAAGAATCTGTTTATCTGATCGGATATTATTTTAGCCATAAAAGGTTGGCCTTCTGCTCTTTTTTTGCAAATGCTCCTGGCCCATTGCAAAACCAGAATCTATTTGTATTCAAAATGAAACAGAGCCCTGAGAGCTGTTTGTTTGTGGAGACACTTGCAATATCAATAACGAGTGTTGCATCATTTTTTGGCAGGAAATTTGAATTTTAAATTTAATTGATCCCAGCGACATCAAATTCCCATTGATCGTAAACCAAAACTAAGAGCAACTCCTCCAGTTTCGTTTACCATATCTTGTTTATCCCCCCAGTTCCCCGGCCCAGGGTAATCACTTAAGCACGCTGTTTACAACCGCGCCCTCCGGGCATTCAGATATGAGTGGGACGGGCAGAATGCCACATGGATTAATTAATTGGTCTCAATTAGCCAAGAAATTGTGGCAGATAATCCCAATTCGCGATGTAAACAGGCCCTCCGGGGCGTTATAAAATATTGTTCTACAAAATTAATTTGACACATTTTTGGGGGGATTAAACTTTTCCAATCTTCCCGAAATCAAATTATTTCACTCATTATTTAATAATCGCACAAACAAACTGACCTTTGTGGCTAATTTGTGCAAGCGTCATGATCCAGTGTTTTCGAGGGATCGGGAATTATATTGATGTAGACATCAGATGGGAGGTTAATGAAACAAGCAATTTTTTTATGAAGAAATCAAGACACTAGGAAAAATATTGTAAGATGATTAGTGAGAAAGCTGGCTGTGACAATTACAATTACTGTAAGTGCTTTCTGATGACTCGTTGGGTCTGCATGCACTCATTGTCAAGGTTTCTGATGCTTAAAGTTCAAGTAAAAGGGGCCAAATTTCATTTGGATCAAAATTTTTTGCATTCAAATAAGATCTTACAAAGAATAGTACCTAAGGAGAATCGTAATTTTGTTTTTGAAAGCTCTTTAAGCAAAGATAGCATGATATTTGGATTGGTGATTGAATGATGAGACCCATGTTTCCTAATGTCACAGTAAGTCTTGTTTTTAACAATTTATCAAAGTACTTTCTTTTTGCGAAGAAAGAACACAAAACAAGAGCATCCTCAAAGTCTTTCCAAACGTTTCTTTTTAATTTTTTCATCGAACAAACTGTACTTTGTCATCGATGCACCCGCCCGCTGCTTCGCTTGATAAGACTATAAGTATTGATTCCATTCCATTTACACGTTCCTCCAGAGATCTCACGTTACAAGGGTCACCGGACAACAATCTCACCACTAATATTTGCCGGATAAACACGTTACTGCCCAAAAAGTTACAATTTAAAAGTGCGTCTTCTGCATCTTCTTCCAAGTCCTACCGTACTCCCCGTTGATAAGACGCCTTTTGAAACTGTTCTTCTTTTTCGGGTTGCGTCAGAAGTTCTTTGGTTGATGAGTCTTCACATGAACGGCACGATCTCGTGTCCTCATAATTACATTCGCCAAAAAAGGAGGTGCTGTAAAGTACAATGTATCATTGTAGGTGTGTGCAGATTCGTCTCGTGTAACCCAAAATGTAAAAACGGTTGTAACTTTGTAAAATGAGTTTTTGGGTTGTTTTGCAGTACAAAAATGCCTCATATGTCAACGAAAAATACGAACGTTACAGTAGTCCACAACCCCCTGGAAATTTTTTTTTTCTCTTCACATGTTTTACAGTGTCATAGCAAAGGTAATTGGGCATAGTAATTGTGGTTTTTGGCCATGCTAAGCGTGTTCCGTGCGCATGATATGTAAACAAAGAGCGGGTTGTCTCTAATAGATGGTAGTTCATTGGATCCAAAGTCCCCTCCTTTTCTCTGATATCGGCAGGTCCAGATTGCCCTTTAAGAGCAGGGTGTCGCCGCCAAATAAAGATGGGTTTCACGTGTATTCCCGCCGCCTTCCATACCGTATTGTCGCTTATCACTCTTCTCGGAAATTTCCAATGTTTTTTGCACGAAATACGATTATTATTTGGGAAATCGTAAATTAACACAAGTCAAAATGTAATATCCAGCTAGGCGTTAGGAGCGACGCATCCCTAGCATAAAAAATTCGTTTTTTCTGTGTATTCGTTGATCTCTGTTTGCCTATTTCGGAGTACTTTGATCATCTCCCAACTCTGCCCTTCCTTTAACCATCCCCTTTATTTTGTATAAACCTTGGCGTTTATTTCGATCCCCCTTTACCTTACTCGTGTTCCACCTCTCCCATCACCCCTCCCCTGCCATCTTGACCACATATCCGTTGCTAATCCGCTCTTGCAAACCACCGTAAGCCGTCGCCCTGAGGGCGGAGTGCATCCCGACTTGGGAGGGGCGGAGTCCGGGGGGCTCCAAAGTTTAAAGAATCTGGGAAAATAAGTGCAGCGGGGTGCTAAGTCGTTGGGTCGGGGCGTTGTAGCGGGCGTGCTTCGTATTTCCCCGTCCCTGTAGATGTTGTATATATAAGAATAAAAGTCTTGGAAACTTCTGACTTTTCGCTTCCCCACCGCCGTCGACTGCACTGTGCGGGGCGGGGGGCGGAGTCGGCGGGTTGGGGCGGCTGGGAAAGCGGCGTGTTCGCGGCGTGGTTCGAGACTCTTGATTCTGTAGTCGCGAGTGTTGGGTGGCGATGGCTGCAGCGCTCCCATTTCTCCAGCTTTTTATTCAAATTCGTGTTTCTTCAATCTGTTTCGCATTTATTTAATCGCCGTTTGGCATTGGCCTTGGGGCCAGTTTCTTTTTCTCTATCCCTTTATTTTCTCCGACTCGGCTATTATTTACCACTTTTGCCACCGTATTTCGTGTTTTCTCGCGGAATTTCTCTCTTTTTTTATTCATGACAGCTTTTTAATTTTCCTGCAGAATCATGGTTCCCCAGACTTCTTCCTCGTCCGTTTCCCCGTCGTTGCGACCTCTGCCCTCGGGCTATCGTAAACGGAAGCTCCAAAGTAATGGAATCTGCTCGGACAACGACTTTAGTGATGTAAGTTTCATCAATATTACCCAATCTAAGTTATTCCCTTGGGCTTTTATCTAGTACAATTTTTGTAAATAAACGGATGGGTTGATCGCAAAAATGATGCGATTTCTTATCACCAAACACCCAAGAAAGGACCGTCTACGTGTCCTGTTATCACTTGGCTTGCGATCGGTTACAATGTGACCGAAAACGAGGAGTACTCTGATCTTATTTTGTTTGTAGGATGATGAAAGTCCGAAGAGTGGCTCCCCTTCCATCGACGAAGACCGTCGCGCACATCACAACGAATTGGAGCGAAGACGACGCGATCATATCAAGGATCATTTCATGGCGCTCAAAGGGAGCATTCCATTGTTGGAGGGCGAAAAGGTAAGGGAGAGAACAACTGCATCAAAAAGATGATTAATATGGGGGTTACTGTAGGCATCCACATGGTATCTTTGCAGAAAAATGAGGAAAATTTTGTGAATCATCGCCGTCATTTCTTGCATAGATTGCATCATTTAACCATTTGAATTAATCGTATCAGCATTGAATTAGCAGTGGCAGAATTGGCTGTTCCAAAGTTCATGTCCTTTCCCGAATTATCATCGCTTTTAATATTAATATTTATCTTGTTTTTCGCCGGAAACCCAACCCATTTCGAAGCCAAATCCCCGCCTAAAGATCTGCAAAGCACTGCCGGTTGAGCTGTGCCTTGTATAATCCATGACTAGCACCCAAGGCCGCCACGTTGTTTTCTGGTCCCATTCCAAGACTGATGCAATCTCTCCGTCCTCTAATTCTCTCGCATAAATCTGACGCAATCCCTCTTTTCCCCTTTTCTCCTTCGCTTCTCCCCGACATATGAGGGTCGGCCGGCGGTTCACGTGGAAAACAGGCGGCCTTCAGGCTGCGGCTGCCCGAAAACGTTCGACTTGATCATTCTTTGTTGTCGGGTAAAGGGCAGCCCGCGAGGGCTCAGAAATTATGGGCATTCGCGGAAAATGCGGGGACAGAAAGCCTAGTAAAACACGGCTGAGTAATGTAAAAGCACCTCCGACTTTCGACACACAACCCTTCTGTTTTCGAGCCTAAAATACACGCGGAGAGAGGGAGGGTGTTTACAGGGCCGGGTCCAAAGTTTGTGGAGAATGCGAAAAAATAGAAAATCTGAGATCGCCGCGAAGAGGGATGACTTTTTTCGGGTACGGTAAGACAAAGAACAGCCCGTTTTTTGCTTGAACTTTTGCACCGTGCATACTTCAGATTCCATGGAAACGTTTTCGGCGTATTTCCCGAAACGCACGTTCTCCATTCTCCTGGAATTTAACGGTCTTAAAATGACTTCCAACGCCTTCTTTGACCCTGTTTTGATCTCGCCCCATTCGCCCCTGTACTTTATTCTTTTTCGATTCGTTTTGGGCCAGAATTTGATTTCTTTTGTAACTCTTAATCACCCCTCCACCAGCCTGCAAAACAATATTATTTTGGGGCAACAAGAGAGTGGAAAGAAAAGGGACGAATGCACGTGAAAAACATGCCCGCAGGCATCGAAGTTGATCCCGTTCTTTGGGTGCAACAAAACACGCCCGAAAAGAGAGTGCACTCGGGCTGAAGCAGGAAGAGAAGTGGAGGACACGTGGCCCTCCAAACCCGTTCTCTGAGGTCATGTGGTGGCAGCAAGAAGGGAGGGGGTCGAAGTACACAAAACAAAGAAAAAAAACCAGAAGCCGGGCCCCTTGCTAGACATGGTGTATATAACAACAAATGGGTACGGTAGACCAAAAGGGGAGGGAACAGCAAACGCGCAAAGATACCATGTTCAGATTGCATCATGCTCATTTGCATGAACACAATTAAATTTGCATACAAATTAAAATACAGAATGTAGTAATTAATTTTGGATCTTTTCAGAGTTCCCGTGCGCTAATCCTGAAACGAGCCGTCGATTACATTAAAATGCTCCAAACCCAAGTCAAGGAGACCAAGACAGAAGTGGAGGAGTTGAAGCGTCGCAACGAAACTCTGATGCAACAAACTACAGTAGGCCTGAAGCCTTTCCTCGGCCAGATTCAACTCCAATCCGCCTTCACTCCCCAGACTACAGTACCCGTTTCTCTGTGTGTACCCAGCACGTCGACCTTTACTGTTCTCCAAGAGCCCATGCTGACTAACCATAATCAGCAAAAGTTCAAGCCCACCTATCCCACTCCCGATCCGGTTTCGCCGGCTCCAATGGCATCGACTTCCTCAACCCCGGTCTCCAACTTGAATAATTTGAATAATCTCTCGGCCAACCTCTCCAATCTACTGCTCCAGAATCCCTCTCTGTTGGCCCAACTCCAGTCCCATCCGCCCGTCCAGACCAGTCATTTCGAGCCCCTTACCCCGCCCCATTCAGCCCCTCAGAATCCCTCTCCCAACTTCTACCCCGAACTCCTGACGCCCCAGCTGTTGGCCTCGTCGTTGGCAATGCGGGAACGGCAATTCGCGGCCGTCGCCGCCGCCCAGCTTTAAAGATTTGATCTGCTGTTTGTATATGGAGCTTTTGACCACAATTTCCCGGTCGTTTCTCGTCGTTCCCGTCCCGTTGCGTGGCTTCTGGAACGTTTGGCTGAAGATCAAAGTTTTATTTATAATCGATTGTAAAGTTTTCTCTCGCCCCCTTCCAAAAGGTCATGTATAAATAAAATTCTATCAGACTTATCAATCGACTCTTATGTTAACGATGTTTCCTTTCCGGCGGCGACAAAAAACGAGCGAAACTTTGATCTGGACGGACCTTAGAACCGGTTGTTCCGAATAGACATTGGAGGTTGTGACGAGTAATTGAACCGGAAAAGACATGGCATAATAGCGGCAAATTGAAGGACTCGGCAGCAAACGAAAGAAAATTCAAAAGAAAAGAGTTGTGCACTGGCAACAATGTATTGAAAACGCGATAAGCAATTCTTAGAAGTGCACTTTACTCTCAAACAGAGTACAGCGTGGACCACTCGGAACTTCCAGTCTTGTTTCAAGAACTTCTCCGTCAATGATGCACCGGTTTCTATAAAATTATATCAAATTGAAGCTGAGACAACCCATTTTTTTATACACCAAATATGACGGGTCTACCAAATTTTTGAAAAGATCTTCAATTTTTTTCAGGCTTGGAAAATTTTTGGATTTCCGGCTAAAAAGAAGTCGCCAACCACGCTGAAAAAAATTTAAAAATTAAAATTCACTTCCAATGCGTCACAAGCATATTTCAGGCGAGGTACCAAGCCGCCCGAAACAGAACGAGAGATGTTTTCCCGGGTAATCTAGACCTTGAAACTTGTTAAGCATCTTCGGGGTGGATTTCGTCGATGCATGCAGTCTCCCTCATCGGTTATTTTCAAAGATTTCGATTAATTAAGCCTGTTACAAAAAAATCATGCCTTGAAGAATAATTACGACTATTCCGTTGAATGCCGTCACTCGTTTCTGCTATTCGTAAAAGTTTTATTTAACCAAGAACTCGAACCTAAATTGAAAATCATTGCAAAAACTTTTTAAGTTTCAACGATTTCGGGCTTGGCATGAAAATGTCAAAGGTCGGTATGGGGGCCTCCGTGAACGTAGACTCGTCTAATTTAGTGGACCGGATGTGGTGATCTCAGCTTCAATTTGCTATAAATTTTATAGAAATTGGTGCATTAGAAATACCTGAACAAGGTTGGAAGTTCCCATAGACAAAAGTCAAGGGATTCACGTGAAATTGGCAACTCACTTCATGAGAAAGTACTGTAGGACGTGTTACGTCAGAAAATATCATTAGAGCTGTTCGAAAAGTTTGCAATCATTTTGCAAAAAAGGCGTGATTTTAAATGAAAATGGTCATAAAAAATAGTTTTACTTGCAAACAAGAAATGATTTGATGTGGTGAGTACAGTAAGCTGTCAATGTACGTATCTTGCATTGTTACTAACAAAAAATAATGGGGAAATCACGAGAAAAAAAAGTGATTTAGGGCACTTTTAAAGTAAGACCAAGGTAACCTTGCAAATTTGAAGATGTTTTCTTTGTATTCCATCCTTCCACAGTCATAACCTGCACTACTTTTACATTGCGGGCATTTCTTCGTAATCATATGATTTTTTGCTGATTCCCTTGCCGAAGAGACCGCAGACAATCAGAGGAAAGAAGGGCCAGACAAAAAACGATCAATGACGTTGAACAATATCATCGCCGCGAGAACCCGTCAACCAATTTCAGGAGCAAAGTGCACTCCAATAGTAACAGACAGTGCCTTTTTTTACTTTTTATCGAGGACAAAGTCCATTTCCCAACTAATTTTTGGCCTTCTGCTCCCGTTGACGATGAATCTGATGTTCCGTGAAACGCACAACATACTGATGGCGGATGTAACGAAGGGTCTTACGGACAACACGGAGCATCAAAAGGAGCAAGGCAAATATGAGGACGGTCAAAGTCACTGAAAATGGCATGGGTAATATAATGACGTTACGATGATGTTGGAAATGGAAGATTTGAAGATAAAACTTACAAAATCTGACCCAATCATGGGTTCGGGGGCCTGAGGAACCTCCAAGTTGAAGTCTTTCGAGGGTCTTTCGCTCGTGAATCAACATGAACATCTGAGATTACAATAAAACAAAGATGTCGCTGGCATACCTGGTAGATGCTGGTACACACGGAGAGGACAGCACCGATCTCATAGACGATCTGAAAGGAGAATATATGATCCACATAGGCAAGCAAACAATTGAGACATAAAGTAATATACGTATACGACATACATTGAATGTGATGTGGGGTTTGCTCCATTGCCGAATAGGCTTCAAAACCCTTCCAGTTCTCGCATATTTGGTCAGACAAATCTCACACATGTCCTTCCCCGATGTGTCCCACCATTGATTCAGACATTTCTCGTGGATTGTCCCCATCTACAGTAAATAATTTTATATCTATCCTATATAAATCACACCATAAATTGACATTCCCATTGTAAAGACTGCTCACCGATCCATCACAAGCACACGGGCGGACCATTTGGCCGGTCTCGGACTGGCAGATCCGACAGACGACAGCGCTGCTGGTACTGTCGATATTCTGAACAGACGGGGCTGGAGAAGAATGGACATCGGAACGGCGGGAACTGGTCCGATCCGGGGTCAGATCAGTCATGGTGCGGATGGAGGGAGATCGACCGGTTGATAAATTGATTTGGCTGTCAAAAATCGACGGAAAGGACAATTCAAACATTTCTAGAGAAGATATTCTCGGAATTATGCAAATTTTTTTGTAATTCAACGCTAATCCCTCCGTCATTTATTTCACTCCGTTCTTCGACCAAAAGATGGCGGTCGATTCATCCGACTCCTGGTGGTTCAACCAACTCCATCCCCATCTGGACGATCCCTCGGCCGACATCTGCATCCATTGCCTGAATAACGATTATCTCTTTGCCCATTCCGATGTCATCCATGAGATTTGGCCTCAATTACTGATAAAAGCAGAGCCTGTCGACCCGAAATCTTGTGACCAAAAGATGTCTTCTGAATGGAAACACATCCGGAGACAGCACTTTATGATCCTGTTGGATAAAAATACGGTAATTTTGATGTTCTTTTAATGAAAATTTACATATTTAAGCTCAATTACCTCCTGGAATTATGCTATGGTCGATTAGAGAAAGAGTTCATTAAGAATGAATACTTTTACAAGCAAATCGAGATGGCCGTGAACTTCTGTCCCCTGGATGATTCCAAGATCTCGGTCTTCCATGGTCAAAGTTTCAAAGATTTTCATTTGAATCTTTTGATCAGCCAATTGAAGGATCAGGACATGATTCTCAAGTACATTATGCTCTTAAAATACGATAAACCAAAAGCTAAAGAGGTGTGTACACGCATCTTTTACACGTAATCAATTTAGAATTCCTGTTCACTTGCTGACTTATTTGGTTACTGTATTTTAGCTAATTCCCCAGCTCACTTACTGTCTCTACAACCTCATCAAATCAAATGGAATGGCTCTAATTCAATTTACCAGGATCGAAATCGACGAAGTACTCCAGTTATTGTCCAACGATTCTCTCCACATCAACAGCGAAGCCAAAGTTTTGGAATTAATTTTGCTTTTCATTGCCCAGAATGAAAAAGGAGAGGATGACAGGCTCACAATGGCCAAAAAGCTGATTCCAGCTGTGAGATTTAACGAAAATAACTTTCAAGAAAAAGCCCCGGAGGTAAAAATTATATTACTTATTACATTGTATTAGACTTGATGATTTTAGCATCCAAAATAATTTTTTTAGCTGATCGCAAAGAAAGAGATGACATTGGAGAATCTAAATCAATTTCTGGATCCAAATAAACCTACCACTCGATTGCCGAGGGACTTTCTGATCATCTATGGAGGCTGGTTGGACAAACCGACCAGAATGTGCCAAGTCTTCGCCAGACATCAAAATAAATTTCTGGAGACCAATTTCCTTGCGGATAGAAGTCCTTTGGCCTATCATATCCTTGTGGAAATGAGACAGGTAATTTGAAATTAACACCATTTTTTTTTAAATAAATTTGATATCATGTGTAACATAATCTTTTAGACAATTTATCTGATTGGTGGCTATAACAATGAAGAGTACCTGAAGAAAGTGAGGAAACTGAAAGATGGAGCGTCTGAATGGGCGTCTTGCCCGAGTATGTTCGCCCCGAGATGCTATGCTTCGGCTTGCACCGACGATGAGAGATGGATCTACGTTTGTGGAGGCTATAATGGACGTCGACGACTTCGGTCGGTCGAGAAGTTTGATGCCATTGAAGAGAAATGGTACAAACTCCCGCCCATGCACCATCATCGATCGGACGCGGCGGCTGCGTACTTCAAGGGACGAGTAATTGTGGCCGGGGGATTCAACGGGGAGACGGTAATGCCGTTTGTCGAGATCTATTGTGAGGAGACACGGCAATGGAGTGAGGTCTGGAATATGAATACTCCGAGATCCGGGCTCTCGATCGTCCCATTTGAGGATAAATTGTATGCAATTGGAGGGTACACGTCGGGGGAGATCACGGATACGGTTGAAGTGTTGTATGATACTCATGGAGCGTGGAGAGAACAGACAAAACTCAATCAGAAAAGGTACGGGCATCCAGGGGTGGTCAGCGGACCCTATTTTTCCGATTTTCGGCCCGCGGCCCGGCCCGTCTAATTACCGGCCCGGCCCGGCCCGTGCAGGCCCGTTTATAGAGGGTTCTGCGAACTGCGCCCAAGCTTGGGATCTAAACTTAGGCAAAAAAGGCGTTGATATAGCTAGTAAAGGATCAATGTGATAGTTTTGTGGTTTTATAATGGAACTATAGACTTGTAAACGTTTTAGAACTTGAGAAACAGCAACTATAACAACATCAATTAATTTTCCCGGCGCGAAAACAATGAATGCCAACGGTTTGGCATTTTGGCATTGTAATTTAGACGGGCCGGGCCGGAAAAAACCCCAGGCCCGCGGCCCGGCCCGGCCCGTGACGGGCCCGGCCCGTTTGTAATTTTCCATTTTTGAGCCCGGCCGGCCCGTCACGGGCCGGCCCGGCCCACTGACCACCCCTGCGGGCATCTCCGGAGCGGGAGGCCGCGCAAGATTGACAACTTGAGCCAAGTGTTTCCCTATTTGAGCCAAGTTTTTCCCTATTTGAGTCAAGTGTTTCCCTATTTAAGGCAAGTGTTTCCTTTCAGATCCAACTTCTCCGCAATCCAATATGATGGAAATCTGTATGTCATGGGAGGTCACGATGGGACTTCTACAACCAAATCAGTGGAAGTTCTCAGAGCCGGCTCCAATACATTTGAAGCCGGTCCGGATCTTCTGGTCAAGTGCTCAGCCTTCAGAACGGCCGTTCTTCGAAACTGGAACTCCATCAAATTTGTGGATGATAAGATGATATCGGATTGTTTGGACGAGGAAATCGAGGTGTCTGAAGTCGGAATGGATCTGATCCCGGAGGAAGATGAAGCCATGGCTATGGATGATGACTTGTAGAAATCTGAACAGACTTGATTTAAGTCATCAATAAATATTTTGTAACACAGTCGATGCCCAATCTCATTGAGTAAAAAATAATTTACTTCTATTAAATTATAACCGGTTTAGACTTCAAATATAAGAGGGAATGCTTCAACAAAGTCCCGAACGGCCTGATTATCTTTGTAAGCCTCATTTATCGCCTCAAATTCGGGTTTATTCTTCTCCACCAGCTGAGTTGCTCCATTCGGGTTGGTCTCCATAAAATTGGTGATTAATCGAAGGAAAGATTCGGTTATTTGGACCCATTGTCGACTTCTCGAGGTCTGTTTCTGAAAGATAACAATAAAATATTGCCAATCAATCCAACAGTTGACTTACAGTAAGCGCAGAAAGATAGGACCCTGCCAAAACATGCAATTCCTCCGTTCTCTCAAAGGAACAGGGTGCCGCAATCTGGATTAAATCCAAGATCAACCTCAACACACCAAATCGATCGACTTCTCTGAATTGCCTGGGGGTTAGTCCAATGATGGTCTGAACTTGATGTATCAACAATGGGATTTGTCTTGAGAAAACCTCGGGGTATTTCCTGACAAACTCGATGACCTGCTCTCTGACTTGTCTGACCATCAAATCGACCTCTTTATTCGTTGGAACGGCGCTCAATTCGAATAATTCCTTAAGATTCCAATGAAGTTTGATGTCCATTTGTTCCACCGTGAGGTCGTTTTTCCAGTCCAAAGTAACTCCAGCAACAATTCCATCCATGTTTTTCAGTTTTCCGTTTTTGCATCGAGGAAATTTCTGATCAAAATTTCTCAAAAGTTTTTCGAATCTCTTCTTCATCGTGCCAGATTCGAACTCAGAAGAAATGGAGATCTGTTCGATTTTACTTTTGATCTTATAAAACACTTTCCTCAGTGCATGATCGGCCATATCTTGATCTTCGGAGCCCACAATCGCATCTTCCAAAATCTGATGTAATCTATTGGAAATGGCGTCCACTTCAGCAAGATCTGGATGATCCCGGGAGGGACTTGTGAGTCTTGACTCTCTGCTCATCCTACTTGCTATTCCCTCTGTTCGGAAGTCCTGATCGCGTAAATCTACATCTCCAGAATCCATCGGGACATCTTCTACATTAATTTGACTTGTGATTTCAGCGAAAACATAATCCAAAAGAACCAACAAATGGTCTGCTTCCAGCCCCAAACATATTCTTGAAGTTGATTTTAGCGCATTCTCGACGAAATCCAGGATATTCAACGGCTTTAGATGAGGGCGGAACTTCTCCAGTAAGGCCCTAAGGACCGTTATCGTGACTTGAGGGGTTCTGGTGGTTGTGATCAGGGCGATCAGATGTTTACAGGCTACAGAATCAGAAGAGAACATGATCTGAAGTTGTTTATCCATCTCGGTCGGGTTTTTATGATCCACAACTTGCGGATTGAGGATCATATAGCGCTCAACCAAGGCGGTTATGGTCAGTTCATTCTAAAATACATCGAAACCGTGATTTATATCGTCCCCAAGCATATCAATCTCACTTTAACCACTTACAAACTGTTTTCCCTGATTGGACTGTGCCAATTTTATAAGGATATCATCGGCACTCAGTGTGTTCACATCCTCTGAAACCTTGTTTCTCCCTTCTTCAAATGGCGTGGTTTTCATGCTACATGCCAAGATGGCCTTCAGCACCTGATTATTTGAATACTTTTGTTCTATAATCTTCGCCAATCCGTTAAGCTCAATTCCCAATTGATTTTTATTCTAAAACAATCTGATTTCCGCGTTTTTTTGGTGATTCTCACCTGTTTGTTAGTTAAACAGCAAGCAGAAACCATGGGATACAACAGATGTTTCAGATCCATCAACTTTTCTACGTTATTTTTGACAAAATCTAGTGTTTCCTTGGCCATTTCCACTTTTCTCATCGCCTTCATGGCTAAAATCCATTCCGCATTCGATAAATAAGTCTTTTCCATTGCTGATGGGCTGTTCAGCAACGAATTCAAATAAATTTTCATCTCATTTTGAGTCTTAATTTCATTGGACTTCTTGATAACTGGGCGTTTTCTGGCTTGAAATCGGCAAGAGAACACCGAACCTGGAGATTCCACGCGTTGAAAAAGAACGGGGCGTTCTTCTTCATCTAATTCCATCTTCAATTCCTGATTCTGGGATTTCATCGAGTCTTCAACGGACTTGAGGAACTTGTCAGCGCCCTAAACGATAAAAAATAATGTAAGAAATTGACGTAGAATCAACCACATCGCCTTTGAAGGCAAATTCTCCAAACTGACCTTAGCACCTCTGACCTTATACGCCTTAATAAAGGGGACCGCCATCCTCGCTTCCTCTGATTTGGCCACATCTGATAAATTGAGTCGATTCAGTAGTTCGGTGCAACTGAATGGAGTCAAAGCAAAAGATTGAATGTATTTCAGGGCGTCATTGGGTGTAATGTTTGACAGAGCGACGATCACAATTCTCTCATCCTTGGCCGAGAGCATTTTCATTCGAAGTTTTTGGGAAAGCAAATCCACTGGCTCATTTTTGGCATTCAACACTTGCACTTGGCCTTGTTTAGGAAAGAATGTGTCCATCAAATATTGTCGGGATTCATTGCTGGCGACGTCATCCTGAAAAAAAGACATTTTTAGCCATAAAAATCATGTACAACATAATAACCCTACCTTAAAGTCATCAGAACTCTCGCAAAGCAATTCCAGGATGGCCGCAACAATCTGGGCATCAATATTGACAGTTGCGCCATCAACCAACGTCACATTTAAAGTGTCTTCTTCGGCACTTTTCGATGAATTTTTTAATTTCTTGATGAGATCCGCGAAGAAGTTCATTAGAGACTTTCTGATACTTCTGTGTTCTTCCGAATGAGTATTGGACCTTTCTACCAGCGATGAGAGTCTTGGGGCAGCTCTATGAAGGGTGCTATCACCAATATTCTCAACAATAAACTGCATATAATACATGATCCTTTCGTTCTTTTTCTCCAGGGCACAAGCTCCGGCCAATTCTCGACACAAATCCTCTTTGAGGGCATCAAAATGAGGGCAAGTCTTCAAATTTTTGGGATCAAAGTCAACCATTTCAGCGGCGTTTGTCTAAAATAGGTAATTTTGCATGTCATCACAATCTTATCTTACCTTAAAAATCATATTCAATCCCATTGAAACCAAATCTCTTTCCAATGACAAAGGCCCCGACAGTTTCTCAGTCATTGCCAGTAATACTATTTTGCAATCATCCACCTTCTTCTTTGGATCTTGTAGGTATTCAGTCACCATCGTTGATATCTAGAATAAATTTGATCGATTAATGCATCGTCTTCTCTTGTATCCTACCGTATTCTGAAGATCCACTCCAAAAGGTCTGGACCCCGCCAGATTTGGGCTCAATTCGTCTATTGGTTTGCTCATTTTTTGATCAAAAACAACAACGAGATACAGCTGGGCCAGAGTCGACAACGGGATTTTATCGATGAAATCAGGCCGTGCATTAAGTAGGGCAATCAACGAAGGCAATACTCTCAACGGGCCTTGTTCTTTTGCCAATTTCTCCAACAAATCCGGCTGTCTCAGCCCACTTAATTGGGTCCCCAATTCAAATTCCTTGTTCAACTTCTCAATATTCTTCAACACACCCTCGGGCGGTGTTCTACAAGGTCCTGTCAGTTTAAGAAAACAATAATTCTGAGATGGCGTCGGTTCCGAATTCGAATTTTCTTCAGTTTCGTCTTGCACTTCCAGCTGCCTGATCGCCGTCCATTCAATTTCTTGCTCCGAGACATCTTCCGCCAAGATTTGCTCTTTCGATTTTCCGTCCAACGATGGTAGAGGGAATGTAAAATCCCTAAAACACAAAATCCTTCAGCACCATCCACAAAGAAACAATAAAAATAATAAAATGTACCTTGTAATAGCCATGGTGATGAGCATTTTGAGTGTTGTATATTTCTCAAAGCACTCCGCCAACAGTGCTGGATTCATGCAGGCCCAGAGGAAGACGATTTCCCAGCATTTCCAGTACATCAATTTGTGGGCCAGACGGTTAGAATCGGGGCTAAAAAATATTACCAAAAAGTCCAATACAAAATAAAAAATTGAATTTACCTTTGGTCGATCGCTGTAATTTGAAACAATTGTAAAATGGTCGATTCAGAGTTGACATTCAGAACCCTTTCTATCTCGGATCCTTCTCTCGTAGTCAACGCCCTTCTGGTCACATTATCCAGAACCGAGATTACATCTGATGGTGTAATAGTTCCATTCAGTCCAATCAACGCCACAATTAACTGTTCATCCACCATACACTCCGAGAATAACCTAACATTATTATTAAAGTCCGGTTCAGAGGGCCAAGCTTCGTAGGCCGTGTAAAATGAGTGCTAAAACAAGACAATTCAACATTATTCAAGCGTGGTATAAACCGACCGGCTTCAGAAACAAGACCCCTCCGACAGCATTGATCGCCGCTCCATTGTCCAGCGTTAGATTCTTGGCCGCCCATTTTATAAACCCCAAAAGTTCGAGTTGAGTCTTCTGCAGTTGTTGCTGAAACCTGTTGAGAACTTCATTCTGATAATTGAGCATATTTCCGGCGGCTCTTCGCGTTTGCGCTGCTTCCTTGACGGCCGTGGAAGCGCTGACAAATGGAAGCATCGTGCAGATGTCAACAATTAAACGGAAAATCAAGCTCTGAAAGAATCATTTTCACATCTAAATGCATCACAATTCTAGTTAAGTGTAAGAGTTGATATAAAGTATTTCCCTAGTTGTTTCTAGTATATGAAACTATATAATACCTGAGAAAACGGCTGTGTCTTCACGTATCCCTTAGTAAAATCAATCATTTCCTTGGCCAAAAGAGAGTATGGGAAGTCTTTTATGGATCGGAAAAGGTCCCGGACAAATGATCGAACACTTTTCACAGCTTCTGGATGCTCCAATCGTCGAACCAACTTGTCCGCCACTAACTAAACCAAGAATATGATACTGAATTATAACCTCTTACCCTTAACACTGCTTTCGAATCATGAGAAAAGAGGAATTGAAAAAATCCGAGGTTAGTTTGGGCTTTATTCGTGTGATTGAACTCATTCTCCAGGACAAATTCGGCCAAAACCTTCAGTCCAGATGGGCAATCGTTCAGGATTACTCTAAAAAATGAGTGAGCAGCCCAAAAAACTTACTTGATCGCTGCCTGAAAGACAATCTGCAACTGTTTAGACTTTTGTAATTTGACTCTCGTCAGATATCCTAAGATCTCAAGATTAATATCAGAGGCAGCATCCTTGGTGTTGGTCACAATAAATAGGAGGAGTTCCATGGCCTGACGTTGAGTTTTGATGTTCATTAGCCATTGGTCCAACTTCTTTGCGGCCAATAATCGGAATTTATCATTCCCACAGAAGAGGCACAAGGTCTTCAGAAGATTTTTGGTAGCTCCAGAATCAATGGATCGTTCAACATGGGCCAAGGTCGACTTCAACAGAGCCTGATTTTGATCCGAACTGTCCTCGAATTTGAGCTTCTAAAAACATTGTCGGTTAGCATCGCTTCTAAAAAAATAATTCAATAAATTACATCTAAACCCACTTCTCGTGTAAAATTTTTGAACGAATATGCTTGACTGTCACTGAGAATGTCAAACAAGGCATCCGAAGGAATCTCAGTCTCCCCAACAAGAGAAAATGCGTTGACGAGGATATTTGCGGCATCTTGCTTGTCAACCCACAATCTCAGTCCCATTGAATCGAACAGAGTGAAATTAAAAAGAGAAATCGGAACTGCTTCGAACGATTTGACAATCTTGATGGCAATCGGCAAAAAGGATATTCCATTCTGAGAAGCTTGAGTTTCCACCTTGTTCATCAAGGCGAAAACGGCACCATAAATATTCAGATTCTGAAAGACTTATATTAACCATGTTCCACCAATCAAAATCTTAATATCCAGATATAAAAATAAAATGTACTTACTTTGTACAAGGTCTCATCTTCCATCAATGCCTGATGAGCCTCTTTCAACAAAGCCAAATCAGCTGCATTGGGTTCATCTCCTTTAACCATTGTTTTGATGGCTCCACAAATGACTTTGACTGTCCGTCCCTTCCCTTTTTCTTTAGCCATCTTCATGAGACTTGCGAAATCCTTAGCCACCAAATTAAAGTCTTTTACACACTCCATCCAACTTGAATCCACCTCCACCAATTTCACCAACGATGTTGAAGTTGAACCCAATCCACCGCCTAAAGCAGAGCTTCCAGCCTTGGCCATATCCATCCGCTGTTTCTTGGCCAACGTGCTGGATGCATTCTAAAGGCAAAAAACATTCATGCAAAGACTTGTAAACATACCGGTAGTAAAGGACCCCTTTTCTGTCCCGCTGCCGCTAATCGGACTGCTGCCGAGGATGGACCTGGCGCAGCCGTTGGTTTCTTTATTACATTCTTTCGATTTGGTATCATTCCTGTGCAATCTTGCAAGTACAAGCTTGTTTATAAGCTACTCATGAATTTAAAAAATGAATTTGTTCTGAAATTTACAAAAAAAAAATTATTCCTTTATGTTGCGGAATGTACGCGATTCCGATACCAAACAAACAAAGTGTCACAAAATATAATTTTATTCATTTTTACGTATTGAAATGGTGCTTTTGAAACTGCCGTGTGTGTGTGTGAGGCTTTTGAGTCGATAAAGTAGTATAGTGCAACGTTTATGGGGCAGCAATGTCGGATGACGAGGTAGAATGTCAATTCGATATTGAGGATGAGTTTGTGAAGCGGTTGATAGAAAGTGGGGTAGATCTGAGAGATCATTCAACAAAAGTGGAAAGTCAACTTCGAGGATCCAATAAATTGGTCGTAGATGATTGTATTGATCATGCTGAGGAACTTGCCGAACTCAACGAACAGATTACGGAGTGCGATCAAACATTTGAGGTGGGTTTATCTAACTTGCTTTTTATTCTTTTAGAATCTTGAGGGAATGTTGTCCAACTTCTTGGCAGAGCTTGGAACAATAAGCGAGGATATGAAACGGCTTCAAGACCAATCTGTTGTCATAAACCAACAACTTCACAACCGTCAGCGTGTTCGAGGAGAGCTCAGTCAATTCGTGGACGACATGGTTGTTCCACATAACATGATCAAGTAAGTTCTTCTGTTACTTTTCTTATTCCTTTAGGATTATCATGGAGCATGATGTCAATAGTTCAGAATTTCTCGAGCAACTTCATGAACTTCAACATAAACTTCAATTCTTGAAGGCCCAGGCTTTTAAGGACGCAAAAGCAGTGGAAGACGTGCAAGATGTCATTGAGAACTTGAAATACAAGGTATGTCATATTTTAATAATTTAGTTCCGAGCTTAGGCTATGGAGAAGATGAGAGAATGGTTGTTGGCAAAGATCTCACTGTTTAAGAAGCCTCTTACGAATTATCAGATTCCCCAGACGGCACTCCTCCGGAACCGATTTTTCTACGAGTTTCTACTGGCGAATGAACGGACCGTAGCTCGAGAGGTAGGTAACAGGACTATTTCAACCCTAAAAGCTAAGAAATGTATAGATAATAGTTTATTTCAAGTGGAAATTCACATTCATCCAAGTGTAATGTCCTCATATTGTCCATCGCCTTCTTGAGTTGCAGGGCCGGCTTGAGAGTTCACTGAAGCATTCTTCATCTGTGATTTTCCTTGATTTTGTGCGGGCAATGGGGTCTTTCCTTTGCTTCCGGGCTTCGGATTCTTTTTTCCGATACAGCTCACGATAATCGATAAGAACATGGAGATTGCAGCGAAAAAACAAATCAGGTCTTCCAACTTTGCCAGCATTTCCCTCTCAGTGATTTTGGAAGGGGTGACTTGGAGGAATCGACCGGTCGAGATTAAAATTTTTACTAAAATAATGGGAATTCTATGATTTTGATCATCCCAAAATAATTTTCAAAATATTTTTTTAGGTCAAGGATGAGTACATTGAAGCTGTCAGCAAGATGTTCTTCAGTTATTTCAAGACCTATGTCTCGAGGTTATTCAAACTTCAGATGGCTGATTCTGCCACGAAAGAAGATCTTCTGGGTGCCGAAGATGTGCATAAAACTGGTTATGCGGCTCTTCCAAACATCTTCGGATCCAAACCGCAGGTAAATAACGATGTATTTTACCTTGTAATTGATTATTTTCAGACTCGAAGTAAGGCGACGGTGTTTTCATTGGGAACTCGAGATTGTTTACTGACAACCGATTTCTTGGCCCCATTAATTGTCCCACACGCTGCATTACAAGCCGGAGAACAAGTGAGCTCTTTATCCATATATAAAATATATTTTAGTACCAATTTGAATGCCTATTCCGGTCGATACAGTATGCCCTGGTTGATCATTGCAGTCACGAATTCCTTTTCCTCTGTGATTTCTTTATGGTGGAAGGGCAATCAGCTGTGGATTTGTTCTCGGAGGTCATGGGAAGAGCGATTGTCCAGCTACAGGTCAGTTACAGTAACTCGCCTTTGATTTTACCACCGGCAGTTGATGTAATAAAGATGGGATTTTAGAAGAGTTTGGAAGAGAAAATCAACACAAATTACGACGCAATATCCCTGTTCCTGTGTATATGCTTATGCACCAAATACAGTGAGCTGATGGCTGAAAGAAGTGTAATTTCGATCGATAATTACCTCAAATCAATGGCTCAATTACTATGGACAAGGTTCGAATATGTGATGAACTTACATACGGAGAGTGTGAAGAACATTGACGTGAAGAAAATGGCCATCGATAATAAACCTCATTATGTTTTGAGGAGATATGCCGAATTCTTGAGTGCTTTCCTGGTCTGCACAAATTTGAGCGGGAAGAAAATGGATGATCGATTACAGGTAAGGAAGGTTTTGATGTTTGATGGTATTTAATGAAGGGATCATGTAGAACGAAGATTTCAGAACACGGTAACCAAACAAGAGCAGGAAGTGGAGGCCTTTATGTATAGGTATTGCCAACACATGAAGAGGAAAAAGGATCGATTGGTCTTCCAAATTAACAATTATGACGTCATCTTGACTGTTCTTGATGTAAGTTTTGAGTTTTAGTGGTGTTTTATAAATTTTTGTATTGCTTTAGGAGAAAGTACTGGACGAATCCAAAGAAAGAACCGCTTTCTGTAATACCCTCCAAACAAAAACGCGCGCCTTTGTGGAAGAAGTCCTTTTCCCTCACTTCAATGCTCTAATTCAGTTTGTCAATGAAGTTGAACCCCATGTGGAACAAGGCCATACTCAACAGTTGTCGAGGTTTACTGGTAGGGACTATAAATTAACTAGAATTATTCTGTCTTAAGGGTTTAAAATTGTATATTTTTAGGCAAGGCAACTCAGATTGTCCGTGCCTTCGTTGCGGAATGGAAAAAGGCGATCGAGGAGATAAACAAGGAGATCCTGCAGTCTTTCACAAACTTCAAAGTCGGCTCAAATGTTCTTCAAGCAGTCTTCACTCAATTTGTAAATTATTATCAACGGTTTCATAAGTTATTATATCATGAGGCATTCAATCAATGCACTGAGGCCAGATCCGAACTAGTCGATGCTCCCGTAATCATCGCTGAGCTCAAAAAATATAAGCCAATATATTAATTTTTGAAATGAATGGATATTTATTACCTGTTTGTTATTTTGGTGATAAAAAACGCGAGGGAAATGCAGTACTTTATCTTCATTTTGTACAATATTAGAAATGACGTCGTTTTTAAGTAATTGAAAAATTAATAATTTTAAAAAAGTTTCCGCAGTCGACAGGATTCGAACCTGTGCGGGCAAAGCCCAATTGATTTCTAGTCAATCTCCTTAACCACTCGGACACGACTGCACGGTGTGAGAGCCCTTTCGGACGTTTTCTCTTTCAAACGGCTAAAAGGAAATAAATTTTTTGTGGAAAGAGAAGGGTTTTTATAAAAGAAATATAACGAATTCTGATTGGTTGTTTCAGATAAAAACGGATGGTATTAGCCGTAAAAAGGTTTCCTTCATTGTTTCAACTTGTACAAAAATCTTTGTGAATGCTGTTTGATTCAAAAACGGGGTTGAAAGTCTACTGAGCCCTGAGGGTAAATAAAAATGAAGATAAGAGAAAACAAAAAACACAGGGCCAGAAACAGGATAATACAGAGGCATTTGCCGATAAGTCACCAAAAATACAAGCCACGCCTGACTAGACATGAAGCAAACCTTTTGTCTCCCCCGAGTCACACATTACATTTGAAAAAGTACACTAATTCTTAACATAGTTCTTCAATACATCTTCAGTCAATGGTAACGATCTTCATTTAAAACAATTAACAATCCCAATAAAGCAAACTAACCAAAATAAAGAAAAGTCTTCAAAAATCTCTACAGTAATTCCTACAGTAGTCTACAGTAACAACAATAATATTAAAAAAAGCCAGGTGAATACGAAGCTGTCACTTTCTTCAATCCCAGCAACTCTTCTGGCAGGAAAATAGTCGGAGTCTCGGGTTCGTATTCCATAATCATGTCCCTGGCGACGGTAACAAACTCGCTCATCTCCTGAAGATCAATTCCAATGTGTGTTTTGAACAAGACCGCCACCTTCTGGGTCATTTCGTCTCCGTATAAGGCAAAAAATGACATAAGGACAACACTGATCGAAAGGATTACAAAATCCGCTTCCAGATGCCAAATCCGAGCACTAAAAGAATAAAACGCAAAAAGAAAATTTGCTTACGGTTCTATTGTGTTGATGATCGCGGATTCTCCGTGGATTTTCCGAAACAACCGGCAATAAAAAGACTTCATATTGAGATAGATAAAGTCCGTGTACAATATTGAATACTCCCAAATTGCCTCAGGGTCTACTGACGACACCACTTCACGGAATTGGTCTACTAAAAAAAGAAAACTAATATATTTGCATAAACTTACGTAAGAAACATATATGAGATTCAATCATGAAGATGGGAGATCGATTCATATCAATGTCGAACATGACCAAAGAGAAAACTCTTGTCTCCGACTTCAAAATGGCCCGTTCATCGTATAAAAAGTTCATACTCCGCAAGATTCGGTATTGCATCTTTGTGGTCAACGTCTGAAAGAAAAGATTCACGCATGTTATAGCCACAAGCGATTTGCAATGAAATTTGACGCTATTAATATCAATCAACTTACCAGTTTGTAATATAAAGACTTGACGGCGATCGAGACACATGATACTATCCTCAAAACTGTCTGTGAGTAATACCGATTCAAAGCATTTCCCCATCTCTCAGCTTTCAACTGGTCATCATCGTCCGACGTGAAGATCTCGTTGTGAATAGCGACTACTTGCGACGACATGTACCTAAAATCTTCATCCCAATTAACGACACCAAATAATTCTGATTGAAATGTTTTAATCAAGATCACTGACCGGTCATACAGATGAACTGCCAAATATCGAACCTCATGTGGCAACTGCAACCTCACACACAACGTGAAAATAAATTCCACAGCTTTTGGGGACAAGAAAAGATTAAACCCATTGAATTCTTCGTCGATAACCTCCCGGTTTTCTGTGATAGACCTCATAATTAAGTCCTGCCATTGGTCTCGGGACATTCTCCATTCTTCATTTGAGAAATCTGGAGCTCGTGGTGGGTTGTACGCTCCCTGAAATGGACAATAAACAAATAACACAAGATAATCCACATAAAATTCGAATTCAATCTTGTGAAATGAATCGTGTCTACAAACAGTATGCCCACAAAAAGGAGTGTTCGCCTACCGAAGTCGATTCGGTCAATTCGGAGAAATCATCGTCTTTGTTCCGCTCAGACATCAAGTCTTCCGGCTCGGAGCGAAGGTCCGTCTTTAGGGGTAATACGAAGGAAACTTGGCGCGGAATGATGGAAATAATCTGGTTCCTTGTAATGAAGCTTCTGGAATAGCTATTTTATAAGCTCATCCATCTTCCTACAACTGTGTATAAATTTGTTACCTAAAATCTCTGATTTTACATCAAACCTCAAGTGCTATATTCTTTTTCGAGGTTAATTGACGTCCCCAGAAGTCGTAGAGTCAATTATGTAACTGCTTTCACTGGTACCGTTCCGGGATCCCCTGGAGTTCTTCTGGATTTACAATTTTACTTTCCGGTCAATTAGTGAACAGATGTTTTCGTTTCAGGACGAAATAAATTAATTCCAGAAGAAAAAATATTTTTTTGCGCGCTGACCGCAATCTACTCGTTTTCGAATACGAATATCGATAGCCTGCTCAAATTACTATAGCTTTTTGATCTTTACGTCCGCTTTTATTATATTTGCCTCCAAGACTTCAAAAACATGACATTTTATTAATATTCAATATTTTCTCTCCTTCTGGCGAGCTAAAAGTTTGATAAAACTGATACAACCAGTATTTATACATATGAGAGTGACTAATCGGCTTGTTTCGTTTACGTTTATTGTCTTTTTTGACGTTTTTGGATTTCTTTGAGGAGCGAAGGAAGAGAGTGGTTATAACAAGAATTTCGGTAACTAGCCGTCGGATGCATCGAAAGGAGAGAGAACAAGATGCGTCTGACCATCCAGCGTCCTCACGGAGGGTTTTTTCCGGATGCATTAGTGTTATCAGTTTTATTTTTTTGGTTTCCTTTCAATATTTACTCATATTATTTAAGGATTGGTCAAGGAAGGCGTTGTTCTTCGGAAATTTCCAATGTTTTGAGCTTTCATTCTTGCGATAGCTTGTTTGAATCATTACTTTTTAATTGCGCACTGCGAGTCTTTTCGTTCATAGCTGTTTCCACCTGTCCTTTGCCACCTGATATCTAAAATAAATAATGGTGAGTGTGTTTCAGCATTTAGCATGGTCCAGATTGAACAATCTCTGCATGAAGCATTTATCGCCACAGATCTTATAAGTTTCGAACAGAAGCTTGCAGTTGAAAAGCAGTTGACCCGAATATCGCATTTTGATGTTGTTACAGATGATGAGCTTAAAGTATGTGACATTACTTTTTTTTATGTTTAGATGATGCCGATGGAAGGAAATAATTCTTGCTCTTTAGTCTTACGGGTTGTCAGCCCCAGCGATTCGTCGACTTCGGAATGAATTGGATCGACGTAAAAAAGCGGCCAAGAAAATATTCGGATCGAAACAGAAGACGGTTAAAACCATTGAGATTGTTCCTGAACCAACAACGACTCCACAGCCAGTCCAATCAACTTCCTCTTCTCCAAGTCTTATAAATAAAGATGAATTGAAGATTATGCAAAAATTGGGAGAAGGAACGTTTGCTTCAGTTAGATATGGATTATGGGAAAGACCTGATGGAAAAAGAGAGTGTGCTATTAAAGTCCTCCATCAAATGTGTGAAGCAGGGCTCGAGGACCTCTTCTCTGAAGTTGGGAACATGCAGAAGTTGAAGCACGAGAACGTTGTTCAACTTTATGGTATTGTCCTGGGAGAGCAGACGATGATGGTATTGGAGTTTTGTGATGGTGGATCATTGCTAAATCGGCTCAGAAGTGAACGGAAGCCTGTTTTGGAGGTGTCTACTCTTCTGAATTATGCAGTTCAAATTGTCAGTGGAATGGCTTACCTGGAATCAAAGCGAGTTGTGCATCGAGATTTGGCTGCTCGAAATATTTTGTTGACCAAAAATGATGAGATTATCAAAATCTGCGACTTTGGGTTGACCCGATCGCTGGATGAGAATGCTCGATTTTATGAGATGTCAGCTCAGAAGAAAGTTCCCTTTGCCTGGTGTCCTCCAGAATCTCTCAGATTCCGCCAATTCTCCCATAAATCTGATTGTTGGGCATTTGGGGTAACTTTATGGGAATTATATACATATGGAGAAGAACCTTGGGCCGGATTTAGGGCTGCTGATGTGTTAAGAATAACTGAAGAAGGGCAGAGATTAAGGAAGCCAGAGAAAGCACTTTCCGAGATCTATGATATCATGAAGATGTGTTGGGAGAGAGAGCCGGAGAAACGACCCAAGTTTAGTCATCTCAGAAATATTCTCAATGAGGTAGGCAAAAAAAATTTTATTGTTATTTTTATTTTAGATCCGATTTATTACAACTGAAGCCAAAGAAGACTTTGTCAGTGGAGACTCGGAATGTATGGAAGTCAATCGAGGAGATCATATCATCATCATTGTTGAGCAGTAAGCTTTCCATGGCACTATTTTTATATTTGAATTAAAAGCATCTAATGGTTATTAGTTTAGTGGCCCCAATGAATGGTTTGGTCAGAACCTCCGATCCAAAAAGTTCGGCCGTTTCCCAAGATCGCTGGTCTCGGTGAAAGCAAATAAACCCAATCATCCTTTGCCCCAATCAAGCACCCCTCCCATGCCAATTTCGTTTACTGCCACCCCATCTGCAACTTATAATTCGAATATAAGTAAGCCAGTTCCCGGCTCAATGATTCATACGGGCCATGGAGATATCGACCAGAACAGATGTTGGGGACAAATAGATAAGATTGACGACATTTACCTGAAGAATCCGGTGGTCAAACCGTTGTATAATGAGAGCACAAGACAGAGAGGGGTATCTTTTATTGAATCCATCACTTCTTTGAGGGAGAATATTGGGGAAATTCAAGGAGTTACCGTTAATAATGTAATGCCAGGAGGTGGTGGAAATGGTAAGAAACTTTTAATATAATGGATTTACATGTAATTGCGTGTTTTACAATTTGTTTTTAGTTGTCCGACCAGTAGAGACTCCGCATTTTGACCCTTTGAAAGCATGGGATATGGATCCTCAAGTCGTAAATGAACTCATGAAACCGAAAGAAGCTCCAAATGCGGTTAGAGTAAGGTCCAACACGCACGACCGGACTGACCCTGAAAGAAGAAGAACAACTAATATCACCGAAGACCTCGTTCGTCCAATAAAGCAGGAAATCGACCGGAATTTAACACATGAAAAACCAAGGTCATCAACACCACAGGGAACTCAAAGTTAGTAGTTTATGGATTCGAAAATATCTTGAAAAATTATTCTTTATCATGGGTAATATAGCTTTTGCAGAGTACAACAACGGAATAGCCATTCCTCGTCCCAAACCGGGCCACTCTTTCAGTCAAAGTCCCTCTAACTCAATCACAACCAATTTCCCCACCAAATTCGATGAGCCAACCGTCAGTCAGACCGCTACCCATCTCCCAAACACAACCCAATTCTCATCTTCCCTCCAATCATACCAATCCCCCTTTCAAATTGACCGATCTGAGCCTGATCCGTTTGTTGTTGATAGTTCGATCAAATCATTGACCCTTCGGGAACCCCTCAACTTTCAAAATGGAAATCAATTTGGTCAGCCGGAATGGAGGCAATCGGTTCCCACTGGCTTTGGAGGATCCGTTAATGGTTTGAATCAGATGAAGACCGAATCAGCGAGGACGGCCAAGGAATTTACACCCTTGGATCATAGTATTCTTGCCCTGTTGGACCCACTGGTAGCGAAAAAGACGGCAATACAAGGACACGACCAAAAATCGAATGGTCATTCAGTTTCGGAAGCGAAGTGTCAACCGAAAGTGCATAAGCAACGAAGCGCAGATGTCAATCCAGAGAAAACGGTCTTATCAGGGACTGCCGTGAGACCGCGACCAAGTTCATCTGTTTCGAGGACTGTTGTAACCACGAATAATTTGACACAAAGACCATCATCGACTAATACAACAAGTCAGCAGTTTGTTCAGGCCAAACAAGCAGTACAAGCCACGGTCCAAGCCCAGTCTACTAACCCCAGAGCTCAATTCCAAATTAATTCAACACCGAATCAACCAATTCCAACTAGTCTGACGAATGGAAGGCCAGTTGGAGCTGTCGCCACAGTTCTAGCCAGTGTCCCAAAGCTCCATTCCATCCCGAACGAACCAGAGATTGCCTTCCCAAGACCGTCGACAAATGGAAATCAAAACTCCGTTGCTCAAAATACAGTAACCCAACGTCCAAATAGTGGTCATCTAACAGTAAATTCGGTTGCGTCGGAGTTCCAAAAGAAGAATAGTGTCCCAGTTGGTCCAAGTTCTTCATTTTTGTCCGATACCAATACTTCCGGATATGGAACGACTAGAAGTACGACGTCTTTTGACTCCTCGTATGGGTCGTTGAACTCATCGTCGGTCTCCCTTCTTCCTCCGCCATCGGAATTGCTGCTGAAGGGAAAGAAATCAAGCGTTGCCGGCTCCAGTAAGAGTAAGCGAATATAGATTTTTATTACGTTAGTTTCAGCTCCCACTGTGACTCAAGTTTTCTCATTAAATCACTCGAATTCGTCCTTCCAACCGAAACCTCCCATCCAAATTGTACCTCAACCCCAACCAATTCCATTCCTAACTCCAACTCCATTCGTTTACTCTCAAAGACCAGCTCAACAACAGATTCAATCGGGTCCTTCAATTGATTTACACGACCTGGACATTGATAGAATGATCAGTGATGTCAAAAAGGGCGCGGATTTTGCTAGGTAACGTCTTATTTCGTTATATAAGCACAAGGAATGCTACAGATTAAGGGTGAAGTTTTTGTCAAGGTTATATTACACAGGATGATTTTTATTGTTTCAGCACTGACCAGTGCACTAAGGCACTCCGCGCCAATGAATACGAAGTCCCCAGGGCAATTCAACATTTGAAATTGGAAAAGTTCATGGAACTGGGGCTCAGCCCCACCAAGGAAGCTGCCCAGACTCTCCTTCACAAACATAACTGGGATTTGAACGCAGCCGCGTGCAGTTTAGTCAAATGATCTCAACGTTTAATTTCATATCATGTATAGATTACAAAACCAGGTTTAGATTACGGTTAATTTACAGACACCTTTCTGTTGTATTTATATTGTACATTGTATTTTATTAACCTTTAATATTAAGCTTGCTCAGAGTTCTATAAAATTTAATTTTTGTACGGTTTTCGGACAGACTTGAATTCAAGCCTTTCTTTTGTCTTAAATTACGTTTATTACCGTAAAATTATGGCAGATGTAAAGATTTTTTGGGATTTGGCAAGACTTTTTGAGCAATGATCCGGGGACGGTGAGAAGAGCGACTTTTCGTATTTTACGAGACGAAAAGAGTGCTCTTGTCATGGACGCAACAACCATGTTAGAGGAGGTAAAATACAACTATATAGTAATGTAACAGATATTCGAAGAAAAGCACTGATTTTTGATGGATGACACAACAATGACTTAGACTTTAAAATACAGTATCCTCATACATAAAATTCTTATGAATATTGCAACAAGAGACGAGATTATGGCGACGTAAAGGCTGTTAGATAAGGGAGATGTTATTTGGTCTTGGTCGGAGCGGGGGAGGCGCTTCTTCGTCGGATCGTGTCCACTTCTCGTTCCTTCAAGTTGTCCGAAATTCGTTTCTTGAGTTCGGTGGGGAAACGATCGTAGCATCGTTTACAGGTCGGTTTCATGTCAAATTCGTAAAATTTGGTTCTGAAATTTGACATTATAGTAGATCGTCATCAATTCTAATGCCTTGGTTTACTCTCCATTTAAATTTTGTTTCAAAGGAACAAGACAGGCTACCTTTAACGCTTTGACAACACATTCCCTTGACTTACTTTTGATCCAATTTCTTGTCGCAGAGTGTGCAGCTGAAGCATTTGACACACCAAGTTTTTCCGAGCGCCTGGAACACCTCCCCACCACATGGTTTCGAGCATCTGAAGCAGACCTTGCCGAACAGAAGATGGAAATGTTGTTCGCAATATGCCAGGCCCTTTCGTTCGTAATGTTTGTGTCCCATGAAGGGCTTTTCGCAGGTGGCACAGACGAAGTGCTGAAGAAATTAAAATAAATCATCGAATTGCAAGGATAAATTGGATTAATCGTAAGAAAAATTTTGTGTGATTCTCATTGCTTACTTCAACATGCCAATTCTTTCCCAATGCTGTAACTACTCTTTCTTCGACTGGTCGATGACACGCACCGCAAATAGGGATTCCCATGGTATCGTGACATCTAAGACAATATAATTCTCCACCAATTTCCCTGGCGTCTTTAGTCAGCTCAACTCTGAAAGTAAAAAATTTACATACTTCAAACTTCTACCTTGTAATACCGTAATATACGCTTTGCAACCAATGTCATCAACTTACTCGCAGCGTTTGCACTTGAAATGATAAGGATGGTAACTGTCTCCCTTGAATTTGATGTGTTCATCCTCAATAATGGCATGACATTTGTGACAGACATAACGACCAGTGCCTGCAGCCTTTTCGATCTCGTTACATTCGCGGCAAAGTGCACGGCCAGCATTGCGGAGGAATCCAATGTCAGCCAAACACTTGGAACACATCTCACACGTAAAGCATTCGGGATGCCAGTTGGTGTTCATGGCTTTGATCACTCGGCCAACAATGAATTCGTCTGGAAAGAACGCAGAATGTGTTTTAACATTGAATTTCATTAAAATCAAAGCCTATACAAACCATAAATTTCTGAATTTAAAGTACAATCAATGTAAAAAAAACTTACTGCATTTTCCGCAACAAGGAGCGTAGAGGACATGGAAGTCATGCTCACAGTACTTTCGGCCTTCAAATTCGTAGAAAATTCCATCTTCAAAGGGCAAGAAACATTGGGAACATCTAAAATCCCGTTTTAAAATTCAAATCTAAATGCTGAATGACAAGAAAAAACAATGATTTTGAAATTTCTTGCAATCGTAATTTTACAGCTCTATCTAAAGTTGTAACCTCAAAAATTAAAGCCCACTCACACAAAACATTCTCCATGCCAGACCTGTCCATTCGAGTTGACAATCTGTTCCGTCGGCCCAAATCCCTCACCACAGCGAAGACAAACAAAGTTGTCTATGTCTGCACTGAGGGTCCCATTCACCAGGCCATTCATCTGATCCATCTGCACTCCCATTAATGGCTAAAAAAGGTTGTATTACAGGAAACTGAAGACTAAAACAATGACACGAGTAAAGCATAACGGACTTAAATGTCAGGAAATATTGGCAAAGTGAGAGTAATAGCTTAATTGTAAGTATAAAGTATTGCATTTCTGAGCTATGATGATAAAGGTCTTGGTATTTATACTTGATTTTTTGATGACCAAGTATAATATAGTTTGTATTTTCGTGTGAAAGAGAGGTTCGTAATTTCAAAAACATTCAGAAAATGTCAAAAAAAGAGGATTGAAAAACTCCGGGAAGGAACGGCTGTTCGATTTTGTATTATCTTGAGTCCTGCAAAGCAAAAAATGGAAGAACTTGATGATTAAAAGGCACATTTTTTGAATTAAATTAACAATGCCATAGACCTTGAAGTGATTGCTGTTTTTATTTATGGCAATCATTCCATTGAAAATAAGAAAAGCTGTCTTTGATCGTAACAAAAATGAATCATCACTCTTTTCTACTCGAAAATAATGTAAAATCATGGCTCGAAGAGGAGAAGAGAGAGATTCAAGATCTCTATTATACACATAATGCGCCATGTAACCTTATATGGGCCGAAAATACGCGGGTATTTAATTACAAGCGGTAATTTGAAGATAAAAGAATACAGTTTTTACTTGAAAAGAGAAGTAAAAGAAGAGTAATGAGCAATGAAAAACAAAGGAAATCGCCCAAGCTTTAGCTCCCGGCCTCCGATTAAGCCCACCCCCTCAGGGCAAAAGTAAAACGAGTAAGCGCCAAAGTCAGCGAAAGCGATTCAGAAGGCCTTTATTAAATAATTCCGTATCGGCCTCTGACTTACAATCAGAGCAAAACATTCGCAACGCATTCAGATTCCTCCTTCCGCGATCCCAGTTTTCCACAAAATTATTGGCCAAAAACGGGGCCAAAGGGCCCGGTGGGGAATGGTGGGAAAAGGTAGGCGGAAGAGAGATCCCGGCGATCGAAGCCAGTGGGAGCGGCTTTTTCTCGAGTCAGTTGTTCGAACCGCCGACCTTTCTCTCGCCGTGCCTTCATTCTCCCCGCCCTCTCTCTTCTCGCGATCTACTCCTTTTCGCGATATTTTGTTTTTTTTCTCTTGTGTTCTCTCCATGTGTATGCTCTCTATTCTCGGCTCTCTTTCGGTCCCTTTACTTCTCATTTTCCCTCGGCCTCTCTTCGTTTCGTCCATTCTATTCTCTTCCTTTTTCCCGTTATTCATCAGACTCATCAAAATTTCTCTCTCGCTCTCTTATTTTCGCATTATCCTTTCCCTCCACTCCTGGTTTCTCTCTTCGGTTTCCGTTTTATCTTCATTTTTTTGACTTTGTTTCAGATTTATGGCCAAATTGTTGGTTTGGGGCCGGGATTTGTTATAGCCACCCGAAAAGTTTGATAGAACTTCATTTTCCCAACAAATAACAACAAACAAGATGGGTAATCTATTAAACTATAACATTCAATGGGGCAACAAGTCAAAGGAGGGCTCGTTGATCACAGACCGATGGACTCTAGACCGTATCCTGATACAAGAGCGTTATTTCTAAAAAATTTGCATAGTCTAAACTGCTTCTAACATTGTAAACTACAAGATACTGATGAAAACTTACGTTTTCTTGATCTTCACAACCTTTGATGGATCCGCAATGACCAACGGCACAATTTTCTTGCCTTCCAATGTGCTCTAAACACACATACAATACAAAAAACTTGTCAAAAATACCTTTATAAAATCATATTCAGTGATAACCATCGTCCGATCCAAAGAAATCGTGATTATTTCCACCGAATCGTTTTTCTTTTCCAAATGTATATCTAAAATTCCATTTCACATCGTTTAAAAACACACCAGTGATTGTAGAGACATGGATAATCTGACTGGGACCTTTCTGCATCTCTCCATTTTTCATTACCAATATGGATAAAGTGCCCGAGACCGATCCAACAAACACCAAATGGAAATCTTCAACTTTGATGGCGTTTACCACGGACAATGGATTTCTTTCCACCAAAAATCTGCTATTTTCTTCACCCTACAAAGAAAAAATAGTATTTGCGTCATCCTCGCTCACATTACAGTACACCAAGACCTCGCCGACCGTGTTGATGGCCAAAATTTGATTGTATTTTAGAAACTTCACATCCACAAAGCTCCAAATCTCTTCCGTTTTGAATTCCGCAATCTCTTTTATTAATCTAACAGTACTGTTAAAGTACAGTAAACTAAAAAAATAATTTTTGTATACTGTAACTTACGTAACGACTCCATCTCCTCCCAGAACAGCCAATGAATAGCCGTGATCTCTTTGGCAAATATCCACCGAGATCAATCGAAAATCATTGGGGAAACACTTGGAGCAAAGGAAGATGAGTTCATCACCTAAAACAATATAATAAATTTGATAAAAACATTACCCTCCACACTCCAGCAAATGACTTCGCCCCTTCCACCCACAGTAACCACTAAATTATCGCAGGATGTGACGTTATGAACACTTGATAATGGCCGTTCGGATACTTGGAGGACGTTGATGGTATCTAAAAAAGTCAAAACTTGATTAAATGAACGCCAACTTACTCTTTTCTTGATCATATTCATTCAAAATAACCTTGGTATCATTTCCACCAGTAACAAACTTGACTTTAGAGGTGTTTTCTCTCTTTTTTTCGTCGATAACTGCAAGAACTGTGGTCTCGCTGGAGTGGAAAGGACCCTGAAGGCATTCATTACCCACGAATTATAATTTCTTACCTCCAAAAAATCAATTTTCGTCGAATAGCATTGTGCAGTATATAAAATTCCTTTTTGGATGTACTCGAATGTCATGTTTCTTACATCAAACCACCAGATTCGATGCCCTCCACCACAATGGACTTCTGATTCGATCAGAAAAGTCTTCATGTTGACAATTACAAATTTGCCCTGAAAATGTAAAAAATGGCAAAAATGTAAACTTACACCGTGAAATCCAATCAAATAACTGTATTCGCCATTATTGACAACTTTGCAAGGCCATTCGATAGTAGCTCTGACGCAAATCATCTCTAGACGCCTGTAACTGTAGGACCATTCCGTGAGACTTCCATCCTTTCCGAGGGAGACAATCTTATCGTTCATCTTCTCAATAAATAATATCGACTCCTTCTTATGGGCTTTGGGAACTGTCAAAGAAACCTGAAAATAACATTACATTACCTCAAAGATAAATCATCAAATACTGAAACATAAATTTAGCGTTACCTTCCATCCCTCCTTTTCCACCACCAAGATTGTGCCCTTTGTTGTTCCAAGAATAAAGGCTTCTCCCAGATCGAATCCAGAGGAAATCCGATGTCTCGATGGTATGGCAACATTTCCAATTTCAACTGGCTCATCGTTTTTTATCTCAAATACATGCTTCAAAAAATTTTTCGTAAATAAACACATCAGACTTACACACTCGTCTTTCTCATCGGATATCAAAACATAATTGCCTGTCAGAATAAGGGAAATAACGGAGTAATACAGTTTTACCGATGAGTAAAGTGGTTTTGACGCTGCAAATAAAAAACAGATTTTGTTGAAGACATATATGAATACATTACCATTGACATAGTAAAGACGATTCTCTTCTGCAACAATAACTTCCATTCCTTTTCCCAGTCGACTCAAGGTATTAAACTTGAGAGGGGCTTTAGAAATCAAGACCGTTGTTTCAGCCTCCCCATTTCCTTTCTTACGATACAATACGAGCTCTCTACAAATCAACTAAGAATAATTTAAAACAACATTACCTTGAGTCATTGATGAAAACGGAATTGTCATCGTCCAATCGGCAAAGGGAACGAACCGTAAAATCGAGCTTGTTTTCTGTCACCTTATACCTTTCTTTGGGTATGATCACTTGTATCAATGACCCTGTAGCGGTTCCCGCCAACTAAATCATTATTAATGAGAAGTTATTCAAACCTAAAAATTTATGACAAATAAAACTCAAAATCCCCTTACCAAGGCATCTTCAAAAGCTAATAGACTCCGAATCGGCCCTCCGGACACTTGAATTGACTGCTTCAACTTGAGTTCGCCATCAAATTCCCAAATACAAATCATTTCATCATAACCACCAGTGAAAATACGGCCATCGGAAGATACTGTGAGAGCCAATGGTCTTGCCGAATGCCCATAGCCCTTTGATATGACTTCTCCATCGGTATTCCAAACAGTCAGACTTCTATCATCTGATATAGAATATAAATGATGATCATGCAGATAGATACCAAATATCATCCCCTAAAATTAAAAAATTCAGAAAGTATCTATATAGAGTGAAATAAGCAAAAAGAGGCTTACCTTGTGCCCTTTGAATGGTGTTAAATTCCATTCATGATCGACTCTCTTGAAAGATACGACATCTCCAAAAACATTACCACAATAAACAGTCAAATTCTCCCAAAGATCTCCAGCAATCACTGCACAAAATCTAAAAATAAACAATCTTCTCCAAAATTCTACGCCAATTCGACAAAATGGCAAACGCAACTTACAGTATACCCAAACCTTCCAATTCGACTTTCTCTTCTTCTTTAAGCGTTGTTCCATCTCGGCCATAATGAAATAAAACATTGTGACTGGTCAAGACAACAACACTTCCATCACCGAGGATCTTTACAGCTGATATCCAGTCAGAAAATCGGAGCCGATGGAGAATACGGTAGTCTTTGATCCAAACCAGTTCACGTTCGCCGAAACAGACGAGATCTAAAAAATAAAACATAACCGCAAACGCTTACCATGATAATTAGTGCAGTCAGCTAGGATTCCGTAGGTGTTGAAGCCATTTTCGTCAAAAATCTTCGATTTCTTGACTGATTTTGGGGAAGAATTTCGGAATTCGATTGAATTTCCATTACCTAAATAGTTTAAATAAAATTAAAATAAGCTTATAGTTACCACAGATGTATCTCGACTCTCCTTGTTTACAAAAACATAACCTGGGACCCACAATCGCCATTGTGGATCAAGAAATACATAAATTTATTTGAATTTGAATTTTCAAACTTCCGCGAGTTGCGCCCTAGAAATATTAGAGTACGAGAAAGTGAACTGGTTGATGAGTCTGAACCTCCAATGTTATTCAGGACTAGCGGAAAATTTTAACATCTTGTACAGAAGGATTTCATTTTTGCACTTCCGGCGCCTTATCTAAACGCATATTACTTTTTCGGTCACTATAAATTTTTGGGATTTTGCAATCTTTCCTTTCCGTTCGCCGTTCGCCGCACGTCAAGAAATTGCGGGCATTGCAAAGGTTCTCACAGCGAAAAAAAATTCATAAAACCTGTCATCCAAATTGCACATAACAACAATTTTTAACCTAATTTTTTTAATGGGAACTCTAGGGAGTACTACTAGTCGTATACAACTGTTTTTTATACCGCTGGTACATTCTAAATGGGTGTCATCGTGACGCATTTTCTGAACATGGTTCGAGCTAGGCTAAAAATAGTGCAAATTTCAAGGCCAACTATCAAAAAAACTGTCCCATCAAGCGGGACGGGACCGGTGTAGATACTCGAAGAACAGTTTAAGGATTTTTTTGACGTGGAGCCTATACCTCCTTCCAGTGCTCTCTGACTCGGTATCGTCGATACAAACTTTTATTTAGACGTTGTATTCTTCGCCATGGAAAACTGTCAAAATACTACGATTATGGGTATATTTTGGTTCTATTAGCTTAAGCAGCTCTCGAGCTTTCTATTGGTATCAATATCTTGTGATTTACTATTAATCTTTATGTCAAAATATTGCAAACCATTTGGACAAAAACGGATTTGCACAGGGCAGAATGCCAAAAAAAATTCTAGGCTTTTTCATTGGGCGCCCGTTTTTCTTTTATTTTTTCTTGACGTGCGCCGCTCGAATTTATTTTTATTTTCTTTGCAAACGAGATTTTTCCTAGGTTTGTAAACAATATGAGTCGTTTGCAGTGGTTGAAAGGAGACATTACTAAACTCGATGTGGATGTGATTGTCAATGCTGCGAATAGAAGTCTGCTGGGAGGTAAGTGTCAATATATAGAGGTGTTCCTTTGTTTAGAGCATACATTTACGGTATTACTCATACTGTTCGCTGCTTTTTCTTGACTCATGAACTGAAAATATGAAAGTATTTGATGTGGATTAATGTCTATAGCTTTGTTTAATTTACCAAATGTAATATTTTATTGTTGCTTTTAGGTGGAGGTGTTGATGGAGCGATCCATCGGGCCGCTGGTCCGAGACTTCTCGAGGAATGTAAAACGCTGGGTGGTTGTCAATTCGGAGAGGCCAAGATTACCAAAGGATACGATCTCCCTTATGCAAAGTTTATTATTCATACAGTCGGTCCTATCATTCGATCCAATACCGTGAGTGATGAACAGCGTGAATTGCTGAGGAACTGTTACTGGAACTCGTTGGAATTAGCGAAAAAGTACAATCTAAAGTCAATCGTAAGTGCTTGTTCTTATTTTTTATATAAATTTAGGCGTTCCCCTGTATTTCCACTGGCGTTTATTCATTTCCTCAAGACTTGGCCTGCGATATTGTGATTGACACCGCCAATGATTGGATCAGGAAGAACTCGGATTATATTGTAAGTTAAAACCTTGAGAAAACAATCTTTTCAGATTCACATAATTTTTTGCCTCTTCAATGACATTGATGTCGAACTGTATAAGAAGAAGCTCGGTGACTAAGTGATAACACGAAACTCCATTGATGAAAACGGATATTAAAACCTACGGTGTCTTATTTTTCCCATTTTAATTAATTATACCTTAATTTTCAGTATTCCTATATTATTCACGCTGTGTATTCATATTTGGATTGAATAAATATTTGTTTCCCCCTTTCTCCTTTATATTATTCATGTCGTTGTTTCGAAACCGAATACTTTTTTTGTTGAGAGGAAGCGAAACCAGTTCGAAAAGCATTTATAAAGTGCGTTGATTCCCGGCTTCGCTTTCCGACCGAATCCGCTCCCATATTTTTTGTGAGGTCCGTTTTTGCCGGCCCAATGCATTGGCCCTTTTTTGGCCTTGTCCCCTCAGGGCTTTCGGCTCCGCTTTTCCCAATATTTTTGGTGCTTTTTGCCCTCAAGCAGTCTCGATTTGATTCTCGTCGTTTCAGAAGGCTCGAGAAAACGCGCGGATATGACGCTAAAGGAAATCGTCGGAAGAAGTAAGTCTAATTACTAATTCAATTACTTTTAATTATCAAATTTCCGTGAAATTTGGCGTAGCAGTGAGTTTTAAACGTGGTTCGATGGGAAGGAACGTGGTTTAAAGAGAATAGAGAAAGTTGGTATGGAAAAGGGTTAAACAATTCATTTTCTTAATGGATTTTCTTTGAAATTCTAATATTTTTGGTCCAAGTTCGGGTGAACTAAACAAAAAGCGGTATTATTTTAAATGAAAACTAATCACTTTTCTTTTCAGAACTTCTGGACGATGTGATAAAACCGCTACACAAGCCCGGAGGGGGCGCTTGGAATGTGCTGATCGTCGATAAGCTGGGAATGAGAATGCTGAGTGCTTGTTGTAAGATGCATGATGTCATGGCAGAAGGCATCACTATCGTGGAAGATCTGAACAAACGCCGGGAGCCTTTACCGGCCTTGGATGCCATATATCTGATATCCCCTACCAAGGATTCTATCGAGAAGTTCCTTCAGGATTTTAGTGGCCGAGTCCAATACAAACGGGCTCATCTCTTCTTGACCGAAAGTTGTCCCGACAATTTATTTACCATGGTGTCCAGAAGTCAAGCAGCAAAATATTTGCAGAACTTTAAGGAAATTAATGTCGCTTTCACTCCATATGAAAGCCAGGTCTTTGTTTTGGACTCTCCAGATACATTCCCATTGTATTATAATCCAGTTCGACAGCCAAATGCATTAACTCCGCATTTGGAGAGGATCGCCGCACAAATTGCAACAGTATGTGCGACTTTGGGAGAATATCCAGCGATCAGGTAATTGCTTTTATATCATTTTTGGGTTTTTAGGTACCTAAAAGTATTGTAAATTCCGAATTCATTCATATCCATTATGAGTTTGATGGATAAGCTTCCATTCTTACAGATATCGGTCCGACTTTGAACGAAATGTGGAGCTGGGCCATCTGGTCGAACAAAAACTGGCCGCTTATAAAGCCGAAGATCTGAGCATGGGAGACGGCGCTGATAAAGCCCGTTCTCAGTTGATTATCATCGACAGAGGCTTCGACGGGATCACTCCCGTCCTCCATGAACTCACCCTCCAAGCGATGTGTCACGATCTTCTGGGAATCGAAAACGACGTCTACAGGTATGAAACTGGAGGTGGAGAAAGTGTAGAAAAGGAGGTCCTTCTCGATGAAAATGATGATTTGTGGGTGGAGAATCGACACAAACATATTGCTGATGTTTCCAAGGATGTAAGTTACGGTGTTAAGCATTCGTTTTCCGGAATTTTTAAGTTTGTATTAAGTTGTGGTGATTGTTGTTTTAGGTGACAACGGGACTCAAAAAGTTCAGTGAGCACAAGAAGATGCCTTCGGATGCAAAGTCCTTGAAAGATTTGTCTATGATGATTAAGAAAATGCCTCAATATCAGAAGGAACTCAACAAATTCAGCACTCATTTCCATCTAGCTGAAGAATGTATGAAACGCTACAGTAATGGAGTCGACAAATTATGCAAAGTAGAGCAAGATCTGGCCATGGGAATGGATGCAGAAGGAGAGAGAATAAAAGATCCCACCAAGATCATGGTCCCCTTGTTGATTGATCCAGCTGTCAAAGAGGAAGATCGAATTCGGTTGATCTTGTTGTATATCATCTCCAAGAACGGTGTAACCGACGAGAATCTGAACAAACTTCTTCAACATGCCAATATCCCTATGAGTGAGAAGGAAACGATCACCAATGCGTCACTTTTGGGACTCAATATTACAATTGATGTAAGTATAATACAGATTAGTGGATATTGTGATTTTTAGCAAGGAAAACGTCGCGTATGGACACCCACCAGACGAGAAAGGATCAATGAGAGGATTTATCAGTCATCTAGATGGGTTCCCATCATCAAAGACATTATGGAAGACGCAATTGATGAGAAGTTGGACACAAAACACTTCCCTTATCTGGCTGGAAGACAAGTTCAGTCGTCTTACAGGTCAAAGTAAGGATCATAAGGCTGTTAGAAATTGATCTTTATTAACTGTCGTACTGTATACTTGCGTTTAGAGCCCCAACCTCGGCCCGTTATGGTCAATGGCACAAGGATCAGAGGAATTCGCAGATGCGTTCAGGCCCCCGATTGATAATTTATATCGTGGGTGGGCTCACGTACTCCGAGATGAGAGCAGCATACGAAGTAACTCGAGCCCAGAAGGCGTGGGAAGTTATCATTGGCTCCGATCAGATCGTTACCCCCACCAAATTCCTGGCCAATCTCCGTGATCTCAGCAAACCCCATGAGTAATATAAATTCGACTGGATATCCAATATCGACGTCGACAAGGCCCCCTCTAGAACACTGCTAATATTTTATAGATTTCTGTGACTGCAGTCCACGTAACAAAATTGTCATATAAGATTTTGTCTAAAGATTTTTAATATTGAATATTATTCTTGTCAATTCTATTGTTGTAAATTCCACACAAGAGTCAGTTCAGAATAGTCATCGTATATTGTTTCTTTTGTCATTCCCCTCGCCTCCTCACGCTTTAATAAGAATATTTGCATGTAGATACTATAGATATAGGCGTCCAACCTAGTTTATCATCTGATTTCACTTGGAAAGTAAATAAATATTCAGCAATATAATCAAGTTTCAATGTGAAATAGGGAGTGTAATATAACCCACTTTCTCCGAGCGAGGTAACACATCAAAAACTCTCAGAAACAAAGTAATTTATGCCACCGTTTAGCACAACACTTATAAATTTAGCATCACATATTCACAGGTATTTGGGCAAGCAATCACCGATTATTGAGGACGCGAACTACTTCGGGATTTTGCGGATGGTTTCTGAAAGATAACAATTACTAAAACATCATTTCGCACACCCCACATTTTTGCAGGAGATTTCCATTAAACAAAAAAGCCAGCAATTTCCCACTTGATAACACAGCAATTAAGCTTACCCTTCATTTTCAGAAAGTCCATGACCGGATTTGCTTCCAAGTTGGATTTCTTTGTCCGGTTTCTGCGTACCGCTTTTTCGGCTTCAATTTTCTGAGCCAACTCGATTTTGGGGATCAACTTGCTTACTTCCCTAGTCAAAAATTCAAATTTTCGACAGACATCACTGAAACGAATATACTTATATTCGAATTCCAAAAGAAATCTTACTCTTGACAGGAATTGAAAACATCGTCATCTTTGTTCGCCACTGCTTCACGAGAACATTTGGTCAGTTCATCCATCTCCCCTTCGTCTTGAACATAGCACAGAATAGAGTTGCGGCAATGATCGTAGACAGCTAAATTGAAAATAATAGTTCGAAACACCCGACTCACCTAAAGTTTCATCGCTGAGGCTGTTGGTGAACTTATCCGCTTCTCGTTGTCTGATCTGTAATTTATGTTGAAGTGCAGCGTTTTGATCCAGAAGAGCAAACTTGGCGTCTTTCATTTCTTGAGTCTGCTTTTTGAGTTCCCCAGTGTAATCAACGCACTAAAATCACAAGTACTGCACATTTAAATACCGCATACCTCAATCAATTTGTTATTTCCGCGATCGACTTGATTCTGAGATTTTTTTTCATCCATGAACTCGATCAACTCCATCTCAACCTGTTGTTGTTGTCGTCGCAGCTCCTAAAAATATGACATAAACGGTATATTCGACTTACATCTCGCCTTTCCGTGTCCTTTTCGATAATGTCCCTCAATTGTTTCACATTTTCATGCTTTATCTCGACCGAGGAGTTGATTCTCTCCAATACCTCAGTGATCTCGTTTTCTTCTTCAGTCCTCAGCGTCAATTTCTCTTGGAAAAGGGTCTAAGATAACATAAATCGTCTTGTCTTCCAGGAACTTACAAAATTCTCGTCCAAGACAGTGACTTTCCCCTGGTAGTTCTTAATTTTTTCCTCGTATTCTTTCAATGAATCCTCCTCACGCAAGAACGTCGAGATATTACCAAATGTTTCATCCATCTGCGCGTTATCGGCCTCCTAAATTCGTAATAACTCTAACTTTTATGTAACTTACTTCTTCATCAACCCTGAGTAAGTTCTGTTTAAGAACTATTTTCTCCTCATCAAGATCGGCGAGCTCTTGCTTCTGAAGGGCAAGCGCTTGAAGTCCTTCCTGGAGTTCAGTCTCCAACCCCCTCATTTGCTGCTCGCTGTCGTTGTTCGTGTCGAATACTTCGCATAAATACTAAAAAAATTACATTCACCATGAAGAAGAAAGTAAGAGTATAAATGAGCATAGAGTTGGTAGAAATACTTACGGCAATTTTCTGAAGAATGTCAGCTGCCACCGAGCTTTCCTCAACAAATTTGCCAGTGTCTCCAGCAACGGATGTATTCAGACTTTCATCCATAATTGTGCTCCTCGAGATTAACCTGTAAAATTCCTACAAAACTTCGCAACTCGGATAGTTATCTGTCAGAACGCACGAAAAATTCTCGCGAGATCTCGCTACGCGCTTTTATAAAACTCGAGGTTTTCTGAGAATTCTAGAATAATTATTCTAGAATAGATCTCACCATCAAATCTAAAATTTCATTCAAAATTTTTCATCCCGCCACGTGAAACGAAATGTCAAAAATCTGAAAAAAAATCATTGCGATCGGTTCTTTTCACATACATACTTCCAGAAGTCCTAGGAAAAAGGTGTCAATCCGAAAGTTGCTTAGAATTGTCCATTCTACAACATAGAGAAGATCCGGAGTCAACCTAACCTCTTACGACAGAGATTCAGAAATGCGTGGAAGCAACAGTACACCTACAATAATCAAAAAAAAATTTCTGAAATTTAATACCCGCGATAAGGGTAAAATATGGTTAGTGTTTCATGGGTCTACTGTGACATCTTGTTTATGTTCACAAGGTAAATCTGAATGCTCGAGTCTCTCACAAAACTTGGTCTAAGAAAAATATTACATTTTTTGATCTGTTGTAATTTATTTAGGTGCTATTCGAAGCTCTGCGTGATGGGGAATTAGAATACAATTAAAATTTGGTTGTTAGCCGCGTGTCATCCCGACGTATTTTAAGGACCTCATCAATAACAATTGGTAATATCAAAGGGTTTTGTGAAGATTCGCTTCACTTAATTTAGCCTTAGTCTTTCACCTAATATCAACTCATAAATCACTTTAAAATCCACTGAATGTAAGTAAATGATTTTTGATAAATAAAATTTTATTCGGTTGTGATGAAATCCGTAATTCAAATGACTAGAGTTCTTCGTGAGTAGGTTTCTTTTGGATGTCTCCCTTTTCGTCGATCTCCAATCCCAAGAACGAAGTGGAAGTATACTTTTCGTTATGATATTTGCGTTGTCTTACTGTAACAGCCGAAAATGTAGACATGCAGTTGGCGACAAAATGATCAGAAAGGCCCGCAATGGCCAAACTGATGAATTGATCTGGTTCAGGGAGCTTTCTTACAGACACATTCTAAAAATTGGCTAATCTTATATTGCAATTGCCTACCATGCCAAATTCCCGATATAAAGGGCCAATCATATGGTCTCTATCACTGAAAACAAATACACTTTTCGCCTGGATGTTGTCTACAGCCTTTCTGATTGAGGAGATTACAGCAGTTTCATTTGGGAAGCATAATTCTTTGGAGGGTTTTGCAATTTCAAAATTGTCCCCAGTGCACTGTGCGGAGGCGAAGAAATGCGTGTTCGAATTGACGTGGGAACAAGCTCCTTCCTATATATTACTTCCATTAGGATGAGTTTATAACACTACGTAGTTATTCATTATGAAGAAAAACTGACCCAATCAATGTTATTCCTCAGATGAACGGCAACAAAAGGTCTTCGCAAATGCAGTTTTATGAAAGTCTGGGCGTCATCGACAATCTTATCGGCCCATTGAAAGTGCTTCTGATAAACATGGAGATCACTTTTGACGGGAAATCCAGTCGGTGCTGAGGTGAATGCAAGTATTGGATATTTTGCACTACTAAAGATAAAATCACTCTAATTCTCCGCATAAGGCAATGGCTATAAAAAATACTTACTATTCAATCCACCTCTTCACAGTTATCTTCTCATCCATGTTGAATCCAATGTCACCAAAGTATTTGTCATCAAAAAAGTCGACGTTATGATGATCCCAGAAGACTTCAAAGGGATTCCCGTCTTTGCTATTGCAACTCGGAGGCAAATGAGGAGACAAGACACTGGCTCGAGGTCGTTGGCAAAACACTAAAACACCACTTTTTCATATTCAAACCGAACCATCTGTGAATAAAGTAAAGATGACTCGAACCCTACCGTATCGTTTGTTTTCCGGCCATAATTTTGGCGCAATATTGGTCACAAAATCATCCATGAGGACAACAGGAAGGAGATCTTGTAATGGCGCCACTTTGAAAACATCATCGAAAGGCACGGGGGCCTAAAAGTCAAATGAAACCTCCATAAGACTACTTACTGCTTTAACAAAACCATGGGGATAATCGAGGAATGGTGGCAATACCAAGGTTCTCTTCAACGATTTGGCAAATTTGATGGTCCCCAGTAATTGATCGACTTGATTACCGAATCGTCCCATGCACGGACAATATACAACGTATTTAGTTTGATCATGAGGTATTACAAAAGAAATAAAGCAAAAATAAATTAGAAAAATTAGGCCAGACATTTCTCAAGTAAAAAGGAAACCCTCGCTTATCTCTGTAGAGATTTTATTGCCCAATTATGTGTTAACGGGCATCTCTAGCGCCTACAAATTGAGTTTTATCAGTCTTCACACCTATACAAATAAGGGGAAGTAATGAAATTGATGGAGAAACCAAATAAACTTCATAACGACGTTAAGGTCGGGCACCAAATAATTTATATATCGTATAATTTCTGTATATACAATCAAAATGCTACTAGGACCATTAGAAGGAAAAAGAAGAGCCCGATGAGGACAAAAATCGCCGTCCATTGTTTACTATCATCATCCATTCCAGTTACCTTCGCCAACTTCCTCATTACTGTATCCATCTGGGCTTGTGTTCGATGCATAGTATTCGAGAGGTCGTCCAAGAGACTGGAAAAATGTTTTATTAGGAATAGAAGTTTTAGCACAGAAATCGAGATGGCATCTTAAACACATACTCTGATTGCTCCTCCAATTCTTCGCCAATCCGACTTGACATGTGTTTCAATGTTGATATACTCCCAGCAACCTTTTCCAAGTCTTCATCTTGCTCGTTGACAATTCTCTAAAAAAATAAAAACTTATATTACAAATCACATACCTGCTGCTGCTGAAACGAGTCCGCAACAAACGTATCCGAAGCTGATGGATCATTTACAAGTCGGGAGTATCCTTGGTTTGACATTACGGCCCAATAGCGATGTTACGATACCGATATTCCACTTTGTAAAAAACTTTTTTTTTTATTTTTTGTTTTACGTTATGCAAGACGCATTTTGCGCCCACAAAGTTCAAAACGGAGAAGCTCGGGCGCATGTAGGGGAAAAATTATTTTGCAGAAATTTTATTTTTATTCATCCTCAACTAAAGTGTTCAATACCTGGTAGAATATGGAGAACATGGAAGAAGATCCACCCGTTGACAGAAGGAAGCGGAAGAAGATCAAGAAGAAGAAGAAGAATGAAATCCCTACAACTATTCAGCGGTTTGAATTTGCTGAGATGAATATTAAGCATCTTGATTCTGGAAACACTCTGGAGTTGGTAAAGCGGGCGATTCGTCTGGGATATGACACAGTGGTCATTAACGTAGATGTGGGGGATCTAAGGAGTAATGGGGATTCGGATGAGGTAAGGAAAAGGAGCTTTAACAATTATTATATGTAATTTAGCCTCCAAAGAAGAAAAAGAAGAAAGGAAATTCAGATGTGGAGCAGAAATTTGATAAAATCCCGGATCCCTTTGTAATAGACGAGTCTAAACTTGACCTCAGCCAACTGGAAGTTAATGGAAAGAAGTTCCGACAGTTTAGGTATGCTTTTCACTTTTACTGTTGCGATTTTAGGTATTCTCACAATTGTCGTTATATTTATTTTAGCCGGTTAACCGTCACTTTGACTGATACGACGAGTATTCATAAACTTCAGCATCATCCAAAAAGGCCGTTGTACGACATTATTGCTGTGCGATGTTTGGATGAGGGAATGCTGACGACAATGTCGCGGAAAGGAGAGCTTATTGATATTATCTCGCTGGATACTGCAGAACAAGATGGACGATTTCAATGGGTTCATAAGCAGAAACTGATACAGGCATGTATCTCGGAGGGATTGGCGTTTGAAATCAGTTATACACATGCGCTGAATGAAAGTAAATTAAGAAGACAGGTAAGAGGTGGGCTCTGTAGTGGTTGTGCTGAAGTTTTAGTTGTTTCTTCATACAAACTACATTAATTTAAGAACATATAACTTACTGTTGATTTTTTCAGACCCTTTGCAATGCGAAACACCTATATAGGATATCTCGAAAAGGGAAAGGGATAATTTTGAGCAGTGGTGCTGAGTCAATCTTTGCCATGAGAGGTCCATTTGACACTGCCAATCTTGGGATCCTTTTTGGAGCAAAACCAAATGAGGGGAAACGATTTATCTCCGGTAAGGACTGTTTGTGTATTATTCATTGGTGTTTAGATAATTGCATGGATGTTTTACTCCGCTCTCAGTCTCGCCGAACAGTGAAAGGCGCTTTTCATGCTGCCGAACTTACTAATGTCCCTGTACCTCCAAATGAAACCAAGGAATCTCACTTAAATCGGCTTGAGGAAGTGCCAGAATTCAAGGAACAAATGGCTGATGTAAAGTCAGAGACGTGAAGTGTTGATAAAACATTCTCGTCGTTTTATTTCTGCTCATTAAAATATTTTTTCCATTTGTTAATTGTTTTTTGTTGAGATCCTAAATAAATTGTTGAATTTAGTTGGTTGAAGCTATCATTACTGTTGAGTATTGTCGATGATTACATAAATATCTGAAACCCCAAAATACTAGTAAAGCAAGGGTTCTAGAATGCGGATTGATTCGTTGTCGTACAGAGTCCTATTCAAAGCAAAGAGATTGTTGGGACTTGATCCTGGGGTTCATCCGATAGTGTGGAGAAGTGAGTAAACGGGAATTCTAAATATGATTTTTGCTATGGTTGAATGATTTGAGATCACCGTGTTTTTCAGAAGAGCCTCAAGTGAACTACGAATTTCCAACTCATCTAATACCCAAACTAAACGAAAAGGAACGAAGAAATGTTTTGAGTTTTCAAAAAGAACTTGAAGTAAGCGATATAACTTTAAGCAATTCTCATAGACCATTGCAATTGTCCAAAATAGACAGATTTTTAAAAAATTACGTGTTATTCTGATAGGCTCACTTCCTTATAAAAAAACTCTTATTGTAAAATCATAGGTGGAATTTTCTGCAAAAATGCAATCGCAAAAAATGTAAATTTTGGGTACTGTAATATCAGCAACCCTGCGTAAATGTAGAGACAATTTTGAATGTGACTAATTTGAATAATTCAGGGATACTTGTTGTTTTGTGAAGTCTGCCCATTATGGATACGTTATTTTATTATGACATGTTAATGGAGATTATTTTTAAGGTCCTGAGCCGAATATACACCTTCCTCCCATCAGCGGTTGATGACAAATTTTGGCTGAAAATTGCGAGATGCGACCGGACGAAAGAGCGGTTTGACGCTTTAAAATTTATGAAGACAAAGGAAAAGCTGGAAGAAAAGGATGAGAGACGGAAGAAGGCGAATATAGAAAGGATTAAAGAAGATGGTGAGCGTGTTCCCGGGTACAACAACTACTCGGAAACTCCCTACCTGGCTGATCAAAGTAGACTGCGTAAGTTTTTGATTGCTTTTGACCTTTTTTTTAGAAGCTCATTCAATTTTCACGGAGAACTCGAGACTTGTAAGAGCATATCAATTACAAGATCGCCCCGCAGTCGCGGTGGATTGCCGATTCCTGCAAGATCATTCGCAACGAGGTCTTGCTTTGACGTTTGTTCAGCTGAATTACTTGTTTGGACAAAACCGACAACGAAAAGAGCCCTGGAGATTGGACTTTGTTAACTATGATGACAATGTTCCGATTTTGAGAGAATGCCGTAAACGGTACGTCATTCTGATATCGACTTTATCGCACACGGTTAATTTTTGTTATTTTCAGATACCTTCTTCAATTCGAAAGTAGTAAAAAGGTCTGTGGCCGTCTCACCAATGAATCTTACCTGGATCTCTATAATAAAGATGACGTCATTTATCTCAGTCCCCACACTGACAATGTCCTCAGTTCGGAGGAAGTTCTAGACCCAAAGAAATGTTTTGTAATCGGGGGAATTGTTGATCGAGTCAAAGAACTTAACATCCACCCAGAAGCTTCAGCTCTAGTAGCGCAACAGGAAGGAGTTCAGTTAAGGAAATTACCGTTAGATTTGATAGAGTAAGTTGTGTAGCTATGGCTGATATATCGCTTTAGATGGAAAGCTGGAAGCCAATTCTTGACGTTCACCACAGTCTTGAACATTTTGCAGCAAACTTTTGAGGCAAATGGAGATTTTAGAGGCGCATTGGAACGGTGAGTCGTTTGAAGTTTTTTGATAGATTTTAAACGTGATGTGGTATATAATGAGTTTCTCAGAGCGATCCCCCGACGTCATCTGTCTACCATGAAGGACTCCAAACCCCATATCGCGAATAAATATGATAATCTCAGGGAGTACGAACGAAACATTCTCAGACTTGTCACAGAACACACACAACAAGCAGCTCAGGAAGAGGACCCCAAAGCGTCAAGATGGGCTTGGTTTTAACTGTTGTTTGTGGTCCTACAATCCCTTCTAGGTTGTTTATTGTTAGGTTGTTAAGTTTATAAATAAGTTTCTATGTCAAGGTCGGATTGCTTTCGGATTTGATGTCATTTCTTCCCACAATGACTCGTATTTTCCAAGTTGTCCACCAACGCGGCTGTACTTTGTTCTGGAAGTGCCCATAGAATATCGATCAATTTCACTTACCAGAAATGCATCGCCGACAAGTCCTCTGACAAGCCATCTCCACTATCACTTGGACCTTCCGGAATGGCGCTAATTGAGCTGAAATTTTAATATTTTGACCTTTCAATAATATTTTTTTTGAATTGTATGAAACACAAAGTTACGTACTCTCGCATCCTATAGGTTTCAATGGTCCTCTCTTGGCTCCAGACAACTCTTCGAAGAGTTTTTGGACCTTACCGTACTCTTCGTAGGCCTCAATGGTGAGGCCGGCATCTGCCTCTCCATCGGAGCAGTAATTGGACAGCCTTCTGCAGTAAGGTAGGTAGTCTCGACAACCTGAATTATAATGCATCAAGTTTATTTGCAATGGCAAGTGAATGGTTCATGGCAAATGGTACGACGAGATAGTGCAATATTGCAAACTACAATATAAAAGGCATTCATAAGTTATGTGGTTGTGTGAGATGGAAATGAAATCGGCGTTCGTGTCGGAAAGGTGTACGTGCGATCAAAACTCTAAATTTCAGTGGTGTGATGGTGCATCGAATCACAAAATTAACATGAATTTCGTATAACTTACTGTCGTCATCGTGAACTTCATGTTGGAGGATTCCTTTCCCTCCAACGCCCGTGTATTCCACAAGATCCAGACGTGATGACTAAAACAATAATTGCATTAAGCTTAATTTTGATTACATTTCGCTTCAAATAGGCTTCAGTGTCCCTGCTACTCAACTCCTGCATCACCAAGGCTCCCGAATCTGTTTTAACGCATTTCTTGAAGATCCCTTGCACTCCTTGAATAATATTATTCAACGCAACTTCTTCCTTCTCATGCCAACACGCTTAAAAGAAGTCAGAGAGTGTTTTGTACAACCTACCGTATTCCACGACCTCTGGGATTACAGTATTCCCATCAATTGTGTAGCCGCATCGCTTCATAACGTTCCCGTCTCTCCAAGTCTCCATAAATTTCCGGGTGAAAGTCGAGGAAATCTCACATCCACCTAAATTAATGCTTGACAAAAAAGTTAACCATACAAAAACAGTAACTATAAAGTAAACATACGCAGTGTAAACTTCATTGGTGCGTCCACTTGCCGACAAAGTAAAGGCTCACCATCGACGTAATGAACATTGCCCACGGCGACTACTGTATTCTCAATTAAACACCCTGCGATACAAAAATAAAGATTACTTTTTTTGCAACATACCAAGTTTGATAACCGCTCCATGATCGCAGACATATCTCGCTTTCCCGGATCGACTCTCGAACGTCTCTCCATTCTGATATGTCTGGCCATTGTATTGGCAATTGATGTCTGCAACCAAATAAAGTTTTACGAATTGCGCTTACAATCATCAGTCACATTGACAAGTCTGCATCCATCAAGAACTCGGCGACATTGGACCCATTGCCCGCGGATGTTCGAGTACGAAGCAACGCCGACATGAATGCCGTCCAGAGCGACGCAACCTAAAACAGAGAAACAAAATGGACGAGAACTCGTAAGCCGAATAGATAGACCAACATAAAAATAAGTAAGAGGACCCGGTTCTTTCCCGAAGAGATCTCTCGGCTCGCGTGTCCAAACATGTACATACATAGTACTATATTTACATACGATATAGAGTTGTAACAGTCCGAAACTGAAACACTTTTCGCAGCAGCCAGCGCAAGGAAACTGCGGAAAAAAGTTTCATTTTTCGTTGCGATGCCCACGTTTCTGGCGACAGCACGCTCTTTCCTGCAGCGACAAGGCGTTTCATTCCTTCCCCCATTAATCTGATACTGACCCAAAAATGGCAAGCAAAAAATGGGCTTTAATTAAGCGACATACAAATGGGAAAGATCAAGGGATTTAGGCCAAAGAAAGCTGTGATGATAAGATGTACAATCAAATCCAACTCTTTGGCTAACTGGTTGATAGGTTAGGAACAAACCAAATCAGATTCGACAGGCACGGAATGATGACATACACCTGTCATCATTCCATACGATAAAAGTCCTTACCAGTGCACAGCAGGTCTACCACAGCTCCCTGCCGTTGACAAGACATGATTTCTTCGGTTTGAAGTTCGGTTCTGAGACTTTCTGCAGGCACTTTTTTGGTGATAAAGTTGCCTTCCGTAAGTTCTGATCCGTTTGGCAGTTTACATCTTCGCCCTTAAAAGTCATCATATTTTTAATGGCTGCCAAGTTTTGATGAATTATCCGGTAAAACCCTTGTACAACGAAGTGAAAAGGCCCGAAAAAATTGTTATAGAAAGGTTCCGTTGTAGCGAGGTTCATTTTGGCCTAGATTTCATTTTTTCGACACCTGAAACTGCTTTTCATAGACGAATTTCGTTGCACAAGAGTTCGTTGAACTGACAATTCACTGCGTTTTCATAGTCATAAAATGTGAACGTACATTTGAATACAACTTTCTTGACCTTCTGGGCGTCTCCCACGCACTCCATGCTCTCGTGTTCTCCATTCTGATTTGTTACAGTAAACCGCTCTCCGATCGCGACAATTGATCCTTTGTTGTCAACGCAGTCTGCAAGTGTGTGGGTAAAGCCCTTATTTGGAGATGAGAGGTGTCTGTTGTAACATAAACCTACGAGTAATCTTCAATTGGACCTTATCACTGAGCTCTTCTTTGACGCATTCGTATCTAAAATGCTTGCCCTTGTACGTCAGCCCTAAGGGAATTGCTGACCCATTCCCGGAATTCGATGGAACACAACCTGCAACATCATTCCAAGTCATCTTCTGACACTTATGCCATCATGAGCGATGGATTTGATCAAAAATAATATTACCGATTGGTTTGATTTGCAATTCCCCATCCAAATCTCCTTCGGCGCATTGGAATTGAATAAAATTCTGGACGAATCTCTGGCCCACGTGTTTACATCGACCAGCGCAGGCGTCGTATATCAACAGTAACAACAACCACGACACCCGCAGCCACATACCTGAAGATGGAAAGATTTATAAAACGCCCATGCAGTGAATTAATCGTTATCTTCTACCGTGATAACTCAAGTCTTAAGCCTAAAATGTGTCTAAAATTAAAAATAAAACTGTCTCAAAATGTTGTTTGAACAAGTCGACAAGAGGCACGATGATCAAGATGTTCCGCCTGCGCTAACCAATCCCTTTCTAATCCTATTTGTAGGATAAAAAATTGTAAAAAAACACGTCTTCTCGTTTTAAAGTGGCATAGCAGTACATGATGACAATTTGTCATTGGGGAAAAAATTTTTGTCGTTGCAGTTTCGTCATCATAACTATTTGACTTTGATGGTACGGTAGTTAAGATAAAAACGGAACCCTAACGAGTTATCAAAAATAAGATATAGATGTTGCTGAATATTTATGAAAATGTGTTAAAAACTAGGAATGAAGCCATCAAACGAAGACAATAGATCTTGGGCCCTTCAGCTTGACAGAACATGTCAAGCCTACGACAACAAATCAGCACTGAAAATTTATTCGTTACAGAAGGGGTTTGTTGTCCGGAGGTTTTCTTGGCCTAAAATTGGCTTTTGAGGCCCCAGAATTTCTTTGTCATACACCGGTTCCGTTGAAGGGATGTCGTCGTACCGAGGTTGAATAACATTCTTTTTCCCACCCGAAACAACCTACAAGCCCTGACTAGTTTGCCCTCAGGGCTGATAGGATAAAATACGACAAACTAAACGCTTCGCAATCCATAAGCCGATTTAAAACCCCAGAGAGCCGTCGTCTGCCGTGACGCGCGTCTTCTGAATGCCCTCCGATTCTTGAAGAAGTGCACTTGATCCAAAAGAATTAAATCCGCACTTAAAACATTCCAAAAGGGCTAGCTTCTTGAGGCGGGCTTATCTCCAAACAATGTACAACACTTCCTCGATGGCTGTGGAAACGCTGGAACAGCCGCGCAATCAGCGTTCGTCGGGGATCGAAGAGCTGGGAGCGTTGAGAACAAAATCATGCAACGTTCAGACGGCACAACTCAACGTTCAGGGTTCAAGGCGTACGAATGCTTCATGGAACCGTACAAGAATTTTTTTAACTTCAAATTCAGGATTTTTCAATCTGTAGATTAACATGACCTAATACGGCAAAGTCTACCTAAACTTGCAATGGAGTTTTCAATGTTGTCGTAGACGTCGGCTTTATGGAGAGCGGGAAGTTTGCTTTTTGGAATGAAAAACCCCAGTCTTCATAACCTCGACCAATCATGATCGCAATGTAATATGTATACAGAAGTCAGACAAAAGTGTCTGTAATTTTTTGGGTCGTAAGGTTAACGAATTCATTGTAATTCGGTGAAACGATGTAAATGAAAACTGTGTATGCCGGTAGAAAAATAATCGTAAACCTGTAGGTCAATGAAAAGCCCAGGGCCGGGATTTTTCAACGACTTTGGCCGTGGCCGAAAAAATTGGCCAGGCCCGGCCGGACGACCACTTTGAATGAAAGTTTATGTGGACGTTGAGAAAGTTGTTTTCCATATGTCAGTTTTACAATTTCAATGTGACCGACGCGTGAAATTCGCGGCTAGTCGCTTCTTATCAACCAGGACTAGGATCTTCTCGTTTTGACGGCTTGCCACAAAAGCGAGCGTAATGCCACTATCGACTTTCCAAAAATATTTGCGAAATTATTTTTTGTTTGTCTGATTTTTCTCTTTTAGAATAGTGTCTGTTGTAACCCGGTGCACGATGTCTTCGACCGAAAATTCTGTCACCCAAGGAGCTTCTAATGATTCTTCAAAGAGGAATAATCCATATTTCTCAAAGAACCTCTCTAGTATAACCAAGAGTTATAAAGATCGATTAAACGCGTTACACAAAAAGAGGGTAAGTGTTTTTAATATTTTTATCGTCTTCACAGGATGTTTGGTTGGCAATTGCTAGTGCCTTTGATGATATCTCCTGAGAGGGAGGTCATCAACTTCTTTACCCACTGCTTACGCTTACGGTCTTATAGTTTTAAACAAGCGTTAATTTCAGGAAGAGGCCAGAAAACTAAACCATGAACAAGTTGTCGAAGAAGATCGCATATCCAAATTGCCGAAGAATTTCGAAGCTAGAAAGAAGAGAAAGGAATGGGAATTGGAGGAGATGGAAGCAAGGAAGGAATGTGAAGAGAAAGGTGAAGACTTTGATAGAAATAAGGCGCTGAATATACAAGCGGACGTTGCCGACAAGATTGCAGCGTCGAAGAAGAGAAAAAAGAATCCTGATACTGGATTTGCAAGTAAGTCTTTGACCTTTGCTGAAGTATAACAACACATGCTTTTTTGTTTATTGCTCTTTTAGATTATGAGGCCATGTCAATGCGTCAGTACGAGCGATTAACCAACAACATCAAGCCGGATATGAAGACTTACCAACAGATGAAAGCCGTCGTGTAAGTTCACCACTTATTTTTCCCATTTATGTTTTTAGAGGAGAGTCAGAGTTCTACCCATCAGTCGACACACTTATTACTGGTTCTCACTATCCAACCGATAAAGCGTTGGGAAAACTATCAGAGGATGTGAAGGGACAAGCCAAGAAACGAGAACAGTACCACAGAAGGAGAATGTTCGATCCCGAAGCGCCCATCGACTACATCAACGAAAGAAACAGGAAGTTCAACCAGAAATTGGAGAGATTCTATGGAGAATTCACTCAGGATATCAAGGAAGATCTGGAGAGAGGAACAGCTATCTGATCCGTTTTTACTCAGTAAAGTTTTACCCTATGTTAATAAAAGGGTTAATTCCAATTGGGTTCGATTTCACTTTTGTTACAGTAACACCAAACGTTAACTCCACAAATTTATGAATGTATTAGCAACTCATGTATAAATAAAAAGGGAACAATAAGAAAGGGTGGTTATCAATGACGGTGGTCCTAAAAGGAATCTGGATGAATACAGACAAAGGTCGAAAGAACCAAAACGATATTTCTTCCAAAGTTTAATAAAATAAATCAAAACCAACGGGGAGAGAAGATAAATGGACTGGACTAGGCTCATGGTTTAGTCCAAAAACAAGTAACGATCCGAGCCCCGCCCAAAACAATTCGAACACGCTTCAGAAGTAGTTGGAGATGTTCTGGGGCATCTCATCGATTTCGGTGTTGTAGTAAGACTCGATTTCCTTGATGAGATTGTGATCCTTGGCTGTGGCAAAGTTGATGGCAACTCCCTTACGTCCGAAACGCCCAGAACGACCGATACTAAAAACTTTATACATCAGTAAAATACTTACCGGTGAATGTAGTTCTCTCGGTTGGCGGGCAAATCGTAGTTGATGACGACAGAGACCTGCTGTACGTCGATACCACGAGCCAACAAGTCAGTGGAGATCAAGACTCTCGATGAGCCGGAACGGAATTCCCTCATGATAACATCACGATCAGACTGTTCCATATCTCCATGCTGAAAAACAATCCATAAAAACCTGCTGTAAAACGTTGGAAACCCTATAACTTTCCCTAGCTTACCATGCACGAGACGGTGAACTTCTTTCCTTCCATCATCCGGGTCAATTCTTCGACCTTTCGACGAGTGTTACAGAAGATAACAGCCTGGGTAATGTTGACTGTATCATACAAATCGCACAGAGTATCAAACTTCCACTCTTCCTTATCGATTCTGATGTAGAATTGACGAATACCTTCAAGGGTAAGTTCCTCTTTCTTGATCAAAATCCTGATTGGGTCCCTCATGAAGCACTTGGTGACCTCCAAGACATCACTGGGCATAGTGGCGGACAACAGCACGGACTGAACAGTGGTTGGCATAGACTTGAAGACATCATAGATTTGGTCTTTGAATCCACGAGACAACATCTCATCGGCCTCATCAAGGACGAACATTAAGATATCGTCGGTCTCTAAAATAAAAACGTTAATCCTTAGAAGGTCTAAAACTTCAACAAGGAAAAGAAAAAAAAACTTACTCAGAGCTCCACGGGTGATCAAATCGGCGACACGGCCAGGGGTTCCGACGACGATTTGGACTCCACTCTCCAATTTTCTTGCATCATCCCTCACATTGGTTCCACCAATGCAGGCATGAACCTTGACCTTCAGATAATCTCCTAAAGCGCGGATGACGATTTGGATTTGCTGGGCCAACTCTCGAGTTGGGGCCATGATCAAGGCCTGCACTCTCTCTTTCTTCTCATCCACACGTTGGAGAACAGAGATGGAGAAAGTGGCGGTCTTACCAGTACCAGATTGGGCCTGGGCAATCACATCCCGGCCGGTGCAACAAGGAACAATAGCACGTTGTTGAATGGCCGAAGGCTCTTCGAAACCGAAGGAGAAGATACCACGTACCAAGTCCTCCTTCAGGTTCATCTGGTCGAACTTTTCGTAGACCTCATTGCAGTTGGACTCGATGACAGTGTCATCCGCCAAAGAAGTAGAGTTCACATTTCCTCTGAAATATAACAAGTTACATTTATTTGAAACTTTCCTTATTCTAGATGATTACAATGAATCACCAATGCTTGCGAAATTCTTATAAAAATATGCAGAAGGTTGTAGGTCTGGAAGATGACCCATCTAGAGTTATATAGCAAAAAACTTCTAGCTCCTCATAATAAATGCGCAGGGCGTTACTCCCCTCAAAAATATTAATCATTACGATTATTCAAAAAAAAATCGTAATGACGCATTGCAAGTTGGCCTTCAAGTTGTCAAAACCACAAAATTTGAAAGACTTACGGTTGAGCATCAGTCATGATAGAGATGAAAACTGTTGATCAACGGATTTCGCAACCAAACGTAGCTTCAAGAATCGCCTTTGCCGCACTTTCCAAAAGTGCGAGAGATGAGGTAAATAAGATTACCTGAAAACAGCGTAAAATAAAGCTTCAAACGCGATAAACTCGATCAAATACTCAAAAGAAAGTGGTAAAAAATCTGGAAAAGGTATCCAAATATGAAACAGCGTGAAAACCCATGGAAAACGGTAATTTCGTGACGGAAGAAGAAAAAGGTTGGAAATTTTTTCGTCTGAATTTTTGCCGAAAATACAGTAAGCTGCTTGATTCGCGGCAATGGCGGGAGTTTGAATGCAAATTCTCTAGTGTTAAAGTTGACACGGAGCCAACTCTTTCTTTTTTCGCTTTATTTTTTTGGAAGGTTTCACACAAATTGAAAGAAAGGAAGTTGATCGGAGGATACCTCTTGTTTTTATGGCCAAGTCGGCGTAGTTGTGGCCAGAATGAACGGGCATAGTGGGGAGCGGGAGATAAGGGCAATCGCCAAGTTCAACTTCGAAGGAAAGAACAATGATGAGGTAAAATATTTTTAGTTTTCCTATTATCGGTGTGTTTGCAAGACTAGTTGGCTTATAAGTACCAGGATTGCACGAGATTGGCCTATTGACATGCTTTCAGCTTACGTTCCAAAAGAATGATGTTATCACAATAACACAACAAATTGATGGCGGTTGGTGGGAAGGCAGTTTGGAAGGGCATGTGGGATGGTTCCCTTCGGATTATGTTGGAGTCATTAAAACCGAGAGTGAGTATTCTATTGGTTGTGTACCTTTTCCTTTAGGTAGTGCAAGGTCGAATGGTGTGTCACATGATGCCATTGACGGAGTTCCGGAAGATCTGGAGAAACAGAAGGCTTTATTTCGAACAGCGATTGTTGAACAGTTTATTAAAGATGAAGCACAACATATTGGTGCTTTGGAAGAGGTCGCGAACGTTATTCTGCCAGTTGTCTTCGAAGCCAAACTGTAAGTCGAAAGGTTTTTCATTAATTTTATGTTGTTTAGGTTTAATCCAACAGAACAAGCAGATATCAAGTCAAATCTTCTTGACGTCATTCACATAAAGCAGGACGTTTTGGGGAACCTTGAGGAGACTTTCGTGTAAGAATGTTGAGACGTTATTCTCTGGCTCAACAATTTTAAGTACTATTGTTTTAGACGACCTATTATGGATCAAAGGATCGGCGATATTTTCCTTCGGAAGGCGGGTGAACTGAAGATTTTGCTCCGGATATATTGCTGGAAACATCCCGTTGCAATCCATACAATAACAAAGAAATCAAAGAAGGCTGATGATAATCTGGAACGTCAAAGAAAGATTGATTCCGTTTTAAAAAAGGAGGAGAAAAGTTTCAAGGATTTGATAGCTGGATTAAGTCTGGTCTTCAGGCATACAGACAAATATGCCTCGTTTTTGTTGGAAGTCGAACGGAACACCAGCCAAAGTCATCCTGATCTCGGAAATCTTCATAGGGCTTCGATTGTTTACAGAGAGATAGCGGTAAGCTGATTTGTGTTTGTTTTATTGCTTTTAGGAAGATTGTGTTGGTATGAGAAAGCAAAAGGAACTTCAGTTAGAATTTCTCAATTCCGGATTCCTCGAGAAGGCTGTTGGAAAGGATCACCAAGAAAAACTGGGACCTTTAATGCATTTCACATCGGTTACAGTAACACAGCCAAATCAACAAGATCCTGACGCAGTTTTGGATCGGTTAGTAATGTTATTTTTTACGTAAATGAGTGATTATATTGTTTGTAAACTTATGATTTAGGTCAGTTGTTTTGTGTTCAAAAGCCCTTTTGTTATTGGAGCCGTCGATTGAAAAGAATACCTATATTCTGAAGGAGAAACTAGCCACAAACGGGTTAATAGCGGCCAGGGAGGAGAATTCGTTACGAATATCTTTTGTTAAAGGTATGTGATGTTAATGCTTTTTATTGTGCTTTAGATAACAATCACATTCTGATCGTCTCCTGTCTCTCCGCCGAAGATTTCTACAGATTTAATTTGGCATTGGACGGATGCCAAGGAATTGAAGTGACCACGAAGTCTGTGAATCCAACTCCAATTCCTTCGACTCCCGATTCAACGGACAATCATAACGTCGTATCTGATCTTCATAGGTCTCTGAGGCCGCCATTGTCAAAGAAGAACTCTGTTAATTCGAATGGGGGATTAAATCATGAACTTGAGATGATTGATCCCGATTCTTTTGGCCAGTCATTTGATCTGTCAAGAAGTTCATCGTTCAAACCATTGCATTCTAATCTGGATCAGAAGGATCGAAGGTCCAGACCGTCCAAATTATTCTCCGGATTTTGTCTTCGACCAATTCCACCGAACAAAAGCGCTGTGGCATTGCAAACTTCATCGTCGTCGAGCAGTATCAAGCTGAGAAAAGGATGTAAGTTTACTTTTCTTATAACTTTGTTATGAGTTTAGTGACTGCTGAAGAACAGGAGGACGCGTATCTCTTCAAAATTATCGAGGGATACTGTGGACCCCCGAGCTCGTCTAATAATGTGTCAAAATTCAACTCCAGAATGAATGTTTCGTCTTCTTCATTACATCACAAGCCACAAGTTTACATCGAGGAAGTGAGACCTCAAGTGATCGTTGCTGGCGATGAGAAGTTGCTGATAGAGGAAGCTACAGATGATGGGGTAGTTTTCAAAGAAAAGACATTGGTAGATACTGTTTATGATATGAGCACCAGAATGACTGCATTGGAAAAGGTAATTATAATTGATGATTTATGTTATACTTGAAGAGCACGGGTAATATGAGTTTTGGCTTGGAATATAAGTTGTGTTAAATCATTTCCACGTTTTAGCAAATCCATGACTTGACAAAAATCGTGATCCAAGAGCAGAAGAATCGCCGCCGTCTGGAGGAAAGTCTCCGTCGCCAGAGTAATAATTATTCCCATACCTCATCTCCTAAGCCAGAGTTAATAGAAAGTACAAGTAGTTAGATGTCTACGTGTCTAAACCAACGCCTTACATACCATATTTGTCCTATACGTCTTACATGTAGCATATTTTGTTCAGTGCCTTATATTGTACAATAAAACGGATGATTACTTAGTATGGAGTTTTGGAGGGCGATTGCAATGGTTGATTCCGGCTATTTTGATGTTATTTTGTGGTGTTCTATGAAGGTTTATTGTGTTATATATAGAGTGATCATTGATTTTCAGCATGGCAAAGTTTATTGAACTCCGACCCGACCGGTCGCTGTTGAATCCCGACTTTGATCGGTATGTTTTGTCCAGTCGAAAAGCGGATCTCCGAAAAGTTGCAATCAAAACAGGTAAGTATTAAAATGTTTTTTATTTTTGGTGGATTAGTTTTAGTTCTTATGAATTACAATTTCAGCCAGACCTTTTTCTCTTTCAAGTGAACAATATGGATATCAGCATGGTTTGCTTGCTTCGGCAGTGGATCGATTGGTTATTGATCTTTTTATCCCGTCCGAGGATCACTTATATTTCTTTGCTCAAGACGGGAAGTTGGTAAAATTACTGTATAAACCAAAGGTAAGATAACCTTAGTCCTTAAAGTGAAAATTAATTTTAGTTGGGGAATTGCATCTCGGCTCAAGATGTAATCGAAATCGACTTCTCATCCACCTCCAACAAATCTTATCCGCCAAGTTTAATCTTCCCGGATCAAGATTTTGCTGTCATTTCCAATGGAACGGGCACTTTGTACGTCTACAAAACTGGTGATCGAACTCAAAGTCAGCCATGGAGTTGTGTTCTGCAGCTGAAGATTGATAACACTTTCGAAAATTTGATTGGTGATCAAAACGTTGAGAATGTGGTGCCATTTGTTGTTGTGGATGTCAGATCCAAGGATCAAAATCAATTGGCGATTCTCGTGCAAAGTGTGGAGAAGGAAATGGAATCTGAGAAGAGCAACTTTTATTCACGATTAGTCTGGTTGGATGTGGATTTGAATGAGGGAAAGGTCAGCAGAAGAAGGGAGTTACAGTACCATGGTAAGTGAGATGATTTGTTATTGGATGTTGTACCTTTAGGAAATCTTGAAATGGCCACACTAAACTTCAATGCAACGGAGATCTTAACTGTCGGCTCCGGACAAATCCAATTTCGCGCAGACACGGAGAAAGAGATCAATTCAGATGTACAGGATGTTGAAATGAACGACCCTCAAAAGCCGGTCTATGTGTGGACACAGAATGCAGAAGAAATCAATATATCCTTCTCGTTGGGTGAGAAGATCGAGAAAAAAGATGTGGAGTATCGGGTGAACTCTGGGGGAATTTTGGTCAAAGTTAAAGGGCATTTGTTGTTAGAAGGACAACTTGAAGGCTCTGTCCATGCGGACTCTTCGGTGTGGACGATTGGACCGGATCAGTAAGAAATTTTAATTCTGATATTTGCCTTTGTTTTGCTTTTCAGATGATATTTTATATTGTTTTAGTCTGGAGCTGACATTATTCAAAACTCGAGGGCACTTTTGGCGAGATCTTGTCCCCACCGATACCCGAGGCCTTTACGAACCCGATTCTGATGCCATTCAAAAGGCCATAGAATCTCTGGAAAAGTTCACAACAGACAAACAGGAACTGCCCTCAGGCGATGCCCAACAATCCACATTCAATCCGGAGCAGTTGGAGGAATGCGATGCCACTGGTGACCTCCCAACATTCATCCATTGGACTGATGGTGATAGTCATAAACTAGTCCAGTCTGCGGATATCAGCTCAAGTCAGATCATCTTCCAGACCAGACTCCAACCCGGAGGGCCGAGGACATTGTGCACAAGAAGTGAACATGATGGAATTGTGTGGTCGCTAGATGAGGTTGATGTGTCCAACGATAGTCGAATTGCACATAAATTCACGTTGAACGCATTTGGATACGTTCAGGTAGAATTTAATTTTTTAAAGTGGCTGAGTTGAGTGATTTGTTTCAATGATTACTTCCAGGCTTCACATTCCAATAAGGTCGGCACAAATTGCGCAACAGATGGCAGCTTCGCTTTCGTGTGCCACTCTGATCACCATTTGTTTGTTTATCTTCAAAGTGTTCCAGTTACAGCCGGTATGTTATTTCTGTTATTGGTAGACAGGGTTTAGACTGTGTCCTCAAGAATCGCAAGTCCGGAAAGTCGGCGACAAACTTTTCCGAACAGCTCGTTGTCAATACAGCATCAGCGCTGGATCCCTCGGACAATCCCCTAATCCTTGGCCATGCCCATTCCAATCAAATGGTCTACCTACTCACAGCGAACGCTGTAATTGCCGCCCATGTCAGAGTTTGAAAGCATGACTGACTGTTTAGTTGATCTTCACTTATTTCCATGATGTATGGTACAGTAACGAGTACTCGGTTATTCCTAAGCAATAAAGATATAAATTTTTAATTATTTTGATGAGATATAAGTTGTGTATTGAAGTGGTTACGTAACCAGTGTCGTATCTTGATGAAAGAATTTCTGTGTATTTCAGAGTTTTCTGCGAGAATTTTTTCCATTATGATTTTTTTGGTTTTCAATGTCAAAGTAACCATCATACTTTAGATGAGTCTACAGATGAAACTCCGCAGATACAGAAAGCCCCCGCCAGATGGCTGGGACGAAATCGAACCAACCCTCGAGGAATTTGAACGCAAAATGAGAGAAGCCGAGTCAGAACCACACGAGGGAAAGCGGAAAACAGAAACTCAATGGCCTATCTTTAGAGTAAGTTAATATAAAATAATTGATTGTTGAGTTTAGATCCATCATCAAAGAAGCCGCTATATCTACGACTTGTTCTGGAAAGAGGAGAAGATCAGCCGCCAACTCTACCAATTCTGCATCGATGCCAAACTGGTTGATGGAAATCTGATGGCCAAGTGGAAGAAGAATGGGTTCGAGAATCTCTGCTGTCTCCGATGTGTTCAAGTCCGGGATACCAACTTCGGAACCAATTGCATTTGCCGAGTCCCCAAGAGTAAATTGGATGCGGACAGAGTCATCGAATGTGTTCATTGTGGCTGCAGAGGGTGTTCGGGATAAAACATGGCTTCCATACCCTCAATTATCACTTTGTTACCTAATGTAATTGTTGTAAAATAACCTTTATTGGATGATAGTAAAGTTCGATCTCGAAGAAATTGGATTCTAATTTCTTTTTGTCATTCGTTTACAACAAGTTTCACGAGATGGTCGTCCCCAACGCGGAATCTCCGAGCAAAGCTGTGAATCCGACCACAAAAAAGATCGACCAGATTGTGAACGGAAGAGCCAAGACTCTCCAAAAGTTTGTGATAAGTCGGACCGAACGTCCGTTTATCGTTCCAAAGCGAGCGAATTTTGTAAAGTCTTTCTACCAGCCTCAGGTAAGTTAATAAAAATAAATTCCCTTATATAATAAAAACTCATGTCAAAGCTATCAAATTCTAACGTCAGATCTCCTTGAAATCCTCCAATCTCTACGGATCCTTTAAAGTTAATGGTTTCAAAGGCAATTTCACAGTGGCTGGAATGAAAATTCAGCATAGAATTGGCCAATACGTCGATTACATTGTCCACAAAGAAGTCGGAAGTCATAGTACAACATCCAGATCAGCCGAGCATAGAAATTTGGTCTTCCGACATCTAAAGATGGATAAGAATCAAGCGAAACCTGGGGTTGAACAGCCGTTGACAAGATGTCCAGAAGAATATACGATGAGATTATGTAACAGTGACAGTGTGTACGATCATATGAGAATGTTGAGAGAGATCTCTTTGCTCAAGATGATTTCTAAACAAGTGGATAATAAGAGATTACAAGGGCATTTCCTCAAGGTATTTGAGAGGGGAGCGTTGAAGAAACTACTGTATTATACTACTCGAAGGACTACGGAGACCAGCGACAAAAATTGTATCTTGGCGTTGACTCCGAGGTAAGTTTAAGAATTTCTAAATGGAGTTGTTTCCAAAAGAATGCAGGTACCTACAGTAACCCTATTTTCAGACCAAATCCCCGTCCCTTCATTATCTCCGAACCCCCAGGGCTCACGTTCGAAGAGCTAATCAAACTCTCCAAGACCAATTCCATCGAAATGAACTCTTCCAGACATCTGATTGTCGGGGTTCTCCATACTCTAAGGGTTTTACACCATCTCGGTTATGTCCATCGATGTGTAACCTCGCAAACGTTCGGTCTTTGTAAGAGAAATAAGAGCCGTTATCTGAGTGATCGAGTCCAATGTCAGAGTTTATGGTACGTCCGTAGATACGCAAAGACCAAACCAAGAAAACGAGGGCCTTTTGTGGGATCGTATACCTTCTGGTAAGTGTAACATCAAAATTAGTACACTTTGTAGTTCCCTCGAAGCTATGAATGGAATGGAACATTTACCGAATGATGATCTAACTTCATCTATGTACACGTTTGTCTACTTGACTCTCGGATATTTACCATGGATGAGGCCAAAAACGACAAACGTAAGAAGCAGTAAAAACTGTTAAAAAAACATTACTTTAGGATATCTGGTCAGAGAAACAGGCCTTTCATGATGCTCCGAAGTCGTTCCCGGCATCCACAAATGTCGAATACAATATTGAAAGACTTTCCGAGGCCTTTAATCTAATAAATTCTCACAATCCATAGTAAGTTCTGCTAAGATGCACTGTTAGACGTATTATTTTAGTAAGAAAGATTACTCCATCTACTCTAAACTAATCGAAATTTTGGGAAAAATGGTCGAAGAAAATGAAAGCAACATAAAGAAGGACGAAAACTTCGTTTTACCAACAATTGGGTAGGCCATTATTTATAAAATAATGTTCTTTAGGGACATTGACCTGGACGATCTTCTGAAATAAAATAAACGACTATTTAGATGTCATCTGTTTTATGGAATAAACTCATAAAAGTAGTTAGAATAAGTGAAAATGATGTTACAAGATGAGTATCTTTCAAATTACAACCATAATTAGTATTGTAGTACCTTTAAACCAATACAACTTGCTCATCTGAGATCATGCAGACATTATCAGCTTCCAGAAGATCGAACGCAGCTTTGACTTCGGCTTCGGTGAATGGGAATTGGCCCATCTGTCTCTGGATGAGTTCGACTATTGTGGCTACAGGGTGCATGCCCTCAGGGCTTTCGGTCTCGTCGAAGGCAACACGCAGGCATTGCTTGAAGCGGTTATACCTGAAAATTTGATATTACACACGTTGTAATCAGATATCAACCACACAATAAAAACATATTAAGCCCTTACCTATCAACCCCAATTCCATCATCATTTTTGGACCTCTTGGTGACTGGTTCTTCCTGCGCTTGAGACTGATCCTCTTGTTCTCCCTCATCATCAGCAGCCCTTCTTCTTCTCGTTGCTCTGGGTGCTGGTTCTTCTTCAACATCCATCTCCTCGTCGTCCTCCTCCCTCACATTATGCTTCTTCTTATCCATTCTTTCTTTTGGCTTCTTCTTGAACATCGCAAAGTGTAACAGATTGAACGCCTTTTCAGCATCTGACTTCTCGACTTTAGTTCCGAGACGAGCTTTGGTCAAGGCGATGGAAAGACGGATCATAGTTTCCAGTTGACGAGCTGTGATGGGCATTGTCTAGAGAAAAATTCAGTAATAACAGCAAACCATATCAGTTCAACAGAAAAATCCCGATCTTACTCTATCTTCGCCTTCGTTTTCATACGATCTCAGTTCAGTATAGCATTCAGAGATGTAAGAAGAAGCCTGCTCTGTCAGCTGGGGCTTGATACTCTTGGCCATGTGGATATACTTCCTCAAGAATGAAGTAGTCAAGATCTTATCCCTAAATCAAGATAAAATAAGCAACGAAATACTTACACTTCGTTCACAGCTGTCCATCCTCTGTTCTTCTCGTAGATATCAACTGTATGATCCTCAGCTTCAGGTTCGAAGGTTGTCAACGATTCGGCGGCCTGTTGAATGGATAAGACGGCTCCGTCAGGCTCTCCTGGAGCTCTGTAGCGATGTAATTTGAGGACATTCGACGCCACTCGAGTATCCTTTTCTATGTCGTGTTCATCCAACATCACAAAGATCAAGTCGAAACGAGATAAAAGCGAGTCTTGCATTCCAATATTAGCCATGGGGGACTTGAAGAGATCGTAACGGCCATACACAGGATTGGCGGCCGCTAGAACCGAGCAACGGGCATTCAGTTTGGCGTGAATACCTGCCTTCGAGATGGACACTCGGCCCTGTTCCATGACTTCGTGGATGGCAGTTCGGTCTATGTCGGTCATCTAAAGATGAAGAATTGGAGTAAAAATTACTACTTACCTTATCAAACTCATCAATACAAACGATTCCTCTGTCAGCCAGCACCATCGCACCTGCTTCGAGTCGTCGATCTCCAGTATCCGGGTCCGTGGTAACGGCCGCAGTCAAACCAACACCCGAACTTCCTCGCCCAGTGGTGGCAATAGCTCTGGGAGCCGTGTGAAGAACATACCGGAGGAGCTGAGACTTGGCAACAGATGGATCCCCGATCAGGAGAACATTGATATCACCTCGAAGTCGGGAGCCATTCTCCAAAATTTTCTCACATCCACCCAAAAGAAGACAAAGGACAGCCTTCTTTACTTCTTCATGGCCATAAATCGAAGGCGCCAGGGATCGGGCCAGAAGATCCACAATATCACGGCGTTTGGAGAGACGAGAGATGTTCTTCACATCCTGTTGATCAAATTTGGGAGTCGATTCTTTACTCAGCAACAGCACGTTATTGGCGATCAAGATGGTTCGAAAGTTTCCAGTGGAGACACCTTGTTGTTTGTTGGGGAGAACTCGGAAAAGACCGACAACTCGCACACGATCTCCAGGTTTGCAGGCATCAGCCAGATCTCCATCAGCGATAACATCAACAGACCGAGGAAGTTGGCCGGGAGGAGCATTCTCCGGTAATTCCTAAGAGATAATTCACTCAAACGAAAACATACCTGAATTGCAAAGACTTGATGATCCTTGAACACGGAGAGTCCAAACTCAGTCTCCAAAGGATTCTTGTTCTCATCTTCCTTTGGATAGACATTACTTGTGGGCATACTGTTATATGAAGTTAGATCCGTGTAAGTTTTTGTCAAAGATTTGTTAGTCGCCGGACAGAAATGAACACTTTTGACTATTTTGGGTTTCACGTTGGAGCCTAAAACAATAATAGCATTACCCAACTCGACCCCATCCACATAACAACAAAATCAACATACATCTGGTAACAATCCCTTCGCAACATACAAGATTTCCAAGGAAATCTGACTTCAAAGACCTGGGGTTGACATGGCGATCACCAAACGAGCCCTCAAACCCAACATGCACATCATCTTGCTTGAGCTCCTCCAAGTTTGCCCGAATAAATTGACGAACAGCGTCTTCCAAACATTGGATTTCAAAAGCAAAATTGTTGATGAGTCTAAAAAGTAATACGACATGAAAAACTCAACTTACCCTTCCAGCCGATCAGGGAGTTTCTCTCTAATGTCGTTCAAATTAACAATTAGTCTTTTGCTCTGAGACCGGAGCAGCTCTTCTGTTTTTTGAGCATAAATGTTCGCGGAATCCTAAAACAATTTCAGTAAGGCTTATAGTATAACGAAGACACGTCTTTCTCGCATCAGACGGCTCACCTTGTCGTCCACAAAGTCCAGGTACTCTTGAGTGACCTCCTTCTTCTTGGTTTCATCATTCACATCCACCAAACCCAAGTTATTATCATTCATTGTATCAAGTGGTAAAAACTGCTGAAAAGATCGCAATCAATTGCTTTGATCAAAAATGATGAAGGTCTCCCGAATTTTTTTTTACATTTTTTCTTTGAATCTTTTTCCGCGCGCCAAACTTTCGCGCCAAACAAGACGCCTGATGTCAGACTGGGTCTCGCCGCGAAAAGAAAATTGTACTGTAGAGCTGAATTTCTATTCGTAGAAAAATTCCTATATCGAGAAAAAATTTGGGGAAATTCGCAAGTATTTCATTTTTGCATTGTTGTTACGTGAATTCCATTGCAAAATAAATTTTTACGGTTTATATATTTTGTATTTACAGGGTTCGAAATACTCCACACATCACAAGATGGGTATTTCCCGTGATTCTATGCACAAACGCCGTGCCACCGGTGGAAAGCGTGCTCAATTCCGCAAGAAGAGAAAGTTCGAGCTTGGCCGTCCTGCTGCCAACACCAAGGTATGTTATTCTTGATACGAGTTTTTGTTTATTATTTTTTACCAAAGATTTTGACTGATTTTGGCTTTACTTTTTGAATTTTTTAATATACATTTTTTTGTAGATTGGACAACACCGTGTTCACTTGGTCAGATGCCGTGGTGGAAACATAAAACACCGTGCTCTTCGTCTTGATACCGGAAACTTCGCCTGGGCCTCCGAGGGTAATATTTTAAATTTATTGTTGTTGAATTTTAGGCTGGGTTGTATCGGGGTTCTTAACAGTCTTGATTATTTTAACGTCTTTTATCTACGTATATTACAGGAACCACCAGAAAGACCCGTATCATCGACACCGTCTACTCGCCATCCGGTAACGAGCTTGTGCGAACCAAAACTTTGGTCAAGTCGATGGTTGTCTTGGTTGATGCCGTCCCCTTCCGATCATGGTACGAATCCCACTACGCCCAGCCTTTGGCCAGAAAGAAGGGCCAAAAGTTGACTCCCGAAGAGGAAGAGAAGTTCAACACCCTCAAGGAGAAGTCCAAGAAGACTCAGCGAAAGTACACCGAACGCCAACAGACCTCCGCTGTCGAGCCCCATCTTCTCGAACAGTTCCAGACCGGTCGATTGCTCGCTGTCATCTCTTCCCGACCAGGCCAATCCGGCCGTTCCGATGGCTACATCTTGGAAGGAAAGGAACTCGAATTCTACCTTCGTAAAATCAGGGCCAAGAAGGCCAAGTAAAAAGTTGTTTTTGTTTTGATTAAACTTGTTACGGCTGTTATTAAAATTTATACAAGTTTATTCCGGAATTTGATATATAGATTCTATTAGACCCGTAGAGATTAGATTTGGAATACACATTGGGGAAAGATATGGGTGGGTGTTGAATGATGAGCAGATTCATGGTGACCTTAGTTGACTATGGCTTTTGACACGTTTTGGGCCCAAGACTAAAGTCGGTTCGTTGTCATCGGTCATCACGATTCTGGACTGGCGATTCGATCGATCCTGGAAATTATTTGGTTTAGTAAACGCCAGTGTTAACTAACTTACTCTATAAGAAATGAAGAGCCCACATGGGACCCAAATGAACAGCGACCCGAGTATAATGATGAATACAATGTAATCGGCAAAATGTTTGGGAGATGGATTATCTCGGAAATCTTTGATAATTCTCCAAAAGTGTGATGCAGCATCAGTAACTTCTTTTACACATTCATGCTAAAAATAGGCTCAGAAACCCGGGATCGGCTTACCTTCTTATTACATCGGCCCTGGATGCAGATAGAACCTTCTTGAAGGTATCTGTGTGGTTCGACAGGCATACAAACACCTTCGGGTGATCGGCAACATCGGAGACAACTGTCGGTTACTAAAATAAAAATGATAAACGTGTACTAGTCGTTCCGGAAAGCCACGGGACTGAAATCGGCGACACGCACAGTGCAAACGCCAAAAAAAAATCCGTCGACTTTCCGGAAGGACTAGTAAGCAAGCGTACCATTACCACAAATACATGGAGACCAATTAGGACCTTTCGTATTATGACAGAAGGAAACACATTCCCCGCGTTTACATACACCTTCGTCTACGCATTCGGTTCCATCAGCCACCGGTAGAGGAGCTGGGCATTTGTCACCCTTTCCACTAAAAGCACTCATTTTGAAAACGTTAAGGTAAAAGTTACTCACGTGCAAAAGGCTGATCTCTTACAAGCATCATTATTGTGTGCTTGACACACATGAGCCGGGGAAAGGTAGGAACAGGACGCCGAACAACATTCGGAATGCCTTGGAGAACAAGTAGCATTGCCTTTGAATTTACACTTGGATGTACAGCATCGATTGTTGTCATCAGTATGACCTAACAACAGTTGTCCACCCGGATCACACTCTTCTCCCGGTTCAAGGATGCCGTTTCCACACATTGACTTCCGTTCGTCGACAAAACATTGATCCAGAACCATGTACAACACTCTGTGGATGGCTTGTTTTGAACAGGGACTGAAGCAGTTGTTATTTTTGTCGTATCCAGAGTTCGAGGATTCGTACATCAGGTAACGGCCATCAGGAGAATCTTTGGGGACACAACGTTCATTATCTTTGTCATCATGATAGCTGCCCCAAGTATGCCCGATCTCTGAAATGCAGAATGAAAATTTCAAATATCAGCCGTAATTACAAACAGTCTAAAGAAACTTACCATGAGCAACAACAAGATCCACGACTCGTGTAATCATCAGACCCGAACTTCGTTGAACAGATATCACAGCCGTGTTCATGTATGTTCCGTTGATCGGTTTCGTTGCACAAACACCTCGTTCAAATTGAGTACCAATATTTGCAAGCCCCAGGATCGACATGGCAAACACTTTTCCGGATATTAGAATAGTTAGACAAGTTGGAGACCCTTCTTTTTCAGAGAACGACTAAAATTGTAAACCGAATTAATGTGAGATGAAAACTCACTTTCAAGACTTGAATTGAATCTGCATCATGATAATTGCTATCAGAATTGAAGTGATGAATGTCTTTGTCGGGTTCGTCTAAGATTTTAATCTCCTTTATTGAGAAACCGAGGTTGACAAGACGATCACCGTTCTTGTCATGTCCCCAATCTACCGGCTTGAAAATGTCGTTGACCCTTTCGATGAGATTAACCTAATCGCAAAAAAAATAAAAGAAAAATAGTACGTTAACTTACCAGGTATCTGGCAGCATTGGCATAATTCCCATTGCCAATCAGTTTGAAGAAGGCGTAATCTGCCACCAATTTAATCTCACATCTGTTCTTCTTTACTGGTTTACTCTCTCTTTTAACGCGGAATTGATCAAAAAAAGAATCCGGCTTGTAACTAAACAAGTACCTGGGCTTCTCTTGAGATAATTTGGTGCCGGAATGGTTGCGAAGACCTTCTAAATCGAGATCAGATTGCTAAAGAGCTTATTTATCTTTATCAAAGACATACCCAATAAACTAATGACTTTCCATCGGTATGAGGTTCAATGAATAAAGTGTCGTTGACCAAGTCCAGTCGCCCGTAAATTTCTCCAGGCTCAACGCCAACCGTAAGGAACCCAGACGAATAAGGAACTCCCTTAACACGGGCTGCGTAAAACCTAGAACTTCTGAAGAGGTCGCTGACAAGCTGACGACCATCAGAAGAAACTAAAGTAAAGTCTCGGAAAAAAGGAGCTGAACCATGCTCGAGGAGAACTTTAAAATTACGAGTGAAAGCTGTGAAGGTTAGGAGATCGGATCCATGATTATTTGTATAAAGATTAGTTACGACGACATCAAAATTACGAAGAAAATCAACTAAAAGTTGAAAATAGGTAATAAAAAAGTAAATTAAAAAATTACCTGCAAGGACATGGCCCGTAAAAGCCAAGAGTGAAAGCATGAGCAAGATGAGCTTCATTTTGTGATATTAAACTAAAAAAACAAATTAGATTCAATCCAGTGAGCTTACCAGGACATTCCATCAACTCTTTCTGAATTTTGTACAAAGAGATATTCCGAGGAAAGTGAATAAATCGTACCCGCGATTTAATAACGAAACAGTCCCAACAAGAGACGGGCGCCTCGTCTTCTTTTTGACTTGTGTAAATTCGAGTATTCCCTAATTTGAATCCTTTCTTCGAAGTTGCTAACAAAATTCCGTCGACGGACGCTTCGTTTACCAGTTCAAAGATAATCCTTCGTCCTTTCAGAGGTTCGATCAGACCAAACAAAGACTTGTCCATACAAAATTTTGAAGGCTCTGAACAATCAGTTCTATCAAAAAGCGTTTTAGAGCGACATTCATAGGATTCCTCGAATTCCACGCATAAAAGACGATCAAATTGAAACCCGGTAACAAATTCATTAACACTTTTACTGATAACAACAAAACAAAACAATCCAAAGACGTAGAATAACTTTAGGCTTCGGCGACGAAGTCCTTCTTGAGTTTTCCCAGGAAGGCCTTCTTTTCGGCACTGGTCTGGAAGCGACCGTGTCCGTATTTGGAACTGGTATCGATCCATTTGAGACTGATCTTTTCGGAGGCGGTTCTCTTCTTGGACACGTACAGACTCTTTCTAAGGGTGATTGGGCGTTTCTTGGATCCAATGCAGCAACCACGGATCATCAAGAAGTCCTGCTTGACTACACCATAATGGGGGAAACCGCCCTGCAAATGAATGACTCATTATTTGTTTATCTCTTATGCGTCAAAAGTGGTCAAACAACAAATAAACTCACCAAGGGGTTGATGTCCTTAGCGGTGATATCGAACTCGGTCGAACCGTTCTTCTTTCCTTCGGGGGTAAGGGCAGATTTTCCAATCCTGTAGATCTTCTTGTTGAGTTCGGTACGATGGTGGAAACCTTTCTGACCAGCACGCGCAACGGTGTACTGGACACGGGAAGGATGCCACGCTCCGATACAAGCGACCTTGCGGAGACCTTTGTGGGTCTTTCTGGGCAACTTCTTGGTGTGCCAACGGCTGGTGACACCCTTGAATCCGTGACCCTTGGTGACACCAATACAGTCAATCATCTCATCAGGGTTGAATACCTGTTCAACAGGGATCTGCTTCTCAAAGTGTTCTCTAGCCCAGTCAACCTTCTCGGGGACGGAACCTCCGTTGATTTGGATTTCCATGATCTGGGCCTTCTTGTTGCGGTGCTTGAGGATCTTGACCTGAAATCGCAAAGGTCAGCGGAGTTCAATCATAAACAAAACCAATTGCACAAGATTTACCTGAGTGTGGGCGATCACACGGACGACCGAGCAGTATTTCTTGATCTTGGCGAGATCGGTGTCAATGCTCTTCTGACCTTCGGGGTCTTGCCATTTCTTGGCAAACTTGGTGAAAGCGCGCTTCTTGGACTTGTACCTGCAAAGATGCTTGTTTAAGAACCCTCATGTCATAATTGACAGCGGAGGGCCATCTTTGCCGGTGCGGCGACACTCGTAAGCACAACGCCCAGCGGAGTGATCGACAGCCCTTCAGAGATCACATTACTCTAAACCACATGTAACCCCAAAAAAATCAAGCCAATTCGGCCTTACCCTTAAAAAGAAAAGCTTTCCACATGTTTTACCTAAATTCCGAAACAAACCCTAATAGCTTACCAGTTCTTGTAAAAACGACGTTTGCAATCTTCGCTCAAGTGTTCGGCGAAGACGGTTTTCAAAGCTCTCATTCCACGAGGGGTCTCAATGTATCCAACAACACCGACGATAACAAGTGGAGGGGTTTCGATGATGGTGACAGCCTCAACAACTTCCTTCTTGTGGACCTTGGATCCAGGCTTGTCGACATCACGGACGATGTGGGTCATGCCAGCCTTATAGCCGAGAAAAGCGGTCAAGTGGATGGGCTTGGAGGGATCATCCTTGGGGAAGGCCTTTACCTTACCACGGAAACGGGCTGAACGTTTCTTGGGGGTGAAACCCATAGAACCGTGGCGAGGTGCCGAGAATTTACGGTGAGACATGTTGAACCCTGTAAAAACGACAATGAAACAACTGCGAACATATCCAAATAATAAATTTACTATGGCGTAGTAAACGCAACATCAACTAATAAAAATTCACGCAAACACGCCCAAGGTAACCAATACTAGTACTAAATTCAGCAACTGGAAAGAAATAAAAAATCTCCCACAATTTCGTCTTTTCCTACCGTACCACTGTTTTCCTTTGTTTTCGTGGCGGGACACAGCGCATCTCACAATGTCAAAAGGACATGGTGAGATTCATTCTGAAGCTCTTCTGCTTCTGTTTGTATCTGCCATCTATTAAAATTATACAGCACTAATTTTTAGCCGCAATATACAATTCACATTTATGATTATAGTTTATCAAACCAACAAAAAATTTATTCAAAAAACAATGAACTTTTAACAACATTTACTGTTGTTCTTGAAGGTTTTTCAAGTGCAACAAGTAGGCCTTCTTTGTGGAGACGCGGGCCTTTCTTTGCTCGTGGGTCAGCTTCTTGGCAGTCCAACGTTTCTTCTCGACCTTCTTCTCCTTCTTGGCTTCTGGTTCAGGGTTAGCACGGATGGCGTCATGGGCCTTCTTGTAGATGCCCTCCAAAGAGTCGGGCGAGATGCCGGCCTTGATGAATTGAGAGAATTGGCGTTTGTAGGCGTCCTCGTCATCGTCCTTTAGCTGTTTCATGTACTCGGCGACATGTTTGCCGAAGATTCGGTCACGGTGGGCCTCAGCGTTGTACTCCTTCGACTCTGGGTCATATCCGTAGAACCGAGATTCACTGAAACAAATTTAATCATTTCGGTAGACGACCAAAATTTTATTTAAATTACCTGTGTGGAACGTTGATTCCTCCATCAGCAACTCCTTTCATCACGGCGAATACTTTGGCTCCAGTGGTTGTACGAGCAAGACCGACATCAAGCACGGCCTGGAAGGGGTTTGGGTTATCTCCCTCCTGTTCGACGTTGTAATCCTCACCGTTGACTTCTTCGGTTCCCTTGTACAAAGTGTCAAGCTTGATGGATTTCAGGTGGCGGCGGGCCAAGAGAAGACCAGTGGCGTAAGCGGCAGCGTAGTTGGTAAGACCGACCTTGATGCCATAACGGGGAAGTTCATGAGCGTAGGCAGATGAGACAACAACGTCTCCTCCGATCTTTGAGTAAGCGATCTAAAAGAATAGCTTTTAAAAACAGATTTAGGGCATCTAATGGCATAAAATAACTAATAATTATCATGTCTCCTAAATCAGAAAACAAAAATACAAAAGTAAAACAAACCTGGGCAATAACGTCCTTGTTGGTGAAACGAACGATCAGACGGTACTTTGGGGTGTTGTACTTGTTCTTGTCCTGAACAGTGAGGCGTTTCCGAGCATAGTAATCGGTCTTTCCCTCACGTCGACGCTTCAGCTTGGTCTGGAAGCGCTTGAAGTACGCGCGGTTCTTAACAACCTTGACTAAACCCATGGCTAAAAGCTGAAATAATCAAAAACGTAACAAAATTAGTCAAAACAATATTAGTTTACAGAAGATCGACAAAACTCACGATAAACGTAAAATATTTTTGCAAAAGAAATAAAAAAGAGAAGGACTTTCCTAAATTCTCCCTGTGAAAAACGGGTCTCGAGGAGAAATACGGTAGATTGATTCTGGCATTCCGTATAACGAAAAAAAATGTCGGAATTTTATTTTATTAGGGTGTCCCATAAGTCTTGCAAATTTTTGGGTTTAAGAATTAACGTCTCATTTCGAGGGCCTAGAGAACTATACTTCTTAATGATTGGCACTGTTAGGACCACCATCAGTTACACTTGTTAACAGCATAAAAATTTTAACTAACCACGTGCCCTCCGGGGAAATACTTGACACTCTTTAATATTGTCCAGTTTTGGGAAGGGTTAGGAAAACGATTCCGTTCTTTGGTAAGTGAGGCTGCACCTTTGCAACCACACTTTTTTATAAATCTACTGAGTACTCTGTTTCTAAAAAAGCGGCGCTTTCCACTGAATTCTTGCTTATGACGCTGTCCTGCAGGCTTCTTGTATCAGGCGCCATGGTGAATATCACGATGTATATACTTTTGCGTATAAATTTTTTTAAGGATGGTTTCTCAGGTCGGGCCGTTACCATAATGAAAATAGCGTTAGATTTATGCGTTTTAAGAACGGATCCGTTGGCTACCTTGTTCTGAATTACCGCTAACCCAAGAAAATTTGAAAAAATGAGGTGCATTTACTCAATACCAAAAAAGTTGGCATGGATACAAATAATCTTGTAGTGCAGTGTCTTTTAAACATTGACATATGTATTTTATCTTAGCAAGAGGATTTTGGAATAGCGGTGCCAAGGGCTGAAAAAAACACTAAATTTAAAAAAATTTCTGTAAATTTTAAAAATAATCGGGAAAATTTTGAATTATATATATCTCAAGGCAAAAAATTGATACAGGCGGTAATCATAGCCTCATTATGTTCACAAGCAAGCGTAGATTACACACGATGCAGAGCTACGGCCAACACTTTCTACCGTCGAAAAAATAGGTCAGAAAAACGTGAGTGCAACAGTTTTCATGTTGGTCAAACCACCACAAAAGTGCCCATGCCTGTATCGCAGCGTGGACTAGAATATGATCCGAAGCTCTCATGCGTCCTATTTTCACGTGTAGTGGGCCCACAGATCTATTTTTAGAAAGCATATATCCGTTTTAAAATCGGCAAGCAAAATTTTTCTTAATGTCTAGTACAATATCGGGGCAGTGTGGGCAGCAGGTGGATCCTCTGTGGCTTTGTCATATACGGTTTAGAAGCGCTTTATCCGAGCTTTAAACCAGTACATCCAACATACTCCGTAATGCGTTTCAAAGCTTACAAGAATTCGCTCAAGTCGACCACCCAAAAATTTGCAAGACTTATGGGACACCCTAATATTTTCCGAATTCGGACACGCAAAAGAAGATAACGTGAGAAGGAGAATTGATAAGCAACCCAATGTTTGTTTTTTTGCTTTGAAAAATAGGATTCAGATCAATAAATGTATAAACCACTTTATATCTTCTGCTAACCGATGGATAAGATAAGCTGTCGATATTTACAAGTACAACCGAGCCTGAGGTATAATCATCTATACAATTAATGATATCCTTCTTGACTGCTCTTTTTGGCGTTCTCTCGTTGTAAGGCGGATCTGGCGGCCCATTTTCCTTTTTCTCGTGGAGCTGTGGATGATGTTCTGGTAGAAGCTGAGAGGAGAGCCGTCTTGACACAAAGTTTGGCTTCGGATGATACTGGCCGTTCGACGATGAAGCTGACTTTCCTGGTGGCTCCCAATCTCTGGAGCATCAGCTTCTTGGCTTCTTCACGGTCCTTGATGGGAGTGCCGTCTACATCAATCAATCGGTCACCGATCTAAAAGAAACGGATTTGGTAGACAAGTTCTATTATATAGACCTTACCATCAGTTTGTCAACGCACAACGAATTCGGGTCCATTTTGGAAACGAAGATGGAATTGTCGGCATTCTTGATAACCAGACCAAATTTAGCGCCTTTCCGGTACCTTACGACCACACAATGATAAGAGTAGCCACGACGGCGAGTAAATAAATGTTCTCTGGCCTAGAAGGTAACGTAATAAAGATAAGTTTACTTATGTAACATCTAATAATGAAGGATTAAATTGTCATTCGCACCTTGAGTCCTTTGAGTTCCTCCGGGTCAACAGGGATTGGGACTGCATCTTCGGACACAGAAATGGTACTCAGTCCAACCGCCTTCAAATCGTCTTTCCTGGAGTCGGAGCTGGATTGGGATCGCACCGAAGAGGTTTCCTTCTGCAACGATGTGTTCCGAGGTGGCGGTTCACCATTGTTACCACCCGGACTTCCATCGGAGATCATTTTTGGACCCAAACGACCGCACCGTGGAAAAGTGGATTGAACTGATTTATGAATTGGTCGAGAAATTTAGTCGGCTTATGGGAAAGGTCATCTACAGATTGTTTCCGTGAATATTTTATCGTATTCTGTGCAATCGCACCTTTTCGGTTCCATTTGAAACGCAGTTTTCCAGAGTTCAGTCATCCATTATTCGACCAAATGTAAAAAGATGCAAAAAAGTAAGCAAGTTTATGAAAAAACTCAAATCGAGCAATTTTTCCCAAAACTGCCCGTTTCTGGAGGGTGTTCTGCAAACTTGCAGGCCTTCGTTCTCTGGCAACTATCATTCTAATTTCGCGATTTTGGTACTGCTGGACTCGCAAGGGTTTCTGTTTTCATAAATTGGAATAAAAATAAGCAAAATCTGTTGAAAATTTTCGAGAATTTCAAAAATATCTAATATGCAAATAAATATGCAAATTTTTATGATCTTCCGCGGAAGACACAAGTTCCTGGCAAAAATGCGTGTTTTGGAACGAGAAACATTACAGTCAGGACTTAGTTACTACGACGTCGGGTCACTGAGTTATGAGAAATTAGGTCATGTTACAGTAATCCAAGGTACCGTATGACGTGAAAACAGTTAATCAGAAAGGAAAGTTTCTGAGAGCAGTTTTTGAGCTTTGTGAATTTTCGGGTAGCTTGAGATTTTATATAGGCATCGGTCTCCAAGGTTAGAGAAATGTGTTTTAACATTTCCTTTGTACTAACAACTGATTCTGTTTGCAAAGGCCTTCTTGGCCATCATCTTAACTAATTGAGCCAAAATATTTTATCATGGACATAAAGAAATGGCGCCGAGGTAAAATCTTCTGCACTTTCGTATCTGCCTCCGATAATCGGGTCGGTAATACTCACTAATTTTCTACGGACTATTAGGGATTACTTTGTTGAAAGTCCAATTCAAAGTAGCAAAGTCTGGGAAGCCGGGATCTTCGTATTCTCCATCCTCCCACAAGTTTTACCTGGACTATTTTGATGGACGGTTTAATCCCTTCCATTTATGGGGCCCACTTCCCTTTTTGTTTTTGGGCCCTTAGGGTCTCACCTGTTAGGATTAGATTCCCAGCCCCGTATATTACACATGGATGTATAAGCATCAGGTTGGAGGGCCAGATTATGTGCACACAATTCTCCGGAATCCCAGTCGGGTTTATGGGTTCGTATAAAGGGTAATGGACATCCCCGGTTATGTGTTCGATATTGTTTATAGTCTGCGGTCACGACCGGCCAAATGGGGAGGACCAAGTTCTCTGTAAGTGTAAAGACTTTCGTTTAGCAGCTGTTTTTATTTTGGGTTTGATACTTTAGGCGAACAAAGGATAAACGTGTTACGTTTATTCTGTCTGGCAGCTCATTCGATTCACATTTTTTTGGTGTAGCTTTTATATTAACCGTAATGACAATTCGTCAGTTGAACTTGACCATAGGCAGATGCCCATTTACTTAGCACTGAAACGCTGCCGAATTACGAAATGGCCTAGCGACGTAAATGTGAGGGTGTTTGGGGATTCATTCATTAAAGAGTGCCAAGTATTTTCTGGGGTTAATCTGGATTATTTTGGGGATGCGTAGAGGATGAGCAATGTCCTATGGTCGATTGTGATATACGCTCATTATGCACCCGGCCCAAATCGCCAAAAGTTTAGTAATAGTTCAATTCTGCACTGTGAAACCCTTCTCTCAATTTTTTTTGCACAGTGAAGTCGCTTGGAAGCATGCAAATTCGAGATGCAATTAATAATCATAACTCACGACGCCAGAATCCCCTTCTTCCTCTCGGCTTCACACCTAAAATAAATAATCTTCATGCCCGCAGGCGTCAATTTAAATCCCGTTTTGTGCCATAAACTCTTTAAACCTAAACATTCTTCTCTTCGCGGTTCATTTGCGCGGCTTTATGTGCGGAAATATGGGCAATCCTTTTATATTTTTTGTTTTTGAGGAAACCAACGCCGCCCGTAGACCTGCCAATTAAAAGACCCGAGGCGATGTGTGGCAAGGTGTGCTCATGACCCATGATTTGGGAGATGTTTTTTGTTGCCCTCTGGCTTCTGATGCCACCGGTTCATGCGAATCCACCAGATGCTTGTTTGCTGAGATGCAAAGACAATTACGTAAGAAAAGCGACTTTGTGTAGCATTACGGTATTAAATCATCTTGTTTTATTTGGATCATAGCTTTTGTTGAGAAATCATGTCATCGTTAAATTGGTTAGTAAAATTATGTAAACTTGCAGAAAAAGTGTGAAAAGGCTGAGAAAGTGCGACTATAGCAGTCTTTCGTAAACGGATTAGACAAATTATTAGTAATAACTTTCACACAGTTCCGCTTTTTTTGCACCCTTGTCACAGATAATATCAATAGGTTTGAACAATTAAGTGGTAATAAATACAAATGTACTAAAAATAGTTACGTAGTTAAGTGTGCGATAGATACCCCATTATATTACAGTTGCAACACATGCAATCATTGGCGGCTGAGAAGTCGCAGATGTGGTCGATAAGCCTGTCAACGCCGTTGCAAGGGCTCTTCTCAAAACATTCACACCTCAGCGTCTATGATCGCCTTAGTATTTCCTGCGAGTAAGTGGAATGTAATAAAAATTGAATTGGTTACTAATTATGTCATAGAAATTTTGCAATAAGCAGTATTTGCAGTTAGATCAAATTAGAAATTTTCAGTGCTCACAAGCAATTCGTGGTATGTTTAAATAAGTGCTCAGATTCTAAAGGGCGAAAAATCCTGGAAGCAGGCCAAAGTTCATGGTCCTTCATTTGTAATTCTTTCGAGGATAGTCCAGGTAAGCCTTCTTTACCTTTCTTCAAATGCCCGTAATCCTGGATCTAACATGAACTTTCGTTTAACAGACTTTCAAGACGAAGTCCTGCCTTGTTGGCAATCGCATGGAGAACTCATATCCACAAAGTGTCATATCCACGCAGTCATGGTACAAAACAGTGTGATGGATCTTATCCAAAATGGCTGGGCAGATCCCACTTCGACGTTAGACGATCTCTGTCGAAGTGTCACTTTGTATGACAAATGTTATATTGGGCAGAGTGACGTGCATTGTGGGCAAAAAGGGTGGAAGTTTTTGTTACAACTCAACACCAGGAATTCGATGTAAGTATTTTTAAGTGAACAAAAGGAAGGTGTAATATCAGCCTAAGAATACGTTGCTCTAACTTTTTTGCTTGTCAAAAAGTTGGTAACAAATTGTTCTAGGGTTCTAGTCCAACTACTCTCTCAAAGCGCCGGCGTCAACGTCATTCCATGGGCCTGTCAGCAGTGGAAACATCCAGTAGAATATGCAGAATGGCATGCACAACGACTCTCCAATTCAAATTTCGGGTATAAAGTAACAATATCACTTTTACATTTAGCTGTGTTATTAGCCGCATTTCTCTAATAAAATTATTAAGGAAAATGTAAGGTCCAAATAACATACTACAATTAATAAAAAGACCTTTATTTACATTGTGACAAAAGCATAAAAAACGCTTTAAGCAACTTCAGGGAATTCGTGTAGCTTTAAACGTGCGAGGTTTTCATCGAGGGATTCTACGGACATTCCAATGGCTTCATCGCGGATACTCGCATATAAGGCCGACGACCTCAAAATGTAAAATACTATGTTGTAAAAAACAATATAGACTATTAATAGCTTATAAATGCTTACAAGTATCGTTCTCCGAAGCTTGGAAGTACTGTAACAATCAGTTTCCCTTCATTCTCGGGTAATTTGGCCAATCGGATAGCAGCACAGACATTCGCTCCACTTGAAATTCCGCATAAAAGCCCTTCTTCCAACGCCAATCTTCTGGCCATAATAATGGCCTCGTCCGAATGAACGGTGATGACGCCATCCACAATATTCTGATCGAGTACAGTGGGAATAAATCCGGTCCCGATGCCTGGAAAATTTTTAAAGTAGTCATCACTTCTCGTAATAATGAAGTAACCTTATGTGCGCCTACCTTGTATTTTATGAGGTCCTGGAGCCATTCCACTCAATATCGCTGACTCTTCGGGCTCCACAGCGTAAAGCTAAATACAGATTTTAACTATATGAAATAATCATCAAAGCAATCGCAGAGTTTCAAGCTACCTTTAAATTTGGGTTCTTTTCCTTCAGAAAGGTACCTGCTCCCGTAATTGTGCCACCAGTGCCAACTCCGAACGCGCAGATATCCACTTTTCCATGTGTTTGCTTCCAGATTTCTGGGCCAGTGCTTTCATAATGAATCTGAGGGTTTGCAGGATTTTCAAACTAAAACAAAAATTTTTCAATCAAATTTTTATTAATACCCGATTTGCGTAAAAAAATTAAGCTAACTGCTTACTTGTTGAAGAACATATGAATCTGAGATGTTCTTAGCCAATTCCTGAGCTCTTTCAATAGCCCCACTCATCCCTTTTGAAGGTTCGGTAAGAACAAGTTCAGCTCCATAAGCTCGAAGGAGAGTTCTCTAAAAATAAATTGTAAGTATACTATAAGCGATCAAACAGCAACGGATGAACTGCCAAAAATATATTGGCTATAAAAAAAGAATCCATAATACGAGTTCATCGAAATTTTCAGATAATTATAAGCTCGTACTTCTAGAACGGCGTCCTTTTTCTAGAGACCAACAAAATTAAAAACAAATAAGCGTACCCTTTCTAAACTCATCGAAGATGGGATTGTTATGATCAATTTGTATCCTTTTACGGCTGCAATAAACGCCAATGCAATACCAGTATTTCCACTTGTCGGTTCGATTAAGGTTGTAACTCCGGGCCGAATCTTTCCGGCTTCTTCGGCCGCCTTTATCATCGAATAACCAATTCGATCCTTTACCGAGCATGCCGGGTTCAGGTATTCTAGTTTCACGGCTGAAAGTTTAGAAAAATTGGAAAATGAACCTTCAAAAACCTCGAATTTTTAACGGTAATTTAAATAAAAATCTGCGGTAAGCCTCCAAAAAATCAAAAGTATTAGCAATTAAATCGCTTCCTAGTAAACAAGACAACATCGTCGAGAAGCGGAAGATACGAAGATTGTACTATGCTTACCGACTTTTCCTTTGCAATCCGGGTCCAGGACTCGTCGTAAATAGATCATCGGTGTGTTCCCGATGAGAGAAGACGCATCTTCACCAATAGAATCTCTGCTAGCCATTCAGGTATATGTACGCAACTTAAATAATTCACTTTTGGTGTTTTATACGCGTCTTTTCGATTCACAGACGATTATCAAATTGTTTTTCTTGGAGCAAGCTGCGCCCGAGACTGCAGCAAACAAAATGAGGGAACGAAAATATCCTTTGTTACTTGTTTTGGAGAGACGAAAGGAAGGAAACATGGGATAGAAAAAGTTGTTTCAAAAATTCAAGCGGACTAATGACGAGAATTTGTGGTAAGACATAAAATATTAATTATGTAACACTTGAAAATAATAAAAATAAGGTGAAATTTGAAACGAATATAATTGATATTAAGATCTGTAGTGCCTCTCTCCGGCGCAAAGCAAAAATTAATAAAGGCATGCTGAGAATAACATGTGCGAACAAGCAAAGTAGTAAAATACTCGAGGAATGACGACAATATTACACATCAGGACGTTGTAGTCCCAATACAACTAGGCATGTATTTACGGCAGTGCCTAATTTGTAAATAGATGCCTAAGGACAGCACCTTTTTTGTCCCGGGGGTTTGCAGAATTGGAGGAGTACATAATTTGGAGATTATTTGCTTCGCGGGCCAATTAGTACAGTATCAAATATGTAAGTTTAACTAAACAAAATGTATTGCCTTTCCGTTACAAAAAGTTGAAGTCATCGGCCATTTATTAAAAGAAATAGATGGAACATCTGAAGGTCTTCCAACACTTATAACGATGTAAAGATAATAAATACATACAACACAAAAAATTCGAATGAAACCCTTCCCAAAAGGGCATTTTGCGAGATGTGTTTTGCAAAGGTCGCCCCCTAAGCAGCACAGTCCTTATCTATATATATATAGTTGATTGTCCCCCGATCAAGATGGGGAACTTCCCTTTTTGGTTCAGGTGTTCTTTGAAGTTGGCGGCGAGAAATGCGCCTAAAAAATACACGGAATTTGCTGATGGGCACGTCTTTAGTTTGGCGTTACAAATTACAAAAGCTAGATCAACAGATGACGAGATCGATCCAATCAAACTACAGGTCACGAGGAACAAGAAGAACAATTCCTGTTTGCTTGTGATGATTAAAGTTACTTTTTCTATTAAAGTACGCAGTAAAACTTCTTTGAAGGGATTTGACTTACACCTCTTTTTATTTTAGTTACAAGTTAATTAATTAAAGGGTGTTTGATCTTTATTTGGTGTCGAGGATTAGTTTGGATCAACTTTTTACAACTGAAGAATGATTACCAGTTTTATTTTTTTTAAACAGTTAAAGCAGCGTTGTTTGCAACGAAGAAAAAGTGAAAAATTGTAGTTTTATATGTTTGCAATTAAAAAATTTAAATTTGGTGGTTGCATCACACTCAAATACACTTTTATACAGTCCACCTTTATGTGGCATGCTCTTCAAGTCATAATAAAGGCCTTTTGCCAAAAAGTTTGTTTAGTCAAGTGGAGGAAGCGTTTTCTTTTCAGTCGGAAGGTCCCGGGTTCGGCTCCCGCTGCCCGCTTTCTTCGTTTCATTTGCGGTAAATCGGTGTTTAGTGCAATGTCCGAAGGAAGCCAGAGAAATTACCATTTGGTATCTCCCTTCCCATATTCAATACGGGATTGGTTTCGTAATAATGGTCATATTTTTTCGAAATAATTTGAGTTTTGTCTGCTTTCTTGACATTCTGAACACAGAAAGCTTTGATAATAAGTTTATCCCATACAAAATGGGAGGAAGTTTTTAAATTTAGCAGTTATTTTATTACTATTACATCCAAGCACAAAATTAAACTAAATAAGGCCGATCTTTGACGGAATTGTTCTCGGAATCCCATCCCTGATTGAAAGTCGTATCGTCATCGTCGGGCATAGGCTTCAGATTATCCAAAGAAGAGATCGTTAACTTCACATCTGAACTCGGTTTCCTTCTCGAATCAAATCTGTCATCCAAAGTGTCAGTGGTCGAGAATTTGGCCATCGAATCCACCCTATCTCGGAATTTCCTTCGACAAGCTACAGTAAACACCCGGAAAGCAAAGTAAGCAATCTCAAATACTGTAATCACAGATGCTCCCAGCCATAATCCAGCTTGTCCACCAACATCGGAAAGGAAATTAACAAACTGAAAGGGAAAAATAAAGATTTTAATGGTAATAATGATGATGAATATTAAAAAATGGTGACTTACTGAGTAAGCTTCGCGTTCTGTAAGGATTTCAAAGCTCATTTGCTCGTAGTAAATCTCTAACATCACTGTTTGACTTCTAAAAACAAACATCAACCCCAAAATTGTTGAGTTTTGTGGTGCACTAGCCATGGTAACTTACGGATCAAAGTTTTCGACGCAATCTCCCTCTTTCTTTCCTCCTTTCTTACACTCATTGATGCTAAATGCCGCAGGCATTAATCTGGCGGAGGAATATGTTGTTGTGTAGACATTGTGTTCACATGGGTGTTTGCAACCACATCTAGCCATTAGATATTTACTACGCGTAAATTCCAACGAAGCCTTTACCAAAGAATCTCCTGAAAGGATAAGAATGTCAAGTTTCCTGTTCTTACGTTCGTAATGATCCAGAGTATTGCAAAACCTTGTTCCATTGTGGGGTGTGGGGTACCGGGGATCTGCACAGTGCACTTCGTGGATCATTTTGTTTTGATAACAGCTTTTGTAACAGCCCTGAAAGAAAGCCGGTTACTATTGTAATTTGTAAAGCAAACCTATTAGGTGGCCAAAAAAGGTTTTAAAAATTTTCATAATTTTTTATTCGTCTCAAACCCTTTTTGAGATGGGCAGACAAGAACTGAAATATATACATATGTTTATGCTTCCGAAACTAAAAACTTGGTGTGCTTGATGCTTTCAAAATTGGGGCTTGTTGTTTGCCCGCTTTCATCGAAATCTGTCAAACAATCAGCACTAGTCTTTCCAATCCTTTACTCACCTCTGGTTCGTACTTGTGGTTCATGTAGATGTATCCTCGCGTGTGTTCTCCTTCGCTTACACATTCATCCCCACTTACGGCCAATCGATTGACTTGTCGCTACAATATTGATTGTCAATCACAATCAACATTACAAATTAACATTACAAAACGATATCTTAATTTAATTTACCATGGACAACCCGAATGAAGAGACAGCCCCAGTTGGAGCGCTATAACCAAAAGTCTCCGGAAAAGGCCATTCGTTGGAGTCATGAATCGTGATCCGGACGCCCTTGGCTTCGGTTGTGGGCAAGTAATCAGCCGCATCGACGGAAACTAGCAAACGGAGACCTAAAACATGCTGGTGACTGAGCGGTTATAAATGACCCTGATGATTTTTTGTGAGATTTTTTTGTTTTATTTGCTCTCAATCCTCAAGGGGATATTTTGTGGCCGTGAAAGTGACATGTCCTTATAAGGAAATCGTCTTTTTTTTATCATCTTTGAAGATAAGGAAAGATGATTTCTATTATAGAATCTTTGGAATTAAAATTTTCAAAAAGGCTGACTTAACTTTTCATTAGTTTTGAAAAACTATTTGCGGGTTCATTTGATTTCTAAACCGAAAACAAAATGGTCTAATCTCATCCTTAGTAAGAGACCATGGGGCATCTCTACCACTTTTTCCACAAATCATGCCCGTTATGATATGCAGCGTCCCTAAATTTATTTATTTTTTTACAAACAGCTCTCCAAACGGTTCATTGGTTTGGCTGAATACTCAACGCCTTTCCTATTCGCTATACCAGTCGAGAGAAAACTTTTAAATTCAAAGATTAAAACAACTTCCTGTTGACGGCAACTGCTGGTCTCTGTCAGCCGTTTAGACCGGTTTAAAATCCTATATTAGGACAACGCAGCCATGTTTTGTCCATTTTTCGATGATGACTTTTGTTTTTAGTCAAAAAATTTTTGGGAAACTTTTTTTGCCATAATAAAATTAAGCTTTGAGGCAACGAACCATAGGAAGGGCCGGCTCGACTCGACGTCTGATTCTTTTTGGGATCTCCATTGAAGATAAAACAGTTCCCAAAAGTCGGATCCAGATGTAATTTGAATTCCTTTTCGATATCACATTGTTTACTGTCAAAAGAACACATTTTAATCAGTTCGGTTCGGCCATACGACAGGGCCACACGATCCTCCAAAGGCATTCCGGCCATGATTAGGACTAGTCTGAAAATAATAAGTAAAAAATTGGATTTTTTGAGCCAAAATTATATTATCCATGATGACTTCAAAGAAGAGATTGTAAAAAAATCTAACTTATAGTCAAAATGTACAAAAACGAGTAAAAGAAGTTTAAGACGTTTGATGTAAGCTATTAATCACAATATTTAAGCCTGTTAAATGTCTCCAGAAGTCATTTTCTTTGTCGGAAACCCTTTCAATGCCCTCAAAAATAACCGCTGTAATCTTACTACTACTATTAACTACTTTACAACTCGATTCTTCCAAAGATATGTGCTTTCATCTCCTTTCTTAGCCATTCTCTGACCCTTTCTATATTTACATCCACCCAGTGTTGCGCAGCTGTTTTTTGCCTCAGGCAATAAAGATTTATAGCCCGTGAGGCATGAAAAGACCACGGGTTTATATCTCTCAGACAGTTCTTTACACCAAACACTGCCAAGTTCTCTAAGCCTCTTATGACTGATCGAGAAAAGATTACTCTTAACTTGTACATATATACAGGGTGTTTCAAGAAATTCCCCGGAAAGTAATCGTCGATTTCTTAGCGCTCAGTCAAGATATCCAAAATTTTTTTTTGCATAATAAAGAAGATGATGGGCGGTTTTTTGCCTATGAAAATCATTTTCTCCGCCAACGCGGAAAGCAGTGTATTCGGCGGAGACTTTTGGGCGCTTTTTTGGTCACCACACGAATTTTTAATGCTTTATTGCGACACTGAAGCATCCAGAAAGTCTTCAATTTTTTTGCACAATGGATCAGATGGCCCGCTACAATGCTATGCGATCCGATTTAGCGACTGCACGGTGCAATGCAGTCGCTGATAACGTCGATAAAGTCGGAGCGCACCGTGCGGATGTTTGAAATAGAATGGCAGAGAGAAATTTAAACGAGAAATATTTTGTTGTTTTCCAGTGAACCAAGTCGTTTCTCGATGGTTAAACGTCTAATAAGCTTTTCCGACAAAATATTTGAGGGTTTACGACACCTGCAGAGAATGATTGCCAGACCATAAGAATAGTGTTGGGCCATTTCTTGTCCATAGCTGAGTTAAGATACGACGAGCAGATGCCGCCGAAAGCTTGATAAACACAAAAATCAGCAAAAATCCTCATTTCAACCATCAGAAAAAAAAATAAGCGTTTAAGATGGGTGTGATGACCAAAAAAGTGCCCAAAAGTCTCCGCCGAATACACTGCTCTCCGCGTTGGCGGAGAAAATGATTTTCATAGGCAAAAAACCGCCCATCATCTTCTTTATTATGCAAAAAAAATTTTTTAGATATCTTGACTGAGCGCCGAGAAATCGACAATTACTTTCCGGGGAATTTCTTGAAACACCCTGTACTAAGTAATACTACTCTTTACGACTAATACAACTTCTCAAGCTTACTTTTCCTTGGTCTTGGTCGTAATGGCCACTTCATCAGTCATGTTCTCGTATCCCAGCGTCTTCAGTCGGTTCATATAATCACTGTAAAAGGGTGAATCTTCATCCGGGACTTCCTCTCCCCTCGTTTCCCACATTCGATTTATCCGTCGTGGCTTCAGGAGACAGTGTTTGAAGGGGCGTCGGGTCTGATTATTTAGTGCTTTCAGACACATACAAGGATATTCGGAGTCGCCTGAGGTGTCGGGCAGGTTGCAGAAGCCAATGTCATTACAGTCCGGACACATCGCTGATACCCATAGTCTGAAGGTGGTAAGAAAGTAGAAAAAAATGTAGGAGAAAAACTTAAAAATAGTCATCTATGTTGTGTTGACGCTAATGCTTAAGCTTAAGCCCATTCGGTAACTCTTACTTTGCTGGTGTGCACGGAAAGGCAGTGTCATCATGTCTATCGTAATTACAAATACACATCGTGTCATTATTCTTGGGGACAGTGTTGGTCTGAACGCAATCAATTTCGGCCGAATTCCTGAATCTTCTTTTGCATTTACAATCTGACATTACTGGCTCTACTTGAACATTTCTGACGCCACCTAAAAATCCAAATTTTGGCGGGGAAAACAAAATTTGAAAAAAAATATTAGAACCCTATGATGTATAAGATAAAAAGGCGAATAGGATGAGTAAAATTTTACATTTTAGATCTTAAATTTGCTTCATATCAAACTTTGCTTGTAGCACTTTAACTTTAAATTTTTCTACCTGGATTCAGATGCCTTCTCGACCTGACATCAGTTGTTCGATGATAAATAGCGCCTTTGCTGAAGGTGACGGCTTGATGAAAAGCTTCCAACTACAAGACTCATCAGACTCCGACCGTACTTACTGTATCCGAGACTTGTTTCACTTTTACGGCACTGTGTTTTTTAAAGGGATTTAAATTGCAAATGGTCACTGCGGGGAAATTGGCCGAACCGAATTCCAACTGAAAATAATAAATCATTGCCGGAGGCGTTTTGGAAATGCATTGGAGAGTGGGGAAAAGTAGTACAGGTGCGCTCAGAAATTCATATCGAGAAATGCGGGGGGATATTTCGAGACATTTCCCCTGAGGGCGAGCTCTCGACCAAGTCAGGTTCGGAGTTGTTTTCAACTATTAACACTTTGAGATCACGGAAAAAACATACGTCATAGTAAACAAGACGCTGTTAACTATCCATATTTACTAAAAAGTACTGAGATACGATTCAAAAAGATTTTATGGAATCAAAATCTCACCTTAACACTAACGATTTTATCATTCCGTTGAAATTTTTCGAAAACCAGAACACATTGGTAGAGGAAAAGGATTGTCGAACAGAGCGACAACAACATCCACAACACTTTACCATACCATGCGCTGGCGTTGAGCGCCTAAAAGACAACTTATTTTGCAGTATATTATACATGACGGAAATGGAAAAGGTAACAAAATTGATGACTTTATATGTTTATAAGGGTTCCAAAAATATCTTGGAGCTGTTTTGATAAACGTCAGCGAGTTACAAAAAAACGTGAAAAGGTAAGCTCAATTAATTTTACAAGAAAATTATTTGAAAAAAGTGTTTTGAAAGCAAAATTGGCCATCTTCAAAAAACGATGACGTAATTTTCTACTAATTAATATTTCTCAATTATTAAGCGAAGACTTACCATTGGGATTCCATGTGCCGTCGTGGTATGAGCGAATCTAACCGCCTCATACGTGACCTCATCCTTGGCCGCATTCCTGACGCTCCTGCTGAAGTTCCTGACCTTATCGCTCAACTCAAATATCATCGACGGCCTCCGATTGCTCTCCGAGATCTTCCGGTCCGGATTCGGCCACATGATCACCGAGTTCATGTTGGCCCTGGAGCCGGAGTTGATCAGCGCGCTGGCCATGGGGCCGAGGGAAAACCAGAAATGACAAAAAAGGGGGCGGCCCCCGCTTGCCCTCCATAAAACAATGGAGAAAGACCCGCCGGGCATGAAATTGAGCCGCACTTGTTGCCGCAAAAAGTTGATGCTCTTAGGGTCAAAGGGGAGGCTGAAACAGGGTCAGAGCTCAATAATCTGGTTAATAGGGAACCAGGAAATTACTGGTTAAGTTATTGACAATCGTATTAGTCATCGAGAGCTTGTTTATTGGAAAAGAAAAAAGGAGAGAACTGAAGGCAGAACGAACTGGCTGTTACTGTAATTGTATCAAATTTTACGATGTTTTACATTTTTTTAGTGGCTAAAATACATATTTTTGTGATGCGTTGTTTTGCATGAAGAATCCATAATTCTTCCCCGATTGTTTAACAAAAGAAATCATAATCTTCGTCGAATCCTCCAGCTGATATTACAACTTTTCCAGTTCCCAAATCCTCTTGAATACTATCCTCATGATCTACTCTCCTCTTACCCTCCGGCTTTATCAATATTTGGCAACACCGGGGGTCCGCCGACGCTTATAAAAGCAGACCAAAAAAGGTCCCATAAACCGGCTAAATGGGCTTTCGGGATTCGGATTAAATAAAACACATTGGAGACCACCAAGGAGTTCAACTTGGATTTCCAAGTCTTTTAAATGCCTCAGGGGAAGGTGGATTTTCAATAAATGGAAACGAAGAAGAGAAATCAAAGAACTTGTAAACATAAAGCTGTTATTAATTATAATAAAAAAATAAATTTTTGGTTTCAGATAACTTTGTGCGACGTCGAGCAATATCCATTGATTTACGGCCATTACTTTGTGTCTGTCAGAGTGATAAACCTTCTTTTTTTTATTTTTTCCAAATTTTGCTTTGACAAAATGTCCAAAAATCTTTTAGCCTGAGGCTATTCTCCACGTGCAAGGGGTGGGAGGAAATGAAATCCCGATCAAGTGCGTTTAATTCCATTTGCAAGTTCATTGGGGAGAGGTCGAGATTGGTACAAAAATGACCGCACTCATCACAAAACAAACAAAACCCGCGAGAAGAATGGAGAAAAGTTGGAGAAGAAGATGCGACGGGACTCGCGGCGGTAGCCGATCTGGCCAACGCTCACGTCGGAAATGGCCTTGGATGGTGATCTCATAGTTTTGGTATGTTTTGAGTCATTTTGAGCACCTTAATTTTGTATAACACTAACTTTATTGTAAAATTATAGTAAGCATTTGTCATCCAAAAATAAATTGGTATAAATTTTCAGTTCCACTCATTTTTGTCGGCATTCTGCACACTTGTTGCGTTATTCGGTCTCTGGGACATATTCTTGGCCACCTATGAAGAGTTTCTGATCTCAATTTTCTGCTTGGTCATCATAATCGAAGTCATCATCGGCGGATTTATTTTGGTTTTCAATCGTAGAGAATGCCAATTAAGAGACAGCATCACATTTTATGTAAGTTTGGCGAACATTTTTTTGTAACAACTAAAAAATCTTTATTTTTTTGATTTTTTATAATATTAATCGTAAAATTTGTTAATAACAAGCCGAAGTAAGTCATTAACGGCGTATTTTACAGTTAGGTCCATTGTTAATTTGCTCAGCGGTTATTAATCTAACCAGTTCTTTGGTGATCACCTTCTTTATCTTCAAAATGTCATCAGATTCCGAGGCTTTACTTCAAATAATCAAAATCGGATATGGCTCTCCATGGTACACAAAGATTACTGGGGCTTGGGATAGACTTCAAGAAAATGTAAGTGAATTTTTCCCCGCGTAAATTCACCTTTTTCAGTTCAACATTAGTATTTTTTGCATAAAAAATTTAATTTTCAGAATGGCTGCTGTGGAATTTACGGGCCAAAAGACTATCGAGAAACTGACTGGTACATCCATCAGCACACATTCCCTCCTCTCAGGACTCCAGAATCTTGTTCTGCAAGTGTTATAGTAAGTATCAACACTTTGTATGGATAACTTTATATAATTTTAGGGTTGCTACCCTTCGCTCAGATCTCAAACCCTCTGGATGGGCAGTCTCTTCTCTCTAGTGACGTCATTCAGCACAATAATCAAAGTTCGTATCTTCAAGAGTATTTTATACGAAAATAATCCTCGATTCCGCCTTCAAGCCGACAGTTTTTCCGCGTAATTGTAAACATATTACTGTATTTATTTGACTTATTATTTTTCACCGTAAAATAATAGAACCTCTTATATTTTCTAATTCTCTGAGACCACAGAAATACTGTAAGAGATGACCTTATCTCGTCTGTAATCGATCGACCATCCTGCATGCCTCGAGGGCGTTGTGAAGGGTGTACTTGACCTGGGAGAAATCACAGAACCCACAGCTTTTTCGGCAAGACCTGAACGCGATATAAGGGTTATTCCCATCACAGGGCCGTTGTTTCATCTCCCAGACATCTGTAGCATCGACGTATCTCTTGCAAAACACATCTCCATAACGATCGAAACATTGACTTTGTACGAGAGATTCGGCAATCCGGTCGTAATCTATTGCTCCTTTGAATCGATTACAAGTCGCGCAACATTGAATTAGTCTAAAATACGATAATTCAGACCAATTGTTATACTTTTGCGATCAATCGACGGCTACATTTTACCTAAATTCCACATCTGAATTACATCGATGCCCGAAGGTGGATGCGTTTACTCGTTGTAATCGCTGACAAGTTACTTGACTCAGGGTATCCCGACAACATGGGGGATGCGTGGTTTTGGATGGAACTAAAAACAATAACAAAGTTAAACAAAGAAACTCACGAATGGGGCAATGAATCGTTACCATGATTGTGATGACCAGTAAGTGGCCGACGCTCATTCAGATTCGAAAGGAACGACCATTTCCCGGATTTGTCGTGGCGATTACTGAAACCAATGGACGAATCCAGTTCGGGAAGAAGAGGAAGAGAGATGGGAAACGCGCAATCGGCGCTATATAAACGAGAGCACGTCCAGACGAAAACAAACATCCATTTCGAGGTGGAGAACGACGACGATTCGTACGAAGTCAAACTATTTTGTAGTTTTATATTCTCCAAATCCTAGCTACTCGCTTCCCACTGGCTAATAACCCTTTCAGTCGAAATCTAATAACCCTTTCAAATCGAAAAAAATCAAATATATAACAATAACTTTATGAAACAACAATTTACAATAAGAATTTATTGGGAAAACAACAAAAAACTCAACGGACATCCAATAAACAGCTTATTTGTGTTGTTTACGTTGGTTGGTGATGACTTGCTGCATCTCATCACGCTTCTTCTTGGCACGCTGGTGTTGTCCGATGCGCTTCTTCAAGAACTTGAGGGCTTTCTTATCTCTGCTGATCCTCAACAATTCCATGGCGCGACGTTCGTAGGGGGCGAAGCCAGTGATTTCGCGGACGACCTCACGGGTGATCTTGGCCTTCTTGGACAGGGCACCACGATGGCGGTTGGCCTTGACAAGCTTAGGTGTCTTGGTGACTGGGAAACCCTTCTTGGGGCCTCGGGACAAACCCTCGACGGCTGGTGAAGACATGATGGTCCTGGAATAAGGAACAGATGAGCAAAAATGTGGAGAAAGACGGCAGTAAAAAATATTCGCGACAAAACGCTTGAAAATCGTAAAACGAACAAAAATCAGCAGAGGTGCAGCGGAATAAAAGCTGTAAAGTTCATTCATAATACTAAATATACCAACTAACCCATAGATCCAGTACTTAGCAAAAGAAGCCAGACTATCAAACAATAGAAATGCACGCCAACAATACGGAACAGTATGGCCAAACCCGGTCGTCCATACCTAAATTGGAAAAATACAGAAAAAACGTAAAACTTTACCACCAAATTCAACATTCATAGTTCCTTTTAGGTTTCTCAGAGCGCAAAGGCCGGATTCGACGCTAAAAATCATGAGGAACGCGACGCAACAAATAAATTTTACAGACAGCGTTGTGAAAATTAATTATAAAATTGCAAACACCAAAACTTACTAAAAAGCAATGTAAAATTGTAAAAAAACAAAAACCTTGTTGAATAAAAGGAACGGAAATATTTTCCATTTTCTCAAAAATACGGTACACTCCGTTTGTTTTCGTTGCGGAACTCAAACAAGGAAAAAATTTTCCCGGCTCGCGCCCTCAGCATTGCAACCTGCGGAAACTTAATTCATAGTACTATAAGTTGCGATTCCTGATAGTACTCAAATTTATAGGTCAAGTCTTTAGAAGATACACTAACCGTTTCATGTCTCTTGAATCCTATCTTATCCTCAAAAAATATAAATTTTATTGCTATCTTACAACTTCTATTATAACAATCAACGGAGATGACAAAATAAGGCTACTTGAGTTGTACATTGATTATGTAACGGAGGTTTAACAAGATATATTACACTTCGGGCACGGTAGAAAGGTTGGTTTTCCTTTCGAAAATCTCGCGATCACTCGGCTTTATCAACCCAAACTTTTCGGCCGCGTCCAATGCCCTCTGGGCTTCTTTCACAGCTCCTTCTCGTTCGTTTCCCTTGGTCTTCACTTTGCATACGGCTACGAGGATTCTGAATACTTCAGTCTGAAAGTAAAAGCATTACTATTTAGTGGCTTACAACTCAATTTAAAGTAGTACACTTCTCTTAAGCTTGCCACATCATGAAAGCATTGAAAACTACTCCTCTCCGAACCATCCCGGGCCAACTTACCGCCATGACTCTTGCTGCCAAGCTCTCAGAATGCTCGACAATATTCGCGATTCCCATTATACACCGTCGTTGGACTTCTGGATTCTCATTCTGTGCCATTTCCACAAATAATTCTGGCCACGAGCTGATCTCATCGAGAAATCTTTTAGCAGCGGTTTCGTCTTGAGTTAGCATGGCAAATCCAGCCGAGGAAGCGAGTTGAAGACGATCTTCTCCTTCATCACAATACAAGGCCCACAGTTTAATTCGGTCTTGGGAGTCCTGAAAATTGGCGAAATACAATCGGTTCTTATCAGATCCAAGGCTTCTGAGGCATCTATCAACTCACTTTGACCGTATACTCAAAGAATTCCTCCAAGAACAACATATTGAGGAAGAATTCAGCGGCAGCTGCTCTCAGTTGTTCATGATCAGTCATAAACCAGAATTCCTCAACCTTTGGGACAGCTTTCTCCTTCAAAATCCGTTTTCTAACCGAATCGCTGACGCTGGCCAGATTAGTCAACGTAAGCAAAGCATCATAATTGGCGATACCTTCCACTTCTGGATGGAGCAGTTCGACCATCGGCTTGACAACTTCATACATTCTCTGGCCCGCAAAAGTAATGTTGGGATCTGAGGCCACTCCGAGTTTGGCTAGGGCATGCGCCGCTTTGATCCTTCCTTCCTCATCAGCTTCCTTGTACAAGGTCAGACAAAGTTTGGCACCGCCTTCGCTGACGATTTGGCCACACAATTCTTGATCCGAAGTGAAAGCCAACATACACCTGGCCAGTAACTCCAAAGCCTTCTTACTTTCGGTCTTGGAAATAGCGACACAAGCAGTTACAGCGCCGCCTTTCACGAGAGCTTTGACTCTTTTGTCCACGTATTCATCCGTGTCCAAAGGATGGGTCTCCGGGACGTGGTGCTTCGCAAATTGGGCCAGTTTCACCAACTCCTCTTCTACTTTCGGCTTCTCGTAAGAATTGGTCAGATTGACAAAGATATTGGCCAAAGTGAAAACACAGAGGGCACCAGCGACTTTACCCAAGGAGACCAAAGCTTTCAGCAAATCTTCGTCCGTTACGATCGCTTCCTTCACATCTGCGTCCAAGGTCAGATACGAGAGAGCTTCACAGGCAAATCTAAAACAATTTTTACGTAAATCTTTTTACTTGAAACATCAAATTGTTATCTTCCCCTACCTCCTAACTTCCACTGAATAATTCTCCGTGTCCAATAAGAATTCCTTGCAAGTCTTGGCCAGAGTTAACGTTGTTCCCTCTTCCATGGTCTGTTTACTGTAATCATCACCACCCGCCGAAGCGCATTTGCAAAGACCCTAAGAACTAACAGTCAACTACAGTATCAGATGTGACCTACCACAAGCGCTCTGACCTTGACGTTATGATCATCGGAGTTGAAGAGTTTTCTGAGGACAGGGATTCCATTCGTCACAACGGCCATGGCTCGTTCGTGTTTCGAGACTGTTTGAACAATCAGTTCAACGGCAATGTACTGTAAGAAAATTATAATAAAACATGATAACAAGCTTAAAAAAAATAATGCGAAATCTCTTACTTGATGCAATTTATTTGTACTTCCAGCCATTTGAAGCATCAACGCGGTGATGGCATCATTTGTGACTAGCTTCATTCCAAGATCAACTGCTCCCTAAAGTAATATAATTGAAATAATTACAATAAAAGCTCAATTTACTTGGAGCATTGTAATGAGAAATGCGCACATTTTGATCTGAGTCTTCTCATCGCCGATATTCGCCATTAACGCGCTAAAAAATCAAAAAATCATCATACTCAAAAATTACTGTAGAATCAAAATTGAAATGCCTTACTTGAAGAACTGCTCCACTTTCTCGCTGTAGATCGCCCTCTTTGTGTCAAATACCATGTCATCATACAATCTCGCCAGACACAAAGCAACATGTTGTCTGGTCTCCGCACTCACTGGATAATCGCATTGTTCTGGGATTTGCGAAGCCAGATGAAGAAGTTTCAGGAGACCTCTGTCCTCGACAAATCTCCAGGACCATCCCCGAGGCAGTCCTCCATCCATATGCATCAGATTCTTTAAGAATAAATCCACGCACATTTCTCGGACAGCAGCCGAGTACTGCGGGTCAGTCATGATCTCCTCCAACTCGAGGATCAACTTGATTATATGAAGTTTGTTCTTCTCAGCGATTTCGGGATCTGGCTTGATGTTTTTGCTTCGATCCATAGCTGCCAGGGCACTGAAGAGACGCTCGATGAGGATTTGGGCCGAATCCACGAACTCTTTGGAGTCTCTGAAGGCGGCGATCCGTGTGAGGACCGGGATGGGGACTAGTTCTATCAATTTCATGGCCTAAAACTACACTTTGTACACTTTTAAAACCAAACATAAGTAATCGCATTACCATTTTCTTACCCTTTCTCGCTTTTTGATCAGCTCGTCCAAAACATGTAAAGCCAGAATCGCCAATTCTTCGGGCCAGTTCTCTTTGTCCTTCACAACATTCAGAAGCTCATTGACAATCATCCCGGCTTGCCATACCTTCCTGGCACCGTCTTCGGACTCTCTGGCCAACACCAACAGATTGTTCATGGCCTTTTTCTTTTGCTCTTGATCCTTCTCATTGAAACTCATCTTTAACATCTCCTTGACTCGGTTCTCTGTTGAATTGGCAAGCTTCATCTTCTCCGTATTCAATTTGACCAGATGTTCGCATAGCTCTTGGATCTTCCTAAAATTATATTATTTTAGGTATCAAATAAATTTTTGCTTCCAAAACAGGGTGTTAATTGCCCCAAAAAGAGACTAGAAAGTAACAAAAAATCCTACTTGTCGCCAGGTTGAAGTCTCGCTGCTTCCTTGGCGTCCTTAAAAGCCTGCCCGACCTTCTCCAACTGCTCTCTTGCCAGTGCTCGTCGATACAACGCTTTACTGTCAGCCCCATCCAGTTCCAGAACTAAACACAGTTAATCTAATAACAATAAGCACTCACCTTTATCGCAATCATTCTCGGCACCTTCGTAATCCTCAATCTTCAGCCTGACCATGGCCCGATTACGGTATAAAACGATCCTCAAAGCATTTTCGGGCTGAAGTTGAAGGGCCTCGGTGTACAAATCAATGGCTTCTTGATACTCCCCACGCTGAAACCGCTTGTTTCCATCCTCTTTCAATTGTTCGGCAGTCCGGATCTCCGGCATTTCTGAAAAACATTACAATTATGAATTGGGCATGGGAAATAGAAAATAGTGGTAAATTGAACCCCGAATCTGCCCCTGATTCCGGTCTCTAATGTCGTGATCAACCAGGAAAGGCATCCTAAGTACGCACAGTGCCACAAAACATAAGTTTCGTATATTGCACTAGGTCCACACCTTCAAAACTAGGCAAAAGAAACCAAAAATAACAACCAAAAGTAACAAAAACACTCGAAGTGCTCGAGAATCTCCTAGAACTTACTTGATCCGCGGCCCAGACAATTTTAGTGGCCAAGAGCGAGGGCGAGAAAAGAAAGATCAGGAGAAAAAAGGTCCCCGAGATCTCCCCTCCTCCTTTTATTTTCTCCGATAGCCGATGGTCACTCTCGGGGGCGATATTACACACCAAAACGTTTATTATAGCCAAATATCAGGTTGGAACACTCGCTTTTGCGAAAATTAATCATAGATTTTCCAAAATTTTAATTTTCTTTCTTGAAACAGAATGCCAACCCAAATAAGGAAGGCGAAAATTGTGCGGAAAAGAGTGGATTTAAAGTTTATAATTGTCGATGTGAGCCATGTAGACCTTATTGCACCATGCTAAGTGATTTTTTAAGAGTACTGTACTCTAAATTTCTAATGAGTGGAAAAGTTTACTTATCTATAATAACAGCAAAATCAAAGGTCGCTGATAACAAACAAACTGATTATCTTTTTTTAGTCCAGCCGGTTCCGGAAACTTTCATCTCCGCAATTTTTCTATTGTTTATTTTGTTGCATCGCCGCTTCCGGAACCAAGACGTTGTTGCCATCCCCGGGGGCGTTTTTGCAACCAAAACAACCTACGGTAATTATATACGTAATCTTTTCGATATGGACTACGCCTTATTCGTTTCTGCGAACTGATAAGCAATCATTAAGAGACCTGAAGTTTAATATTGATGCATATAATCGGCTCAACGTCTTTTTTGACGTAAGCTGAGGGAATGGCACTCCCCAAAAATCGAACATTCGAATAGCAAAAACCGGAAAAGACTGTTGCCAAAACTGGAGGAAGGGATTAAGCTGAATTAAAAAAATGATTAAAACTTTTTATTGAAGATCAACATAAATAAGGGGATTTGAGGTCGCCCATTGCAGAAACTGCAGAGATACGCGAAGATCTTTGTGAAGGTATAGGAAAAGGCCCAAGAAAGCATTACTTTACCTGTAGATCTTGCCTAGAATGCCATTTTTTGCTCCAACATCAATCAAAAAAACAATTGTATTATATAAAAGCACAAAGGTCAGTATTTTTCGACCAAAAAGCCTCAGAAAGTTGGCAAGCTGGCAATCTGGCAATGTCTTCGAAACCAATAAATAAAGCTTGCTCCAGCCTTAATTAAACGCTTACAATTAGTGATTCACTTCGATAAATTTGTTTCCAATATTACTCATACTAGTCGCCGCAAAAAGTCTTTGGAATTTTCTGCGACTCTGCACTGTGCATGAACCCGAAAAGTGCTTTTGCACAGTGCATCCGACCCGAAAAGTGCTTTTGCACTGTGCAATTTCGTTGATTTTGCCTTATTGTCGCGCGCGATTCCCATTTTTCTCAGCGACAAATCGACATTTCGGGGTGCGACGGGATTTGGGGGCCGCGAAAAATTCCAAAGACTTTTTGCGGCGACTAGTAACATCGGATCAAATTGTCAACAGGGCATGTTCAGTGCTCCCAGAACTCCTCTTGGAAGATCCGGTTTGCTCTTGGAGGGCGGGATGAATGTTTTCAAGGCTGATGTAATCGTCTTTAGCAACTTTTCACTAACATTCCTTTATCAGAAACTTCACGGAATATAATGTAGAAGAACTGTGATAAGAAGGCTGTATTTTTGTCTATAAAAAGAAGACCATGTTCTGCCTCCAATATCAGTAGAATCAACGAGGCATGTGGAAGGTAGCAAGTCTGGTTCTCTTGCTCGGCTATGCCTACGGAGGCGACGATTCCAATTTCAAGTTGATCAACAACCACTACAGCAATGTCCGGATCCAAGGATTGGCCAGAGGCGATGTGATAAAGTTCACCGGAACTTTGGATGTCATCAAAAATGCGACGGCCGTCTTTTCGATCATTGATTTGGAGACTGGAAAGCATGATCTGTTTGTGGAATTGAATAATGCTGAGAAGAAAATCTACGTTCAATCGGATAAGGGTAACATCTTGGTGATTTAATTTATGGGATAAAAGTAATCTTGTACTGAAAAGTCTTTATTGGACTGGAGGAAAAATTAAACGGTGGATAGTCAGCATAAATATTAGCAGGGTGTAAATGAATAATATAAAATTTAACAAAATTTATTTTTGAATTTTTTCTTGCTGTTTAAAACCATTATAATTTTCAGGTTCGCTCCAAACCAAAGAAATTCCTCCAGGACCCAAAAACCCCGTCTCAGTCCGGGTTCAAGTGCTCAATTACAACGTCGCTCGAATTTATGTTGGCAGAAAAGTGATTGGTGACATCGAGACCGGCTACATTGGAGGTCCAAAATATTTTGTGACCACCGGAAATATCCGGGATCCCAAAATCAATGTGGATGAAGGAAACAGGCTGCCAATTTATAAACGAGGAATTGACTTTAGAACAGGTAAAATACATAGTAGACAAAACTTCGAATTTAACGTTTCGGAAAGTCGCCTTCATTCCAATATCAATTTATTTTGAATTATAATAATCTTTCCAGGAATTCTGATGATTTAGCGTACAGGTTTCTCATCAAAAAAAATCACTTTCATCGGGCTTACCATAAAAGTTTTAAAATCGAAAACAGATTTTAAAAATTTCTTTGTAATGATAATCCAGGCTAATCGAAAACTTGAGGTTTTCGTCGCGGGACCAAATCAATTCGTTATCTCTAGCTGTAAGAGCATTGATATTGAAACATTGCGTCAACTCCGATTAATTTTAGTCTTAACCTATAAAGCACATGTTATCAGCCTGTATTTTGTTTCAATTTAAGCCCAGCTTTATAAATCTAACATCGATCTTTACCATTTTATTCCACGGATAATTTTACAGGAGATGTTCTCAACTTTGACGTCAGTGTCCGCAAGAGTGATCTTTACATCTACCTCTTGGCTGACGAGGACTTGGTTGGCTATGCGTTGAAGACAAACCTCCAAGAGCAATCCATTTCTTTCTCCAATAATCAAGGAGATCAATGGGGTGCAGAAGAAACCTACAACGTCACGAATCTGAGACAGGATTCCATTGTAAGCATTCGGCTTGAAAACGAAGAGGACGGCGTTAAGGCTACCATCAACAATAAACAGAGTTACGTGTATCCTCATCAGATCGACAAACCCGAATCTGAATACAGAACTCTGTTTGTGGACTCGATTGATGCGTCAGTTCGATTCTCGGCCACCAAGAGAAAGGGAGACGATTCGGATGAGGATTTGAAATAAGATGGAAAAGACAACACAAAATTAAAATTACTTTTTAAGCGCCGGATAAGCTGCAACTGAACAGTAGATCAAAATAAATGTTATCTTCTTGCGCCGTAATCGAAAAATTTGATTTTGTAGTCGCTTTCCGACAAATAATTTTATCCAATCAAGAGCCGCGGAGATATCGCCAAACAAAGTTTTTTTTGACGCACCGTACGTCCGTCCGCATCCAATAAGAAGATACGAGACATTTAATTTTTTGATGATAATGGCTTCTAAAATCAACTCAACGCTCAATTTGAAGCAGTAAAAAGTTTATTTCTGTTTCCTTTCAGACGGTTTGCTTCTTTCTCTCCCGCTTGTCATTGTTGTCTTCCTCTTCGTTCTCATTTTCTTTGCAGTCCTTCACAACCAGTTCGATTCTTTTGTCTCTGTCGGCCACAGATGGGCCATGGAATGGATGATCGGGGTCCCAATCCAATGGATCGTTTGGTTTGATTCCATTGCTCTAAAATTATGCAAAAAATCATAAAAATTAAGACGTCTCTCACCTTTGCGGCATGTTGCAGACAAAAGTAGAGATACGAATAGTCGGGTATGCTCTGGTATAAGAGCCCGTCTACACACTGCATTATGGCCAGGAATTCTCGCCTGGGGCACTCGGAAAGGAATTCCTCCAAGGGTTCGCCGGCTCGGACGGCTTCTTTCCAACGCAAGACATCCTCCTTTTCGGCCCCTTTTAATTTCCGCCAAGGTAATTGGCCGGCTGTCCATTCCACGACCATATACAGCCAGGCTTCAATGTCGTCCTTTCGTGACTGTTCCATCTGTTTTAGGGCCGCAATGGCCGCGTAACGAGTGGTCCCTCGGAATGGGGCTGATTGACGGGGCATTCGGAGGTCTTTGGCCTCTGTGTCGCTGCAATTGACGACAGTTTGGGACCGTTAAAATAAAATTTTGCAATGAAATAAAAATAATTTTTCCGAGCTGCGCCCGAATAAAGATTTGCGAACGACAAACGACTCCCAAAAATGTACTTACCCCACAAACTTCCTGCACAACCCGAAATCCAGCATGTAAATGATGTGATGTTCTTGAGTTTCCGGCCTGCCTATCGCAAAATTCCCAGGCTTTATATCCCGATGTAGATAGCCAATTCGATGTAGATCCTCTACGGACATTAGACTCTGCTCTGCAGCCTTGAGGGCAGTGTTTAGCGAAAATCTTTGACGTTCTCGTTCCATGCGGAGATCCCATAAATTCCGACCGACCTACAGTAATATAATAAAATTAAAATATCGATATTTTACGTGGACAAATCGCTAAGACTACTGTATAAAAATTTAGAGAACCGATGTGAAAAATTTTCAGATCGATTTTTTGTGGAAAATTTAATTTTGACCTTAAAATTTATTTAAATCATCAAAAAAATTCTGCAAAGCGCGAGCTAAAATATTTTCAAATATCTTGAAAAATTCCAATTTCAATTTGCGTCACGTTGCATCTAAATCCGTCACTTTTTTATTCAAAAACAAATTTGCTTACCAACTTCATGACCAAGAATCGGAACCTTCCTTCCACTTTTCCTCGGTCCACAATGGTACAAAAATGCGGTGATTTGATCATGACGGCACCTCGAAGGACTCGGCCATCCATGGAGAGGACCCTCTTCTTCACATCGCATGTTTCGCACTTGGCCGCGAACAATTGCCCGTCCTTGGATTTGACCTCGAACACAGCGCCAAAACCGCCTTTCCCCAGCAATTTGACAATCTAAACTTGCAAAAATCTTGATCATAATGTTCAAAAATAAGTGTTGCCCTACGAAGTGTGCTTCAACCTACTTCATACTCGGTATGCCTTGTCCGTAACATTTCGCCATCTTTTGGCAACTTTTCGTTGGTCTCGGCAGCCATTTTCGGGCCCTTGATGAGGTGACACGACCGATGACAGGAAGCGAAAACGTAAAATTACCCTCGAGGAGCGTGACTTGGACGTCTCAAAATTTGCATATACATTTTTTACAGTTTTTTTCAAAATTTTTTGATTTCTGAAAAAGGACGGATATCTACTTTGAGAACTTCTTGAAGTCATAAAAAAATAAAATAATATTTATTAGAAATCACCATGAATGAGGTATATAATGTACATGTCAACAAAAGGCTTAAGAATTGAAACAAACAGCCAAGAGATCTTCGATTTGTGAGCAGGATGCACCAGGGAAATACTCCTTAACGAACACACAGTTCCCCTTCAGCCATTCGTGGGGATCGTCGATGTGGAAAGTGGAGATAAACTTGACGACTGGCGCACAGTGCGATGGAAGAGAGGGGTCCAAAGTTGTCGGGGTGACAGTTGTCGTCGTTGTAGGGGTCGTCAGAATTGGCTTGGCGACTGAAAGTGGAACTGTTATGATCTTACAATGATTTTCGATGGGTAAAGTTTTAAGTGGGATGCTCAAAGTTCAAAGATCCATTTAAAAAATGATTCATAATCTATGTACTGACTTTACCCCAGAAATTAACTAGTACTAAACTCTCAACCGTAACCCGCAGTTTAGCTTACTCGGAGCTTCTTCCACATTGTTCGCTCTTGCTCTCTGAGCCAATCTAAACTGCTCCAGCCTCTCATGATAGTACCGTTCCAGCCTTGCCAACTGATCCAATTTCTCTTCAATCAATCTCCTTCTTTCTGCCGGATTCTGGAACTTGACTTGACCTTCCACATTCTCATGGAGCTTCTCCAATTCCAATTTCTCTCTCCATCTTCTCGCTTCTTTATGTCTCTCCATCAAAGTGTGTTCATCCGCGTTCTTCGGGAGTTTGGCAATGCCGGGAAGACCATCTGGGAAGAATGGCGGAGGTTCGGGAAGGTCGTTGGGCTTCTCCAGATGCTGTTGTTGATCATCAATGGAGAAGCTGGGCTCTTCTTTGGGCAAAGAATTTGTCGCGGCTTTGCTTTCCTCTGTCGTGATTTGATCTGTAGCGGTCGCTAAGGTCGATGTTGAGGAAGGTTGAGACGTTGAGGGCTCAGAAGTTTCCCCAATGCCTTCAGAAGTTAGCTTCGAGGATTCTGAGGTTGAAGATTGGCCAACAGACGTCTCTGTTTGCACTTTTGCTTCTGACGTCGCGAAAGTGCTCGTAGCTGCATCAGATGTTAGAATCAGACCTTCTGTCGCTTCGCCAGTCGTTGTGGAAGCTCCCTCTGTCGTCAGTTTACTAGTACTCTCACTAATAGTAGTTCCTACAGTAGTTACAGTAAGCGTTTCCTTCGAAACATCAGCCACGACAAACGACGGTCCTGAGGAGTCATCTGATGAAATTTTTTTTGTAACAGGCGCTTCAGTAGTGGTAGTTGTTGTTACGATTGTTGTAGTTGTCTCCAACGTTGTTACAGTAGTCTTAGGAGTCGTTGGAGCTGCGGTTTCCTTCTCTGGGATGAATGTTGTTGTAGGTTCGGATGTCGTTGACTCGGTTGTTACAGTAGTTTCGGTGGTTTCTCTCTCAGGGATTTCTTTTGGATTAAATGGCGGTGTTGGAAGGGTTGTGGTTGATGATGACAACTTTGTAGTTGCATTCAACGTCTCAGGATATTTGTCGACATTCTTGGCGGTTACAATCTCTTCCAGATGAGTTGAAATGGAAGATTTTGCAAGTTTACCATCTTCAGAGGTGTTAGTTGTTGATTTGGTTGCCAAAACTCCTTCTCTGTTTGGTTTGAAGTGTCTATCTTCCTCTTCTGATGATGAATATGGCCGGACAGTTCTTCTGGGGGCATTCGTAACTACTGCCGTAGGTCCTTCAGCTTTTGTTGTTGTCAAATTTTCTTCTTCTTGAGTTGTTGGCAATAACGACGCTTCCTTTTCCTTCTCTATACCTTTAACTGTCTCTGTAGTGGCTTCTTCAACAACCTTCTCCTTTTTCGTAGCCACTGATGCCTTTGTTGAACTGGATAAATCATCATTTTCCCCGACCTTCGTTGTCTGGTCAGTAGTTGGAGCAACATGTCCATCAGTCACCACTGCGGATTCTGTTGTCTCCTCCGTTTGTTTCGTTTTCTCAAGACTCTCAGAGTTTTCAATTTTGTTTCCAACAGGGGTAGTGACAACAATCTTCTCTTCCGTTGTGCTGACAACACTCTCAGGGGTCGTTGCAAGCGTTTTTCCTTCCGTTACAATGTTCACGTCATTCGACTCAAATCTGAAGGGAGATTCGGTAGGAGGAACAGTTGTTTCCAGTCTGAGCTCAGTTGTCAATGACTCAGTTTCCGGCGATTGACTGGCTTCAAGAGTTGTTGGAAGATTTTCTTCAGCAGTTGAAGTTATTGGACCCGTTGATTGTTCGGCTTTGGCAGTCGTAGAAGCACCAGTCGAAGAAGCAGTTTCCACTTCTTTTGGGAGATTTTTTTCTGTTGTCAAAACTCTAGTACGTTCCGTAGTTTCAGCTGGAAAACCTGAAGTTACGAAAGAAGTTGCCGGCTGAGTCAGTTCTTCATTGTTAGCAGAAGAAATCACTGTGGTTGTTGGCTTGATCTCATCCTCAGTTTGTACCGAACTTTCCAAAACCTCTTTCTTTGGAGTTTCGGTGGTTTCTGGTTGAGAATTTAAAGTATGGACAGTCGTAGCTACTGTGCTTGCCAGGGTTTCTTTTACAGATACTGTTGAGCTCGGAGCATTCTCTTGAGTTGGCTGAATTGTCCTTGAATTGTCAGCATCATTAGGGAGTACCGTAACGTCGATAGGAGTCGGAGTTGTGGAGCTTGAACCCTCAGTTAAGCTGGTCGTTTCTTCAGTTGATTTAAGGACTTCCTCTTCAGCTAGAACTTCTTCCTTGACATTGTTGCTGTTTGACGCAATAGAACTATTACTGCTGCTAGTGCTTGAAGAACTTTTGCTCTCCTCCTCCTTTCTCTTCTTCTCCTTTAACCGCTCCAATTCAGCCTCCAATCTTCTCACCAGCTCCCTCACTTTTTGCTTATATTGTTCTTGAGGGCTTACTGTAGTAGCCACATTATCAATGCTCTCTTCAATCTCTCCTGCTTGGTCTTCTTTCTCTTCTTTTTTCTTTTTCATATCACCCAATTTTTCCCTTAACTTTCCAAGAATACTTTTTAACTTCTCCATCTTGTCATCTTTTACTTCCGGAGTTTTTGTCACCTTATTCTCATTGACTGTGGTAGATTCTCCGTCTTCATTGGCTTCTGATGGAATTGCTTTTAAATTATCTAAATCGTCGGTAGTCAGAATAGAGCCGTCCTCTTCGTTACTCTTTACTGTTGTGGAGACAATCTCCAGTCCAAGTTTATTCGTATCTTCAGTGGTCGAAGTTGATTCCAACGTTGTTGTAGAAACTGGAGAAGTGGATGAAGACGGCGATGAAGCTTCATTTGGCTGAGGAGTCGTTATTATCTCGGCGGAAGAAGGGACGATTGTCCAGACTGAGGTTGTTTTAGAATCAGACTTCTTTTTGTCATTTCTTAGTGATAAGGCGGATCCAGGAAGCTCTGTCGATGATAGTATTGATCCCGATGACGTAGACGATACAAAAGAAGCTTCGATAGTCGACGTAGATTCGATTGGACTTCCTTCAGTGGCCTGCGGAATCTCTGAAGTTTCGCCCTTAGCTGATGTAGATGATGGACTTGAAGCCTCAGTTTCTGTGGCAACTGAAAATGTAGATACCTTCTCTGATTTTTCTGGGATCTCTGAAGTCTTTGCAATTGTGCTGACAACAGTTGAGGGTTCAGTTGCCTCAGGGCTTGTAGCTGCAGTTGGTTCTTTAAAGACCATGGTTAGCTTTTCGCCGGCGTCAGAGACGACTGGAGTCGGTCCTTCCGTCACTGCTAACTTTGTCGTATTTTCTTTTGGCAGCTCTGATGCAGTCGTAGATGGCGCTGCGATGGTGGAGCCAGTAGTTTCGACAATCTCACTTTTGGTTGGCTCCGTGATTTTGTTGTCATCAACAGGAATAGTTGTTCCAATGTTTGCTGTTTCTTCGGTGTTATCCTCCGCCTTTAAATAAACTCTAGTGGGTCGAGTAAACCTTTCTGGCACTATTACTGTCAATGGCGTTTCCAGAGACAAATCCTTAATGGCCTTGCTTCCTTTGAGCAAAGTGTAATTACTCTGAGGAATCGAGGTGGTCGGATCTGAAGGTAAGGACAAAGTGGTCTTAAGTTCATCCAGAATCTTCTTGGTCACTTCTGAATGGACGTCATTCCCGTCATTTCCAGTATGAATTCGGGGTCCCTCGGTGGGTAATTGGCCTCGATAACAACTACATTGGCAGTTGCAATCGTTCTGTTTGATGTGCTTTTGAATGTGGAATTCTGGAATGGGAAAATTTAAGTTTTAAAATCGAAATTATAAAGTCAAAATAATGAATACTCACGTTTGGGGGCATCTGGGAATGGGGCAGGAGGCAGAGGCAATGGTTTGGGCAGGATTATCCCTTCAGCAGCGCAATTACATCCACAGCGACAGTTGTAGCCCTTGATTTCACTTGAAACAGTGAAAACTGAAAATGGTTGTAAACATGTTGCTTTATTCTCATCGTTTCAATAAAGGATATTTTTCAAAAATGATTCAGTTTTTTCTGTAAAGTAAATTGTTTGGTTTAGACATCAAGGTCATGACGGCATAAAGTAAAAATTGAAAATTTATAAATCGCCGTTCCAAAAAATCACAAGGAAATTTACTTTCAAAATGACAAAAAAAAAATAAATTTTTACGAATAAAAAATAATTTTCAAATTGCAAAAACTTTATTTTAGTCAGTAAAAATGCCATTTCTCACCTTTGACGCCATCATCTCGGATCAGCTTGTTATTGATGATAAATCCATGCAAATATTGTACGTAAAGTAACAAAAGAAGGCAACGGGATCGTCCCATCGTTCGAAAAAATTAGGGACGACCGCCTGGGGGGATGGGAAGACGGCGGAGTGCGGTGCCAGGACTTGAGTCCGTCGATGAAACGACCTGGAAAAGACATCAAGGTTATCGGGCGAAAAGGCCCGCCTTTTCTCCCTTTTGTTCGGCATTTCAGGGGTTTTTTCGATCATTCCCCTAAGGGCATTAGCTTTATCCGACCCACGGGGAAACGTGAAGGACTTTCTCCTAATGGCTTTGCAAAAATAAGGTTATTTTAGACATCAAAATGGATTAAATTATTCAAAATAATTTAAATTTTTTGCAAGCATTCATCGGCTCAGAGTGTAAATTAAACTTTTAAGTCGCTAATTTAGGAAGAATTGAGTGTAAAATGTCTGTTTTATTGAGGTCACAGAAATTAGAATTAAACATACCTTAAATACTAGTCGCGCCATAAAGTCCGTAGAATTTTTTTCGCCGACGTCGCGGGTGCAAACGCCGAAAAGTGCATGTGCAAAAACGGGGAATCCCCGCGGTGCGTGCGAAAAAAAGGGTTGAATGCACTGTGCAAAATTCTACGGACTTTATGTCGCGCCTAGTATCTATGTATTTTACAGTGTTTGGAGTTTGTAAAGATTCCTTTTTCTTTGTTTATTTGTTTATTCCGGGTCATTTCCGTCGAGATAAAATGGGTAAAAGTGATTCGGATTCCCGCAATCATCCGATAGAAACAAAAAATCTTCAGGATTGCGCAATATGACCTTTAAATTTTTGGTTCTCCGTGACCTTCCGGAGAAACTTTTCTGGATGATGACAAAAAATATTTGATATCAGAGATGGGAATTTGACCTAGAACATAACCAAGGAATTGTATTTCAGTCTGTATTGTACTTTACAAGTCCTTTAAAGTAAGATTTATTAAGAAAGCAAAAATTGTTTTCATTCTTCAAAAAGAAGCCTTTCAAATCTCTGCACGACCATGTATAAGGTCGGATTTGGGACCGCAGTCATCCCAGTGCACCTCTCCAACGATGGCATCCCTAGTCTTGGGTCGGCGCGGAACTCCAAATCCTGCAACATTGATCCCAAAACCAGATAAAGTTCGACTCTGGCCAGGGCTTCCCCGGGACACGCTCTCTTCCCAAGACCAAACGCATTTAGATCCGGATGGGGCTTGTAATTCCCAGTTTTGTCGAGGAATCTCTCTGGCCTCAGGGTATACGGATCGGGGAAGATTTTGGGATCGAAAAAGACGGCGCCGGGTTGGGGCATGATGATCGAATCCTTGGGAATTAGAACCCCACACACTGATACCTGAAGGAGAACATAAATTGATTATTTTACGGAGTACACAGAACTATTATCACTTCATGTTTATGTCGCAGCCCACCTCCTTATCACAAGTGTGCGGAATATGCCATGGAAGGACATTGACAATCCTCTGGATCTCATCCATCGCCGCATGGAAATAGGGAGTATGCTGGCGATCGGCCAGAGTCAAAGGTCGTCTCCCGACTACCGTATCCAACTCGGCTTGGATCTTCTTTTGGACTGCCGGATAATGGATAAAGTAGATGATCGCCCATCGAATTGTGGTCACCACGGTCTCCAATCCGCCTGTCCACAGATCTCCCGAATTTATGGCACAACTCCATTCACTAAATCATTATTTTAGGCATCACAAGCCCGTTAATATCAGTTTTCCTTATTCTTTTAGCTCAAAATTGATTTTAATCGATTGGAAATACAGTAATCCTTACTTTAAGTAAGGCTGTTTCTCTTCTTTCATCGCTTTCAAGTAGAAATCAATGAAATTATCAGCAATTTCACCTTCTTTTAGGGCCTTAGCATGTCTTTCAATCTCATTTTTGAAGAAATTCTGTAGTGCGAAACCTTCACTAACATATCGTCTAAATCTCGGCAAAATATGTCGCATCCAAGGAAACGAATTGACCAACAACATCTCCACACTTGCTACCTGAAAGCAAAAGGTAAAAAACGATGACATATGTCATGGATAGTGCAAAAAAGCTCGATAAAATAAAAGTACCCCTTCCAAAGTGTGGTCGAGCATTCGTTTGAACCGAAAGAAGTCCCCATCGTCATGCTCGAACCTGGTGCCCATCACCAGGTCATGAATAATATTCCCGAAACAATAAGCAAGAGCATAATGGAGGTCCGTGATCAGGCCGTTGTTATTCTTCTTGATCTGAGCCGAAGTCCTTTTGATCATGATGCGCGCATGATGCATGATTCTAGCTTCCATTTCCTTCTTCCCCATACCAAATCCCCTAAATGCCCTGAGGGCAATTCGTCGTTGTGCCTGCCATCTTGGGCCGCGGCACAGAATTATTCCATCGCCATCAGGGGAGTGGCGGGTGAACAAGGTGTACAAATAAGTAGTAGGACGCCCGGTGAAGTGCTCACCTAAAATAGTTATGTTACCCACAACTCTTGCAAATATCGACATTTCCATATTTTTGTAAAAATGACGTCATTCTTTTACCTTTTTGAACCAAGGCCTCATGCAGAGCTCTCGCACCAGCTAGAACAACCACTGGCTTCGGCAAGTAGACCGTGAACACCTCGCCGTATCGCTCTTTCCATTCGTTCATCGTTTTGTGAGGTTGGGCCAGGTCGATCTAAAGTAATATGTTTCCTCATATCCGCCCTATTTCCCCTTACTTGTGGGAAATTCCCGACCAATGGGAACGGCGGTGGGCCCGGAGGGTATTCAGACTCAACCAATTTATCATTACAGCCCTCATCCAGTTCACATTTATTCCTCTTGATCATGAATAAACTCACCCCAATTGCAATCGCGATTGCTAGAAAAAACAGCATTGCTTAAAGTGATACTTTTTATTATACTGTTGTACTTATAAGGAATTTCTACGATGTTTTTCTTTCTTTTTTTCAGCCCGATAATTCTCCGAGCAGACAAAAACGAAAATTTTTCGATTTTTTGCGTATTTTCAAGGGATAACTGTTTTTTCGAAAGAAAACTGTCAGATTTTTTGTCTATTCGATTATAGGGTCTTATTGTCAATCCTAAAAAATCCCGAGACCAACAAAGTGAACAGAATCTTCCCGTAAACTCCAAGTTTACCAACTGAAATAAGTTTATTTTTCAGGGACAATAAAAATGAAGTTATTCACATATACGAACATACAAAGATAGTAAGCCTTATATAGAAAGGAGAGGGGCGACACCTTTATTACATTTAGATCGAAGAAAAGGAGACACCATTCGAGGGGAACATCCGAGAATATCCACAATATCAGACTATAAAATTACAATTGGTTTCGGTGAGATTTCGTTAAATTCAATTCAGTGCCAGCGCTTCAGTTGCGTCGTCGGCAAAGTATCGGACGTCGAACTCTGAATCTTCTTGTAGTTTCTTCAACAGGGGCTTTACTTCGGAGGTGAGAAGCCTAAAACAATACTCAAATTACATTATCCATCCGCTATTTGCCACAGCAGAAAAAAAACTTACGGTTGATCTAGTGACTTTCCAATAATTCCCAACGACTTGGCCACGTTGAATCTGACATTTGGAACTCCATCCTCGGCCAATTTCTTGAGAACGGGGAAGATCTTAGCAACCACATTCTCCTTTCCTATCGCTTGCGCTAATGTGTTATAACAGAAAAGACAGGTCATTCGGTGAAGATAATTGCTGTCCTCGGCCAATTCGTTCACCTTGGGTAGGATCGATTCACACGCCCATTGGGGTCCAAACTTCTCGGCTAAACGCCTCAGGGTAGTCGTGGCTGCTTCTCTGATGGCGTACACTAAAGACGGAATATGAAAGATAACTAAGAGACATACCGTGATCAGTGAGCCAAGCCATGCACAGTTTCAAAAGTTTCTCATCAAAGAATTGACGGCCCAATTGCTCGGCCAACAGAGGCATATGCTCAACAATGGCCAAGCGAACTCTCCACTTCCCGTCCTCAGCCAATTCAATGATAGCAGGGAGGACAGATTGTTGGAGATCATTGCCACCGATAACTTCGCTAACCTAAACAAAGTTCTCAATAATCTTCACAACAAAGATAAAACACTATAACTATAAATAATCAGACATGAAACCCACCTTATCCAAAGAAGAGATGATGTTGAGCCTAACCTCGGCCGTATCATCATGAAGCATGGCCAAGAAGAGAGGCAAAAGATGTGTAACAGTGTTTTCTTGTCCAAGAATTGGAGCCAGTCCCATGATAACCGAAGCCAATGCTACTTTAACATGTTGATTGGTGTCAGAAGTCATTGGTCTGACAACTGGAAGGACTTCGTTGATGATGGCTTCCTTTCGGCCAGCTTCAGGAAGAGCCGAGCAGAAAGCTTGGAGTTTGGAAGCGGCGACATCACGGACTTCTCCCTCAGAATCCTTCAACAAACTGGTGTAGATCTGGACCATTTCTTCGATGGTGATCTTGTCTCGGAAAGCTTCTTGAATCTGCAAGACAGAGGTACAAACTATACCTAGACTAAAAAAACAAAACAAAAATGGAGCAAGTTTTTACCTCAACAATTCTCTCGGCGACCATATATCTTGATCTCCAAGATCTGTCGCCGGCCAATTCCTTGATGATTGGCTTAATCTGGGCAAGCTTGGCGGCATCTTCACGAAGAAGAGAAACCATAATAATACCAGCTTCAACAGCCAAAACTCGGACAGAATCTTGATCATCCTTGGCCAAATCTTCGAAGATTGGGAACAGCTCGTTCTTGAGATTATCTTCCTCAACCACCTTCGCAAATTCACCTAGCTTAGAGGCAGCGGCACGACGAACCATTGGGGTATCGTCACGGCAGAGTTGACGGAACACACTGAAAGGAAGATATTATACTATACATCATTACTGCAACTCAAACAAAAAATGAAATTCTTACCCTCTCAATTCCAGTTTCATCTGTGGACTGGCTCGAGCATATGCGACACTAAACAGTCCACAAGCTGATGTTCTAGAAGTAAACCAATCTCCTTGAGCCAACCTCAAGATCATGGGGATGAAATGTTCCTCCAAAGCAGCTGGAGAGTGTTTATCAGCAATCTTCCTTAGACTTTCCACAGCCTTATCTCTTACAACAGTCTCCTCAATGTTAGCCAAATTCTCCAAAGGAGGAAGAAGACAATGAACGTACTCTGGACCTCCAACCAGAGGGGTGAAGTTCCCAAGTTGTTCAGCCAAAGCCAACAACACTTCATCTTCGTCGTAGATGGTGTCTAAAAAACCAAAAGTTAGTTATGCAAAATACGTATAAAGGATGGGCAACCCAATGAATAAAAGCTGTTAGAAACCTCATCTATACTGAAGACCTAAAAGTCAAAGGAAGCAAAAGGATATTGCACATACCGGTCAAGAATTGGACTAATTCCTTTCGTGTTCTCTCAACTCCCAAAGCCAAGGCAATGGTGGACAACTTCCTGATAGAGTTGAGTCTAAGCTGGACATCTTCGTTTCTCAGCTCGTCGATGAGAACAGCAATCGGATACAACGAATCTTCGCCCTCTTCTTGGACTGGAGGCTGAGAGGCGGTGGCGGTAGCCATTTCACTTCACTCTCTGGAAATAATCAATTGCTTTTTATTTAAACCGGCCAAAGATACACGAGAACTTGCGGCGGTCAGATTGTCTCAAAAAGAGCCGATTAAAAAATATTATTCATAAGAAAACAGACAAGCGCAATATCCGTTTGTTTAAAAAACAGATTAAAAAATAGAATAATAAGTGTTTTGCAACTGTTAAGAAATCATACAAACAACACAGGCCCGAAACAACACGCACAATAAAAAAATAAAACAGAAAGGGCAGGCACAAGATAATAAAGCGTAATTTACAACAACAAAATAAGTGCGGCACTCCTAAAGCAGATAAAGATTAGCCAAAGCAGCCATGAAGAAGATTATCAAGCTTAGCACAGAATGCCATTTACCGTAAAGAATCTTTTGGCATCGCAATCAATAAATTTAGTTCACATTTCCCTCAATTTTGGCAAAGCGACAAATTGTTTGGCATTCCGTTTCATAAACTTTGCTGTTGATCTCCTTGCTTTCTGAGGTTGTATGTCAGACGAAAGCAACAGGAATGTTGTTGAATTCGACTGTACTCACTCTTAGGAGTGTGTCGGCCAAGAATTGTAAGTTTTCTTATTGGTTTGCTTATTTATAATGCCTATTTCTGTTTTTCATATTTGGCTCTTTAGTGGCCGCACTGTCAATCCGTCAACTCTCAACGGATAAACCTGCTGAAAAGACAACTTTCGGAAATTTAAAGGACTCGGATCGTATCTTTACCAACTTGTACGGTCGACATGATTATCGTCTCAAGGCTTCTATGGCTAGAGTAAGTGTAGTTTTGGTCAATTTGATTTTTTGTTTAGGGTGATTGGTATAAAACAAAGGAGATCATCTTGAAAGGAGCTAAATGGATCCTAGGAGAAGTCAGTACATCTGGATTGAGAGGTCGTGGAGGAGCTGGATTCCCTTCTGGAATGAAATGGGGATTCATGGGGAAGCCTTTTGATGGCCGGTGAGTGGCATCCAAGATTAAACTTACTGGGCTCTACCTTTTTGTTAGCTTAGTTAAAATGATCTATTTTGGTCCGATCATGTATTTATATTACACTTATAATGCTTATTGACTAAAATCTTTCAGCCCAAAGTACTTAGTTGTAAATGCCGATGAAGGAGAGCCTGGTACTTGCAAAGATCGTGAAATTATGCGTCATGATCCACACAAACTGATCGAAGGATGTCTAATTGCCGGTGTAGCAATGGGAGCTCGAGCCGCCTACATTTACATCAGAGGAGAGTTCTATAATGAAGCCGTCATCCTTCAAGAAGCCATCAATGAAGCCTACAAAGCTGGATTCTTGGGAAAAGATTGCCTTGGAACTGGATATAATTTTGATGTCTTTGTTCACAGAGGAGCTGGCGCGTATATTTGTGGTGAAGAAACGGTAAGGAACTTTATGAATATTATTGTTTGAAATTTAGGCTCTGATTGAATCGATCGAAGGAAAGCAAGGCAAGCCCCGTCTGAAGCCCCCATTCCCAGCTGATATCGGAGTCTTTGGTTGTCCAACTACCGTAACCAACGTTGAAACTGTAGCTGTTGCTCCAACGATCTGTCGCCGAGGTGGCGCTTGGTTTGCACAGTTTGGACGTGAACGTAATCGTGGAACCAAGTTGTTCTGCATCTCTGGTCATGTAAACAACCCATGCACTGTGGAAGAAGAGATGTCGATTCCGTTGAAAGATCTGATCGAAAGACATTGTGGAGGAGTTATCGGAGGTTGGGACAATCTTCTGGCCATCATCCCCGGAGGCTCCTCAGTCCCTCTTCTCCCCAAGAGTGTCTGTGATGATGTTTTGATGGACTTTGATGCCTTGGTTCAGGCCAAATCTGGTCTGGGAACGGCTGCTGTGATTGTAATGAACAAACAAGCGGATGTAGTCAAATGTATTGCTCGATTGTCGTTGTTCTACAAGCACGAGAGTTGTGGACAAGTAAGTATTTTTTGTTTGTTTTGAATTCTGATCTTAGTGCACTCCATGCCGAGAGGGATGTAATTGGCTGAACAAGGTGATGTGGCGCTTCGTGAAAGGAAAGGCCCAGCCATCAGAAATCGACGCCGTATGGGAATTGACGAAACAAATCGAGGGACACACGATCTGTGCGCTTGGAGATGCTGCTGCTTGGCCAGTTCAAGGTCTGATCCGTCATTTCCGCCCCGAATTGGAACGTCGGATGGCCGAGTACGCCCAGAAAGCGCCTGAAGTTGTTAGCAAGATCGCAGGAGCCCATTGAAACAGTCCTTATATAAATTTATAGGATAAAGAATAAACAGAAACCATGTAAATGTTGGAAGAATTTGTAGAGAACCATGTTTACTGTTAAAATTCGGGATTCGTATTGAAAAAGTGGTCGGAATTACATGGAGAATATAATTTTGTGCAGGGGGCTTCAGTGGTGGACGAAAAAAGCCAGGCTCATGCTTCGAAAAACATCAACAAACATAATTCATGGAAGAATGATCTCAAAGTTTATCAACTCCAAGGGTGAACCTAATCTTTTTCAACAAAAAGTCCACATCCAAACCAAATCTGGGAAAACTGCCGAAATCAACGTTGTCTTTCAGGTACGGTTACTTGAGTTTATTTCTATTATCATAGGACACAAAGCCGGAAGGATCTCCGATTGGAACACTAATCGCGGTTCATGGAGCTCCCGGATCTCATAAAGATTTCAAATATCTGTGGCCAGTCTTGGACGAGAAAGGCGTCCGAGTTATTGGAGTTAATTGGCCTGGAATGGGATATACCTCTTGTAAGCGAGTTAATATCAAGCATCTTATTTTAGATGACGAGGCGTTAAATGATGATAACGATGAAAGAGTCCAACTGGTTCAGCATCTTGTGGAAGAGCTCGGATTGAAGAGTAATACGGTATTCATGGGACATTCAAGGGGATCGGAGAATGCTCTTAAAATGGCTGCGCTTTATAAGGTGGGATAATTGATTGCGTGTCTATTAAACTACATTTTTGTCTTTGAGTACCGTATTTTCAGGATCATTGTTCCGGCTGTGTTCTTGTTAATCCAATAACTCTCCGAGCCCACCGCGGAGTTCAACCTTATCCTTTGGTATGCTTTCTGGGATGGATTTGGAAGACGTTCACTCCCCTCCGATTCATCACCAACCCTTTTCTCCACTGGTGTAGGTCCAGAATTGAGTATATTATTGTTAGATAAGAATGAAATTTTTTATATTACGATGATTGACAGAATTTCTCTTTCCAGTCTACCATAGCATCCTTGGCCTTCGATCCGTTGATGGACATGCTGCTGGCGTCTCGTTGCATCTAATGAACAATGTGGATTTTGGAGGACAGATCAAATATATTGAACAAGTGAATCAGAGCAATGTGAAGGTCCTCAATTGCTCCAGTGGAAAGGATTTCCTTATTCAGCGATCGCTGAATGAAGAATTTGGGTCCAAATTTAAGGACGCTGAGAATCTAGTGAGTCTTTACACCATTTCCGTTTCATTAATTTAGGTCTGCACTTCCAAAGATGATGATTCGGAAGTGGATTCCCAGATGAAGGCGGCTTTTGCCTCGGGCAAAACAAAGGTTAATGTCTTCTTTACACCCGACGGTCATTTCCTCCAAAAAACTCGCGCCAAATTCCTCGCTGATGGAGTGGTTCTGATGCTGGAGAGTAACAACAATCACAAGTGAAAAGTATTGGTCATGATAGGCTAGTGTCAAACACTTGTGATCATCATCTTGCCTTCTGTTAAATACGGTTATATAGTCAAATAAACATTTCTAGATAAATTTAGGGCATACGGTAACTTTAGAACTGTAGTTGAGTCCATTTGCTCTTTCAATCAGAAGTTTTTGGTTACAATTATCCATCAAGGATCAGTGCAATATAAAATTTTCTGTTAACTCTGGCCTAGCATTGGTGGTTTAACCAGAATAATAGCTCAATATTTTTGATGTATAATATATTTATTTTATCAAGAATTCATATGTACAGCCAAACTAATGATGAGAATCTCACATGGGTGGACAGGTTACCAGTCTTCTGAACGTGTTTTGCATCAATCGATGGATTTCGGATAGCGTTGGGCGTCGTTCCGGGTCTAAATCCCAACAAATCCGGAAGATTTCATCGTATAATAGGGGACTACAGTAATCCGAGAGGGGGAGTAGACTCTGAAAATGCAATTTTTAGAATAAGAAAAGTGAATAGTAAATAATTTAAAGTTTTGTTTCGGCATTTATAATATACTTTTGGGTCCTTTTTTCACCTACCGTCATCTGATCCTCTTGGAGACCTTGAATCAGTCGGAAGATCTCTTTGTCCTCGAAATTTCCCAATGGCAAACTTCGTCCCTTCTCAAACACCTCCCACAACGTCACTCCCAACGCCCACACATCCGATTTATTACTGTAGGATACTGTATTCACGTCCGATGTGCTCCCTACAGTAGATGTTGTGGCCGAGGACATTTGAGGGGATGATGGAGGGGCTGTCGATGGTAATGCTGGGGTCACAGTGTCCCCGGAGACCGAAGCATACGTGGTGTCGAGTAATTCGGGAGCCATCCATCGCAACGGGAGCTTGTAATCTCCGTGTTGGGTGTAATGATGACTGTAATGTTGACAGTATCTACCGTAATCCATGGTCACTTTGACTGTCCCATCGATGTCGATAAGACAATTTCGGACAGCCAAATCTCGATGCACCAGACCCACAGACTCCAGATAGGCCATGGCGGCGGCAATTTGAGTTCCAATCGATAGGAGAGAGTCGTTTCTACAAGGGAGTTCGATTATATTCCACTGGACCTTACCTCATGTCAGGAAGAACATTTAGATATCCACCCAACTCCAGGGCCTCCCCCATCTCAAAAACCGCACAATTCCTGTTCTCGAGGGTCGTGGTTCCCAACAAAATCATTATATTCTGATGCCTCAATCTGTTCATCATCCCAATTTCCCGTCTCAATCCTTCCCTGGCCAAATCCTTCTTCGGAATCTTCACCAAAACTCGTCCAGGTCCAGTGGGACATACAATTAGTCGCATGCCCGCGTCTTCGCCAAGAACGACGCCTTTTTGGAAGAGATCATTGCTGTATTCGACGATGCTTTGAGGGGCCGAACAGTCGGGGTATCGCTGAAGAGGCCCCAAAGGATCCAAAAGATCAGTTGTGGAGAGATCCGCGACCACATCCCGGGATGCATAATGGACCGAGTAGGGGGGAGAGAGATGATCCAACGCTCGGCTGTGCCAGGATTTAATCAGAGGCTCGGAAAGACTGAAAAATTTTGATTTAGAGGATGATAGATGTAATCGAAATTGAAACTTTTTTTCCCGTTTTAGGACTAAAGGTATTTTTTAGCCTTGAAATCAATGCGCTATCCAACTTTATGCCAATTTTCTTTCAAACCTGAGCTTTTGGATCCCAAAATTTCCTGACTTATCAAAGATTACTCACTTTTCGATGTCCGGCTCAGCATATTCGCTTGAACTATCGGCCGAACTTGGAGGCGGGAACTTATCCACATGCACATTTGGATCGTATCTGTTCTGATATGGCGACAAATGGCGTTTGAAGCTCAGATCCGAGTTGACATTCAGTTTGAGGCTGCTCGTAGCCGAGGTTTTTCTCGTGTAATTCAAACACAACAGACAATAGACGACCACCAACAAGATGCCGCATCCAAAAACAACTGCGCCAACGCCGGCTGAAGATAAAACGATTAGAAATTCTCTGTATTAAAGATGACATTAATAATGAAAAACCTACCGATCACAATCCACATGACGCTGTCTTGATCCACATTGGTTTGGATGGAGAAGACGGTGAAAGTATTGTCTTCAAAGGCATCGAATTCATTCAGATTCTGTTGGAGGACGGGAGGAGATGTGGTGGAATCTAAAACATTTTGTGTTATTTTAAGAAATTGGTATTTTTAGGGTAATAGTGACTAAAAACATTGGACTCGGACTGTTCGAAATTTGCTTTAAAAAACGACTCCACATTTGAGCCAAGCCTTTCTTGATTAACATAACTCTTACCTTTGCCGAACATGACCTCACTCATCATCAGCCAATCAGCATCTTCCGCCATCTTCAGCTCGAATCTGATGTGCTTACAGGAGCTCTCATCCAATTCCACTTTAACCCATTGAGGCCCCTCTTCTTTCGGCATCTCCAATGACACAAATCTGACCATTGGAGGCTTGGTTCGATCTTCGAAAGTGGACAAAATCACTGTAATATCCTTGAAAGATTTGGCGTTTATCTTCTGATCCACAGAGACGTGGAAATAGACGGTCGAAATCTTGACGTAATGGGCAAAGTTGAAGTCGATCTTGACCTTGGATCCGAGCTGATGTCGATTCCAGCCGACCCAATTCACCGTGTCATTGGGGAGATTGGAGGTGGCCACTCTATGATTAGTCAACTTCCCGAGCCCTCCTCGATGCATGCCATCGATTTCTTCACCATCGTAAGTGGAATCGCGGAGCTCCGGAAGTTCGGCCATGCCGGCCAAAGGGATACTGTAGGAGGCAACATCTTCTGGAAAAAAAATTTCGTCAATTGTGAAACGCGAAATTGAGATTGCCCAAAAAGTGTTCTCCTTACCTTTAAAAGCGCAACCAAAGAGTTCAAATCTCAGACAAACAGTCCGTGTGAATTCAGAGACCGGGATTATCCGCACCAAACTGGCCACAAAGCCCCCTTGAAGGTCCCTCTTTACCGTCGTCTTCGTATCTTCATTCCCATTCACAATCTCCACTCCATTATGATCGTGATATCGGGCCCATTTCCCCAGCGACGGTCGCCAATATTCGATCATGTATCCAATCGGATATTCGCGGCCTCTTCCCTTGTCGTAGCGCCCTTGAGTTTGGACGGCCGAGATGAGGAAGTCCTGGCCCAGATCCACTTGGATCCATTCGTGGGAGGAGGCGTTGATCTGGTTGAGGGGGCACCAGGCTCCGCTTCCGGATTCGGAGTTTAGTCTGAAGGAGGCATGGGATTTACTTTGAAATTTCGATTATTTTCCAATATTATACTAGGTGCTGATTCAGAAAAAAAAACTCAAATTTGGGACATTAACGAAATTTTCAGAGATTGATAACTAGGCTGTAGGTAACATCTGTACCAAATTTGAATAAACTTCGGTTGTATTGCCCTTAGGGTATTTTTCCTTTCAATTTTTTTCTTACCGGGAATTCTGTGGACCCGTCGAAAGAGTGTCGAAACTCGAGCTGGCACTTAATTGAGCGTCCAGAATGGCACCTGATTCCAGACCGAGCGGGCGATTCACACATTCGTCTTCTGAAATCAATCATTTCTAATCCCTCATTAAAGGTAATCTGATATGGGGGCTTAATGGATTAATTGTTATGATCGAGGTCACTTTGAGCGGAAAGAAATGGCATGATAAAAGAAGAATGGACAGTTGTCAAAAAGTTCGGGGATTTTTAAGACTCTGGGTTACGGTAATTTTTGAAGTTTAAAAATTGTTTTGAGTTCACTTCTAAAATTTGAAATTTCTTGAATTTTAAGCAAAATTTTTCTAATTCAACGACAAAGTTAATTGCCTGTTGAGTCAACGGATGTCTAGAAGTCATCTTTTCCCTCTAATCCACTTTACTTTAGGTACTGACCCCAATCCGAAGCTTAATTCACAGCTTGCCGCTCACTTCAGGCTACGCATTCTTATGCAAATCTATGCAATTCTCCCACCTGTCGCGCTTTATCGCTGCATGAATTCTCTTATTCATTACTTGACCGCTTTATTGCGCAACTTTCGAAGATAAAACTCCCGACCTCAGCGCTGATAATCCTCGAATCAGGTAGTCGTTTTATGTGTTGTTGTTTACCTTTCCTTCCGCCTCTAATCCCGACCCTTTTCGCTTTCCCGTTGCCGCTTTACAGCGGCGTTAATTAGCGGCCCAAGTCCTTCAATTTGACGCCGCTGTAATGGCATCCAACTCTTAATTCATTCGCGCGAAAAGTGGCACCCAACTTTGCAATAAACGCGGCCCTTTTGACTGGGCCATATAAAAGGAAAATAAAGGGGAAGAGATGACAATAACTTCAAAGAATCGACCGAAACTCTCGGGAAACAAGTGTTTTCTATTGGATCAACGGAAAAAAAGTAGCCTCAAAGGGGATTTGGGAGGATATCCGGGTGGATTACAGTAAATTTTGATTGGTTTAGGGGATTGCGAAACGGAAAAAAGGGAAAGCGCAAAGATTTGAGGGATATAAAATAAAAGACAAATGCCAATCAAGGCTAAAATACGGTAAAATAAATTTTTCTCACAATTAAGTCTTAACCCCTGACAAATTTTAATATTTCTCCCAAGTCATCAAAAAAATTTTTTTTGTAAATTAATTTTTTTGTTTTTTTTCTTTCAAGTATCCGCAATATTTCGCCTGATTCCAGACGACCTCAAATTATCGGAATTCACCTTTTCTCCCCAAATTCCCAAGGTGATCATCATCCTCAAAACTTTCTTAAAAACTCATCTTTCACATTCAAATTTGATCGCCGCTTTTCGCCCATAAATTAAATACAAAGTTTTTCTCCCTCCGAAAACGGCGTCATAAGAAGATCAAAACCTCCGATTAACTCCACCATTGGAGCCGTTAATGGCCTCAGAAATCTTGATGGGGAAAGGCGAAAATTAGAGTTTGGCACCTCTGCGATCAAGGCCGAGTCCATTAGATTCTACGGGATTAGGAGGGATAAGGTCAACCCGATGAGTAGATGCCATAATGGGGGAAGTAATTGGAAGGGAACTTACTTGTAACAGCAATGGAAAAAGTCGTTGAGATCAGTAGATGGCACGTTAAAAACTGTGAGATTCTGTGGAACATTTTGACGATTTTGATGAAGATTTTTTGATGATTACGTTGAGATAGAGCTCGAAACCATTGCTTGGCTTAGCTGTTGAGACAGGGTATTTTCTGTGGGACCTGTAATCAGCATCGGTTACAATAGTATTACAGTAGTTTGAAATTTATGGCAAAGTCTCGCGAAATCACCGCGTTTTGATGTCACGTTTAATACAGCTCGAATAGCTTGGTTAATATACATAACAATTAGATTGTGTGTAGAATGTGTAGCCGCAATTTGTTGCAACAACGCTGCTGTAATTTTAAAATTACGAGAAAATCTTCCGAAAGAGCCAAAGATAGGCGTCAAGTGTAACATTATGTAAATTTCTTGGAATGAAAAGCAATAACAAATCAAAAAAATGGCCTCAACTTATAAATAAAGGTCTGATCCATCAGCAGCCATAAAGATTAGAAGATATATCGAACACGAAAACTCGGAAATCTGCGATCCCATCAAGGGCATGACATTTGACTCAAAAATTCCCCGATTGGAAGCGCGGAACGGCATTCAGAAGTGGAGAAATTATAAATTTGGGAGTGCCGAAAGAGCGATCGTAATCTCCTCGAGAAGATACGAACACCAGTTGTTTCAAAAACGGGACGAAGAATGGGGGCTCTCCGGAGGGAATTATCGTATCTCCCGGCGACAAAAGAAACGGCATAATTGGGAATTTAGAGTAAAAAATGACTGGATACACATCAAGGAAGGGATTTAAAAGAGTAGGTGGTAATCCGGAAGGTCTAGAAGCAGCGATAACGCAAGGATAAGCCACGAAAAGAGCAGATTCATTGAGATGAAATGTCATTTTTTGGGGTTGACTTATCGCATTTCCAACTGCATAAATTGTAAATTCGAGACAAATCCGAGGGTTCGGATGTATAATATTATGTTTGACAAAGTTTTGGGCGGAGGTGGGTTACTGTAACAAAATTAATTTGGGGTAAATACTTTTGAATTCTGGAATAATACGGAGCGACCATATTTAGAGACTAATCTAGGCCAGTTTTTTGATATATTTTGAGATTGATTTCCTTGGCCCCGCCCCCTCGTCGTCACATCTGGAGACAGAAAAATAAATGAAGATTAAGAGAGTGCGCGATCAACTCAACAAGTGGGATAGCCTTTTATTGAGACCGAAAAAGATCACGCAAACGATTACAGGACATCTGCAACACTATTTTTGGCCATCAAAGATATAGTGACCTATTACAATATAAAATGTTGCCAATGATTAAAAACTGTCGTATTATGCCTTCTGATACCGTAAAGTAACGTAAAGAATGTCCAATGAGCCATCCAAAAATACCCGCAATATCACGCCTCAGGCAGGGATAGCCGCGACCCGTCAATCCCAATATATCGGGCCCAGTAACTCACTTAACGGCCGTTTCTTTAAAAGCTCGCCCCCCAAAGTCATTACTAATGTCGTATGCAGAAGCTCATCAAAAAAATTGTTGCACTCGGTTCTGCATTTACGCATTCGGCCCAATAATTTTTGGAGTTTTTGCGGCCCAAAAGTTGGAAAATGAAGGAAAGTTGAGTCATCATAACAAGCGGGGGATATAAGGCAATTTGAAGGGACTGGGGGAGTGGGATGGATGAGATTCTACTGGCAAGAATTTAAGTATTATATCTTATATGAGAATGAAACAAAAAAAACACAGAAGAAATTAAAATACTTCTCAAAATCAAATTAAAATTTCTAAAAGATCATTCTAAAAGACGCATTAGAATTTCCCCCACCCACCCAAACATCTCTCTTACACCTCAGATCACCCTATCTCCCCATCAACATCTCCAAAACACCCATCTCAACACCTTTCAAATATGACCATTACTTTCAAACATTACAACCAACACTATAACTCGCCACATGCCCCTCCAAAACATGCCTGAATCGGCTCCAAGTCCCATAGGCAGAGTAATAAAGGAAGAGTTTATTATTCCGAGGCCGCACCTGGAACGTCCGAATACCTTGAGGGGGCGGAGCCTCGGTTTACAGCCCAGAAAGTGCTCTAATAGTGATCGTAAAACGACATGGCCGTTAGATCGGTAGTTATAGGGTGGCATGAGGACAAAATTGAAGAGTATTCCGAGGCAGTTTAAGAGAAACGACAGGATTTATAGAGCTCTACATTATCCATGACAAAACAAATGAAAAGATTCGAAAAATGGGTGGGTTACAAGTTTATTGACCACGGAAATAGTCGAAAGTGGGACGAGGACCCCCGATAATCTCCGTTGACGCCTTCTGTTCCCAGAATTATACCCCCGAGTTCCCACGTATCCAAAAACAACCAAATCCGCTTAATCTCCGGCACGTCGCCGAGCTTTGGCCCAATGACAGAATAATCGAATTGGCGGTAAATAAACCGAAAGTGCATGTATGCAGACTGCCACACGTCAGAGCCTCTGAGAATTTACAAATTTTTTGGTAAAAATAAAAACAGAGATCAACAAAGGAGAAATTGGTGGGTGAAAGTGGTAATTTTGGATAAAAACATAGAAAGTAAAGGTAATAAAGATGTTCTGGACAGCCTATTAGATGGTATGTTACGGGAAATAGGGCTAGAAATATAAATAGAAAAAAGATTTTTGCAAATTAATTACTTTGAGCAAAAAACTTGAGTTTTTGAAGGATCCAAAAAATGCGGAGATAATTGCCCTGAGGGCAAACCAAGCCAAAAGTCGGCAACTCCACTTGCGGGCACACCATTTTCCGGCCTAATGGATTCTGTCACGGAATGCGCGGAAATCGCTGCAAAATCGCCGGAGGGCAAAGAATCGGGAGAAACGATATGCAGAAATTGGAAGGGATAAACGTATTATAAATTAGTGTTAATAGCTAAATTAGAAGTTGCTGTAGTGCTAATTTTATGGAAGGAATTTGCAGATTAGTCAGCTGTTTTTATTAAGAAATAATTAGCGATGTTTTGACCGGAGATTTTAATCAAAAACAGAGAGATTAAGGGAGAATTAAGCGGTAAAATACGGAAAAATTGTTCACTTGCGACACATCATAGTACAAGCGGACTTTTGGAACATTTCTGGGAACATACGAAGGCCGACTCTCGCCTGAAAATGACATCTTTCATCAGACTCTTGTTAATCCGAGGTCTAAAAAATGAAATCTCTGGAATTTCAGGATTAAAGAAATCAAAAATAGCCTCCAGAAAATTGCAAAACCCCGAAAGGATCCCTTTTTTCAAATTTCAAGAGCTTCCGTAGACTACTGAAGTCAAAAATAGCGGAGAGATCTCCTAAAATATCCCGAAAAGTTTATGCAAATCCCGGATTTAGCAGGAGAAAATAGCCCCAGGGCATTAATGAAATCCCCTTCAAGTCCTCTTGCGCTCTCAACCTCCTTCCTCTTGAGGGAATCCCAAGTATTTTCTGAGAGAAAAGAAAGTTATCCGACCCATTTGTTGCCAAAACTTTTTCCTCAGATTCCGTCGGCCGAACGGCCGATAAACTTAATTCAATCCGGGCCTCAAGCAGAACCGAGGTTGCGGACCCAATTAATTCCCACCGCCTTAGGGCATGACATCCGAGACGCCTTTAATTGGATACATATTAATTGTATGGAATAATTCGGGAATAAAAGGCGGCCGAAAGAATTTTCGGCCGCAATTCCGGACTTGGATTAATCAAAATGCCCGTAAAGGTCTTACAATTGCCAAAATAATTTTTAGATGAGATAAAAATAGAGGATTCCAAAGAAAAAGTAAAAAATTATATTATACTAGACACTCAATGATAAGGCTTCTCGGTAGCAGTCAATTTTACACTTTAGATTACGCAATTTTATGGATATAGTGCCCCGCTATTAGCGCGGTAGATGGCACACCTGTTTTCAATCATCCGTAAATAATTTTTGATCAGCTCCCTACTACAATATAAAGTTTTTGGTCTACCAATCGAGAGCTTAGCAATCTGACAGTAAGAGTAAGAAAGATCGCAAATCTTGCTCAGAAGGCCCTTCTTCTTTTGTGAATCGACCGAAGAACTTTTGGAAAACACTTGAGATTTGGCCATGAGAAATGGGAGCTACTGTTTTGTGTGGAATAATAAAAGGATGGGGTGTGAATCAGAGCGAAGACGAAGGGCGTGAAGGTCAAGACTTCTATAACAACAAGGGTACCCGAACGGCGCAAAAAAATTGCCGGGAATAGAGGGGAAATGGAAAAATACAGGGTGGGGCATCTTTGTGGCCCGATTTGAATTGGCTATAACTTCTTCAGTTTTTGGCCAAATTTTAAAATTCTTTTTTTCCCTGAATCGTCAGCCAACCCCATTTTGTTTGATAACAAATATGTTACACATAGTAAGTGTATATATACAGTTATTGGATTTATTCTTGGAGTTCATTTTTTCGGTCGTTTTTTGGTTGTTTTTTCGGTCTTTCCCGGTGTGTCCGGAAATGGAGTACGGTGCGGAAGAAAAATACGGTGGAATTTCCCCTCCCGAAAATCGACGATGAGAATAAGAACAAAAAGTGAAGATCAACCTCCAGAGTTCGTCGAATGGTCCTTGCTGAAGGCATTCCCTCGGTTCTGGCCAAGCTTCGTGTACTCATATGCGGATTTTCTTGGAATTTTGACAAAACTTCTTAAATTTTCAGCTCCGTTCGAACTCATGTTTCCTGCTTTTTTGTTTCCTGTTAACGCTGCCAGTCTCAAGGAACTTATTCCACGAACGTCGAATTGTCTTGCGATCTGGAGGCTGGCATTACGTCCGTATTTCATGCGGTATCCCCGTTTGAAAATTTATTGCTGAACCGTACTTGCTATACCAAACCACAGACCAAGCTTTTTCTTCCACACCGGACTCCATTTTCGGACACACCGGGAAAGACCGAAAAAAACAACCGAAAAACGACCAAAAAAATGAACTCCAAGAATAAATCCAATAACTGTAGATGACACTTACCTATGTATAACGTATTTGGTATCAAACAAAATGGGGTTGGCTGACGATTCAGGGAAAAAAAGAATTTTAAAATTTGGCCAAAAACTAAAGAAGTTATAGCCATTTCAAATCGGGCCACAAAGATGCCCCACCCTGTAATTGAAAAAATATTCGGGATGGATGACTGAGGAGATATTTGCATAAAACAAGGAGATAAGTGGTCGCGGAATGGCGGCAAAAAGGTGGGAACAGCACTGAGGGGGGTTTATGACACTGGGCTCACTAATTTATTGGATGATCAGAGGAAATAATACCTTTGAGATATCAAAATGGCATGGATGAAAAAGTACATGAAAAAAGAGTGATCTAGATGCAATGCCCAGAATTTGCAAAGCAAAACCGAGATATGTTATTGCAGACGAGAGATTGTGGAACAATAGAGAGGAAGCCAGTGAAAAAATATTTTTTTGTATATTCGTGAGTCTCACAAAAGTAATTCCTTCAGCATCACCGCTAAACTTTTTTCAAAAGTCAAGTAGAGGCTTTGAAAGAGTATTCGTACGAATTTAAACACTGTAGGTGCCATAATATTGTTTTGGGCCAAAGTTCATGTAAATCCGGCCCAAGTGTATGTAAATTCCCTCCAAAATTTTTATGGCCCAGCTCTTGAAGCTCCCAAGAAAAAAGCTCCCACAACTTTTGAGTGAGAAGAATTTCGAGTTTGAAGGGGATCATGTTACGCCCTGAGGCGATGGCCAAACAATAAAATCCCGCAGGTGTTTTTCCCTCGTTTTATTGACCACCAAAATAAAAATATCACCAAAATGGCGGGGATCCATCAACTCTCTAAAAAAAAAAATAAAGAATAATTTTTACAAATTCGTTGTCAAAAGTCGAAAAGAGGCACGAAAATATCTGAAATGTCACACATCTGGGGTATTTTTTTTTTTATTTTCATTAGGCATCTGGACTTGGGAGGGGGATGGAAAAAAGATCGGATCACCCCTAATTAGAGGGCGGCATGAAGAAGGAGAAGATCAAGGGATTAGCAGGAAAGGAGTGGTCTACGGAACCGGTAATGACTCAAGACACGACGATCATATTACAACACAATATATAGAGATATAAACGTGGTCACAGAAGTTCTTGCATTCGATCTTCGCCGATGAGGCGTAAACCACTGCAAAAATCGATGTGCAGTGATTTGGAAAACCCAGTGCAGGGTTAATTTTGGGTCGGAAATGATTTTTAAAATTCAGTGCATTTTTTTTAAGTCAGTAATGATTTTTCAAATTCAGTGCATTTTTAATAAGTCAGTAATGATTTTTCAAATTCAGTGCATTTTTTTTAAGTCAGTAATGATTTTTGAAATTCAGTGCATTTTTAATAAGTCAGTAATGATTTTTCAAATTCAGTGCATTTTTAATAAGTCGGCACTGATTTTCGAAATTCAGTGTTGACTTAGACCCGTAGCTCCGCCCCCTTTTTCTGGAGCCAATCAGGTAACAGCTCTCAAAATGAACGCAAAAGGCGTTAGAAAAACGCCGTTTTTTCGCGGATTTCACTCCGTGCTCCGTTGTAGCCACTAATGGGGTTTATGAAGCACCTTATACTTTCAAATAAAACAGAATCCAGATTTTTTGACAACTTCCATCCTTGGAAGGAGAATCAACAAAAGTGAAACTGGAAGCAAGATGATTTCTATGTTTTCTTTACTGGAATCATGACCAGTTGCTAATGTAAAAAAATAAACCCGTATCCTATAGAAAGTTTATCTTCGAGACATAATACAAGATGTTTTACGGTTTCCATCGTTCTTTCTCCTCATCAAACACATCGTCTTCCAGTTGGGGTTGAGTCGTTGGCCGTTGGCGATGTCCCGACGTGGATGGACGATCGGTTTCCAATGGTCGGCTTCCTCCAAACATTGGATTGGAGGATTGGAACCGAGGACGCTCTCCAAACTGGTTTCTGCTTCCAAGTCCACTGTTGGAAGATTGCGGTGTGGGTCGTTGACTGGTTCCAAATGGTTCCAAAATTGGAGTCTGCTAAAATACGACATCTTTATGCAAAAACTGAACCTAATAATAAAATGGAAATTAATGACTTACTTTATTCACTTCTCCGATTTTGGCTTCCTCAAGAAGGTTTCAGCACTCCATTCCACTGAATAAAATTCTGCCGGCATTGCATTCGATTCTCGATGATCTAAAGGCGGAATCAAAAATTTCAAACCCAACTTACCACCGAAACACCTTCGAAGGCGAACATCACAGTGCCGAAGAACAGTGGCAAATCCCGCAATTCTCCTCATTTCGTCAGCTCATCCGTCGATTTCAGGTTGCTGCAGAAGAAATATACCACAATCGCCACTGCGCCCAAGTAAATCACGTTGGCTGCGGTTGCGAATGGCCCCAATTTCGAGAGCTTTCGAATGGAACAGAAGCGCAGCACCGGAATGCCGATGAAAACCATCCAGACGGACTTTGGAAGGACGATACCAACATTCTCCCGGAAGAAATCCTCCAAATTGTCCGCCATGAAGACGAAATACACACAACAGAAACCGAGTTGAGCGATGAAAACATTGCAGTTGACGAGTTGTTTGAAGAATTATCCACGATGTCTGATCCACGACGGGCCCGCTTCGAACGCACCTCACATAATATTTCCATAATCGATTGCATCTCGTCCGTTTCTGGAAAGCAAATATTTTAGGTGTCTGCCGACCAAAAAATATTTTTTCTGCTAAATTTATCGTTAGTTTTCCTCGAAGAAGCCTAAAAACAGAAAAAAAATTCAAATACTTACCTTGAACAGACAAAATGGGGCGCAAATATTCATCTGTCGCATGCAGTAAAAGCAGACGGAGCAAATCAACACCAATAAAAATCATTCCCAGCTGAAAATAATACCCAAATCAGTGAGTGAGAGGACCCAAGCGACAAAACTTCGCGAAAAAAGATAAAAAAGCCAGCAAAAGAAAAGAGTCTGAGTCAAACAAATCCTGTAATTTCCCTGCGAGACACAAAACACGGATCAAGTCCTTGCGGATCATTTCGTAATTTTTAGGCCCAAAACTTGTATTTTTTTACGACTTTCGTGGCAAATTTTGCCACAATATAACTTTTTGGCTCTTATTTTTTAGGTAGCTGATGGAACAAGCAGAGTATTTTTTTACGACTTTCGTGGCAAATTTTGCCACAATATAACTTTTTAGCTCTTATTTTTTAGGTAGCTGATGGAACAACCCAGTTGGCCCTGTGGAATCCGACGAGATCCTGCGCACGGAAGACGACACATCAGATTTTGAGGACCAAATTGAAGCGAGTTTGAACGTTGAGTTGGGTTTCAGCGACGATCAGGTATGTTTTTCTTGTTGTTCTTGAAATTTAGGTATGAAAATTGAAAAAGAAGTAGAAAAGTTTGTTGATGCTCAACTTTTTGGCTCTTATTTTTTAGGTAGCTGATGGAACAACCCAGTTGACCCTGTGGAATCCGACGAGATCCTGCGCACGGAAGACGACACATCAGATTTTGAGGACCAAATTGAAGCGAGTTTGAACGTTGAGTTGGGTTTCAGCGACGATCAGGTATGTTTTTCTTGTTGTTCTTGAAATTTAGGCATGAAAATTGAAAAAGAAGTAGAAAAGTTTGTTGATGCTCTAGTATAAGGCGTGAAATTAAAGCCTTGAGCTTTTGAAGTTTAATAAAAGTGAAAATCAGCCATTAGTGACCTAGAAATTACTGGATTTGGCAATAAATCTCAATTTTTTTAGAAAAATCCGTCGGAAGAAGCCGAAGAACCCAGCTCATCTCTTGAAAACGATGTGAACAAACTTACCAGGAACCAGCCAAAAGACACAGCCAGCCCCGAACATCCGATGGTACCCGTACGTCAGCTGCCCCTTCAACCAGTCGTTCCATTTAATATTATTTAGAAGATCTCTTAAGTAGAATTCAATTCTGGTAGAACTTTTAGTGTAGTTGCTTCTTTTTATAGCGTTAAATTATTTGTTTTTGGGAACTCGTTATATATTTTTGAAATCGTTTTTTGATTGTTGTTGTTTAGAAGGATAAAATTATATATTTACCATGTTGAATATCTGAAAACCCCAAAAAAAAACGACTAATTTAACCTCAAAATTGAATGGTGCAAGGCCTAGTTCAAGAAGGCGGAGACAATTTTCTAGAGCTGCCTCCTGATTGGCTGCAGAAAGGGGGGCGGAGCTTCTCTTAACTCAGCACTGAATTTTGAAAATCAGTGCCGACTTATTAAAAATGCACTGAATTTGAAAAATCATTACTGACTTATTAAAAATGCACTGAATTTCAAAAATCATTACTGACTTATTAAAAATGCACTGAATTTAGAAAATCATTACTGACTTATTAAAAATGCACTGAATTCTGAAAATCAGTGCAGGGCTATTAAGTCCGCACTGATTTTTCTCAGATTCGCAAGTTTGTTGACACTGGGTTTTCCAAATCGCTGCACATCGATTTTTGCAGTGGTTTACGCCTCATCGGCGAAGATCGAATGCAAGAACTTCTGTGACCACGTTTATATAGAACATGTAATTATGAGGCCATTCGGAGGTTAATTGAGGTCGAAACAACGCCTTTGACCCGTATTGTTTTGTATAATAGGAATGAGGCGGTGAAATAGAGTGGAAAGGATACCTAATTGGGACCGAGAGGTAATAAATTACATACTGTAATTAGTGTGGAGACAAACAATGGCAATTAAATAGGCATTTTTGGGAATGGTGAAGTTTGTTTTCTCCAATCTTTAACCCGCAATAATGTCATTTTAAATATTCAAATTACAAAACGCCGAGGGTATTTCGAATTCCGCTCCTCATTTTTCAGATCTTTGTCAGCCAAAGTCCCGTCGAGGACCCCCATTTCCTCCCCCCAATTCACCTGCAAGTCCAATGCCATTGCCTTTTCGATGAGATATAATAGTCGTTTTTTTATATTTTCGTGCATAAATTTCGCAGCAAACGATCGCTCATCCGGTGCGCCGGACAAGAGTGGACCAAGTACATACAATGACCCGCTTTCCGGTCGGTCCTTATGACTGGCTTTATTACCAAAAAAAATTAAATCGGGGAGAGAGAGTGTCACGGAATAAAGTAATATAAAATGTTGCCATAAAAGGAGAATATGTACGAAACAGATCTTGCAGATGATTTCTACTGATATGAAACGTGGAAAGAGAAGGGATTCTCACGGATACAGCTGTTACATCGCGCTAGACATCAAAAATCCAAAAAAAATGGATTTGTTGATATTCCTAACTTTTAACAGGACAATAACTAAAATGCCACAGGGCAAAAGATTAAAATCGGACTGAAAAATCTTCTACAGCCTCCCAACAACCTTGATATTAAATTTCGCACTTCCAAAGCCTCTTAAAATACGGTAACATTCGTTTTGAAAACGAGAGACCCAAAGACTTTCCGCTCAAATCTCTGAGGGCCATTATTCGAATAATCTGCATACTAAAAGGCCGCGAACTCACTTTCAAAAAATTCAGCGCGACCCTGTCCAACAACATTGTTAATCCAAAAGACAAACATTTACATATTCTTATTAAAAAATCCCTTCACTGACCTCCAACCTGCTCTGAGTGTAAATAAAAAAGAAAAAGAAGGTGATGGGACAGCGTGAAATTGGAATGGTCGACAGAAATAGATTTGTAGATTTTTTGGAGTTCAAATAATGGTGAAAGACGTATTTTAGCTTATCGGTCTGCAAGACAATGATTTACGGACCAAAATTATATTAACCATGATGACTAAATTCTTAAAAAATTCTTTTAACTCCATCACAGAAAAATGTCTGTGTGAGCATTTGTAGATCTCGAATCCCCATACTTTACTTTATCACGCTATAAAAAATAATTTTTTCAATCAAAAATTTACAATAAATTTGACAAACAGCTCAATCAGCCAAAGCCCCTGCAAACCCGAAGATTCTCAACCAGTTGTCCCAAAGACTTCATTGTCCATCCATATCCGCGATGAATATTCATTATGCGGGTCATTTATTTACCCAAAACTTTCCGTTTTCGCGCCCAATCAATCAGAAGAAAAGTGAGAAAATCAGATTTATTGGGGGTACCTGTTCGCGTTCGAGAAGTGGGATCTCGAGATCACACCTCTCTCGCCACTTTACGACCACGGATTTATTTAATGCAATACAACGCGAGGATACATTAATCAAATGGGATATTATACATCAGGATCGGGCTCAACAGGTGTTGGATTAGAAAGACATTTGAATACTTTGCGAAATCAATCCCGAGATGGGGTAAAATACGCGTAGAACAGTCTTGAGAGTAATTACAAGGAAGGGTTTAGCATCCTCGAGAAAGAAAATTGAATATGGAAATGAATTTAGGTCATCTGAAGCTGCGAATTGTCATTAATTTTAAGGTCAATGAGAGGGGAACAGAATCCGAGAGGAGGAATGACGAACACAGAGGCTACTATTAGCCTAATTGTCACCCAATTCTAAGGTTTCATTTTTTTGTTCGATAAAAATATGAAACAAAATGATGACGGCTAAATACACGGCTAAATTAATGTAAAATAACTCAAAAAGCTCTAAAATTATTAAACTTTTTTTTGGAAGATCTCTCCACCTCCCTAAAACAGCCCAAATCTGACCTTTGTCCGAACTTATGCAAGACCTCCGTTCCTAATCCAATAAATCCATCGAGTATAATATAACTGGCCCCATTCATTCATCAAATTACAAATCCCATCTCTCAACTTTCCCCTTCTTTATAATCTCTTTTTGCGCAACATTAACAATCACCATATGTTCGTTTTTGCATAATTTGAACATTCATCCCCTATTAGGAGGCCATAAATTCTCGGAAATGGCGCCAAAAGCTGGGGTTATCAGATTTAAGAGTCCAAATTTGAATATTCGAAATTATCGCGCGGACTTTTAACAAGGGATATCGTTTTTGTCTAACATTAAATTTAGAGGTTCGTTGTAGTAAAATGGCAGAAGATACTGTCAAAATGGTTTGTTGAAGAGTAAAAACTTTTTCCCATTGTTGTTGACTTGTTTTGGGCAAATCGGGGACTGTAACAACAAAAAAAAGACCCGGACATCCGCATTCAATTTTTGTCACAAAGACTGGGAAAGGGAAAATATTCGAAATGAAATTAGTCACGATCAAAAATGCGTTTCTTGGAGTTTGGGACACCAGAACATTAGGGCTGAGAAATGTGAATATATGTAAGTGACAAGAGATTTTGCTTACAGGGAAAGAGATCCCCTGAATTTGTCAGCCAATTCTACGCTTTCTAAATAACGCCAAGTCTCATCAAAAGTTAAAATCTTGTTCCATCAACAGTTCGCCTCGAAAAACGAAGGAATAATAAAATGAATGCAGTCTATGTACCTGTTTTTTCAGTTGGAAACTTACTCATTCACGGATCATTACCAAACTTAATGAGCCGATTTTCCTGTGAATGACCAGCGATATACAAACCTAAAATATTTGGTTGTAAAAAGGCGTTGCTTTATAAATTGATGACTGAAATAATCAAAAAAATCAGAATTCAAAATCTTTCATTTAGTCCACGGACACTGCCCATATATCACGAATACAGATAATTCTAGACCTTAATATCATATAGTATTCGGTCTAATCCATTGAGATCAAATTGAAGACAAATCCGTTTACACTTTTAGACCCAAAATAGCCGCCAAAAGTGAGCGAACCCAGACTACTGTAAGGTTTCCTTCAAAATTAATCTTTTTACGCCATATGGTTTGATATTGTAAACAAATTACAAGTACGAAAGTAGTTTTTTGTTTTTGTAACGAAATAAAAGGCGTGAAAAATGTAAAACTGCCTATTTTCGGTAAGATTACTTATGTATCAAAATGAGTTTTTTCCTTAAAAATTATCACTAGAGGGATAAGCCGGATATTTTTCAGAGGAAAAAAGGTACGTGGGAAGCCGTATTTCGACCATTTTCTAAAAGAATGAGACATACGATGTATAACACGATAATCTTTTCGGATTTTGGCGAGCAATTACAGTATCCTCAAAAATTTTTTGTTAATTCCTGGATTAGAGGTTCAAAATTAGTCATTACTCATTTGCAATTATGATTGCTATTTGGTATACAAATTTAGAGAAAATTACTGCTTATTAGGGCAAAAAGTCTTAATTTCCTGTAAATCATTTATGATAATTGAGAGTCATATTTTTGGCTCGAACATCACGAAAAGGCATTACTTTTTTGGCAACTTCTAATCAAAAGATTGCGGACCGTTTGGAAGGGATAGGAATATTTTTAGAAAGAAGCGGTTTTCATGTTAGAAGACTTATCCAATGCTGTTTGTCCGACGTCAAAAGCTTAATTTCCCTAACCGTTTTTTCCTTTCCATTATCAAAGAATCGCCTAAAATGCAACTCTCTTTGCCGTAGCCTAACGTTTTTCAGTCCAGACCTCCTAAACGCCCTCTTCTCTAAATGACAATAGCAATGTCATGGTCACTACCCTTTCTCCAAACACTCCAAAAATCCCTTAAAAGGCGCGATTAATCCTTTTTCTCTTTCAGTCGATTAAACAATTAATTCATTGACGGAAAACGGAAGCCACTCGGTCCACAAAGGCTTGGGGATTAGGAATATCCCGTTTTCCGGGCTCCCGGCCTTCCGTCCTTACCGTAACTTCACCAATAAAAAGATCAAAACAAAAACAATTTATTAGAATAAATATTATTACAACCATAAACTGTAATAACTTAGTGGAATAAATAACACGTATTAGGGCACTAGAAAAGATACGAAAATCCTCAGGGGGTTGAGATAATTGGCCGTGGACGTCTGTCCATCAAGTGTAACATCTCCATAAAATGACATTGGATATATTACACATGATCTCCAGGCGTCGAAACAGCCCTCTCAATAAGTGTTTAGCCTCTGTTGGCGGGTTTCTTTACTCGGTAAATTCGGACGATCCAATGCTCTGAAGTGTAGGCTTCCTCCAGATGTTTGAATTCGAAATCTTTGTTTCCAATCTCGGCGTTCCTCACTCGATCGTATCCTGGGGCTCTATGTTGTTCCGTGTAGAGCTGGCCGAACTTATAATAGCAGAGTTTGTACATCAGACTGTTCAACAACGTGGGGGAGCCCTCTCGGTCCACCCGATATTCTCCCTTTTTCGTGTAATAATCCCGCTCTTTGATGTGATGACCTGAAAAAAGACATAGTAAAGCATGTAACTAAGCCCAATCAATAACAAATATTTCCTTATTTAGATCTCAAAAAGTAACATTTACCCTCCGGAGTGGATCCTCCGATTCTGACCATCCACAAGAACTTGTTGATATCATCCGAAGAATAGCCTGTGACTCCACCAAAAATGACAAGAACATAATCGACATCCAATTCTCTCATGATCTCATACGAGTGTTCCTCCCTTGAAGCCATGGCTTGTCCAACTCGACTGATATGAGTGTTGTTCCAGGTGTTATTGTCCACTATAACTGTCCGATTGGCCATGGCGCTCAACTGATATCCATAATCCCACCAGCTCATCACTTTGGCATTCTAGAAAAGATGAGCACGTTGGAGGCAAAAATAAAGAAATCAAACGAAAAATTACATTCTACTTGATAGAATTGGTCAAGTACACTACACAATTTAACCTCAAACCTTAGATATAAAGGCACGTACCTCATCCGTATTTTGTCTGAGCCAATAATAAGCCTCTCTGAAGTCGTCAAAGATGACTCTGCCGCCTCCTCCGCCTCTGGCAGCAAGTACAATACTGGGAGAACTGTAGGCCTCCGAGGTGACCCAAACACAGTGACTGACGTACATGGTAAGCATCAGTAAGATCCCTCCAATCACAACTTGGCCAACCTAAAAAAGTTCAGGCCATCAACCACAGAATAATTTATACTATACTAGACCATCCTCAAAAAACCTTACAATTTCCTTGTACGGATAAGATTCATTGCTCTCCTTCTTTGCCGATTTGGCATCTTTCTTCTGACTTTCTTTTTTCTTGTCCTCGTCAGTTAGATTTCTGTAGAAATTAGCCAGAAGAGAATTCAAAGCGATCCCGCTCATGATGCACATAATTGGGGCCAGAACCAACATAAGACGGACCATAACTCCGGAGAAATAGATCGAAGTAAGGGCGTAGATGATCGCAAAGATGTTCACATCGTTAAGGTTGTTGAAACAATAGTAGAGACCAACTACAATTAAAATATTATACCACAGTACAAAAAATACAACAGAATTTTATCAAATTTTACCTGGGAACAAGAATACCAAGAACTGAAGATCGAAGTAGTAGGAACTCCATGTGGTAGGCTGATGTTCTGAGACCGAGGCAATGATTGGGATATTATTTTTGGCATAAGAAGGGTCCAAGAGGGAATAAAATCGACCAGTGAAGGGGGCGATCTCTGAAAAAAAATATTCAAAATTGTCGTGAACAGTTTAGCCTCTCCACGATAAAAAACAAACGATCTACAAGCAGAAAACCAAAAAAAAAATACTCCAAAACTTACTCTGGAAAAGTAATCCCAAAGTGATGAGAGCTCCGAACACCGACACAATTCCATAAAACAAGGCATGACGGATAACTCCATACTCCTGTTCGGTCAATTTACTCCTGACATAAAGGTTGAAGGCGTAAAGTTGAATCAGACCGAACACTCCAAAAGCCCCAACATGCTCGGAAGTGGAGACGGGCTGGAAGCCGACAAAAGGAATTTGCATGGACAACAAGGTCGCCAATGGATAGAACTGCAAATAATCATGGTCCATCATCTCTTTCTTTATACACAAAACACAAAAACAAAAGAACTTACAGTGCTGTATGCGACGTACAATCTTTCAGTATACCTTCCGCTAATCATAACAGCCAGAACGTGCAATGGGATTAAGTTGATAAGGAAAACATAACCTCCCCAACTGGAGACCATGTAGAAATAAGCGAGAGCAGCGGCAGCTCCATATTTGACCGTTCCAGTTTTCACGGCTTTGATCCAGAGATAGTACGTGAAGATCATGCAGAAAATAGCAATAGCTTCATTATCGTAAGACCCGGCAACGGAACGAGAAATATATCCAGGAACAATGGCAATCAGACCACCAGCAATTAAACCGGCTCCATCTGACTAAAATAATATCATAAAATCAAAAGAAAACGGTAAAAGAAGGAATAGCATACATCAACAATATAAGCTAACTTACATAAATCTCCTTGGTCAGAAGGTATGTCGCAATAACGGTGAAGGAACTAAATAATGGAGCCAAGAACACACAAACTTCTCTAATATCCAATGTAAAACTCAAAAAATGGAGAATTCTGTAGATGAACACACTCGTAACCATAAGACCTAAAGACGAAACACTCAAAAATACGGTAAAACATACCCGGATAAATTGTTCCACCAATAATTCGGCCCAATGGGTACCAAGCTCGATCATCGAACCAATTGTGAAAAGAATAATACCCATTCTCGGCCAAATACTTTGTTGTTCTGAAGTTGAAGTAGGGATCGAATTCATGGATAACACTCTCGAACCGAATAACAGCAAACAATCGGAGAATGAAGGCAACAATACAGGCCAGGGCCAAGATCCCTACTTTAAGTAGAATCTCCTGTTTTACCAAGGAATCTGGCGAGGACATCCTTGCCAGATCACCACAACAACAGGCTGTTTGTGGATCTTATCTTCGGTCACTTTTGGCCTTTCAAGCCACGTCTCCAAAAATAAAATTAGGGCGCAGGTTGGGCTGTTGTTCGTCGGGACATTTTATACGATGATGATAGGAAAGGTGACCTTGAATGGATAGAGAAGATAGTTTCTGGCTTGGGAGTAATTGTAGGTGCGCCTTTGGCTGTTTGCAAGCACAATTGGAATCAGAAATTGGAGCAAAAACATTGTTTTATGATAATGATTAATGTAATTTTGTAAGATAAGATGGAAGAACTTATTGCTTTAATTTGTGATGAAAGTGAAAATTGAGCTTGTTTTGGCCCTTCCATTAAAATGAAGAAGAAATTCGGAACATCTTATACTACCGAAAACATGCTTTCTTTCCCGCCAAAACAGTAACATTCAATTTGTCAAGTGTAATATAAATTGGTCGGATCTTCGCCTTCCTCTTATCCAAACAATTTTCGCTTCTCGTCGCTAATCCCAAAAAACAATTGAAATTCGCCGGAATTTAGATTCCTGGATGATTGGAAACAGGTTTGCTTCCATTCTTTTGGATCCGGCGAGAGTTGACTCTTATTCTAAATTACTCCTCAAGTCTGTGGTTTGTTTACGGTGATGTAATCTAGAGGGATATATGTAAAAAAGGGGAAGGGGCGTGAATGAGATAAGGAGCCATTTTGAATTTGATCGCTTTAACCGGTTCCGCGCGAATCCGGAAGAAAAAAAGGAAAGCTCGATCGCTTAAGGGCGGGAGACGAAATTAATTTTTGAATCCCACAAAAGTTCCTTTCATCCCAACGCCTGCGGGCACAGAACGAGATGCTCAGGCGGGAGACTGGATTCGGGTCAAAGACGATGCTCAAGATCGTCGGACTTCTTCTGGTCCTTTCCGTTTCATGTACTGACGCTCAGCGAGTGAAGCCGAAGAGGTATAAGTGTGTGCTGGTAGATGAGGATGAACCCGTGTTGGGAGATGTCGGAGGGCCCAGTTATTTGAGTGAATTGAAACAACGGAGGATTCAGAGTACGGTGAGGAGCGGAGAGACCGGCGGCGAAGTAAGTTTTGTCCAATTTTAGCCAATCACGACCTCCCTTATACAACTCATTTCGCCCTTCCAGATTCAAATCAACCGAGTCCCAGACTACTCCCAACCCATCCCACGTAAAGTTAATACGGCCCCAATTAGATCCCCATTACCTCTGGCCACAACTCAAGCTCCACCACCGCCTCCTCCAACTCAGAAGTTGAAGCAAGTCATGTTAAATCGAGGACAAAGGCCGACTCAAGTCGGGTTTAGTGTTCCAATTGGACTTCCATCAATTCAAGTGACGAAACCACCCGGTCGGGAGCTCCAATTGTCTCCCGAACATTGTCATATGGTAAGTAGAACAGATTTTTTTTGCTACTATGTTACGTGTAACAACACAATTTCGACAAATCAGTTCGCGGATTCCCCGCGAACGAAACCAAAAATTTCCTTCCAAACACATCTGAAAGACGGTTCGGATTCAAGCTTTACCTTGAACTGGGATAAATTATCCAAAGAATTCGGCTCGTTTTTCTTTTATAAAATGATCGGCTCTCGGAAAAGAAACGGGTTCCTTTTGGAGCGAGAGAGCGCCTTTTTTCCATTGCTTTTCTTTGACTCTCTGGCGCTTTTGTTTTGATTTTTTGATCGGACGGGAAACAAGTTGAAACGGCGCGCCGCTTTCTCCGCCGCGGCGGAGAAGCAATTTGCTTCTGATGTCTCTGTAATTCAGTAGTGATTTTGACAAAAAATATATTTTTTTTCATTGGTAATTATTTTCTTGTAAAACGAAAATATTTTAATAATTATTTTTCTCGTCCTTTGCACAATTTTAAGGTCAAATCAAATTAAAATGTAGTTAACATGTCTTGAGGACCTCATAGATCCTTGTTTACGATTTAATTGTTATTTCCAAGCTAACTGTTTTCCGTAATTAATCCAAATATCCCTACAAATTGCCAAATCTGATTCCAACCTCTTCCTTATTCTAATATCATGTTTATATTATTGTATTCGAAATGCCCTCACAAGATTTCTTAAGCGGATTACAATTACAAGAAAGATTATAATCGACGGGATTTGAGGTTGGGAATAGAAGTGACGCTTAATCCGAGGGAATTCTCTCTTTTCAAACATGGTAATTGGGAAGTCTGGGTATTTTTGGATTCAAAATTGAGAATCAAAAAGTGGCAAATACATTTGAGACTTCCCAATTATCCGATGTTACCTTAGTCCGTATGGAATTTGGAGCTGTTAGGTCTAATTTTGAGGTTCCAGTTATAACTTCCGCCCACATTAACAATATAAATTTGAGGGATTTAGAAATTAGCTTCCTTAAAAAGTAATCGGAAAGGATTAAAAGGAAATATTTGCATGGGGAAGGTTAATATTAAGGATAGTATTGGGTGATAATCTCAAATTTAATTTTGCTACTTACATGTTAATTTTGGCTTTGGAAGAGCGATACTGTAATTAAAAAATTTGAAAAGTAAAAAATTTGGCATTTCCGGAATTTTAACCTTCAAATTTGACTTTCGAATTGCAAAATATTGTTTGTAAATAGGTCAAAAAATTTTATTCACACCTGTATTCGGTTTAATTCCACTTTCTTTGAGCTCATAATTCTCAAGAGCTCATTAATTTTTAGGCAAATCGAAAATTTGCTACAATTTCGAATGAAAAAAGACTTCGAAATTCATAGGCTGACCTCAAAGTACGATAACTACTTAGCTGTTACGACTTTGCTTCAAATTTAAGGATGCACAAGACTTTTAATTAAAATTGTCATTTGTATTTCAAACCAGTATTTCAGATCAACCACTATGCCACCTTATATGGCGTCACAGATGTGACTTCGTGGGTCCATAAGAACTGCGGATTTGCCAAAATGTACTTGCCCAACTCGAGTTGCGAGGAGATTGACATCTTGGTCGCCTCTTGTTATAAGATCTAAAGCGAGAATCACGGAGGAAACGGGTCATTGTAATATTGTTTTGGATAATAAAAGAATAATAATTTGTGTGTCAACACTATAAAGGCTTCTTTTTTGGGTTGTGGTTATTATCGGAGAAGACGGGGACGTCAATTCCATCCGCCGGAATTGTGAGCACAGGTGGCCGGGAATGGGATTGTGGATGGAGGGTGTGGTTGGAGCTGCTGCTAGTCTGATTCAGATGGGATTTTGGGAATTTTGACAGTTTGTTGGGTGTTTTAATTTTTTCGATGTTCAAACCGAATTTTACTTATCAATTTTTCAATGTTACTCTGCGTTTTATGTACATATATGTATAAAATCATTGTTTGGGGTGCAATGCGGAGATTTTTTTTTTCAAATTTCATCATCTATCTAGCTTTATTTTCAATTACCAAAACGTTTTGGCTTGCACTTTGAAGGGACATTCAGGAGATAGTCTTTGCTGCCGAGAGGGAATGGAGAATGAGGATAGACGGTCAGAGAATTTCTTTTTCATTCTTCCAAAACATATTTTTTTGTAGAAGTTTTTAACTTTGTTAGAAAATTCTACTATTTTCTGGCCGACGAACTCCGAAGCTGTTCCTTTCCAAGAATAATAATGTCATCAAAGATCATGATTTTTACATCTTGTCCTTAATTTTATTTCTTTCACAGACGAAGGATCCCATGTTTCCCCTTGCTCTCAACAATCCAAATTGCCCTTCCCGGAAGAGCGTTCCTTTTTTGTCCCCTTCCATTTTCCTACGTAAACTTCTAGAATTTCCGCAAACAAATAAATGCAAAAACACACCTCGATTTGTATTTTATGGTAACCCAATACAACGCATAACCTATGCAATATATTGAACATATTTTTGGGACCCTTAAATTTTACTATTCTGTCTAACTACAACTCTAAATTAGGAGCAAGAGAGATGCAAATTTTGCAGAAAATCTGGTTGTAACTAAATAACAGCTAAATGTTCGGAAGATACATTTTTTGTAACTAAAGAACAGCTAAATGTAATCGGGTTTTACACTTGGTTTACTCTCTTACGCTTTCCCTTACGTTTGCACGAGTTGATGTCATTTTGTTGTGAATATTGCAAAGTGCTGGGAGTGTAATAAGTTTATGGGATTGTCTGCAAATAAACGGATCAAACATGATGCATTTTTTGACAGAATCTTTGAACTTTCTTTTACATCATCAGATTGTTACTGATCAGTCTGATGATGTAGAAATTCAGAAATCCCCTCTTTTCTTGCTGTAGAATTCGGGTGCGTCTTTGCGGGTGCCCAAAAATACGTCAGTTAATCTTCCAGCTTTTCTCCATGTTTCATTTATTCCTTCATTTTCATGCTATCCCCTCAGGCCATGTGACTGGCCCAAGTCAAAGAGCAGCGTCTCTTCAGATTCCATCCTCAATTTGAGCCTTCAGAATCCCCACAATTTCTCTAATTTTGCCATGAATTCCGAGCCTAACAAGAGGCCGGCGGAAAGCCCCTCAAGACACGTTCCCTCCCTTTGTGTTCATTTCCCTTTTGGTCCGCAATTTGAACGCCATAAAAAGGGGCGAGTGACGTGAACAAAAAACGAAGCCGAGTGGGGTCGAGAACGGCACTCGAGACTGCATCGATTGCCTTCTTTTCAGGGGAAAAACGTGAACGAAGGAACGTGCGCGTGGTGGAGAACACGTAAAGAAAAACGGAAGACTTGGAGACCATTGAAAAGAAGAGACGGCGGAAGAGAACGAAACAGTTGGGGATAAATTGGATACGGTGGCTCATTGGAGCGAGAGGAATATTCGCAAAGGGACTGTGAGCACATTAGAGAACGGTGTTTGAACTTCTACACAGAACCGTGTAGATGACCGACAATTCAAACACTCTGAAGGAACACTGAGGAAGTCTGAAGGGATAACAGTGCAGACAGTATTAGATCTACAGTCATCGAGTGCCGAGACAGCCAATATCAAGATAAACTGGATTAGCAAATAAAAAAAGATTAACCGAGATTATCATTACTCGAGAACTCAACGAATTAAGTCTTTGTCATCGTGAGGGCGTTGGAGAATTGATAATTATTACGGTAGTTCAAGCCTGAAGTCTCAACTCTCCGATAGTTCTTCGTTGTAGCTTGATTATTACAAAATTCGTCAACTTCCCACCGCCTACACCTCCGTATTTCACGTCCTTCCACATTATACACATACCTGAGCAACTTTTTTTGGGGACAGACACGCACAGAAAGAAGCCCACAGAGGAAAGAGTGAATTAAGAGGGCTTATCTGCCGGTTAACAGATAGAGAGTACGAGAGTATTTGCCCGCCCAACGCTCTCGTTCCCTCGCCGCACGTCACGCACCCCATAAACGCACACACCGCCTCGGGGGGCCCGGTCCACCCAACACACAGCGAGAAGGCTTCGGGAGAACGGAAAAACGGCCATTCCGTGCCGTGGGCCCAAACGAAGAGATGTGGCACGTCGCCGTGCTCCTATTCGGCCTGCTGAGTGCAGCCTCCAATGTCTCAGCACAGGCCTACTACTCAGGTAATTTGGGTGGTGATTTGGGATGATTTATGATCTGATTATGATTTTATGTTAAGTTTTTTGACCTTTCAAATCTTCCGGAATAGGGTGCAGAAGTCTAAAGGTTTTTTTGCGATTTTGAATTATTTTCTGCCAAAGAACGGACAATAATTGGACTTGGCTTGTCACTTAGGGTCTCTACTCTTCCACTTCTTGTAACAGCAACGTCAAAAACATTCCATCGCCTGTTTCTAACATGTTTTATGTTAACTTGTTATAGAAGGAGGACCCAGCCCGCAACAAGAGGCCCAAAGCTCGCTGGAAAAAATCGTTGGGCAACTTCAGGCCCTTAGGGAAGCTGAACAAGCCCCCATCGATGAACAACAACAGGTCCCCTTTGGATTGACAGAAGAAGGTGAGTTTTGTCGCTAATTGCTTTTAGTAGTTCTTGCTTGTTATTTGTGAATTTGTCACGAAGTGATCCAAGGATTAACATTACACTTTTTTCTCTGTAAATCTTTTTAGGACTTCAGTTTATGTAAGGAAATTAGAGTCAAATTTGTAAAATACGTGTTTTTTCTTTTTGTAGTTACTTATTGTAATCACCAAAAAAAATATTTTTACAAATTTTATTCATCCATCATTTGATTATGCAATTTCTCACCCTTTGACATGTCAGAAAATTCTAGATGCGGACCATTCCCGGAATTTAATCCGTTTTTTGGAATGCTTCGCCTGAGGCATCCGACTGGCTCATTAAGTCAAGAATCTTTATTTCGAGTCACTAACTCCCTTATCAGACCCTTGCGTCATTACCTGCCTTTTATTGACGTTTTCTTCCCCTTTTCTTCTTCGAAACATAAATTTTTTATGATCCGACAAAATGATGGAATGTGCAAACAGAAAAGAATATGTTCAGCTGGTACTAGGGGTCAACCTAATAGCCTGGGTACATAAACATGGGTTGCTCCGGATCAGAGGACCACAAATTACCAAAAAATTGGTCATGACGCATCAGTTTAGACAAGAAAATGAGTAGAATATGAGGATTTAGAAATTCAGCAACTCTCTATGCCATGAATAATGTAAAATTCATCTTGCAGGTGAATATGCGGACAATGCCGACACCCTCCGACGTCTCTCCCAATTCCTAAACCCCCAACAACAATATGATGAGCCCTCTTACGATTACCAGCAACAATTCCAGGGCTTGGCTCAAGATAATCAGCCTCAGGAAGTCTCCCAAGAACTCCAACCTCAGCCGGTGGAAGAAGAACCAGTTGAAGCTCAGAAGGAAGAGCAACTGCCAGTGGAAGAGAAGCAGGAAAAGGCTCCATTGACGGCCCAGAAGAAGGGTCAATTCGAATTCGTGGAGTTCGTGGAGCCTCATGCCAAGATCCTGAAGGACGGCCAGATTCTGGATAAGAGAGCCCCGGCTGTCGAAGTTCAGAGGCCCTCAGGCTTCTTCCGGATCTTCGGAAACTCCAGCAATGTCGTTTTCATTGGTAAGTCAGGTTTTGCAAAATAACTTTTTTTTGTTTTTGTCATCATTGCACCGTGCGAAAAACTACTTTTTTATTGCACAGTGCAAAATTCTTTATTTTTTCACTGCGTTTTTCAAGCTTCTGTACGGTGCTAAAAAATTTTTTTTTGAACAATGCGAAGATGTTCTTGTTATACGTTGGAATCATATTTTTCTCTTATCCATTCTCCATCCATTTCGGTAATTTGTTAAATATAAAATCATATTGTTTTCGACCTGAAGTGCATGTTGACATCCAAATTGAATATTCTGGATCCTTTTTTTCTAATCAGCTTTCTCAGATAGTACAAATTTTATAGAAAATTTCGCAAGCTTAGTAAATCTCTCAAAAAACAGTAATGGTTGTCAAAAAAACAAGCAATTTTCATTATCTTTGACAACGAAATACATCAAAATTACTACACTCGTGAAATTTTGCGTGGTCATGTGCAATCTTACTTCCTTTATTTGTTTGGAAATACTTCAAAAACTCACAACGACAATTTACTATCAGAAATTAAGATACAAAAAATTACACTTTGAGGTGTAAAAGGTCGTGACCTTAGTTGATATTTCCTATGTGTAATAATTACCAGTGGGTAAATTTAAACGTTCTGATCCTTTAATTCTCACGGGGTTTCCCGTCCTTTTCACGTCTATTACCCATTCATCCCACATATTTTTGGTCAAAAATAGAAACAAATTGAGTTTCGGAGGGGAACGGAAGCGGCCTGAGTGTCCCCGATTATTCGATTACTCTCAATCTAATCTCTCTCATCTCTGATTGACCCTCTCCTTGCATCAACATACGTAAATTCACATCTTTGTGTGTTGTTTTACATCTAGATGTAAAGATTTTGTCTAGTCTTTAAGCTCTCGAATCTCGTCTGTTAATGACGTAATTCTATGTAGTAGCAGTTGCTTTAAATTCCTTGAAACTTCTTAAAAAACGTAATTTAAAAAATTTGTTTCAATCACCGCATTATGCGAAAATTTTTGAAATTCGATTGCACTGTGCACAGTGCAAAAACAAAATTTTAAATTAGATTGTCTTCTTTCTGTGGCGAATATTTATGCATGAGTCTTCTGATTAATTAGACAAAGGCGTGACAGGGATACATTTCTAACAAGACCGGGTTTCATTTCGAAGACCAACGCTAGCTAGTGTAGGATGATAGCCAAGAATAATACATTTCCATTCTAAACTATCATCTGTCGGCTTACTAAGAATCATACACCAACAATCCCTCCGAAAACAGGATTTAAATACTAATATTTGAATATTTCCTCTTGAAACTACAAGTAACTTCGTATGAATGTCTGAAATCTTTTTTATAATATTTTCGTTCTCGGAACCCCCATAGCATTTAAATAATAGGCGCATGGCCTTTCAGAGAAAATTAGATGAACATTCAGAGAACATCCAGATCTATTCCATGGGCTTTTTCTTCACAATAACCCAATTAAATTACCGTAACCAACTCAATTGGGATGACATTTAGACATGATTATACATTTTTATCACTTCTATGTAGAGACGTTGATGTCTCGTCTTTATGTCTGTCAATTTCAACATATAAGAACAGTTAATCGCCCTTAATATCAGAGCTCTAATAACCCCCTAACGTTTCGTATTTTAGCTGTTGCTACCGTCGTCTGTGTAGGCTCGGTGGTTGGCGTGGTCGGTGGTGCGTACTACTTCAACACGTAAGTCTCGTTTTACAAATGAAGGGACTATAAGGCAATGCGACACCAACTATAATAAATTTGCGTGGGGAACGTAACGAAAACGAAAGATCTCACGTGACTTTGGGACAATACTATTATAGCATAGGAAGGTCTGGGAAAATTGAACAAAAAGTGCCGTTTTTGGAAGTAGAATTGCAGAAAATAGATTTAAATGGAAATAATACATTTTTTGCTATCTTAAAATACAAAAACAGAGTAATTGGTTTGTTTGGCCACTTGAAATCATCAATTTACCTTATTTTAGTGTCCGAAAACAACGCGCCGAAGCCTTCGATGACTTCACCCGCTATTCTCCGGCCGGCCCTGGCCGTGATATGCTGCGCAAGGGAAAAGGCTTTGCCGGGTCACCCGTAGCTGAGTCGGGCGACGAGTCTTTGGCCTACAAAGCCCAATTACATCATTATCAACAGACCAAACAGAAGATCATTGGGGATGAGGGACTCAACGACGATCACTCGGATAAGAGCGACGACGAGAACGACGACTTGGAGGAGCACAACTTCAGCGTCTACGAGTGCCCCGGTCTTGCCCCCACCGGAGATATCGAGGTCCAGAACCCGAACTTCAGCCAGAATCCATGAAGGAACATTGTATTACCCAACCGTATTACGATAAGATCATTGCAGTCCAGTACTGATGAATTTTTTGTGTTTTTCGTTTCAACCATCCTTTACAATAACATCCAACTTCAAAATCTCACCCTAGTTTTCTTCGATCCAGGGTCGGCGCGGGTCTCGAGCGGAAAATCCCTGAGTTTTGGCATTGTGTGGCAAGACAATATCTTTATTATTTTTGTCCAAGTTTCAAAGTAAAACATCCTTTCGATGTAACAGCGACATCAAACGGCTCTTTTCGATCATGTTACTGTAGCGTCGTTACAGTAATCCACATGTTACAGTAGTCCATCGACTGTAAAGCGTCTTCTCATCTCTCTCCCGGTGTTATATTAACCTTGCTCTGGTGTGTCTCGGCAATCTCTCCGATCTCTTTTGTACCGTGTAATTGGCCCCGTCGGGCCGTTTATGTATTTATTACCCAAAAATATATAAATGTTAATAAAGAAAGGGGTCAGACCAGCAGTTTCTGTACAGTACACAAGTATTTATATCCAAAATGTGTTATCTTGGCTTTCGACCTTCATTTTGCATACTGCTTTTCTTGTTCAAATGTCATGCGAAGCCTCTTTTCGTTGTTACACTTGACACCTCCTGATGTATAATATCGGGGACATGACATCGCCTAAAGCACCTCCCATTCAGATACATGAATATTCTTAAAACTGTCTTCCTCGTCTACTTTATCCTCCGGCATTTTGATTATTCGAAGAAATAAACCTTTACAGGCGGCACTCAATCCTCATGGAGAATATAATTTTCGACTTTGGCGAGGTGGTTAAAGCCTTATCATAAATTCGACTTATAGCCATGGTTCACGTCAAAACGTAATAAGAATTAGGAGTTTGACGAATCCACTAGGATTGGTTTCTCAATTTTAGCTTATTTTGATATGGAGCCCTCGATAATTAAGTTGTTGTTTTCCGAGAATAGAAGCGATATTAATGTAAATAAATGAAATAGGAACACTGCTGTAGTTAAAACTATGGGATATGGGGTAAACAATTAGAGAAGCAGGAACTGCATGTTAATGGCTAGTAAAGAGTTGGATTGGCCCACAAATCTGGTCTAGTTGGGTTTGCTACCAATCCAGCTCTTTGAATTGCCATTTACAGGGGAAGTACTCCAAGTGCGACGCTCAGATTCTCTTTAAATTTGTGCACGGTCGGGTATGGACTACATATCAATTCCTGAACGTTTTAGCTCGCGCTTTCGCCGAGATATCGAACGATTTTTGCCGCCGAGAGAGCACGCTAAACGTGGAGAGCGGTCAGAGAGAAAAACGCTTTTTGGCCATAACTTTGGCAGTTTCGTGCGGAAAAATTTGATTTTTTGTAGTCATCAAAATCTGAGCGTCGCACTTGGAGTACTTCCCCTGTTAGGTTATTTGAATACTACTCCCATGCCAATTACTCCAGCTATCTGACTAGTCGTTTATTCGGATTGTTGGCCCGGTCCAAATGTTTCGCCATTCGGATGGTTTAGTCAGCAGATTACAAATAAATTCGATCTGTCCGAAATAAATGGCTGCTTGGTTTTCGCTTTTGCGGGCCGACTCTTTTTAGCATCCCTTCGTATTTTACTCTTCTTTTTGTAGATGAAACAATTGCTCACTGTAATTACCTCTCTCCGCAAATTGAATGCAGATCTAAGCAACGTAATCGATGTGATAAACAATTTAATTGGGCAAATTAGAGAAGTCGAGTCCTTGGATCCCTCAGAACTTGTAGTCAAAACCTTGGGCCTACTGTATCTAAGTGCTTCCGAAGAAATGGAGAAGTTAAAAGTAATATAAATCATATTTCCAACGTTTTCTAGGAATTTATGGACAAGCTTGCGGGATTCATTCAAATTCTGACCGAGAAATTAATGGATTCTGAGGAAATTCCATCTGAAACATACCTAAATGACATCACCATCCTTCTACAACATCTTTCAATGATCTACAATGAGCATACGAAGGTGATTGATCAACTGCACGATCCTAAAGTACGGAATTTCGAGCCGTTTTCGACAAAATTGAATATAATCGAAGGTGATTATGATGTTGTTTGCGCATTACAACGACTTCGCTCAGATCTCACATTATATAAAGGTGACCAATAGATTAAAAGTTCTCTTATCACATCTAAATTAATTTGCTTTTGATATATTGCATATTTATGGTCATTTTCTCAATAAATTTATTTCGTATGTACAAGTATTTACATTGGGATTTTATGTACAATATCATATGTATATATCCATGCCTTATGAGTCGTCTTCGGATTTGTTGGGTTGTAATTGGAGGGGGAGTCTTTTGAAGGGGGTCATGTTCGATTTGATCAGGAGACAATTTGCGGTTGACTTGTGGCCGAACCTTAAGAATAAGGCAAAATTAATTGCGTCTCTACTACACACGAGGCTTCAGCAGTTTTTCATTGGCGTATACTGAATCTATTGCTTGTAATCTACTTATTCGACCATCCAAAAAAAGGCTCGCCAAATTGTGGGATTACTATCAAAAACATTCAATAGAGGTTTTTAGGCCAATCCCACCCTTCGGCTAATAAACGGTTGGACAAGTAAATTACAAGCTATGAGTTCGAAACAAAACTCCATGAAAGACATCTACTATCTTATACTATAAAAAATCTCTCGCAAAGCCCTACCATTTCATGAGTTTCGACGAATAAACGGTAGCCTCGGGGCCGAACAGTTGATCGGAACAAATGGCCGTGGCAGGGATCGAATTGAGGATAATCGCGAATCTGCGGAGGCGTGGGAACTCATTTGAATGTATATTCCACCAATCCTGGAGGGAAGAATTCCGTTCTATGCATTCCATCTTCGAGAACTGATCCAATTCACACTTCAAGGTCACCGAAAAGGAGAGTCTGAAGTTGAGATCGTTCTCTTCCCTCATCGACGGGATATTCCTCCAGATATCGATGGGTTTGGTCGACTTCTGCGAGGGTTTATGATCTTCCATCTTCTCTTCTGAGGCTACAACATCTTTTGTGACCTCCGCAACCACCTCCTTCACTTCTTTCGGAGCCACTTTTAAGCATCCATTGTCCTGTTGTTGATTGTCCACTTGATTTATCATTAATTCGAACATTTGTGTGAAATGCGTAGCCGGTTCTTCTTTTCTCTCCACCTGCGGCTGTACTTTGAGGGCACAATTCAATGCAAAATCCAAGAAATCCCCTTCCAAGTTGACCCAATCCAGTCCATTGCAATCTGGTCGATTTCTGAACCGGGGATCAACCACTGTGCACAACATGAGGAACTTGTTCACTCGGATTTGTTCACAAATATAGGCGAGTTCTTGTCGGATTGTGTTGACAAACACTTCGATCACTCCTCCAGCTGTGTGATGGTAACAATCCACAAAGGATTTGAGTTTGAGAAAAGTCGGAAAGTAGGCCGACGCGCAATCTTTAGAGAGCTGAAAAAAATAAATGCTATTATTACATCAAAAAATTATAAATCGCATCCGTAATGAAACTGAATTTTGCCTTACTCTTATAGCCTCTTCCCTGAATGTGAGCATGATTATCGAGAGGTGGGAGAACAGTTCTGCCTCCTCATCGTCCAGACATAACCGTGTAGTCGTCTCTTTTTTACTCAATTCCTCCGCCAGCGCGTTCAAAGTCTCCGAATTTGTGACCAAAGCCGTCAGTAATTCACAGACTCGGACCCAATTATTGTCCTGAAACCGGAATTGATACAACCGTCAACTCTGAATGACACAAATCAAGTAATATAACACAACTTACATTCCGCATAAATCGGTCGTGAAAGAACGTTTTTGTTTTCGAATGTTTCTTGTAATTCTCGATGAGATTTCGGGCGCGAGTGATCATAAACTGTACACATTCCACATCCAGAGCCCTCTGAACCACTCGCGATATAACTCTTGCACCACATTCAAAGCTGCAGACAATGAAAACAAATCATCACATAATCACAATCACATACCTATTTACATTCAAAAGGCGAGAGATATTTACAAAGCTGCCGTTATGGCATATTGCGACCAACTTGTTGATATCAACATGCATTTCCCTCAGCTTTTGTCGTAATCTTTCGGCGACATCAAGATCTGAGGTGGAAGGACCAAAGGAATTTGAAAACAAGATCCCGCTCACATCCTTGTATTCGTCCGTCAGATGGTGGGAGGAGAAACTAAAATGCACTTTCATTAATTATGTCATCCATATATCATTATATTACACTAGATAAATGATTATTATGTCCTTGAACTCTATAAAACGACTTACGTAATAAGGTTGTCGAAGTCGCTAGCCAGCCAATCGGCGGTCAGGGAGAAGAATTCTTTATTTTTTGGCGTTACTGGATATGAGATACGATTAGATTCCCTTTCGCTGACGATACAACCATAGTGTGTTCGAGACTTCATCTAAACACGAACATAAAAAAGATGGAAGAACTTACTTTGTAAGCGGGATACGATGCTGCCATTAAGCTTTGGAATTCAGGAGACGCGAGAACCGCGTCAAAGTCGGCCATGCAGCGGAGGATCAGACAAAGAACGTGTCTGTCGGCGTCCAACTCAACTTTCCGGGTCTGATGGACGGCCGTGGACACAACAGGAGATTTACTCTCGGATATTGACTAAAAACAGACATTGCGTGCCAAAAATCAAAACAGTAAATTTACCCAATATAAAACAAACACCTCCAAAAATGAGAATAAACGCTTACTTTCGGCGGCCGAACATTGGGGACGATTCTCTGAGGTTTTCGGTTCGGATATGCCTTCTGGTAAGAGACGTCTTTATGCGCGGTCCGCAGATGATCGTGCATTGTTTTGGTGCTCTTATCCGACCGGACCCTTAACTGGCCACACAGTTTACATTTGGCCCCACCAACGGTTTCGGTGAAATATTTCCAGACCTCCGACCGATTTGAGCCGGATTTGGGGCCCTCAACCACTGTAACTGGCATGGTTGAGGGCTCCGAATCACTTGGTAAGCCCGCCAATGCGATGTTAGAGGGGCTGAGGCTAAAATATGGCAAGTCTTTGAAAAAGCAATAACCTCGATGCTGTACTCGAACAATAACGTCAAAATATTAGATTTTAGGCACCAAAAATATTCAACACAACCAAATTAAATAAAAAATTGTTTTGAATTCGTATTTTACAAAAAACGGGTTTCGAAACTTTTGTGCTGTCCATCACATCCGGTTTTTACCCAGCCGTTAAATTTAGATGGTCAAAAAAAGTAAAAAACACGTTTGAAGAAAGGTCATGTTATTAAAAACACTTCAAAAATAACTCCAATATTGTGCAACTCAACTAAAAATAGATAAAAAAAAACATGTGACCATTAAAACGGACGTTTAATAATTTACTCGTGCAATTCGCTGAACAATTACTCATAAAAAATACCGTGGATTAACTTGCATAGAATTACCGAATATTCGGAAAAAACCCGCTCAGATTGTTGAACAATACAAGATATACCTCAAAGAGAAGTTTAGAGCAAAAACAGTTTGCAAATCACGGTAAACAACCCAAAAACCACTGGAACGCCGAGTTGAACAAGTCCAAACAAAGCTCGACAACAATCCCCGCACACAGAATAATTGGCATTACGCAACGCCCAAGGTGAGAGCCGGTTGTGGGGGATATTATCCATCCCGACCACCTCTTCACAGAGATCATAAGAACGGGGTGGATGGGAAAAGGGCGCGCGGTCAGCTGAAAAAACGACGAGGCTGCCAAAAACAAGTCGGTCAGGTGACGACGCGGTTTAAAGCGCTCTTTTTCGTTTCGCGTTGTTTCGCAACGCCACTAAATCGGCGCTCCTTGTTGTCGTGGTGGGAGAGGGGCAAAAGGAAGGTCATATAAAATCGGATTCGGATCTTTTGCGCAATTGGCATTGGCGTTTTGTTGCAGTGAAGAGATTTTTTCGTTCGCGGACACAAGGAAGGATCAGTGGAAACATGGCAGGCTGCGCCCGATATTATGGAATGCAGAGGAGTTTGTTTGATTGACAGAAATATAAATTTTGGAAATCCCACGAAAGTGGAGAGACTGATTCTGATTATATTTGTGACGACGTTAGCTTGATGTATACGAAAATGATTGAGTATTACACCTGTCGATTGATCGTGCAGCCTTCTTGCGCAGATTTAAATTTTAAAACTAAATACGATTGCTTCCCATGTAGAAGTAGTTACAAATTGGATAAAAAGATTATTTTATGTCATTTTTATAGCCATAATCCTTTGTCACCAATGCTTGGTATTTTTGAGATGGATGGCATAACTTGCAATAATGTATAACAACTTCCTACTGCATTAATCCAAAACAATTCTATTTGCATCCAATCTCTTTTTGAACGGATATTTTGCATAATTCTTCCTGTCAAAATCACAATACTAAAGTTTTCTGTCACTCGGGCGCAGGTCGGGGAGACTCTTCCTTTCACGCGTGACGTCCAACCTCGAAATTTTTGTTCATTCTTTTGGGTATTTTTTGCGGGGAAACTAATGATGAAAGCAGCGAAAGTTATCGGAAGTAAATCTTGTTCCTTTCAGTTGTTGAACACACCACCATCTGCAGTCACACAGCCATCGAACATAAGGAGCTGGTGTCTACAACAACCCGCTCTGGTCAGTCCTGTACCCAAATTTCATGAAATCTGTATCCAATGATGTCGAACGAGTTGTCAATGCAATCCGCGCCATACAGGATATCAAGACTCCACAAACCGAGCGTCATAAACTTACTCAGGTACGTGTTTTGTCATGAAAAATATGTTATTTTCGCGTTTAGGCGTTGGAAGCTTTGAAGGAAGGACCCACAGCCGAATCCATTCCCATTGCCTTCGGATTGGTTACATACTCGGATCGATTGATTGCTCACGCGGGCTTGAACATTGTTGAAGATGTGATCAAGTAAGCGGGGAAACTTTATTTTTCCTTTAGTTAATGTTTGGGTGTTTAGGGGATATCAGTGATTGGCATACGGTATTTGAGATTTTTGAATTTTTTGTTTTCTTCAGGTGTTTTTGTTGTACTAGCTAAGTGTTTTTGTTTTTTAGATTCAAATGGCATGAGATGTCCGTCGATGAGAAGATGCAAGTTCGGAATGGCGTTCTTGAATGGATCTCGACTGGTGGGTACTTTATCGTTGATCTATTTTCAAATTTAGGTAATTACTCGGTCGGGTCCGTTGATTTGCCAGTCAAGACCGCCGCCTCTCGAGTATTCGCAACGATGATGGAACATGAATGGCCAGAGAATTGGCCGGAACTTGTCGACCAGTTTGTGAGTATCGTGGAGAATACCAAGCTGATCCAACAGTCTCATATGATATTCTTGATCCTTCGACGGTTAATCGAAGATGTTCTCACTTTGATTACCATCCAGAATTCGATCAGGAGAAAGGATCTTCAGAATGCCATCAACGCTCATATCGGGAAGATTATGAAGATGGCTGTGGGTCGCCTTGTGTTATGTGTGAATGAAGGCTCAAATGAACAAAGTATTCTCCTTGCTAAGAGCGCCATCGAACTTTTATCCGAGATTTTTGACTGGGTCAGTGGAAAAGACCTGGAACCCTTCATTGATGAGATTGTGGATGTTCTCTGTTTGTATCTTCAATTAGATCTTTGTGGAATTTATGAATGTGCCGCCTCTTCGCTTCATAAATTGGCCTCCAGAAGGCGGCAGAAGAATGATGAGCTTCCAATTGTTGTCTCCATGTTCAGAGATCGACCAATGCAAGCAATCCTTGCTGCTTGTTCGTTGGCCGCTCGACAATCCAATTCCAGCGAAGTTCATTACAAGTTCCTCAAAGCGTTGTGCGATCTTCTCTGTTCCCTTGGTGTTCATTTGAGCGAGGTGTGGCTTCATATTACCAATCCCCCGTCCAACTTTCCCCTGTATTTGGATGCTCTTTCGGAGTTCTTTAGACATCCCAGTGTGGTAAGTATCATTTAGCAAGGCCAAAACTATTATTAACGTTACAGTACATCCGAGCGGAGATTGCCCAAGTGATGTGCGCATTTTCGAGTAACGATTCGATCAGAAGAACGGCCATCGTGTTGGAAAGAATGCCAAGTTTCTTGGTGCTAATCCCCAAGAGTCTGGAGAAGGTTGGAAACATCAACGATTCCTCAAGTCCAACTAACTTTTACTCTCTCATGGATTACGAGACCGAAGCCGATTTTATTCAAGAACATACTCGTAGGTGAAGTCAATTATTTTGAAGATTCTTTCTTTAGGGTTACGAGATCGATGCTTCCGAATGATGAAGGAGAACATGGACACTCATTTCCCCGTTCTGTCATCATTGGTTACCGATTGGGTGAATGGAAGATGCATCAACGAAACGGAAAACGTTACCGCAACTGAATGGGATAGTATGAAAAAGTATATTACCAACTATCTCCTCAATGTACAACAACTCGAGTTGATGAAATCGGTAAGGCCTTTTTTATTTTCTTGTTTCGTGGTTTAAGGCGTGTACAGTATAATTATTTGTCGACTAATGGAAACTCGTTTTAGGATGTGGACCAGTGGCTGTTTGTGCTGTTCAACAACGTTTACAACCGTCTTCTCACCCTGTCCAATCCCGCTGTGACCAGTGAATTACTTTCCATTTTCTCCGCCTTCTTTGTTGTTCTCGAGAATCATCCGGAAAAGATCCCGGATGTGATTTCATTCCTTCAGCAATGTCTCAAGCTGCCAGATCCGACATCAAATCGAGGAACAGTAGATGCTTCGGCAATTTTAACCCTGAAAAGGCATTCTATCAACTTGTTGTTGAAGTTGGTTAAGAGCTTGTCGAGCGTGATCACTGTAGGTTTATTCTTGAAAATGATTGAAGAAAAGGAACCTTGTCTTGACTTATTTAATTATTGTTTTATTCTAGCCGTATGCGAGACAAGTGCTCGATGCAGTTGTAGATGTAGTCCCTTATGTATCGGCTCTTCAAAAGGCCAATCTGGTCCAAGTTCTTGCGGCTCTCAGTAATTTGGCCACGAATCCGGAGGAACAACAATATTTCCTGGAGAATGCCCTCAGGGATAATATAGTTTACTTCCAAAGTCAAGAATTCCTCCTTTGCTCAAAGTCAGTTCGGGATTTCTTCAACTACGTGGGGATTCTGAGTCCGGTCCCAACTCGCGACAATGACCCAGGACAGGCGCAGTTCAGCGAGAATCGACTCAAGGTTGGATTTAATGAAGTTTCAGTCATTTATATTGCTTTTTCAGCTCAAATCGAACCTGTCCGCCATTGAGGGAGCCCTTTCACATGTGAATGTCCCGGAAGATCGTTCCAATCCGCTCTTTCAGCTCCTCTTACCCGTCGTTAGGAATATATTTAGATTTGTTGGGTAAGTTTTGGAATTTTACTATGTTGTGCGCTGCCTTAAACGATATTTTTCAATGTGATTGAATACTCATTTTCAGTTGTTTGAACTCAATTTATTCCAACGAAGGGATCTCCCTGTGCCAAGGAACCTATGGGTCCCAGATATTGAAGATGTCGATGATTGAGAAGCAGCTCATGATTTGTTAGTTTTAAAAACCAAATTATGATTCTTTTGAAGTAATATGACTAATGGATCTGATTTCAGATTCGGCCAGCGAAAGCTACGACGACCCGACCTCGATCTCCCCCGAGCCGGTCACTCAAATGCGACGATTCTTATTCGATATCGGCGACTTTGTTCAGAATATCATCGGGCTGACGGGAAATAAGATGAGTCGGGATTTCTATTCCCTTTCGGATGCTTCATCCCTGATTCAATCGGTGTTCATCAACGCCGAATGTGTCCCCGACTATCGACTAAGGTACTGGGTTAAGCGGGCATGGTCTCATATCATCTGTCATTGTCCGGCTGAAAGGGTGGGAGTGGTCACGCAGATCGCTTGTGCTGTCTTCCAACATATACAGGGGTTGTTGACGGATAGATGGGCAATTGTGACGACGTTAGATCAGGGTGAGTAAATTTAGAATCGTGGTTTAGAATAATAATTATTTTATTGTTTTAGATGGTGATGTAACCGAAGAAGAGCTACTCCAGCAACAAATGGTCGCAGTTCTGTCGAGGGAGTTTGCTGAGATGCTGAGATTATTTGTTTTTGGTCCAGGTCTCATGGTCAAAGAGGACAGTAAGAAACATCCATCTGAACTCATGACTCCTTCTTGTTTGGCCGCCCTTAAAAATGCGGTAAGTGGGTTTAGAGATAATTGGATTCGTACCTTGAGTAATGGGATTAGTTATTAATGTTGTTTTATTTCCAGACCTTGCTTGAGAGCACCGTCCTTTCCATATGCTCCTTGATCAATTGCCCCGACTCCAAGACGGTGATGAGGCTCATGCCCGTGGCCAGGACAGTCTTTGGAACGGTAAGCTACTGGAAATTGCAAATTGAAAAGTTTTCTGTCATGTTTATCGGCTTATATTATATTACTATCGGTGTTTTAGTTCCACTCAGCCTTTGATGATCAAATGGCTAAGGCTGTCCTTGTCCACATAATCAGAAGTCTCCAAGTAAATGGATCCGATGAAGAGGTGTGTGGTCCTCTGCTTGGCCTCAGCTTTAGTGTCTATGCCTGGCTGAGACCAAACCATCCGACGCTGTGGGAGATCTTGACGGAAGTCCCGGAAAGTTCGGCCGAGAAGGTCCAAGAATTCGATTCGAAAATAATGGCCTATTCGATGAATAATGAGAATGTAATGGAGAAGAACAAGCGGGACCTAATGCGTAAAATGCTCAAACCGGTGATTGCAGTAAGTCGCAACATATTTTTGAAGGTTTAATATCACTGTCGGGAGCACTACGCCGAACGCGTCGCTGAAGTGAAAAGAAATTTTATTTCACGGCGGCGATGATAATTTCGATGCGACTTATTTTCCCCACATACTGGTACTTGTTACATCTGAATTAATGCTTTCAGTTGAAAGTGGGCGAACAATTCCGTCGGACAGTCCCCCTGCGCCCCATCCGGCGGATGAACGGCGGCCCCAATAACCTGAACTCGGCCGCCATGGTCTAACTTTGCTTGTATTTGCAATGAATCCTACCGTTTGTGTCTCTCCTCGTGTTCATGTGTAATCAGGCGTCTGAACATCAGATATGTTGTTGATTGTTATTGTTTCCTCCAGTCCGGGTCCCGCTTTTCCTGTTTTCTCTTCCAGATTTCTCTCAATTTCCCAGAAATGTGCCTTAAACAAGTGCTCAAGTTGTTATAATTGGTGGTATATCTTCTAGCAGACATGGCTCTTCGTCTTTCCTTCCCCTTCTTGTAAGACCACTTCGATCACTCCCCGTGTTAATTCTTATTTATTCTTTCGATTGTTGAATCCTGAGTTTCGTATCTGAGAAATAAAAGTTATTATCATACTCCATTTCATCAGAATGGCTCCACAGACTTTTTCCAGCATCTGGAAACCCATAAAACCACTACAACTAAATTTAAAACAATGTCAGAAGTGGGAAATCTACAAAGTTTACTGTAATAATAATATTGCTGTAAATGTGAGTGAAATCTTCAAGATCTGATATGATACGCGTATAAATCGACTATAATACAAGTTAGAAACCGGATCTAATTATTCAGGGGATGAGTCTTCGGGGTTTGGGACATAATTCGCCAATTCCTTACATAAGATCTTGACACCCGGGACGATGCGGTTGGTTTCTATGTAAGCGATGGACATTCGGAAACAGTTTTGCAGGAAGTTCAATTTGTAGACCTTATCTTCGGGGACAAATCTGAAAAAATCGAAATAAAACATGAACAAAGTAAAAATATCAAATGTAAAATAGACGAAACTCACTTTGTTCCGGCATGAATTGAGAGTCTGAAGGAATTCCACATATGCTCGCAAAAGGGTACGCATGGAATTCTGGATGGTAGCTGGACCACGAGGAAATATCCACCCTAAAATAAGACGACAACTATAAAAAGCAACAAAAGTGGACCAAAAATAAGTCAAGCAAACTTACTTTCGGCTTGCACAAAATGGAGCAATCATCCGGGAGGTTCTTTTGCAATTCGGCGATCAAGATCCTCATCTTCTCGGCTTGTTCAACTCGGAGTTTCTCCACATGAGGTCTGATCAAGTCTCTCTGAAGGAGTTCGGTGACCAATCCGCCAGTAAAGGTATTCAGACTACCACTGGAAATGAGCACGGGGCTGTAAAAAGGGGTTCAAGTCAATGTCTCGCTCATTGAACATTATTGTTGGACTACGAAGTCAAAACAGAAACTATTTTAGCAACAAACAACAAAACCATTAGTAAAAAATCAGAACAGCACAACAACAAAGTCCACAACGAACAAAAAGCACATATAATCAGCATTTCAAATGCCCTACCTTCTGTAGAAATACTGCTCTTTTATTTCTTCGGGTAATTCCATCCATCCTAATCGAAGACCTGGCGCCAGGATCTTGGAGAAAGATCCATTGCTGACCACATGCCCACGGCGGTTTCCCTTCGTCCTTTGATCATAGGCGAACAATCGTTCTACTGGAGGACCTTCATAGTTAAACATGTTATAGATGTCATCACAGACAATCAGGATGTTCCTCTTCCTCGCCATCTCCAGTAATCGTTGCTTCTTGACTAAAATATTTAAAATTAAATCATTTACAAGACAATCCAACATCTAACAATCAAAGCCCACCTTCACTGAGCACTGCGCCGACGGGGTTTTGATAGACGGGAATCAAGTAAAAGATGCTGGTAAATCTGCCTGCGTCGAGATCCGCATTCATCTGAGTGGGAGTGAAGGTGTTCTGCATGATAGGCTCCGCAAATCCAATGTCGATTCCATTGTCTCGCTCCAAATCAATGCCCTTCACATCATATCCGTGCTTTCTGAAGATCTCAGCGGCCAGGAAGTAAGTCATTTGTTCGCAGTAGACGATGGTATTCTCACAGAACATCTGATTCAGCAGGGTGGTCAATGCAGTTGTGGCACCCGCCGTTTGGACGAGATGTTTTCTAAAATTTTATGTTATGTATGACCCAATGAAGACCATTTATTCTTGTAACCTCAACTTACCGACTAACCTTCTCATCCCTGTATTGTGCGGCCAAGAAGTCCCTAAGGGCATCCAGATAGTCGGTGTCTCCATAGGTAGCGCCATACTGCATCAATCTTCCCTCGGTTCTCTCAATTTCCTTGTCCAACTTCCAATTGGCCGCCTGTTTCATCAAAACTGCGGCTTCTTTGAGGAATTTCTGGGAAGGGGACCCAATTCCAAATGGATAATGACCAGGCTCATCGAATAGGGTGTGGTATTGCATGCCATCATCAAAGTTAACCCGAGACATCTGAAAATAAAAGGCGTTACAAATCCTAAAAAGTAAAAAAATATGTGAAAAAACAAAAAGAAGATATGGAGGAAAGCATAAAAACACTTCCATGTAAGTCACATCCAAAGTAATATCAACAAATTTATAGTCCCAACAATCAAATCAACAGGTCAATAATCACTGAGGCGGCCCGAAGATAGCATCTCTGTAGCTAGTCTCTTCGTATGGATCACGATCAACAGTCGCCATTTCATTCACCACGGGCTTCCGAAGCTTCCGATAGCACAGTAACCTCCTAAAACATTTAGAAACTTTATTCATTATTACCTTGATCCTTTTTTTGACAAAATTTGCTCACAATTGGAGACCAACGCCAATGTCGGGTGTTTCGGGATTACATCTTCACCGTATGACTCTCTTAGAACGGGGTACCAAAAGGAGACATGCCCTTCAACAACCAGATAATTGGCAGCAAAGTCCATGAGGTCCAAGTACAAAGTCGTTGTCCTGTACTTCGTCTTCTCTGGGTAACGATCGACACTAAAACACAAATTCAAATAAATAAATGATCAAATTTACTGGGTATTCTCGTTCTTGAGCCAACCGTCCTTCTCTCCGTTCTTTCCCAACTTCCGACCTTTTTCCCGTACTCCATACGGGGCTAAAATAAGGTAAAGAATAATGACAACACTACTTACGATCAGCAACAATAGCATCAAACAGTTCTGTAGACCTCCAGAGTTTGTGTTGGCTAGCATCAGCCAAGATAAGTCCGGCGAACCTATGATCCAAGCCCTGTTGAACAAAGTTCGCCAAAACATTCTGATCGTCCTTCAACTCGCCTTCTCCCATTCGTGCAGATGATCCCTTTGCTCTTGCTATCATGTAACTGATCTCAGATCCAAGAACAATAGCGCCAAATCTTGCTGCCGCGAGGATTAAGCCACCAGTGCCACAAAAGGAGTCAAGTACAAGATCTCCCTGTTTCACATGGCTGATGTTGGCTTGAATAAACGACAATTCCGGGTCCATTGTAGAGTTACCAATGTACTTTCGCGTCTTCAAACTGAACTCGTGTTTCAAACGTCCTTGTCCATCACCTATCTGGAAATTATGTAACCCATCACGACTTCTTACCAACAAAGCCAGATAAATCCTTGGAACTGGAGCTGAGAAATCTTCGATCAAGTTGAAATCATAAAACGGAGTCATCATGTTCACATCCATGTGATCCAGAGCTAAGATATCAATGTAGCCCTAAATAAATAACACAAATAGAAGCAGATACCCACCTGAACGAGGGCTTCAATGTATTGACCGTCCTTCTTTTTGTTATGAGACCTGTACTTTATTCTCCATGTTTTCGTTGCATCCAAGCGGGCCTAAAGAAGCTTACCAACATCCTCACGAGCTTACCAGTAGCCGACTTCTTGACTCCTCTAGGTGCAATTTCACAGATTCATGGGCACTTCCTCGGACGAGGACCTCATGGGCGTGCTTCAACAACACTGATCGCTCCAGAACGACTTGTAGCTTCTGCAGTTCATCGACCTCGATTTCTTCCAAGGGTTCCTACTCGAAGAAACATAATTTAACTTTACATACACACTCACTTTGCTGCAGTCGGATATAGATGGAAGATCGGAGCCGGTAAGCTTGAGAATCGAGTCCCATTCAGCCTTTCGAAATTCGGGATGATTTTGTGAAAAAGTCAGCAAGACGTCCATTGGGTAATTTCCGTCCGCTCTTCTGCGCACCCTCCGCGAAATCCGAATCAATTGTGACGTTTCGTCTTGGCGGAATGTCACATGGATTTTTTATTTCCTTGTTGATAAAGAACACTTTTTGGTGCTTGTCGCTTTTTTCTTGAATATCACGGGTAAACTATTCATATTTTTTTAAGACCTGCGACTTTTTTTCATATTATAATATTAATTTAAACTTAAAATATCAGATTTTTATGAAAATTTTTTTCGAAGTTGTTTTTTCACCTTATGGTCTCATACAGGGCTGTCTTTTCAATGACGTCTAGAGGTTTTTGGTGATTGTCAAAATGATTATATGATTTCTATGTAACAAAGGTTTTCGCTGATATTATCTATGGTCTTCACGCTATTTCAAAGAAATATTCCTTTTCCATTTTTTTTATTTCTAGTGCATTTAATTTAGTTGACTTAATTTTTTAATCTTTTAGCGTCTAATTACGCTGTTTTCATATCTATTTTATCTTTTGCTTGTACGAAATGCAGTTTTGAATTATAATCACGTGTTTTAATAGCAAATTTTCGCGCGGTATTTGTTCAAGTCACGTTGCTTGAGTCGATAATCTCATTGAAGTTAAGACCCTAGTCCGTAACGAACAATTACCTCCGTGGGCTAGCCCGGAAAGAAGAAATCTCAGGCCAGGTTATGCAGCCAGAAGTCCCGGGAGCAGGGTACTAGTACAACGTATATGGGCAACAACCAAGCACAACCGCACAAGAGAGACCGTGCGCCGGACGGTGGATCCCGTTCCCGGGCCGTTCCTCATCTGCCGCCCTCGGTCTCGACGGACGACGGCTGTCCCGTTCAGATGAGGATCGCCCAGGACAACTTTGATCCCTCAGCCGATCTTCTCGACAGTAATGAATATCCGGTGGTCTTCAAATGGTCCACACAGCATCACCCGGCCAGGGTGGTGCATTTGGCCGGCTCTTGGGACCAATGGAAGAGTAAAATACCATTGGTGAAGTCTACCAATGACTTCAGCACCATTATCAATCTTAATCCCGGTATGTACAATATAAAAATTTTTAGTGTTTTTCAAATTTTAGACATAATTTTTTGATTTACAGGCGATTACGAGTACAAATTCCTTGTCGACGGGAAATGGATGGTTGATTCCCAAGCGAATAAGAGCGAAAGGAACGGGGATATGTGTAATGTGATGAACATCGATGAAGCGGACTTTGAAGTAAGTTGATCACAAGCTTTACTCATTTTTCAACGTTTAGGTCTTCAATGCACTTGATAAGGACATGGAAGCTTCGAATGCCGGCGTGGCGATGAAGAAAATGAATTCGACCGGGGTCCAACAACCAAGTCATGACACTCCCAACGATCGGGAGATCGAGAAACTCCGCGAGTTCACTCAGCAATTACCCGATCGGCGGGACTTCGAGAAAGCCCCGAATCCCCCAGTATTACCCCCTCATCTTCTCCAAGTTATACTTAACAAGGATACTCCTGTCTCCTGTGATCCCAACGTCCTCCCTGAGCCGAATCATGTGATGCTCAACCATTTATACGCCCTCAGTATAAAGGACGGAGTGATGGTCCTCAGTGCCACCCATCGACACCGAAAGAAATACGTTACAACGCTCTTGTACAAGCCCATTTAGATGTCATGGATAGTATAATGGACTTGTTCTTGAACTCTTTCCGATTGTACAGTATTTTTCCAAGGTCTTGTCATTAATTTTTATAAGTTGAAGTGATATTCATGATATATTTGATATTGGTTTAGCTCATCGTATTTTAGAAATACGATTGATCTTAACGTTATGTTGATATCTTGGATCCTTTTGTAGGAAAATAGAGATTTATAATCAAAAATTCGAGCGCTTGTGTTATTATATCTATACATATACATAGAATGCATCTTTATGGGACCTACTATGCAGAATGAACCCTTATAAAGTGTGTGTTGTCTTACTAAAGCAGTCTTTTATTATCTAGAGCCATCAAAATTTTACGTAGAGAGTCGCTTTCCGGTGTAAAAAAAGTCTTGTTATGTGATTTGCGCCCTTCGGCAGACTCACAGACATCAGCAGGTCCATCATTTCGTTAATTTTACTTGGATTTCTTTGCTCACTCCCTTAAGAATTTTCTTTTATTTAAATAATAAAGAATTACGCGATTTTCTGGCCTTATTTTTGATGATCAGCAAGTTAATTTTCTAAATTTTATACTTAAATTTTTTTATGTTGTAATTTTTAGACTTTGTAGGTAGATGTATCCTATATATGAAGGTGTAGCTGATATCCAGAACACCGATTTCCGTGAGACTTTCCAGGAGAGCTGTTTTGAGATCAATCTTTTGGTAAGTTTGTATTTTTCATGATGATTCTGTCTTTAGATTGACAAAAACTACGAAGATGCTGACCTCACAATTACTGTACGTCCCATAGACGATGATGGATACGAAGTTCTTGTCAGTTACATAGTCACCATTAATGGAAAACCATATTATGTGTGTTCTATAATATTTTGTATAATACTATTTTTGTTACTTTAAGGTTGATTTCGATCTATGGAAGAACTCTGATGAAGTTCTACGGATTCCAGCGTTACCTGTTCAGGATCTTCATATTAAATTTGAAATCGAAGTCCATGAAGTTCTATGCCCCAATAGCCTGAGCGAACCTGGACCTCATCGGAATTTCAGAATCTTGGTATGTTCTCCAGTACATTGTGGATTGATTTTTAGACAAAGAATGGAGAGGTATACGTGAATACATCCTGGCTTCTAGATAATGTTGGTGGAAGTCTTTTCTCGGATTGGTTTGTAAGAGAAGGGCAGGGAGAATCGACTGTTGTCCCTACAAATATTGATGAAAACGAGCTGGAGGTTCTGCTGAAAGCTGTCTGCTCCTATTCTAAAATCATAATTACGAGGTAAGCAATAGTTTTTTTCAACGAATATTATTACTTTGCTATTTTATGACTAAACTTAATGTTCCAGGCAGAATTTTGACGTCTTGCTGGAAGTAGCGTGGCGATTCAAGATTACAAATCTTCTCCGAGCATTAGAAGGGTATATTCTCCAAGCCCGGGCGTTCCATCCCATGGAGAAATTGATCTTCGCTTACAAATATAAAATGGCAATGTTGGCTACGAATATTCTGGCTCCGCTGGACTCCAGAGAACGAAAGAAAGATGCCTTATATGCCTATATCGAAGAAAAGGACATAACGGAAATCCCACAAGAGCTCATGGAAATGCTGGATCTCTGAATTGTTCGATTTGTTTGTTTAGAAATCTGATGACATGAGTAATATTATTTATTGTTCGCATTTTTATATCTTTTTAATAACGGGTATGTTTGAGATAAACTCGGTAATTAGCTTGTCCTTGGAGTAATTGTTTTTGTAAGGTTTATTTCCAAAAATGCATGGAATGAGCAGTTATGTTATACTTTATGTACTTTTTGGTACGGGACACAGAACCTGATTTAACATAGATTTTAGTATGGATGTACTCACTGGACTGCTGGCTATAATTGTCGGGCTTTTCACGTTCTTCGTACTTCTATTTCTGGTGTTATTGGCCTTATATGTACTACACATGAGTAGAAGAGCCCCAAAAAGACCGAAGAAATTGTTGGCAGTGATGGGATCTGGTGGTCATACGATGGAAATGATCTCCTTGTTGCGACTCTTCACCGAGGAAAAGGAATTTCCAAAAAGATCATATCTTTATTATGATGAGGCTTCAAGAAAAAAGGTGAGTGGATTCATGATGAATTATTGCAATTTTAGATCGCTGACTTCGAAAAAGAACAGAAGAATGATAATTATGAGATCTTTGAAGTGCCAAGGAGCCGAGAAGTTGGACAGTCATACTTTACAAGTGTATTCAGCACCATCAAATCCATCTTGGTGATTCCGGCGTTGATTTCTGGACTGAAGTAAGTTGCAGTGAAATTGTGGAAGGATGATACATTTTTTGTTGTGAATGAAAAACTTTTAAGAAAGTAGCTTTTTGGTGTGAACAGACAGCCTCTTTAAGCCATTATTAATTTAATTTCAGCCCCGATCTTCTGCTTTGTAATGGTCCAGGAACATGTGTCCCAGTTGCCGTAATCACTTTCATGTTCAACTTACTCAACATTTATGACTGTAGAATCGTCTACGTAGAATCTATTTGTCGAGTACACACCATGTCCCTAACTGGATTGATCTTATACCATCTTAGATTGTGTGATGCATTCTATGTTCAATGGCCCCAGCTACAAAAGAAATACCCAAGAAGCATTTACGAATGCAAACTAGTGTAGCTTTACAACTATTGTGGTCATAGTTATGGGTTGTTACAACAAAATTGCTTTATCTATTACCTAAAATAATATTATTTTTATACCTAAATATTGCTTGTTTAATTTAATAATTTATAGATGAAATAAATCGAAAAGAAAGCCAATTTGGATTTGATGAATTAGATTTATCTTACATTTAAAAAATATATTCATATGAAAAATGGACTAAACGGGTATTAGACTAAAGATTTGGCAAATACAGGGAAACGGACTTCCTGAGGGTAAACGATTCGATCACAAGGCCTTGTGGACTCCAACAACAATCCCATTGTAGCGCCGAGCGAGCAGTCTGGAATTTGATCCTTGCAGAGAAATGACTGGTTCAATCGGACTCTCGATCTGAGACGCGAGATTGGCTAGGTGAGCTAAGATGGCTCCACTCTTATCATTCAAAGATCCCTTGACACAATAGAGTGATCCTTTGTCATCCGCACATACGACTCCAGTGACCCCATCGTTACTCAATCTGAAAATAAGGACTAGGCATCAACTAAACATTCAAACGATTAAACTAGACAAAAAGCGCAATTTACGCACTTTGATTTATGTAAAAATAGTTCAAACATCAAAGCAGCTCTTGTCTAAATTGTTTTACGATTGAGTCTTTTATGTAATATTACACTATGTTTGATTCATCGTCAAAAGTAAAACTAACAAAAATGTTTTGAAATCGCAAAAAATACCTTATTCATTCAACTTTCAGAAAAATCATCCTTTGGAGATTCTCTAAATCCAAAATAACCAATTACAAACACTTACATTCGTTTCGCGGACTCTTCCAACGCTGCCTCCATTGTTTTTTGATCTGAATTCGCGGCCATTTTACCTGGAAAATAAAAATGTTAATCAAAATATTCTGATGAACCCGTTTATCAAGCCAAAGATTCCAGAGTTTACAAGATCGAAAGATTTTTCGAAGAATAATATCGTTTCGACCTGCGGCCGGTGACTGCAGTCTGCATGGTGGACATTTTATACGATGAGAAGAAGCAGGCGTATTTTACACTTGAAATGTAATTATCGTACTTTACGAGAAAACAGAGCAATGTTTCAGTGAGTAAATTCCCAAATGAATTATATTTGTGGCATTCTATCAGACATTATAGTTCCTTTAACTGGTCATCAAGTACAACATCACTGATGACTATAATTTATCGCGAAACGTGTAAAAGGCTGATTGATTACAATACCCAGATTCATATGCCACTACTCCTCACGCCCTATGTTTATTTACACACAGGAACGTTTCCAAATTTTCGACTGTTTTCATTTTTGCGATCCCCATTCAATGGTGTGGTAATTTCTTACAATGTAAATAAGTAATTCGTTACCCGAGGTTTTGCGACTCATATGGTTGTGTTACTGTTTAGATTGCCTATTGAGAATTTGTTTTATTTTTGATTTTGCAAAAAATTTTTCGAAAGTTCGGGACGGCGTGAGATTAGGTAAATAAATAGCGGTATTTAAATGGGGATGCACTTTCAACGGGTTGCATGAGTTGTAAATGTATACATCTGCGGTCGTCAAAGATCAACTGGTATTTTGAATTCTGTATTTGCGAAGTATTTTTGCTGACTTTTGGGAAAAATGGGAGAATTTGAGAAAAAGGTGAGTTGTGATGACTATAATTTATATTTTTGTGATGCTTTTCGTGCGAATTTGCTATTTATGGCTTTATAAAACAGCTAAAGAGTTTCACTCGTCCTGATTTTTCTGTCTATTGCAATTTTTTATATCATACTCTATCTATTTCTCATAAAATTTTGTTTTACTGACATATGATCTAACTAAAAGTTCATTTGTTTTCCGTAAATAAACCACCAAAAGATCTTCTGTAACGTCTAAAGTATAGTTTACAACCTCTAAACAGTAATACTCGTAACATTTTGTATTTTGTTGTTTAGTCTATTGGAAGTGAAAATAAAATATTAAACTCCATTACATCGCCGACCAAATTGGGAGCTGCTCGCGGCGAAAAAAAAGAGAAAACGTTCCGCTCGGATCGAGCTTTTCTTTTAATTACTCCGAGCTCAACTCGGAGGGATTGCGTGAGATGAGAGAAGGAGCTCATCTCAAGGAGGCTAACGTTCCTTCGAGGTCACGGTGTGCAGCGCTTTTCAACCATTTTGTATGGATCCAAATCGTTACGTGATCCGCGCACAGTGCAATCAAATTTTTGGAATTGTTTTGAGTCCTGACCCGATTACTTTTTCGATCGAATGCTTAGTAAATTTAGATGTTTTTGAATAGTTTGCCAATTCTAAATCTTAAAACAGGAAACGTTGTAGCGGTTACAACACTTTTTTGATAACGAAAATTTTGGACTGCACAGTGCCAAACAAATTTCTGAAAAATCGGAAAGTGCTAACTCGCACTGTGCATTTTGTCTTTTTGCACTGGGAAATTGGAAAATCGTCACGAGGAAAGCTTTTCGACTTTGTCGCCGTGAATTTTGCATGTGTGACGACAATTGTACAGTGCAAAAAAAGGCAAAATGTTTGCCGCGAAAAAATTTATACGCACTTGGAAAGACTAGTAGTGGTTCACCTATCTTTACCCGTATGTGAATGGTATCTTCTCTTTTTCTCATCGATTACGTTATCCTTGCACTCAAATCAAACAAAATTTGTTTTTTGGTGTAAATACCTAAATAAACAACCTCTGCAATCAAGTTATTTGTTCGCGGAATCAGGGTTACATACCTCCATTGTTTTATCATCTCATGGACGAACTTCAATTTTACAAATTGTTTTTACGTGACTTCCCCATGTTTCCGCTCATCGTATGTTCAGTTTTTTCTTTTGGCAGTAATTCTTCCAAAAGTCTCTTAATTGAAGAAAAGGGTTGTTTTATTTGTTTTTATTTATTAATTTTATGTCTCGGGGCCCTACCTATGTAGTTTTAAGAGGATCTCCTGAGGGTAAAGGACGGGGTTAATGTTCAAATTTATGTTTACTCAATGTTTGTTTATCGCTTCGACTCTTGAGTAATAGATAGTTTTGAGTAATCATAAAGTTCATAATAATCATCTCTGATCAAAATTTTTGAGGAATTAAAGCCCAAATTCCGATAAATTTTTTCTTTTTTAGGACCCATTATGATGATTTTTACAACTTCGGGATACTGCGTAATCCAAATTTTATGTCTTTCTATCCACTTTTCTGTTTTCTTACGTCGAATCACGTGGTTCGAGTTGATGAACTTAGGATTTAATTTTATTGCAAATTGTATGTAAGGAAAATATATCGAGAAAAATGTAATTTTATTATTATACGAACATAAATACCATCGGATTTTCCTGAAATTTTATAGACCTACTCCCAAAACTAACGTTAAAAGAAGGATTTTGTAAAAAAAATTTGGGATAAAGCTCACTAAAATCTAGAGTATTTTCTTACAAGTAAAGTCGTTGAGATGTTTGAGAGACAACGCGAAATAAGGAGAGTCGGTCAGACAAACGATTATTATTTATAAATTTTTTGTTTTCGCAACTTGTTGAATTTTTGTAGAAACATTTTACAGAGTAGTAATTCATTTTGATATTTATAAACCTAACAGTAAGACTAAAATCGCACAAAAAAGATATCCAGGTAGTTTTTATCCACTGCACCTGATGCTTTTTAAAACTGTTTTAACATTGTCATAGTCCAACAATATGTGCCCTTATTTGGAATCCATCCCCTTTCGGTCCGAAACCAATCCCGTTCGGAAGACCGATTGCTCTTATGCAATCCAAACAAAAAGGATTCAACTTTTATGTCATTCGCGCTCATTGTAATCCCCACTTTTCTTGACTTAATAACAACCAAAACAGTCCGAATTCCCTCTGGCTGTTGAAGCGCGAAAGTAGAACAAAGTGAGTCGATGGATTCTCGAGGCGCTCCGTCGGCGGACGAACGCTTGTTTTGGGGGATCTTGAGTTCGTTGAGGGAGGGATTGGGGAATTTCAAAAATCATTCCTTACGCGATTATGATGGATCGGGTGGTTTGGGGCGGTGGTCTCGGACATTGCGTGAGATTCCGTGAGGATTCTGAAGTGGGAAGTGGAAACATGGTCATAGAACGGTGGTTTTGAGGGCCGGGACATTAATAAAGCCACCGTTTATATATATATATATTTTTTTTATAACGTTAGAATTAAAAAACCCCGAGTCACTTTATGCGGAAAATTGATTTTTATCAAAATTGTTAAAAAAATATATTATAGAATTTTCTAAAAATTACGGTGTTTTTTCGGGCAATGCAAAGGCCACCTAGATTTTCACTCTCAAAAATTTGATACATAGTTTTTACAATAAAAAAACTCCAAAAAGCCAAAGACAATGTTGAAAAAAATGTCGTTTCCTCTGACCCTCTCCTGACTTTCCATAGACTCTCGTTTGCAAAGACCGTTGAATATCTTGGCCGTCACTCCAAATAATAAGCAAATTTTGACTGAATTTCCCCTCGAAAAGGTTGTTTTCTTGTTTTAAATTTGAGTTTTCTTCTTCACCCTTTATTTTGATGACCATTTAGCGTAACCCCATCTTCTAGACCCTTCTCAACCTTTCAAGAATCGCCAGTCCAGTCCACTTTCGGTCTTTTCGCTTTCCCAATCAGCTGATTACAAATCGCGCAACAATTTTTATTTATTGCTTGAGGGTAAACAGTCTCCGTCAGAGTAAATAACCAGGATCTGATCTCTTCATTGTTGTGGGAAATTATTTTGGGCCTCGTAAAGCCGGGGGATTCTGGAGTCGAAGGATTCATATCGGGAAAAGATTGACCAAATTGTTGGGTAAAATACGTTCCATTTTTCATTGATTAGGGGGTTTTCAGCAAAAAAATTTCCATTAGATCATTTTTTGTAGTATAATAGATAATTGAGCATTGCGCGAACAGACGGTTTTAATAGTTGGAATACGTTTGAAATGGTCTTGGATTTAAAGTCCAACGGATTTAGCAATGGGTACGGTAGCTGTGTTAGTTCTAGTTAGAGCGGGGTTGTAACAAAATATATATAGATTATATATACGGTATTTTCAATGAGATTATATTTCAAATGAGAGTTTTGAGTGCAGGCGGACGATCTTCCAGCTGTATGAGTCATGTTGCAGCTAATCGAAAAGGTCAGTGTAGTGTACTGTATTTTTACAGCTCTTCTCATCTAAATTATTCTAAAGTCGTCATACTTTTTTGGTATTTACAGTCTTTCAGGTAGGCATTCAGATCCCCTAATAATTTTACCTCGGGGTTCTAAATGAGCTAAAAATAAAAAGTTCTAGCTCCCATCTTTGCACAGTAACCGACAAATTGGGAGAGTTGGCCAGACGAAAAATGCTTTGCCTTACTTCTTTGTTTCTGCACAGAAAAAAATTTTTTGCAGGAAATGATAAATTTATGGTCAACTTGTAACCGAGGACGTATTTTTTTTTAGTAAAAAATCGCAAAAAATGTAATTTTTTAAACAATTTCTGATAAAAATCACGGATTCTAAGAGTCGAATCTGGCATAAGTCCTAAAAATTTTTCTCACATTGTGTCATTAAATTGTAAGCGTCGTATTTCAAGGCGCTTCCCCTGTAATCATAGCCATTGTTTTGTAACAAATTTCTATCCCTCAAAGTTTACCACATATTCACAATGTCACTGCTTTCCTGAGATTCCGTTACCTCAGCTTTCCTTCCGCATTACTCCGTAACAAACACTTTGGCAGTATTTGAGATCTGATGCAATAGATCTGGCGTCTGCTTCGTTTACAAACCCGCCAAATTGTTTACCGAATTGCATGGAATTCAAATTGTTTGTCAATTTGAAAGTAATACAGTCGAAGAACCGGTCGGATCTGAATTCGACCCCGAGGCTTCGTTTACTCTCCCCGAAAAAACTTGATTTCTTGGTTAGGGCCTCTGGATAAATAGAGTAGTGCAGGTTGCACTGTTGATTTGTCGAAAGTTTATATTTGTTTTTGTAATTTCGGCGCAGTTTCCGTAAAATATTTGGTTCGCGAGTTTGTGAAATCGACAATTTTGTAAGTATTTTTCTATGGTTGGAATATCTTTAACATTAAAAATTTTTTGAAAATTTTTAAATTAAAAATTTTTTTTTACTTTTCGATTTTTTGACACAAAATTAGTATCACAAAAAAAATAATAAATTTGTTTTTTCAACCATAGTTATGGCCATAATTTCCCATTTTTTGTCATCAAAAGTAATATTTATTTTATGAAAAAATCTTAATTTCTGGCAATCTTCAAGTAATCATAAAACTTTTATTGTTTCAAATTGTAAATTCAGAGTCAAAAAAAGTTTAAAACAATGTTTATTTGTCGTTTCCCAAGTACCTTTTATTTTTTTAAGCTAAAATTATATTACTCTTGGTGTTTAAAGGAACTTGTTTTTTCAACAGACCCTTCTGACCAATTTATGGCCTTAATAAAAACAGTGGCTCCGATTCTACAAGTTACAGAAGCTTTCTAAATGGTCCATTTTAGACGTTCCATCTGTTTTTGTAACCCAGAATTAAAACTATTTTTGGTCGATCTGATGTTTCTTTTGTCTTTCCAATGTTTCTTTTGGCCAAAACAAATCAGCTGGCCATTCGAAAAACCCCTTTTCCGTTTTCTGGGAGTTTTGCAAACTGGGCTTTATTTTCGGGTCACATGAGATTCAGGAGAAAGAAAATATAAAAGTGGACAGCGGCCATTCGGAAAAAACGTCTCGGCCATTCTTTTTTGGCCGTCAGGCGCTTCTTTTTACACTACTTTTTATTCCTAAAAATAGCGACTAAAAGAAAACGAATGTTGTTTTGGCCGAGGAACTTTGCGGGAGATTACCGTAAAAAATTTTAATTTTAATTTTAAAATTTTAATTTTGTTAGTTGCTAATGAACTTGATTCTGATTCAAGTTAGAGATTTTAATCAAGTTTGTATTACTTTAAGCGTTATCTTGTGATTTTTAAATTGTAGCCATCACAAGCGATAAGATTCTCAGACTCCGAACCGTCTGCAAAATGTTTGGAAAGCTTTTCTGATTACTGAAAAATACTTCCCGATACATCTATTCCAACAACGATCGTATTATTTATTTGCATAAATATCTTTTTTGCTAAACATCCCTATTACAATACATATGTTTTTTTCCTCCCGAAACTGCTTGAAATCCGAAAAAAACAAGCGAGTACTCTGAAAGGCTGTCCATTCTACTGTTTATTCAGTGTTCTGAGTATTGGCCATCCCTTAATCGGGCTTAGAAACCATTTATGTCAACTTTGTCTACGCAAGTCTGCTATTTAAAGTACATATTATCATGCTTGTTTTCCCGTTTATTCCCACATAACTCTAAACTTAATCCGATTGTCGTTGGATACCCAGAATTTTGTTGACATCACCCTTCAACTTTATATTGTTTTACCTGCTTCTTCTTACTCCCAACAAATTTTTTTTGACAGATGCCCTGAGGATGTTCCGTGTGCGCCTAATCCGGCGTTGATCCGTCTTTTAACCCGAATTGCCCTATTTTGAATACCGTTTAGGGGGCGAGTGTTATTAACGTTGTAGTTTTGTAAACCTTCAAAAGCGCCGGGCTCATCCGATTTCAGCAAAGGGCCAATTTCAAACGCTCTTTTTTTTTGATTTTTGAAAACCCACATGGGATAAATGGGATCATGTTTGAAGGGATTAACAACTTATTTTGGAACGCTGCACTCCTAAATTTGCTGGGGGATTTTGAAATTTAATTATGAGAGAATTTCTATTTTAGTTTGTAGATACTAATGTGTTGTGCTTTTCAAAAATTTGCTGTAGATGATCTGTAGAATTGCAAAAAAGTTTGCGAGGTCATGACAATGTCATATGATCACTAACCTTAGAGGTGCCCTTCACTCCGAATTTAGTCACCCACAGCTAACCCTTGACCCATTCTTCTTCAAATTTCAATACAAACTGTACAAATATTTTTTCAGAATTAGAGCAAGGTCGATGACCTTCCCCGGGGCTTTGTATGGATCATATCCGAGCAGATGTTAAACCCTCAAAGCCGATATGTTTTTGTATTTTCTTTAGAGACTCTTTTTTGCACTTTATTCCAGCGCTTTCGAGAGGCGATCGGAGAAAAGATTGGGGAAAAAAGAAAATACGAAGAGGGCGTGGTTCCATGGTGTAGCGGTTAGCACTCAGGACTTTGAATCCTGCGACCCGAGTTCGAATCTCGGTGGGACCTAAGGAAAACTTTTTGAATTTTTAGAAACTTTTTACTTTTTGCAACAATATTACATAATTAAAAAAAGCTAAAAGTTATATTTACAGTAATAAATTCGCTATTTTTATTATTCAAAATTTGTTTTCGCAAATATTTTTCCAAGTTTGCATATTTTTTTAAAGGCGAAAAGCTTACTGTTTTAAATAGGTTACTGTAATATATTACAGCTAATGAGTACAGATTAGAATATATTGCAGTTGACCTCTAAACGCCCCTTTCTTGCGTTGATCGCTTGGCTTTGACTAAAAAACGTAAAATGGGGATCAGAATCCTCCTCCCATCCACTTTTTCACTTTTGTACCCTGAGGACAAAGGAGTTTCCGATGGTTTTTTGTTGTCCACTTTCCGTTTGCGGTCATTTCCCTTTCATTTCTCATGAAAGGAGGATGCAAATTTCGGGATTAATTTTTACAGTTTTTGCTTTAACTATACTGTTTTGGGACTAAGCTATCTCTCTGTTTCCATATGATGGTTATGATTCGTACATTGCAAGATTGTTTCTTATTTTTAGAAAATAATGAGTAGATGGAGTTGTATGAAGGCCAGATTAAAAGCTTATTGCTCTAATTTCCCTACATTATTTTCATTTTTTGCCCTTTTATCACCAAAAAGTCGTTTGATTTGCCATTTTTTGATAAAAGGTTGAATTGAAAAAAATGTGGTCATTGCTGGAAATTAAGCCTAATCTCAGTTCTCAGACCGTATTTTTTTATATTAGGACTTTTCAATACTTTGTAATGTCCATTTATTACCTCATAAATTTTGATCTCAAGTATCATATAATTTGGACATAAAAGATTTAAAATTGGGGTTCCATTCTTTGCAATAGCTAAAATTAGGCCACATTGATTATTTTTGTAAGACAAAAATATTTTTAAGAGTCACCGGAACATGTTCCGGATATTATTTTAGGTTGAAACGGATCCAAACTTTATAAAATTTACAAAAAACACGGGGAAATTAATGAATATTATATTTCGTACCATACACAGAGTAATAATCAGCAAATTTGACACCTCAAATTTATCAAGTTTCAGCACCGTTATCAGCTAAATTTTTGTTTATCCGGAGGTTTTTTATTGTTATTATCCGGTTCAAAATGATAAATAAGTACAGTAATCTTGATTATAAAAGGCCAGATGACCTCTGGATTTATTTACAGCTTATAAAATTTATATTACTGTAGCTTATACTATTGATTACTTCGTATAAATGATTGTAAGTGTTTACAATTACTGTTTGTCAACCTATAACTTATTTTCATGACGTCTGAAACCATTTTGATTTCTTATTTGGTCAGTTCTCTGGTCACAGACATTCATTCCTCCGGTCATTACGGGTTTAAAATGATTGAGATGTGTTGACGACCTTTTGGGTTTATTTTTGGTTACTACGTCTAATTCGGTGATTGTAAATTGTAGTTCCAGCTGTTTCGTAACATTCCAAGGTCAATTTTTTGCCCTTCTTTGGGAAAAGAACCCGGAATTTTTAGTGAACTTTACACTTATTTTAAAGTTCTTTTGTAAAAAAAATTGTTTTGATTTTGCGTTTTTGTGGAAAAAGTTTCTTGGGGGTAAAATAATGTTTATTTAGTAGGAGTTTTTAATAAATAGTATTCCTATGTTTTGAATCCCAAGAAAATTGACTTTGGTCCCCCCTTGGTCCACTTTTTTCTTCGTCACAAGTGTTTGTCCTCCCTTTCTTATCACCCAAATTCCATCGATGATTTCGCCAAGGAACACGGCTCAGCTGACCCGACGAATGCTTCTCCATCAACGATTATATTGTAAACAACTACTCGATTATAGTTAGGCGGACAATTTATAGTGAAACAATATGTGGGAGATAGGAGTTGGTGGGTTGTCAAGAATTGATAATTTTTTGTTTATTCTTGATAAAATGTAATTAGGAAACGCTGATTGATTTTTAATTGAAGACGCTTTGACGTCATTGAGATTATTACAGTATGCCTGAGGGCCTTATCAATTTTTGGCGATTATTTTTGTAAAAATTAGCCTTTTCGACTTTTTTTTCATCGAACCACGCCTAATGCAATTTTTTCATCGAACCACGCCTAAAAAAATTAAAGCCCTACAAATGCCCATAGGGCAATTTTTGGAAAATCATTCAACTCAAGGTGGTTGGCTGAAAAAGTCTTCCACTTAAACCTACTATATGTATTTTTTGAACAAATTATCTTATTCATGACATCCTATGAATCTCTTCCAAAAAATGAGTCATAGTGATGTCACCTGCACTCAGCTCTCGATAATATTTGGTCAGATGGTGCACTGACACATTTTTTCGTATTTAAGTGGCTTAGTGTGTCCATTAAGCGCTGAAATTCTGATTTAAATCCATTCTATGTACCTTCACGTTGCCTATCTATTCTCATTCTTTCAAATTTTGCTCTTCCCATACTGTAACCACCTCCTATGGCCCGTTTCCGAACTTTCGAACAATCCGGCTTTCTTTGTCATTCATCCAATTAGTCGAGTTCATCGTCTTAAAGCCGTCATCTGTGGGCGACCAAATTTTGGCATTTTGTGAATACAATACGATTTCTTTGATTTTCTACGTGATTTCCGTTTAGAAATACCAATAATAGCGAATGAGATGGCCGGTAGTATATAAGGAAGTGATTGTTTAAGGGTTGGGATTGTTTTTCGGGGGTTTGTGACATTACCTTATGTTAAAACACGATTTTTCTAAAAGTCGAGCGCAGGTCAACAACCCTGGCTACACGAAAAATAAAACTGCTCCAATTTTCTTTAAACTTGGAAAACTGTAGCTACGTGCCATTCTAAGAAACTTTCCCGTTAACTTTTTTTCGAAATCTTACTGTACTTTGGGTTACGGTAACATGACTCATTTTGTCATAACTCGGGAACCAGATGTCGTAGCGAGACGGGATCTTTACCAGTGTGTTCAGCGTGCCGAAAGATGGCTTTTTGTTAGCTACACCAAGTTTCTAGGACCCCGGGAAGTGGCAAAAAAATTTGAATATTTATGCAAAAATTCAAAAATATGCAAATTTCTCGAAAATTTAACCAAAATTATGCTCATTTTTATTTCATATTTTGAAAGTAGAGGTCATAGCGGTTTCAGCGGTGTAAAAAACTTGAACGTGCGAACCGAGCTGTCTGAGAACGGGCTGTTTGAAGTTGGGGCACCCAGCACGTCAAACTGAGGAGTCCGGTGACCGGAATAGACACTTCGCTATGGGTTTTTTACACTTCGTCTTGATTTCCAGAGAAAGAGAGAAAAAAATACACGCAAAAGCGTACTCTCTCGCCCCAAAAATTCCCCATTTCTTCCTCGACAAAATGTTTTTTCGCGTCTTTTTTTGGCAAATTGCCAATCCATTCACCCGAATGTTTTAGCTTATCTCAGTTTGACGTGCCCAGTCACGAATGAGCAAAAAATCGGAGTAAACCGCATAAAATCGTTGTTAAACGGCAAGAATGGAAAGTAAATTTTGTTATTACATCGTATCGGTCACAATAGAGGATTTCCCACATAATTTTCGTAAATTTGCATATTTTGGAATTACTTGCATTTATTGTCAAAATGTTGTAAAAATATACCTTAATGAAGGATTTGGGAAAAAATATTGTTCGCTTTTGCTTAATACCTTCCAACAGTCATTTTAATGTAAAAAACTCAAAATCGATTTTTGCCATGTCCACGCCTATCTGGCGGCTGATGCACCCGTAAATGCAAGAAATTCCAAAATATGCAAATTTATGAAAATTATGTGGAAAATCTTCTATTGTGACCGATACAATGTAATAACAAAATTTACTTTCCATTCTTGCCGTTTAACAATGATTTTATACAGTTTACCCCGATTTTTTGCTCATTCATGACTGGGTGCCCCAACTTCAAACAGCCCGTTCTCAGACAGCTCGGTTCGCACGTTCAAGTTTTTTACACCATTGAAACCGCTATGTCCTCTACTTTCAAAATATGAAATAAAAATGAGCATAATTTTGGTTAAATTTTCGAGAAATTTGCATATTTTTGAATTTTTGCATAAATATTCAAATTTTTTTGCCACTTCCCGGGGTCCTAGAAACTTGGTGTAGCTAACAAAAAGCCATCTTTCGGCACGCTGAACACACTGGTAAAGACCCCGTCTCGCTACGACATCTGGTTCCCGAGTTATGACAAAATGAGTCATGTTACCGTAACCCAAAGTACAGTAAGATTTCGAAAAAAAGTTAACGGGAAAGTTTCTTAGAATGGTACGTAGCTACAGTTTTCCAAGTTTAAAGAAAAATGAAGCAGTTTGATTTTTCGTGTAGCCAGTGCTCTCCAAGCTTAGAAAAAACGTGTTTTAAACTATAATATTTAGTACCTGCGGAAACTTTTGGCGGTCACTTTAAATTTGGTGGAGATCATGGCTCAGCAAGCTGCATAAATGTTTATTTGCCATTTTCTAATCTTTTTCCACGTTTAATTTACATTTTTCGGATATAAATTTACTTTACATTACACTTTGTTCCCAAATTTTACAATTTATTTGCAACACCATCTCTTTTTCAAACTAAACCATCAATCTCATCGTTGTCTTCTTCAATGTCTTATTTGTTCCGTAACCATGCTTGTTATGTCTTCATTAACTCATTTTCCCTGATTAGTGATCTTTTTTGTAACATGACTAATTCCAGATCCCTCGGTTTTTGTCGAAATTTTTTGACTCATCCCTCACCGTTCCTGAATTTGAAATTAGCTGATCACACAGACAATAGGTGAGGGTATTCCTGCAGGGTCACGCACAAGGTATAAAAATATAAAGTCCAATAACGTTTTCGCTTCTTTTTAAGGGAGTAAAGAGGGAGGAGATAAAGCGAGGAAAAAAGGAAATCAAGTGGGATATGGGTGTTTTAATATTACTTTAACAATGAGAGCACTTTTCCGACAAAATTTTTTAAGACTTTTGATTTCGTTTTTCCTCGTTATCTGTATATTTTTCTTAATTTTCTGTTAATTTTTATGGTTTTTTTCAGACTAACATTAAATGGTTTTTTTGTGCCATTTTAGACTTTTGTTTGTATTATTTCTAATAATAAAAAAAAACGGTTGACTGCATATTTTACCCAAATATGTATTACACATGTATTACACATTTACAATATGTATTAACGTTACAATTGATCTCCTTACGCCCTTTACAATCTAAAAAACTCCTCTCCAAATTTTTTTTCAGTAGTGAAAATCCAATTTTATCTTTTTTGACAACTTTTGACCTTTTTTGGTCTCTATTTTATAATAATTTTAATCTTCCACACTATCAAAAAACGTGGAACACTTCCTGAATTTCGATATCAAAAATATAAATTTATGTTGATCTTGTTATTATTACTCAACAGAGTCATGACTATCAACGCAAAATCAAGCCAAGTCCAAAGGAATTAACCCGTCGGGAAATTACAGTAACCCTTGGATTTCTTAACACTGATTTCTCAAAACAAAGATGCTTTTCTTACAAAATCTACTTATCTGACTAGTAAAAATAGGTTTTCTCTCTAAATTTGAATTTTTATATTGTTTTAGACACACTAAACTAATGTTATTCTAAATTAATATTGTAAATTATAATATAAAAATCGGACGTCTAGAGTAATATAAATGTGTTTTCAACCTCTTCTGCAGAGTTATTTCCGTTCTTTCTCCGCTACTCTTATCAGTCCTGTCACCGTCGTATTCAGTAATTTTCTTTGTTGAACTTTAGAAAAAAGCCCTCAGGTCTTTGTCTCTTGAAACAAACAAAAAGAACTGATAATGATAAAAAACATTTGTGGGAGTTATCGACCGCTTATCGGCGGGTTGGGGGTTCAGAGGTTTATTGCATCACCGACCAGAGTATTTAGGGTTTCGATCGCATTACTAAAGTTATTTTGACTGTTTTTTGGACGTATAGTGGAATCTGGAATGTAGGATTGGGACGTGTTTAGGGTCTTTGAGGGGCTAGGAGTACTGTAGAGGACATGGTGTGATACTAGGAATTTACTGAGTAGGGTAAAATGCTAAATTAATATTGGTACGTCAAATGTATTGCAATATAATTAAAGGTCGGTAACTCCAAGCATATTTGCTAAACCTTCCTCAAATTTTGCATACAGGTTTTGAATGGCTTTATTATTAATAGAGAAAAACTTGAAAACCATATCCGTAAGCTACCCCGAGGTATTCGTAATCTTTCAGCTATCTCAAGTACTACAAGAAAAGCTAAAAAATAATTTTTGAACTAATCGATTCAAATATTGCTAAGAATGCATTGGAATTACCTGATCCTCATTTAGTCGAGGTTTCATCATGTCGACCAGCAAATTTGGGGCAATGAATTTCTTTATTGTTAGTCATCCTTGGCCATTCTATGCGATAAAACTGACCGCTTATACATACATATGTACATATAAATATATTTACAACTCTAGTCAAGTATTCGATCCAAAAAACGTTTCCTTTTCTTACGCTTTGAGTCTAAAGATGATTAAGCTATAAATTAAGAGCATAGGTCAAGTTGCTTGATCTGTGGTACACACACCCATTTATGACCACAAACACGTGTAAAATTGGTTTTATCACTGAAATGAAATTATGATAAATAAGATTTCTGGCGGAAGAACAAAGGCTGCCCACCTATTGACGTGGTCTGCGGGCGCCGACGTTGTTGGGATCAATAATAAAACAGTAAAAAAGATGACATAAAAGTTGATAGATAATACATATTACCACATTCCAAAACCGTTTTCGCAACTCTTTTGACATTTTCTTAGAACGTGAGCCAGTTTTTTTTGAAGAATCAACAAAATACCAAAAAACAGTCATCATGACATATTTTTTGACATTTTCTCCGTTCGAATCCGGTCAAATAATTTTTCAAACCATAAAAGAAAATAATACATCTTGTTCCCTCTTCCCATATTTACGTGACGTGTGGGTTGTACTATGTACACACAATTTTTAGTCGATCACACCCCCTTATAAAAATTCTATTAATATTTTGAGTTTAAAAATTCAAAAGTTGTGTTATGCCTGATTCCAGAACCTTTAACCATACATTATATATGACAGGACATGCTGTCCACAATTTTATGATCTTGGGATTACTCACTGGTAAACTGGATTATTGACAGATTAGGGGTCAAAAAAACAAAAGACTACAAATTTATGATCCCCCTGATTCTAACAGATAAAATAAAAAAATGAATTGAGGCCAAGTTTAAGTCACGGGTAAAATTTGGAATTTTTTTTAAAGGGCGGTCGTTTCTTTCCGCAAAAAAAAGTATTTATTTGAGGTCCCCTCTTGCCCCACCCAACATTTTCCAGCCTTTCTGAATAAAAATATCCTTTCGTCTCCTCAAAATCACTGTGGGCCCTGAGGGTTTCCCCGTTTCCTTTATTTTTCGCGCTTCCCTTGACCGTCTGGATTAAAGACCCCGAGGAAACAAAAATATTTTGATTGCGTGAGGGGTTAAACCGATTAATTACCCACAAATTGTGAGCGGAAGATGGAGTGAAAGCGAGGAGTAGAGGTGATGGTAGAGCGGTTCCACCAAGGATGTGACACATTTTTTGGGAGAGCTGATCTCCGGGCTCTGGGAAAAGGATTAATTTTGGAATGGATAAGATACTCTGAAGGGGAGGAGAAGTGATTTTAGGGTGAAATAGACGTTGATTGATACGTTCGGACCTATTTGAAGGCATTAGGGCGGGCTTAGTGACATTTTTACATTATACTAGGCAAGCTTCTGAAATATTCAGATTAATTTAAAGATAGCTAGGTATTCCAAAAATTGCGATTTTTTAGTCTTATCAGAAATTAATTTTCTATAAATTTTGGAACTTGGTCTGTAGTTTCGACTCTAGTATAACATCCAAAACTATGGCCAAGCAGTCTCTGTTTGCCCTGAACTCTCTTCTTCTATTCATCTATTTAGTACGTAAATCCGCCTACTTATTATTCCAACTACAATCAAAAGTTTATTGCCAATCAATTCTTCTCTCTAAACCGCGATTACTTCCTGTATTTTCAATTTTCAATAACTCCTTTGGTACATACACTCTTCTTTTCAACCATTTCCAGACACTTCAGCTCTCAGAATCCAACCGTTTCTACATTCTGATGTAAACATTTATAAAAAGCAATGTTCTTTTGTCATTACTCTCGACTTAACGGCGGCGAGAGCGCGCGAGATCCTTTTTTTGGGGACCAAAAAATTCCTCAAAATTCCTGCGTGACCGTTACGCGTGGGAAGCAAACAACCGTAATAGACACGCAGGTCAGGGCGGATGACTTGAGGAAAGTTGGGGGTTGTTTGAGTGTGGGGGGCGGCCCCAAACAACTTTTTTTGGGGATGTATTTGATCAGGGCTGTTGTGCGGAGTGTAGTGAAGGTGTCTGAACTCCTTGTCTGTTATGGATCTAGCTGATGTTTGGGTGGTTTGGCTGGTTGCACTGTGCGGCGAAGAAATGTTTTGGTCGCAGACATGCATTGAGCAAAACATTTTCACATTTCCACGGGCTATTGCTCTACTTAATACGTTTAAAAACGCCGAAAAATATAAGTATTAACGTCTGACTCTTGTTCTATAAGAAACCTAAATATCTGCATTTCGTGCACTGTGCGGCGAAAAATATGTTGGTCGCGGATTGCACTGTGCAAAGTATTATATTTACGACCTTTTCAAGGGTGATGTGTTTCTATTATATAACACCTTGGAATCTCTAATATAACCCTCCGGCTTTCGTGCTTTTGGAAATTTGAATTTTTTTGTACTGTGCGGCGGAAAATATTTTGATTGCTGACTGCACTGCGCAATAGATTTCTAGATTCACAAATCACTGCTCTCTCTCTCTAATATGCAGATAGGCGTGTTTCAGGTCTTCAAACTCCATTGTTTTCCTAATTTCAATATTTAATTTCCTTGCACTGTGCAGAATTAAAAAAAACTTTTCCCGCACGGTGCATGTGATCTATCTTCCATTTCCGATTGTCTCATTACTTATGATGTCACTTAATTTAACTCAAACCATGGATTATAGGCTTAAAACTAATATAAGATCGTGGGTTTATTTGTTTTATATTTTCACTCACCTGTTTATGTCATCTACACCGTGCGAATCAGATTTTCGCGATATTCGTACAGTACTTACTCGATTTTTGATGACAAATAAATGAGTATAAGTAGAGGGAGCTAAAACTGGGTGGCCATTCATTCCATTTCTAGTCGTTTACGTGAAATTGTTATTATATTTTTATTATTTCGAACTTGCACGTGTCCATTATGCAAAATTGATATAAGCCAAACAAAAGTTCAAAGGGCATGGTGTCTGATGGGATCACATATTCAAATCACCTTTCGCCATAATATCCATCATTTCCGGACCATGTTTTCAATTTTTTGCTGACCTTTGGTTCTGATGTATAAAAGTCATGTCTACCGTGCAGTCCTGCATTATTGCCCGACTATTTTGCTATCCTTTTGCCTTACAATCATCGATTAATTCCACCTTCACCTAACTCAATAAAAAGGAGTCTCCTTTTTGACTGTATTGTAATTAAAGATACCCTGATCTCCCTTTTCTTATCTGTTCCACAAAATCCGATCGCTCTTTGCAATTTCCCTCAAGGTCGATGAGTCCTTTTGAGGCTATGTTTTATCTGAAAAAGGGGATTTCCCTCCAATAAATCCCTTTTATTTTCGCTTTCACTTTCGCCTTCAGGTCTTCGTATTTCCGATTCAGTTCCATCGACGAATTAACTTTTGATGCGTTTTGCTGATAATTGCCTCAGGGGTTACAGTACGGTGAGAATTCGAGGGGAATTAATCCAGAGTAGGGATAAATGGGACCAGAGGTGGAGAGGGAGGGAGTTCATTGGTCATCTCAACCTTATTAGCTTTAGGGTTTTTCTTCTTTTTCATCGTCTTCCGCAGAGCACGAAGTCTACATAATTTTTGTAAAAAAATTTAGCTTCTGTAACAAAGTTGTATTAAGATTTGCCCAAAATTTTTTTTTGGTTTCTGAACTACCCACAAATCAGTCCCTGAGAATTTCAGTTCCGCCTTTTGCACAGCCGAAATATTGAAGGGGTTTTGCGAGAGAGCATGCGAATTGAAGAGAGTCGGCCGGACGAAAAGGAATTCGCTTACAACTTTTTTGCTAGTGGAAAATTTTTGAGTTTTGATGGAAAATTTGTACTCTCAAAACGGACCATTAAAGCTTTTCAAAAAAAGTAAAAAAAATTATAAATTGTCGACAACTTCAGGTCAGAAAAATCGCTGGTGGTTTTAGTAATTTTGATAATCACCAGCTAGGAATTTTGGATTTGTCGCAGAAAGTAATTTTCTGTATTTGATGCGCATCTTGTCCAAGTATATCGTCTTTGCCTTATTTTACCTTCGTCTAAAAAATACAATTTCTATCAATCTTTGACCCAAAGAAAGATAGGGTTTTTCTAATTTTTACAATAGTTGTATGGGTCCAATTTCCGTCAACCCACTGGTCTTACAGCCTTTTTCATCGCTGAGAGCTTTTGTTTTCCCCAAATACCATCGTCGACCATTCATTTCACCCTAAATGTCTGTCATTTCTCCTGAAAAATTCTTTTTAATGACTGGCCAATCTCCTCGAAATAGCGGCCCAAAAGGCCATTCTTTTTATGCTCTTTTTATTATACATTCTTGACGAATATGATGATTATAACTTCTGATTGGACAATGAATGCAACTTGTTTCGTTTCAGATCGGAGCGTTGATGACACGGTTAAAGTCGGCGATTGTTTCGCCGGCCAACGAAAGGAGCATGTCTCCGAAGCCGTATGTTAACTTCACAGACGACGAGAAGGGTTATTCGTTCGATCGGAATGGAAATGTCACAGTACCTGCACCGAAAAGTAAGAGATTTTGTGAATTTCGCAAGAAAAATTACAAATTTCTTTGTAAGTAAAAAAATTATAATTTCTGGACAATTTCAGACACAAAAATCTCGTTGTTCTTTACGCCAAGCATGAGCTATAAATCTCGGATGTGAAAAAAAATATTTATAAATTCTCATAGGACTTTGAACACTTCAAAAAAGCGACCTATTTTACCGTAACTTAACAATGTTCAGCGCCAAAAACCGTAACAATGGAGGAGCTAAAGCCCAAATCGAAGATCTTCCCCTCCACTCGCTTCTTCATGGCCATTTTGCTCTGCCTCTGCTTCATTAGTCTGGCCGTTTCCACCTCCAATATCTCCGTCGCCATGGTCTGTATGACCCCAAGTATGGCGGAAAACAAGGAGAATGTGGAAACTGCGATACAGCGGATCAAAAGATCGATAAATGAGACCGATTTCAACGACCTGATGGCGTCCACCTTTAATGACACGGACGGATATCGGCATGGGAACAGTAATATCAGCAAATGCGCGCTGGCCAAGTTCCGGAAACGAGCGATCGATCTGATGGTGGAGCATGGGCAGCATGTAAATGACAGTGAAATACGACTATCCACTGTGAGCATGGAGAGTTGCTCCATGAAGAAGATAAATTGGACTTCTACGGATCAAGGTGAGGGTTTTACTGCTTCATTTACAATTTAAATGCCCTAACTCAGCACAACCAACAATCAAGGAACATAAAATCTTCAACTAATGACTTTTTATTACTATTTTATACGATTAAACATGTCCGAAGACCTACTGTAATATATAATTTTAGGTATGATCTTTGCCGCACAAAATATTGGCTCCTTATTTATGCTAGTGACGGGGACTCAAGCCGACCGTCTGAATGGCAAATGGACAATAGTAATATCGATGTCACTCCTGATCATCTCGAATGCGGCGCTTCCTTTTCTTTCGTATCACAGTTTTATTCTGGCCCTTTTGGCGAGAGTTTTGACCGGTCTATCTGATGCCCTGTTACAACCAAGTACTTCCTCAATGATTACTAGATGGTTCCCCCCGAAAGAACGACCATTTGCGATTGGATTGATTACTGGAGGCAGGCAGATCGGTGAGATTTTCTTTTTTTATTTTTGCACTCAAAAATGAAAAAGAAAAGCCCGATCAAAGAGAGAGAAATTGAAGAGAGAGACAGCCGTGGTTTCATGGTGTAGCGGTTAGCACTCAGGACTCTGAATCCTGCGACCCGAGTTCGAATCTCGGTGAGACCTAGTGACATTTTTGCACGCTTTTTGTATTCGTAGTAATCTAGATGTGGATTAGGATATAACAAAATTATTTTAGAATTTTTCAATACCAGTTATTATTTTTTGCAGCCAAAAATAATCGATTTTGAATTTTTTTCGTAAACTTTTACGTAAATTAATATTCCAGGCACCCTAATGGTCCTTCCCGTGGCCGGTGCGCTTTGCGAACAACGCACAATGTTCGGTGGATGGCCTGCAATTTTCTATTTCAGTGCCATTGTTGGCAGTGTAATTACTGTTGCTTGGATTTTACTCAGTGCCGACAAGCCGTCCAAACATTTCTGTATCAAAAACCGGGAATGTAATCACATTGAGCAAAAGATAAAAGAGGAGAATCTGGGGAAAAGAAAGCATCGGAAGAAGGCTCCTTGGGCCCAGATCGTTCGTTGTGTCCCGCTTTATGCGGGAGTGGCTGCTCTGGTTTGCCATGAATGGCCTTTGGTCATCATTTTGCAGGTATAGGAAGGTCAAAAAAAATAAAAATAATGTCTTTATTTAGTTGTTGCCAAGGTACTTGTCGGAGGTGTTGAAGTTCGGAACGGCGAAGAACGGTCTTGTTTCTTCTTTGCCGATCGGAGTTTTATTTATTTCGAAGACCCTCAGCTCCTCATTATCAAGTTATTTGAGCTCCAATCGACGTTGTAAGTAGTCCTCCTGATTCAGCCCAAATTTGTCTTGGGTTTCCTCTAATAATCCAACATTTCAGCGCGTCATTGCCGAACCAAGATGACCAAAACTTTTAATTTTGTGGCCTCGTTGGGGCTCGGCCTTTCATTGGGCGCCGTCCCCTTTGTAAACGACACCTTCTTCCCCATTGTTCTCCTCTGTGTGGCCAATGCCTTTGCTGGTGAGTTTTTCTCTCAAATCTTCGATTCTTTTTTGTATTATCTGTCTAAACAAATTTATATTACTTCAGGTCTTCACACTCCCGGTGTCCAAACCGCCCTTCTTCAGATCGCCCCGGCTTACACGGGAATTGTGACAGGCATTGCGTTCGGTGTGGTAGCCATCTTCTCGGTGTTCAACAAGCTCCTTTCCACCTACATTACCTCCCATGGATCCGCAACCGAATGGCAGATCGTTTTTTGGATGTCGGCGGTGATTGCCGTCCTTCCCTGCTTCTTCTTCACCATCTGGGGATCGGCTGAACGTCAACCATGGGCTTCATCAATCCGAAAGAAGTCCTCTGCCCTCAGGCACAAGGTCTCGAATGCCTCGGCTAAACCCAAACTGGCTACAGTAACCGAAGGCAAGATCTCGAATATGACCGGAGGCATCGATCGACCATTCAAACCGGCTCCACTGGATCTGACAAGAATGGAGAGTAATGAGAGCGAGGACGGAAGCGATGAGGCCATCGAGGAGGAGAACATTGCCAGTGCTTTGAGAATGAGAATGTTCTTTAGCAATGACGATGACTTCAGTACGGAGGAGGAGACTCTCAGTCATTCCAGTGCTAGTTCGGGTGAGGAATGGAATAAGGAGGATTTGGATGAGAAAGAGGGAATCCAGAGGTTCTAAAGACATCAATATATTACCCATGATGTCGTCTTCTCGAGGATGGTCAAGAAACATGTCTGAATGTCCGAAAAAATTCTACAAGACAAATTGTAGCTCCAAAACATGGATCGTCACTTTCTACAAACCTCCGAGCATTTACCGCAATCATTTGTATATTACACTTCTCTTTTTTCCCCCTTCCAACGGTCTTGTCTTTATTTTGTAGCGAGCTTAGATAGGTCTTCCCTACCAACTGTTTAATCCATCTCCATATTATTTATCAACTTTTTTATCCCTTTACATATTGTCATTGTAATATCTCTCCTTTTCGTTGTTACCGTAGTCATCATAGGGTCTTCCAGAGCAATCGATAGATCAAAAAGTGGATTATAGTCTCCATCACGGGTTAATCAACTCCAAATTCTTTTTTTACACTACTATGAACAGCTTTACGATCTTTTTTTAGTTGTTTGCACTCTCCAAGAACATACAGTAATTTGGTATGTACAATCGAATTCCGGTACTTTTTCGAAGCAATCCATTGTGACAGAAAAGTCTTTCATCGTCCCCTTCCCGAACATTGACCCCCTCCTTCTCATGCCACAGCTTTAATTTGTCGTTTTGAAGAGCAAAAAACCAAAAACTCTTTCGGGGAATCCAATTTTCCGGTATTCTATAATATTATTGTTATCTTTGTATAAACATGTTCAAGATTTAAGTGTTTGAGTTTTCGGTCGTTTTGACGTAAAACCCTTTTTTATCTTTATATGGCTATCCAACGATCCGGAATGGCCTAAAAATCAGGTAAATTGCCAACCAAAGAGCCGGCGGATTGGAAGTCAAATCATCTAAACGACTTGACAGACAGCTGGATTGGTCTAAGAATCCCAACAAGATTACTTTGCCACCAATCCAGTTCGTGTCCATTCATAATTGACAGAAACCACAACGGGCAGATGCCATAATGTTTACAGAGTAAAGTAAAAATGTAATCTTCGGAATTTTTCTACAATATTAGTGCGAATTGAATCTATTAGTGCGAAATTGATAATCATTTTTGGTTAAAAACGCTTAATTCTATGCAAGACTTAGATAAATTACCAAAACAGAAAAAATAAATTTTTGATCTCCAAATCTCCCGAATTAAAACCCCATCTTCATTTTTATCCACCGTGGAACTCATCTTCGCGGAACCAGTTCCATAAAAAAGTAACTTTAGGTGATGGGATGAATAAAATCTACTTCTTTATCGCTATTCTCCGAAGATTAATCTATGTGATTACGGGAATTTGATGTGGAATACGCTCAAGAAATAGGTTTAAACGTCTTTAAAATCACCTGCTAATAATAACAAAGCTTCTACTCAATGCTCTATCTAATTCTAATTTTCTGAAACTCCACTATTCAAAATGTTTTTGCCGTTTTGTCACCTGTTGCCTAGTATAATATAAATTTCAAAACATAACCTTACTTTTTATGTTTTTGCTGTTTCAAATTCCCTGGAATTGATTATGTACACACTACCGCAGGTGTGCGTCCCCGTTAAAGCGCCAGGAAGAGTGGAGAACGACGTATTTTTGACTGTTTTTCCGGCTGGCGAGAACAGAGTTTTTATCCCCGAATTTTTTTTTATTTTTCTTTGTTTTTCACACAGACGTTTTACGTGTGTTGTTCTCGGGTTTAACGACACATAACGTACTCCTTTAAGGTAATTTTAGTTCTTTTTCAAGAAGAATTAAGATAATTCGCCTAGTCTAATATCCCAAATGTCGGAAATCCTAATGGCCATAGTAAAAATGAGCAGAACATAGCACAAGCGAGCAGTGCGATTTCATGAAATGTGAATTCGCAAAATTATACGCAGTTAGGCAAAATTTTGTTCGGCTTCACGACTCCAATTCGTTTCCCACCACGAAAAAAACGATTTTGGCATAGTGCGTCAAGTTGAATTTCTTTGGTTGCCACTTTTTCGGCAGCGTTCTCTCATTTTACCGTCTTGATAATCGTGTTTTTTTAACGTGGCGTGTGATCGTTTATTTTTATCAGGCATCTTCTTCTTGATGATCATATTACACTCTTCTTTCATATATTACTTTCTAGTCTTTATCGATTGGTTTCAGATTTTTGTTACTTGTTGGTTGTTGACTCACTTAGGAAATGCTGATCGAAAAGGATGATCTTCTAAACGAGTGGATTCAGAAGCGAATCGAATCTTTGTAAGTTTTAACCTTATCGATAATATAATAATGTTTTTCCTGTTTTATCATGCAGCCTCTCAGTTTTGAAATAGGGCTATTTATGGATTGTTTATGCATTTCAAAGGGTTTGCGTCGTTATTATTGTATATCCACCTGTTTTGCAGGAGTGACGCCGAACCCACGGCTTTTGCCAAATACGTGTTCACGTTGCTTCGGAAAGATGCTAATGTGGAGAATCTTCGAAAGATATGTTCTGACAAGCTGAATGTGTTTCTTGGGAACTGTAAGTGTCTTTTATGTGCGAAACTTTTTATATTTAGATCTTACACTTCATTTCTTAATTTTAGCTACTGATGAATTCGTCGACTCCCTGTTTGATGCCATTCAGAACAAAACATACATTAAGACCGAGGCAAAGCCCGACATAAAGTCGGATGATAATTCGGAGAACCGGGAAAATGATGAAAAGAAGGATCGTCCCTCACGAAGGAGAATATCTCCGCCAGCTAGAGATGAGAAAGATGATAGAGAACTCAGGAGGAGACGGTCAAGATCTCCAGATTCGAGAAGAAGGAGAAATGACCGTCATCGAAGGTCAAGGAGCAGATCCCGAAGCCCTTACCGGTAAGGTCTTTGAATTTTTGATTGTGGTTTAGATGAGGAGGATGGTATTAAAGAGATGACAAATGTAATCACAAATATTTTTAGACGAGACCACCGTGAAGACCGTCAACGGCGTGATCGAAAAGAAGGAGCCCCTCGAAATGGCCAAGCCGCAGCTCCTCAACAACGAATTCGTCGACGATGCCGAGACTTTGAAGGTTGGATTTTGGAGAGAGCGAGCGTTATTACCTGACTTAATATCATGTTTAGTATAAAAAGCGCGAAAGGGGCCAGAAAAAGAGATTTTAAAAGATAATGCAAGAGCCCGAAAAGAAAAAGAGTCGAGAAGACCATCATAGACAAGAAAATTACATGAAAAGAATGTAATAATGCGAGAATAAGATAGAAAAGAAGACATTATATGGGGGAAATCCTCATGCAAATATGATACGGGGTCTGCTTGTACTTATATGATTGTAAAGTATTGTATATCCTTCCCCACCACTCCCTTCCCAACGCCTGTCTTCCTCTTGATCCCATTCTATGAGAATCCATTGCAGAACAGGGCCTTTGTCGTCGTGGAGACACCTGTATGTTCGACCATGGCCCGGACCCGATTGTCCTCGACGATGGATCCATTGAAGCCTACCAGCCCGAGTTCAGGGGCGCCCCGGCCTCGGCCAACGACGCCTCCACGGCCCAGACCTCCGAATACAACCCCGAGCAACCGCAGCTCGCGCCCAAGGTGTTCAACGACTTTTCGGTCCCCCCTCCACCCATCAATCTGGCCGCCCTGGGTGCGCCGATCCCCTCGCCCTTCGAGAATCCGATGTCCGCCGTCGCCCAACAACAGCGATTAGCATTTATGAGAGGTGGAATGCCCGGAGGGCCTCAGCGAAGAGGCGCTTTCATTGGTGGAAGGGGAAGGAAGAGGTTCAACCCGTACAGTCAGGAGAGGATGCCGGTCAACAAGAGCACCACGCTAGAGGTAAGCGAGTTTTTTATATTTGAGTTTGTGTTCTAGCCTTGAATTTGAATTAAAAAAAATTGAACTTTAGTTGAGGAAAATACCCGTGGAATTGAATAAACTTGGCCCAATTAACGACCATTTTGGAGAATTCGGGACCATTACCAACATTCAGATCAGCTGGAATGGGGAGCCAGACACGGCATTGGTCACTTTTGCCAAACTCCCGGATGCCCAGGCAGCCATCAAGTCGGAGAAGGCGGTCATGGATAACAGATTTATCCAGGTTACTTGGCATAAACCCGCACCACCACCTCCAGAAGTTCCGGCGAGCGAGAATGTAGGTTGAAAATGGTTTGGAGATAGTTTTTAATGTTGGGCACGCATATTGATGATGATTTTAGAAGCCGTCGGAGGTGAAACCAGTGATCCCATTCCCGGCCCAAAATCCCTGGCCAAATCAAGTTCCTCAACTTCAAGCCGCCCAAGCGGCGAGAGAAAAGGCTCAGGAAAAGATGCTTCAGATTAGAAAAGAGAGGGAAACACAGGCCAAATTACAGGAGGTAAGAGATTTTTTGCAATGGATAATATAATTTTTAAACATAGGCTTATGTGTGATGATTTTGTATTTTAGTTGTTGGTCATGAAAGGCAAGATCTTCGACAAGTATGTGGGTGAACTGAAGAAGGTCTACCAGAAGCTGACCGAAGAAAAAGAGCCCAGGATCAAGACCGAGCTCATTAAATTGGCCAATCAGATCGAGGGACTCATGAAATCGACCAAGAAAGAGATTGAGGACGTCCATAAACAACTCACCGAACTTGCCGAAAAACACAAAAAAGGCGAACAAAAACCGAAAGAAGAACCGGAGGAGGAGCAAAAAGAAAAGAAAGAATTGAATGAGGAAGCTGTTCATCGACTTTTGGATGGATCTGACGACGAAAAGAGCGATGAAGAACACAACGAAGCCGGTGACAACGAAGGAAAAGACGCCGACGAAGCCCCTATCACCGCCCAATAGAGCCTCCGATCTAACTTATGAGCCTCGATATGGGTTATAAAATCTTTTTCTTTGTGGAAACACTTGATGCTGTTATCTTTTATCCCGTTGTAATCATTAAGTAAATTTGTAATAATTCAGGTTTTCGATTTCTTTGCGGTTTTTAAGGATTTTTTTGCAGTCAATTTCAACAAAAAAGGTAATGTTTATTCAACCTTTATCAGCCGACTTTCTCCTTTTCTTCACCGGTTTTCTGCCCTCTTCGATGCTTCCGGATGGAGATCTGATTTGCTGGGAATCACTGGACGTCTCACTCTTAGTCGTGATCCTCGACAACATAAGTTCGGTCTGTTTGTGGGGAACACGGTCCTGAAATTTTATTATACTTCATCGTCAACGTGCCCAATAATTTCCAAACATTTTTCGGTGTCTTTAAAAGTAAGAAAAGACAAGAAAAAGTGTCTAAATGCCTCACCAGCAGCCTTGGATTGGCTTGAGCCGAGATATGGGTCTCCAGCGCGTCCTTGGAGATCTGCACTCTTTTCAAGGCAGTTTCGGCCGAATCCCTTTTCAAAATCGATCTCAACGGTGACGTATGACAATATTTTATGCGCCTCCGCTCCTTTCTACAAATGTCTCGGACATCTCGAGTGAGGCCACAATCGATTGGGACTGTCTTTTTGAAGTTTAAAACCATCCGGCAGAATTGAAAAGCCGAGTCATCTTTGGGCCGCTCCACCAGCAGAGTCGCTGAAATCAGCTTTAAATATCAGCTTGCAATATGATCCTTCTTTCCAGCCCAAAATCTCCGCATTTCGACGACAACGAAGTAAAATTTTTTTATGAATTTCGGTATTATCCTTACCGATTCCTTTGGCTTCGAAACTTTCCGAAATCAGCCTTTTCGTATCCTCGACATTACTCACCGCCGTCCTCTCCACATCTATAATGGCATCTCCTTGTTGTAAACTTAGTCCAGAAGACGTTCCCAACGGTGCTTCGGCCACAAAAACCTTGCTCATATAAGACTTTATGGACAACGACATCTTCAGATAGGGCATTCGAAACAACACCACGACCAAATAAGTGTAGCCGAAAAGCTGCTCATAGCCCAAGGGGATGCGTGTCGGATCAAATGGAAGGCTGTACCTGAGTCTGAGGACTCGGACTGTCGTCTATAAATCAAGTGTAATATAAGATGACTGATAGAAAGTGCAAGATAAAATCGGGTTATAATTGCACCAAAAAGGCTACAAAGCAACCGTAGGCCCCTAAAACTTACAATTGTCTTGTGATTTCTCATCGTTTTGTATAATTTTGCAAAATTTTCTCGAGAATCCACTTCTTCCCCATCAACGGAAAGAATAATATCAGCAAATTTGAGGTTGGAATGTTGAGTGGAGAGGACCAAACACTTACTTGTCATCCGAAGGCCCAACTAAAACTATCAAAAGCATTAGAAACGTTCAGAAAAATATGTTATCCACTATAATCTCACCTTTTCCAATGGCAATTTCTCTTCGATTACGGTATAAAGACTTGGATCAATAGGGAAGTTAAATATTTTGTGTATTCTAGTGGGGAGATCGTGAAGACTCTCGGCGGCAGGAAGCATGGGGAAGCTGTATTCGGTCAGAGAATAGGTTGTCGCTGAAAGTCATGGTTAATATAATTACTATACTTGATAATTTGGCCATTCAGATCTCTGAAGACAACAAAATTGCTCACCAAGTTTGGCGATGTCATCTTCGTCCGCTTTGGTCTTTGTTTTGGCGGTTTCGTTGTCTTGGGTCACCTCTTCCACACTCAATTTGACCTCATCCTCTGCTGATTTTGCTTTTTTCATCGTCTTTCAGCTATCGGTTACAGCGAAGAATGGCTGATATAGGCGGACCGTCGGATTAACGACGGAGAAACGACCGGTTCAAGGAGTAAAGATAAGGCAAGTGGCAAATAAATCAAAAGTAAAATTACTTCGGATATCAGATTCGACCTTTATTACCGAAATTATCAAAAAATTAACAAAAATTAGCATTCACTGCAAGTATAATAATTAAAAACTAGTCAATATGACAAGAATACCGTATCCAGCAAACCCGTAGAACATCAGTAATCATTAAATCACTCCTAAATAAGGCGATATCGCACCTGATTTCATTCGCTTTCACTTTCTTCACTGAGGTTTGGCCCTTCATACACGGGTAGTGTCTTCTTTCTCCCTGATCTTCTGACGTCTTTCTTTTCCACGTTACTCGATGATTTTGATCCCTTCGAAGCGCCTGGGGCATCTGTGACCTTCGGGAATTCAAATCCATCCAAAATCGAGTCATCGTAGAAATCGTCGACCACTTCTGGTTTCTTCATCGATTCCAGATTCTTCATTACGGTAGATGTGAAATGAGGTTGTTTCTTACTGCTCTTGGACTTCTTGGCTCGATCGATAAGGGTTTGAAGACGATTTGGGTCATCGGAATCACTGGATTCTGAAAGGATACTTTTGTTTATCACAATTCGGCATGGGATCCCTTTCCGGGAGGACCTAATCTTCTACTTCTAATCTATTATACTTATCCATGTCCAAACGGCTCACCCACAGGGTCTCTTACACGGCTAGCCAAAGAGCTGAATAAGTCATCTCAACATACCGTTTGAGTCACCTAATAAAGTGGATCAGAAGCTATAAATCTGGTCTGCCGAGAGGTCTCACCATCTGTCATTATGTTTGACTTCTAGTATTGCGTATTTTGTATAATTTCGTCAAATCCCAAATTACAGTATAACTTTTCTTAATACATGTACTTTTGCAAAACTTCAATATCATCCCGGCTTACTCTCAAAAGCTCACAACCTTTCAATTTTCCCAGATCCTTGGGAATTCCTCCATCAATTTCCCTTTCGGCGAACATGCGATGATTTTTTGTTGCCGCAAGCAATTTTCGCCGTTTTCGCAGGTGGGAAGATCGCAGGGTTGGCGGAAGAGCTCATTTCATCCGTTTTCGGTCCTCCAGAGTTGTTCTGGCTACATTATTTTCAGCTTCCTATTATTTTTCCGTAACTTTTCTGTTGCTTGTTATACTCCTAGTGTTTGTGGTTGGGGGCAAATCACCGGGAGATATAACAAGCAAACAGCGATTTTACTGTGCTTCTAACAGCTATTACACCTACTTTCTATTAGAATCCACAATTTTTCGCTTTAGTTTAGTATCGATATTATACTAGTCCTCCGTTGGTGGATTAACCCGTGACCATGTAGAGTTTTACTGTTAGTTCAGCTGTAAACTCTACTGGACGGGTACCTCTACCATCTGATTGGGTTGTACGTTTATTTATGTGCTCTCTATGACTGTCTAATCCATTCTGCTCACTTTTGTTACCCAAACTTCTTTTTTATTTGATGCTATCGTTTTCTGCCTGCGTAAATAGTTACTGTCGTATCATTTGGCGAGTAACCGTTTACACAAACAGAGAATGAGGTCGGTAAAACTTTTACACCCACAAATGCCATGTAGATATTATTATTGTTATCTATGGGACTTCTAGGAACAAAATGGCCTTTTATCCTCTTAGATCTCGTATCTAGACCTTCAAAACGTCCTTACCTTCCCCGTTATTACTCTTTCTCTTCCCCCTTCTTCCTCTCAATCTGTCCAGCGCTTTCTGAACCCTTTTCGTATTAGCTAGAGGTCGATCGTTGAAGAGATTTTCAGTAGATTTCCTCAAAAACGAGTCCATTCTGAGTTGATAATGCTGGATCCGTTGTGATACGAATTTCTGCCATATTTCTAGAGCTGAATGGGTTCGCTTTTTTAATTCGCTTTCGCTCCATCCCATTTTAGCCCAAACCAATGAATGAAGGGAATCAAAATCAATTGGATTCCACTTAAAACTGGCCGGATTTGAATCTACATCAGGTCGGGCATACGCTGCGTAAATATGCAGATTAGGGAACTGAAATCAGAATCAATTCTTGTATTACCCATGAGCTTTACCTCATTTATCCGATCCTCTTCATTTTTGCTCTCGATTACCCGTCGAAGGCGTATTTTAGTGGCTGTTTCTTTGAATACTTTGTCAGGATTCGTTTTTTCGAACTTCTTTTTAGCTTTTAGCCAAGTTCCAATCTTCTCGAGGCGATCTAGACCCTGAAAGACGAATGGTTTACGTAAAATAAGGTCCTACTTGTTCAAAGAACTGCTCTTTCTTGGGATCTGGCTCAAATTCAGCGCATAATTCCAAGGCAGTGACTGCGCCAACTCCATCAAATCCTTTGGTGTAATCGCCGCCCGCTAGCATTCCAATTGAAATGAATTCAGCTCGGCTGATGCCTAAAATAATATTCGAAAGATCCAAAACTACAAGTCTTACCGAACTCATCAAAAATCTTGCTTGCACTGAACTCCATGGCGTCTTTCTTCCTTCCAAACATATTCCGATAGACTGTTTCGCCTCCAAACAACCAGACATCCGAGTCTTCAGTAACAATCCCATCACAAAGTCCCAATCTTTCCAAACAAACACACTGCGCTTCGGCTTCTGTTGGTGCCACGATGAAGGGAAGGCCAAGATAACTCAATAACATCTTTAACTATCATTACCAATCCCCTTTCCTCTTACCTGGCAGTCTTTGAAAACTCCATCATCTATTCTGGAGTCAGTTTCGGGCATTGCGGATAAATTCGGGCGTTCGATTCCAAGTTCACTGTTCAGGACGTCTTCTGGTATCCAGTCGGCTTCATCCTCGACCTTTCTTTTCAGCACATCTCTTTCCAAAAACATTGGGGAGTCTTCTTTCTCGACTCCCTTTTCAATTCTATTCTCCAAAGTCATCAAATCTCCTCCAAGTCCCTTTAGATCATCATTTACAACTTTCCTTGGGGTAACAACCACATTTTGAGACGGATTAGCTTCTCTGACACGTTTTATAACACCTCCGAGACTTGCATCAGCTTCATTTTCTTCTTGATTGAACCCCTCTGTAACGTCAACAAAATCATCGTCCGAAGAGTTGGATGAGGATTCGGCTTCGTATTGTAATTCCTCTGGATCCATCTCTTCTTCCGGTGTGAATTCCCCTGGATCTATGGTTTCCATTCCCATTTCTTCATAGGGATGTTTAGACGGACCTTGTGCTAAACAAAAACCGATGTCAAGATCCCAATCTCTACTCTTACCATTCTCTTCCTGACCTCCATTCGGTTCATCCTTCCCTTCTTTACTACTCCCCTCGTCCTGTTCATCATCAAACTTGTCTGCTTCCTCCCTCTTCGCAAATCTTCTCAACAATTTCATGTAATTGAAGCCTCCAGTGCCACAATCGCTCTCATCTTCATCGTATTCCTCTTCCATCTTCTTCAGAAACTTGTCCCAATTCCTTTTCTTTTCATCTGGATCCGACTTCTTGACAATTGGCTTTTCTGGGTCCACTTTTCTGAGAACATGGCCTTCAAAGTACGGATCGACGATGACTGTCTCGTTGCCAGTGGATTCAATTCGAGTAAATTGCTTCATCTTTTCGCATTTTACCTGAAAAACATTTTAATTAGACTTCATGTTGCTTTTGATGACTGTAAAATTTATATTTTAATATTATACTAGAAATTGATGGCAAAGTAAGCCAAGGTAGCTTCAGATCTTCTTCATATATCAACTTGACCTACTTTCTCCAATTCCACAGTCACAGCGTTTCTTTTGACCAATCTTTCCAACTGAAACTTGGAGAATTCATCGAAATCCGTTGGTATCTGATCAAGTCTCAGCCTGTCGGTTCGTGCCTTCTCTTTCGCCTCTAGTAAAAAGCTGATCCTTTCATCCTCCGTCACCAACTTCTCATATCCAGCCAGATAATCCTGAGAGTCTTCTTCTTCAACTTTTACGTCCTCCTCGATTACTTGAGACCCAATGCTGGTCGAGGGTTTGGGGAGTTCAAACAGGTCCTCCGAATTATTGGATTTGGTGAATTTGTTGGTAATCTCGGACTCGAGGAGCCTCTTCTTATCCGGCGATTGACTTTTGTCCAGATTTGATTGGGCGAGTTTTGTCAGCAAAAGTTTTTGGCGTTTATTCAGTTGGAGTTCATCTAGATGACGTTTTAAGGCTCGCTCTCGCTGAAACGTCAACATTATTTGTTATTCTTTTACTTTGTTATATCTGAGACACTATCACCCACAACAAGTTGTCGTTTGAATGGCGGAATTTCCCCATCAAACACGAAGATTGGACGGACTTTATAATAGAGTAGCTTTGAAATCCGATGGAGTAAAAGACTCAAATGAGGGGACTTCGATGGAACTCCATGTGCGGCATAGCCAGATTCCGCTTGACAAAGCCAAAGGGAGATGTCTGAAATCAAATATCAGTGATATTTTGTGGAAAAACAGTAGCCAATATGCAGCTACCGTAATCCTTACCGACAGCCAACCGTTTCCCCTCCAATTTAGACAAATCCACGGGTTTACCGGTCGAATCCAGTAACGGCCATAGTCCAGAAACTCCCATGGTCTCTGAAAACGACCGCAGATATGACTTTAACTGTCAAAAAATATTTTTTTCTGCTTCCCCATTGCAATATAATCTGATGCAACTACATCCAGTAGCAACGTCGTCGATTAACGTTTCACATATTCAACAGGTCATGTCGTCCGTTTATTAACCACATAACAACTTATCAATACGTTTACTGATACAAAGAAAACAATTCGAAATAGATAAATCAAGATCCTCGAAATAAATATGGAACAGAAAAGATCAACAATAACGTTGAGAGATTGAGAATGCCTTCATCTAGGCCCGGAAGCCACCTCTCATTGGACCTCCACGTGGGGGACCGCCCCCTCCTCGGCCGCCTCGAGCTCTGAAGGCACCGCCACGACCTCGAGTTGGTGGTTGAATCCCTCCTTGACCCATTCCAATAGCTCCTTTTTGTGCTCGACCGATATTCTTGAACATCGGAGCGTTCTTCAACATATCCGGGAGAATAACAAAGCGAATCTGAAGAATTTAAGGATAAACTTATTTCATTTTAAGCCCATAAACCGAAATGTTGTCCCTAATCGAATATTCCAAGGCTTTCCACAATACTATAGAAATTCTATAGAAGAATTTTTTTTCAGCCTATATTACAAGCCCGCAATTCTAACGATAAGAACATCTTGGTCCACGAAAAATATACATTATTCTCATACTGTAGAAAGCATAAGAAGTCTAAAGAATGAAAAAAAAACAATCAGGCACTCACTTGAGATCCACGAATCATGGCGTTATCCAAAGTTTGAGACCTTCCATCTCTGAGGGTAACGGTAATATCAGTCATTTGACAGTTCATGTTGTCTTCAGCCTCAACCAACTTTCCTCGATATACCTCACCTAAAACAATACAATATATAATAATTCATAAGCCAGTAGCGCAACGACGCTTCAAAGGGAAAACTTACCCGTTGCAGTTTCTAGGGTAATAATGTGGCCCTCGGCTTCATGCAAAATCTTGATAGGAACTCCGATGGCAGTCATATTCGGATCTGGAAAGGATAAGATAAAAATGGATTTTTAAGTGAATATTAAAATAATAACACTCGAATACCGCGGTAATTTGCATGAAACTGTGAAGAAACATACCAAAAAATGCGCGCCTTCATTTAGAACGGAATGCCAATATTTCATAAAGACCGCTTGTTTTCGTGGTGGGACATGGGAGACATACCGACCGTGTTGAAGAAACCCCCGAACAAAATCTACTGTTCTATCTTGAACCATCTCACAAAGCCACTAGATTTTATTTGCTTCATAAGTACCGTCTATCGTTCCAATGTTTTCCATCCTAATTAAAACATTTCACATTTATCCTGTACCACACTATTAAATGTACAAATCGTCAAACAAATAACAACTAAATGAAACAAAGATCGAAAATACCGTAAGATGAACCTTCATGCCGGTCTGGAGGTCTGTTCCTGTCCCCTCAATCGCCTAAATGCCAAGAAATCTTCCATTTCTTGATGTTGTAGACGTTCTGTTGGCCTTAACTTTCTGAGCATTGTTGCAGCCTCGAATGTCGCCACAAGAATACCGGAAATCACACCGAGGACAATCAATGGCCGGATATTGGCAACCGCGTAGAACTTGACCTTTTCAAAGAATTTGGACATCCTGTAGAAATAAGGCTGAAATGGAAAATAACATAAGGAAAACAACTAAACAATTTCGCGTAAAATTCAAAAAATGTAATATACTACGTAAACTTCAAATAACTGCAATTGGACACGTCCAGTTCATGAAACAAGTCCAACCACGTTCGGTCCAAATAGAAGAAAAGCCGCAGTTGAGATGGGATCCCGAGCTGCGCCCGCGATTTTTAATTCGTAGGGGACATCTTATACGAAGGAAGACCAAATTTTGCAATGATTGCCTCAGGGCTCTAAAAATTCATGCACAAAATATTATTTTAACGTAGATCCGATATACCAAGTATCATCTTTCTGTCGCTGTCTATCTTCGACTTTGGATAAATATCAGATTTTGCCTAGTTTTGAGCCTGTTTTTGTACCCATTTTTTGACCACTTTTTGGCTTGTAATGATAAAAGTAAGATAGTTATTCGAAATATCGCTCTTTGATGTTCTAGAGAGCCTTCTTGCGTAACCCTTTTAGGTAAAGCCAGACCTCAGTGGTGTCCCCCCTTTTCAAAACGTTTGCTCCAATGACGTCAATTTTAGGCCAAATTTTGCTGATTTTTCGAAATTTCTGCCTATATTTTTTTTCAGAAGTCCTTTATCGAAAAAATCGCGATTTGAGTGTTTAGAGAAGATCCTTGTCGATGTATAGAAACTTGCATTTTCATCCAACGACCAATAGTTTTTTCAAAACGTTTGCTCCAATGAGGTACACTTTGGGGAAATTTTGCTGATTTTTCGAAATTTCTGCCTATATTTTTTTTCAGAAGTCCTTTATCGAAAAAATTGCGATTTGAGTGTTTAGAGAAGCGCCTTGTCAATGCACAGAAAGTTGCATTTTCATTCAACGACCAATAGTTTTTTCAAAACGTTTGCTTCAATGAGGTACACTTTGGGGAAATTTTGCTGATTTTTGCATATTTCTGTCTAGTTCTCAGACGAGTTTGAAAAGATGCATTTTAGAGGAAAATTAGATTGGAAAACGGTGTGTTCAAAGAATTAGACGTTTAAAAAGTTTCGGTGTTCTCTGATTCATCAATATCTTCATCGATTTGGCTTGTGTCAATCCCAAAATTTTCGATTGCGAAGTTCCAGGTTCGTTGAATGACTCTGAAGATGTAGGGTAGACGCCATGAAGACAAAACTCACCTCCTTCATCTTTTTCTGCCGTTGGCAAAGTTCTTGAAGACGAGGGTTTATCCATAAAAAATTTGACGCTCAGATTTTAATGAAACTTTGTTAAGTTGAAAAATTAACTGAAACAGCAGCTAAATGATTAAAACGAGACGGGTATTTCAGTCTTATTTCATTAACTCGCAAAACATAGAGATAGTGGATGGCTACTCGAATAGAATGCAATTTTCTTATAGATGTACTATGTTGACGTCCATTTTTCAAAAATATTTTAGTCGTTGATGTATATGCCGGTTACTAAATCTAATCATGCTGCTTGTCTACAATTAAAGATAATTATTTCCTCGACAAACGGCAGTAAAAAAGATGCAGACAGAAATATGCAAAAATCATCAAATTTTCCACAAAGTGTACCTCATTGAAGCAAACGTTTTGAAAAAATTATTGGTCGTTGGATGAAAATGCAAGTTTCTACACATCGACAAGGCTGTTCTCTAAACCGTCAAATCGCGATTTTTTCCATAAAGGACTTCTGAAAAAAAATACAGGCAGAAATTTCGAAAAATCAGCAAAATTTCCCCAAAGTGTACCTCATTGGAGCAAACGTTTTGAAAAAACTATTGGTCGTTGGATGAAAATGCAAGTTTCTATACATCGACAAGGATCTTCTCTAAACACTCAAATCGCGATTTTTTCGATAAAGGACTTCTGAAAAAAATATAGGCAGAAATTTCGAAAAATCAGCAAAATTTGGCCTAAAATTGACGTCATTGGAGCAAACGTTTTGAAAAGGGGGGACACCACTGAGGTCTGGCATTACCTAAAAGGGTTACGCAAGAAGGCTCTCTAGAACATCAAAGAGCGATATTTCGAATAACTATCTTACTTTTATCATTACAAGCCAAAAAGTGGTCAAAAAATGGGTACAAAAGCAGGCTCAAAACTAGGCAAAATCTGATATTTATCCAAAGTCGAAGATAGACAGCGACAGAAAGATGATACTTGGTATATCGGATCTACGTTAAAATAATATTCTGTGTATGAATTTTTAGAGCCCTGAGGCAATCATTGCAAAATTTGGCCTTTCTTCGTATAAGATGTCCCCTACGAATTACAAATCGCGGGCGCAGCTCGGGATCCCATCTCAACTGCGGCTTGGACCGAACGTGCAACCCTGCAGGGTCCTGGAGATCAAAAAATGTGAAAATAAGAAATACACCTGACTCAAAACGGTCAAGTCTTCCACTGTCTCGGAAAAACACGGGAAATAGTTGAAAAAACGTCAAAAACAAAGAAAAATTGATGTTACAAAGGCCTCTGCAGAGGATAGATATCAAGTAATTACGATCGCCGTCGAACAAATTGATGAAAAATGTGCAAAAGTTTTACAAGCCACCTAGGGGGATCGAACCCCTGACCGTTGGATTAAAAGTCCAACGCTCTACCGCTGAGCTAAGGAGGCTCTGTCCGCCTGCTCTCTTCTTTCCGTTTTGAAAGGCAGCCAGCTGATTGGAGGATAGGAAACGGACGGTTTTGTGTTGATTTAGAACACAAATAGAGATCACCGATGATATAACCGACGATGGATTGTCATTTTGTAAATAACTAGGGAAAACGGTAAAGGCAAAATCTGTAAATTACGAATAAAAATCAAAAATAATTCTGCCGTGCGATTGTCCCTTCGGCTTCGTGGAGCGGTCGTGAGAACGTTTGATCGCATTTGAATAACTAAAATCGGTATCTGTCTTGGTATGCACAGGGTATTTTCATCATCTGGCAGTGTTACGAACAGTAACGCTGCTATGATCACATTCATCACTGAATCATGGCACGTATAATACAATTTTGGAATTTAGAAACCCCAAGAATATCATCTACGTCCTTCTTTATCGCAATCCGGCCTCCGGGCACAATCCCAATCAAAATTTGAAACTTCAAGTTTGAACTTTGGCACTGCACCTCGGCCCTTTGGCATTCCGCATCAAGGGGCGGAGAGTGTGAGAAAAGTCGTGGGAAAATCAGTCGAATCACTTTCCCATCGGAAGTTACCGTGAGTCTTTTTGTTTTGTGATTGTTTTGATGTCACAACCTGTTGGAGTGAGGTTGATTAGTAACCATGACCTTTTAATATTGTTCATGTTCTAATTGTTCTTTTTCAGTCTAATGAACAAGTTCTGCAATGATTTTAAGAGGCAAAGATTGGAATATGGTAAGTCTATTAAAGTTCTAGTCAAATTTTGAGCGGTTTCCACGTCATTCGAATTACTTTTGTCATGAATAATAAAAGTTTTTCAGGGTACTCCCAGGCTGATGTTGCTCTCTCGATAAGTCGCCGATTCGGCACGGATCTCTCCCAGACCACAATCTCTCGTTTCGAGGCATACAATTTATCTCCTAAGAACATGTTTAAACTGAAGCCAATCTTTGAGAGTTGGATTGCGCAAGCAACGGAGTCCTTTAGACGGGGAATTTGTGCTCAGAACTTCCTCCAATCGGATATCGTAGCTGCTCAGGGAAGAGCAAAAGCCGTCGGAATGGATTTGAACATGATTTTGCCGGATGAATCAAGCGTATGTTCAGACCTTCTTTTACAGTATACTTCCGAATATTAGACTAGAAGATGACGTAATGTCGTGGCTTGTTTGACGCAAATTCGATTTTCAGAATCCTGCGGGTCCAACTCAGTCAGATTTCGATCAATTTCGAAATTACTTTGACTCTCCGTTGGACATTCCCCTTCCTCCAGATGGTGCAATTGTCAAGGCGGAGCCTGCGGGTTGTCAAGAGGCCCCTCCTTTCCCAGAATTTGATGGCAATGTTCCTTATCATTGTTATCCCTCTCCTCCGCCTGAGGCGTCTTCTTTATTCATGTCGCAGAATCAGGCAGACATTGTCAACGAATTTATGAGTTATCCCGAGGATATGAGTCTGTTGGTAAATGACAAAAACTCGATTCAAATCACTGAACCGGCCCCAGTCCACGAGCCCATTCCGGTCCAGATCCATGATCAAAACCTCTCTGAAGTCAATAATGGCAGCACGAAACGTCGACGAAATGGAACGGAGAAGAAGAGAATGGCTCAGGAACAACCTCCGATGACTCCGATTTCCGTCCCGATTGTGTTCGTGCCAGGAGACCCGATTTACGTAGGGCGGAAGCGAAGAAAGAGAACGGTATTGACGGATGAACAACGTAACTATTTGATCGATAAGTTCCACCAATGTCCAAGTCCATCAGCATCGGCCATCACTCAGATTGCAAATGAGTTGGATTTGGATCGATTTGTAAGGATTCTCGGGTTTGATTGTTATTGTGGATTTAGGTGGTCAGAGTGTGGTTTGCCAATAGACGGCAGAGTCTGAAGAAGCGGCGGATGAATGGTTTCGATGATGATTTTTTCGATGGCTTCCATGGAAGAGACACCAAGGGTGATCAGAATGAAATGAACGAATTATCAGATAATGTGGTCAAGTTCGAAGAGCTACGGCCAGCAAAGAGGGAAGATGTAAGTTTTTGGATTTTTTCTTGGGTTTTCTACAGATTAGATCATATTGGCATGGTGGATAATAATAAATATTTTGGCCACTTATTGTCTCACATGTAGTACTATCGCTGATTTGATGATACTTTAGCTCCAATCAGCAGAACTTTTCATCCCATCCATCCCATATTCACCGTATTCCATCCAACTTGATGACCATTACGTCCCGAATGACCCGACCATTTTCCATCCACCTTTTGCACCCCAGCCAATGTTCCCCTCGGGTCCGCCACCCCCTCCCATCGATGGTAACGAATACTTTTGGAACTCAATGTATCATCCTTTTGAGTCGTACTAATCCCGACCTCAATACAATACACCTTTTATTGTCTCTATATTGTCTTCTTGTAGAATGTCATCTCATTATTGTTGGTTTGTCGAATTTCTCCGTGCTTTTTCATTAAAATAGACGTCTTTTCCTAGTTTAATATCTATGTTGCCTCGTATTTAATAGCCTGTCACCTCACCAGCGGGTTAATACATAATTAATACGACTTTTATTTCCTATCTACCTCGTTATGAAGAATCGTCCGGTCTAAGTTAATAGTTATAATACCCGTTGAATAAATTTAATATCGCACTTATTTCATTTTTTTAATTTAAGCACTTTTTGGGGTTAAACTTTTCGGATCAAAATGAGTACATAAATGACGAGTGGTTGGGGTTTCCCTCATTTTGGAACTCACAATTCCGCGGAACGGCCGGGATGAGTGTTGACGGGAAAGGGATTTTGAGGAAATCGAAGCGCTCGGCCCTGGCAGAACCGATTCTTCGGACTGGCGAAGATGAACAAAAGGCAGTGTTACGGCCCCACAAGTACGCCACATACGTAAGATTATCCAATTCATGCCCGTCTGTCGATTCCTGAACACTGTTATTTATTGGTTTCAGCGGAAATGTTTCATCCTGATCCGTCATGCTGAAACTTGTGCTGATGTGTGGCCGGAGTGGGTCGACTTGTGCTTTGACAGTCAAGGGAAGTACACTCAGGTCAACCTCAACTTTCCGCGATTCCTGATCAAACGCCCCGATGTCCACGAGTATATTCATGATCCGCCGATCACTCAGATGGGCAAGTACAATATAATTTGCATAACCTTAGTTTCTGCTTGTAGGTTGGACCCAAGCCAGTTGCGTCACCGAGTCGTTGGCGATCTCCTCGATGCCGGTTACTTGCATTTATTCGAGTCCTTCCTTCAAATGTGTCCAAACTGCTCAAGCAATTGCCTCCAGGTTCGAGAAAAAACATGGCGTAAAGGCGACGATCAGAGTGGAGCCCGCGCTCGCGGAGTTCATTGGATTCAACGAGAACCCGGTTGCCAGGTAGGCAAAGTATCTTTGCGGAAAAATCTTTTTTTTTTTTCAACGAAAACGATGACAAATGGGAAACAAAGTGTCCCCCTTTCTCTTTCTCTCACAAAAAGCGGGCGCTGAATCGAGTGGGAAAATAACGAGAGAAGCTGCCGGCCCAAGTAGTATAGTGGTTAGTACTCCACGTTGTGGCCGTGGCGACACAGGTTCGATTCCTGTCTTGGGCAGCCTCGTTTTTTGATGATTTTTATTAATTTAGTGATTGTTTGTGTATGGGTTAACACAATTTATTTTGTTGCTAGGTTTTTCATCGGTCCTACAGATGGTTTTTTTCAGGTTCTTCGACGTTCAGACTTTGAAGGATTGTCAATATCACATTGCAGACAATTACACACCCATAACAGAATTGGACGATATCCAATTCATCAAGACCGAAAAGAAGGAAGCCTTCTATCACCGCATTGCTAAGGCCTTTGAGCATATCAGGGCGTAAGTCAACCTCATGAAAATACTGGAATTGGGAGATTTTATTCTTTTAGAAAAACTAAGAATGAGGTCAGAGTTCTTTTGGTGGTCCCTCCATCTGTGATGGATGCTCTCGTTAAAGGGGCCAAGAACAAGACTCCGGACATGGTATCGGACCACCAACTGAAGTATCGAATGAAGGACTTCTACCCTCCTTTGTCCAACATCTTTTTGGTCCAGAACATGACCGAGATCAAGAATGTAATAGATAAATTTGAATTAATTTTGTATCAAGATGGGCAATATTTTTATGTTTATTCGACTTTCAGAAGACCTTTTCAATCCTCCTCCGTCCCATCCCCAAAATGACCATATTTGGGTATGTGAATCGAGTGGACTTGGAGTTCCTGAAGGCATCGACGGACTTTGAGAGTAAGGATAATGAGGAACAGAAGTCGGAAGAGGAAAGTATGCAGAGAAGGAAGATTCTGAAGAAGGTTAAAAACAGGACGTCCGTTGTGGAGGTTGCAACTGCTGGGGATCTCAAATGGGAACAGCCTTCGCAAATAGCCCCAAAAGTGTTCGATGACAAGTACAGAGAGGAGGGTACTGTATTCCAGAAGAAGAAAATCCCGTTCGAAGAGAAGAAGTTGGGAAAGGGGTAGGGTTACTATATATAATATCTCTTCGGTTACAGTAACATCGTAGCGTTGTGGTAATTTTAGTAAGGGTACTGTATATACTGTAACTTGACTATGACATGTATATAATAATATGTGAAGGGTTACGATTTAGAAATATTTTAGACTAAAATTTTTTCAGTCACTGTAAGTTTTGTAATAAATATTGTTTGAGGTTATAGCATGATTTTTTGAATTGTAGCACCCGGCCAAACCATTACATGGTCGATGAAAAGGAGAAAAGCAAAGAGTCCATCGATGAGGCGCCTGGGAATGAAAACAGTAAGTTAACGACAGCAGAAGACAATATTTTACGTTTTTTCTTACATTACTTTTGTTGTTTTAGTCGCTCCGTTGGAAGCCGATGCGGATGATCACGAGGAAGATGAGCCCAGTGTAAGTTCACTGATTTGTGTTTTCGGGGTACAGTAATATTTCGATTCAACTTACTATGTGTGTACTTACAACCTCGTTTAGAAGAAGCACAATTACGCCAACCAAGTTCCAAAAACCGGGCGAAGACACCGGAAATAGAAGGGGGCAAGTAATGGACCTGTTTTTTGGCCGAAGTAAAATTTTATAGCATTTGATCTCTCGTATTATGATCTCGTATATGAGTTTCTTCAACTTTCTTAGAATTTATTACAATTCCTGCAAAAAATATTCAAATCTTTACAGTTTTCTGTTCGATTCAACTCGGTGGATGGGGGGAGACTTGGGAAGAGGACAACAATTCATTATTGTACAGTAAGAAACTGATTATTGTACAGTCAAACGCGAAAAGAATTCAAAAAAAATGGGAAAAAACGATTCAAAAAAGAGAGGGTTTCTACAGTACCCGGATCCGAGAATAGAAAAAGGAAGACATTTCTGCGATTTTGAGACAATTTGAAGAGTCTTATGATAAAATGACAAAAATACAACAAAATGACTGGATTGGGATGCTATTTGGAGGGGGATAACATCACAAAATAGGCTTTAACGGGGGAAAAGGGTCGAGAAATGGGCTCAGAAATATCTGCAATGACATTCTCGGGGATGAATAATGCTAAGCATGGATACAGCGTTCATTTAATCCGAAAAAGTGCGACTATCGATTGGTCTGGGACCGTGTCCTCATGGGAGTTGTTGAATGGAGCAGATGTTTCTGGGCGGTCCTATCATCAGAGACATCCATCATGTCCGTGTCGACTTCCAGAGCTCGAGTAATCTGATCGTCGCATCCCAGGAAGTCCATATTCTCTTCGTTTTCTTCGGCCACCGACACTGGCTCCACAATATCGTCGATGGGCAAGCGCGCGGACTGTTCAATCAGCATGCACAAGGCTCTTTCGACGTTCTCGTCGCCGGGATTCATGAGGATGGCTTCGTTTAAGGCTTCGATTCCCTCATTCAGCCGGCCCAGACATCCATAACAAACTCCAATGTTGGCCCAGGCCTGAGCCTTGTTTTTGCCGAGGGCAAGGGCCTTCCGGAAGACCTCGATGGCTTCGTCGTAACGGCCGAGACGCCGTAGACAATGCCCCATATTCTGGAACATGGGCTCCCAGAAATCGGAGCAAGGCCGGCTGAGGGTTGTGGAGAAGTTTTCGCGTGGAGCGGCTTTACAAACCTGACGGATGGCCTTGCGATAAGTCATTTCGGCTTCTGAAAAAAAAATATTTTAAACTTACTTTAAATCTACAAAACAATAGTCATAAATCTGATAAAAATCAAAACATTTTATACCACACTACTTACTGGGATAATTTTGTTGTAAATATGCGATGGTGGCCTCCTCATGAGCTACCATGGGATTGTTGGGTTCGATCAGATCCGCATCCCTCATGAATTCTCCAGCCAATTTATAGTTGTTGGCGAATGAATGTTCTAGTGCAATGTAAAGGAGAGGTTCGAAGTTTCCTTCCAAGACTCTCGATGCCCGCAGGAAGCAATTCATGGCTTGTTCGTGTTCCTCCGAGTAGAAAAGGACATGACCATACGCCATCCACCCTTCGCCAAAGCCATTATTCATCGTGGTCGACTTTTCTGAAGAGGTTTTATGTATACAGTAATACCGGAGGTTATCTAATTATTATTATTATTCTCTAAGAAGGGAGACCAAATCTTAAAACTTACCAAGGAACTTCTTGGCGTTCGAATACTGATTCACAGTGTAATAATAACACCCAACTGCATACCAGGTAACATGACTTTCGGGCTGAGAATCTACTAATTGATGGCTGAGGGCGAACAGGGCGTTCTTCTTCTTCAGGGCTACTAATGAGGCAATATGGACTAGTATACAATTCTGAAAAAATTTACAGTCAAGAAAGACAACCATCTCATTGTCAGACCCTCTGTTTTTGCTGGATAACACCATCCGTGTCTAAAATCAGAAAAAGGAAAAGACGAAAGACTCACATCATAATACCCGAGCTCGCTGAGAATACCCGAAGTGATTTGATAAGCATCCGAGATATTTCCCCGGTTATAAAGTTTGACGGCCATGGCTGATTGGACCGAGACATCATTGGCCAACGTATTGTAGACGCTGGGGTCCGTGGGGTCACTCTGAAAACAAAATATTACTTTTTGTTGTCCAATCAGCAACCATATCCCTTAATCTTCCCATAAACACTTGAATCTCAAAGCAAACCAGCTTTCATCAACCTTTTCTGACCTACCTTCGAACACCTGAGTTCGTAAATCAAACTCATCACTTTCCCTCCGGTGCTCTTCTTCCCCTTCTGGTGGATCGATGCAATCAGTTTCTTGAGCTCTTTATCTGAGAGCAATTTGAAGTCGATGGCTGTTTGGAGAGCATCCGAAGAATTCGGATTCCTTTGGAGCGATTCTTTGATGCAATTCTTGGCCGCTGGACGGTTATTCATGGCCAAATAGGATTTAGACAGGACAAGCATGAGTCGAGATTCGAGTTTCCTTTCCCTGGCCATCGTTTCCAGTTGTTGGAAATACGGGGCCGTCGTGGAATTGGCTTCCACATCCACATTTAAGATCTGAAAACGGAGTCAGTAACAATCGAAAATGATCAAAAAAATTTTAAACGCAAAAACGATCAGAAACTTACCGTTGAACCGAGCTGAGCGACTTGAATAAAATTTTTGAGCTGGAAAAGTGCGTTTACATAAAAGTATTTGAACACAACATGTTTGAGGTGAAGGTCATGGCGACTGCAGTATGAGACAACGGGCTGCCAGCACTGAGCTATCGTCAGCACCTAAAATAAAGTCCATTATATATGAAATTTCTCATAAACAATAGCAATCTATATTATTCATTACCTAAAAGCGAAATAACAGAAAAAACAGGGCTTACATTTAGATATTTTGCGACTTCCGGATACCTCTTGTAAGTCGGCCATCCACTGCATAGGGCCAAGCGTTTTTCCGCCCAGAAGACGGCCGTTTTGTACTCTCCATTCTGAACATGTTCATCTACCAAGGCATCCAGATCTGAGCGGTTCAGCACATCCGAACCGTCATCCGACATAATGCCACCGTTTTAGACGAGTTAACTGCTAAATGGACTTAATATTGACCTAGTTTCTGAAACAAAAACATTTTATATTGCACTAGTAAAAATCAACAAAATTTCTGATATATAAAAAAATGGGTAATTGTACGACAAAAGAAGGCTTAAAGGTAGAGCAAAACGCGATGAATACAAGAATACTTCAAAAATAAAGCAGCTAATAGCTCCGCCATAAAAGCCCGGAAATCAGTTGATCTGCCAGTTTTTTTGATATCAAAGAGCGGAAACATTCCGAAAGTGATTGACCTTTAGCTGGAAAATGAAAGCGGAACCGGCAGACATCTTCAGATCGCAAGAAAACCTATCAATTTTATGAGAATACAAAAAAAAAAAATTCTCGGCCAAGACGTCGGACAACTCTGGCATTTTTGGAAATTTTCGGGTCAAGTGTTGCGCAATAATGTGAAATTTTAGTCCCATCGTAAACAAGTAAAGAGATGAAGAGAATACCAAAAACATAAAACAATATGTTCTTCTCGAGTTTTGGGGTTGTGTAATAACAGAAAGATAATATCCGAAAGGTCGGCGCTTCCAAAGACATACGAAAAGACAGTTGATGGCATTCGCATCCCTCAGAACTACAGTGTCTAGCAAACAAAATTGAAATCATAAATCGTAAAAACGTAGGCCCATATACATCAAAACTGATAATCAATACCCTTATCACCCATGATAGCATAAGCCAAACCACAAATGCCCCGTTTATTACGTATCCCCCAAATATAATGTGCCTGAGGGTTGCATATTCCATTTGTCCCGATCCAATGGCCTTTCCACTCAAGAAGAAGAGCTCCCCGAGCTTCGAGACAAGCCGAAAAACGCATCGATAATATTGCATGTAATATTCAGAAAACAGTGCGCAGTTGATGGAATATCAATTCTAAAGGGAAGGTAAATGGATGAAACAGTGAACACTGCACTCTGAGGGGTTTGTAATCAAAGTACCCAGAGATTTGGCCCACAAGCCGCTTAATTTTACATTATCTTATGCTTCAAATATCAGAAGGAAAAGCCTTTGGAATCGAGATGCTTTTGCAAAAGCAAAAGTAAAAACTTGCAAATCACTGTTAAGCATTTCGAACTCTCCCAAACCCTCGGGTCATATGGTAAAATCAAGGTAATTACGGGCAAAATAACGCATTTTCCGATGGAAGATTTTCGGATGGAGAGAGCGTTGGGCGGTGTGTCTAGACCTCTTCCTCCGCTCACTTTGTCGCTCTCCCAGCTCGAGCAAGTCGCAGAGAGCGTGCGGAAAGAGGGGAGACGCGAGCAAGCCGCGAATGGGAGCTGATGAACGCACATTTCTCCGCTCCCTCCTCCAATTCATAAGCCTGGTCGAGAAACGGAAAGCCGGCTGCCGGAGCGGTCGGGTCAGGTTGAGGAAAGTGGGTCTGGTGGGCACATTCTTGTTTATTGGGGCCACTAGATCCTATATCATCATAAAAGGGCGACCAAATCATATTTCCCCACTAGAACTTCCTACTTCAAGTGCAACTTGTATTTAGTTTTTGTTTTCTTTTCATCCCAAAACAACAAAAACACGTAAAGTCGCATCTGTGTTTGTCCCAGCGCCTGACTTGGGTCAAAACATCAGCTGAACGGGCCGATGTTTCCAAATTTTACCATAAACTGCGGCCATATTAATTATCAAAGAAAGAACACTCGATAAAAGCAATGGGGGAATACTGTAGAAGAGTGAAAGCTTGCTTCCAAAGACAAGTGCGAGCCCCAGAGTTGGAAATAAAATTGGAATCTTCGGTTAACTAATTTTGTTTTCCGCTTTATTTGTCGCTTAATGACGGGAGAGGAGAGATGTTTCAAGACCGAAGTTGGGCTCAATTTATTGCGCTATCAATTCGAATCGGTTAAAGATTCTTTTTTCGACAAATACCAGGAAGTATAATCTAAAAATATTAAAAATGGTATTTTAGTAATTCCAAATACGTATTGCAAAATTCAAAAAATCAAAAATTGGTCTAAAATAACATTAAAAGTGCCTCTAATATAAAAAACAAGTCAAAATCAGTTAGTATTTACAGTAAACATTAACAGTACATAGCAAAGATACGACTGATGCAAAGAATAATATTCCCTTTTTACTGATTATTCTTATGTTTCAAGTCTTTGTAAATCGCTTTCATTGTTCTGGCAGCAGTTTTGGGAGTGGAATTTTGGATTTGCTCAGCGATTGTGAGGAAATCCGTGTCAGCTAGTGTAACATCCATTTGATTCTCTTTTGACGACCTTGAAGTGAGATATGGGTGTTGAAGGAGCTCTTGGACTGTCGGGCGCTTGGCCGGGTCTCTTTCGAAGCACTTCTGAAAGTGGTGCAATATAAAATATTCATCAAAAGGTCGAGAAACCTCTAACTTAATATACTCCGAAGTCTAATTGGTACAAAAACCGCTGATTTCTCAAATTATAGGCCCAAAAATTATTTTAAGTAATCCCTCTCACCTTCAACGTATCCAATAGCTGCGGGTCATCAACTTTATCAAATTTGATCACCATGCTCTTAATTGCATGAATCTTCATCGAGTTTCCTTTCAGATGATTGAACGGGGTTGTTCCATAAATCAACGCGTACAACATGCACCCCAGTGACCAAACATCCGTTTTGAGCGTGATCTAAACCAAGAATAATATTTAAAAAAAATCACCCACCTCGAATGCCGCTCGATTATCAAATCGGAACCCAACCGCCTCGGGGCTCATAAAATTGGGGGTGCCCATTCCTCCTTCCTGGATTATACTCTCTTCCCGGTCGTTGATCTTGGCCGCAATTCCAAAATCAATCAACTTTAGACGTCCGTTGACCAGCAGAAAATTGGCTGGCTTCAAATCCGAGTGGATGATATCTAAAGGAACTTATTCGTGATACTCGATGCCTACTTTTCTGATGAATTGTATTTACACATCTCAACATTTCGGCCCAATGATATCTGAGGAAATGTTGATCGATCTCCCTTTTGTTATTCTTCACCTCTTCGATGAATGCGGCCAAACTTCGCTCACCCAGCTCCATTACCACGTATAATTTGGAATTCTTGACTTCACTAAAAAAATCAGGTTCAATTATATTACACTGGACATCCAAATGGTCGAAAGCTCCTAAATTTATAACAAACGATATAAATGACTTACAAAGCGATCAATTTGACGACGTAATCGTTCCCTTGCAACTCTTCCAGGATCTTCACTTCGTTCATATAAATTCGTTTCATTCGGTCATTGCAATTACTCAAGTCCACAATCTTCACAGCCACTTTCATATCTTCGTTTGACGCATCAACTGCTTGATAGACCTGGCAACTTCCTCCCTTTCCAACAACTTTTTGCAACATATAAGTTCGATCTTTTATTCTGATCAAACTTTTTGTTGATTTAGATGGAGACTTGGGGGGAGATGCTGGTTTGGGGGATGGGGTCTTCCGAGTGAGCGGAGTGGCCATCAAAATAGGCTTTTTAACGGGCTCTTCAGCTAAAAGATCAAGGTTAATATAAATTTTTTTGCCATGCACAATATAAAGTTTGGTACATAGCAAAGTGTGGATTATCTCCAAATGACCCAAAAGGCCGACAGTTCTAAAACATTAATCCTGCCCGTCATCTTACCTTTAGGTGCCTTCTTTTCGGAGGTCACATCCCTCAACGCACTTCTTTTCACCGGGGGAACTGGATTGATAGGCGATATTTCCATTGGCACCGATGGCCTTAACGGACCTTCACCTATCGTCGGAGCCATGAATGGAGGATCTCGACCTGTTGCACTTCGAACTTCTGATGGTTTCGAAAAATTTGATTTAGATGACCCGGAAGATGATCCGTGGGCCGAAGAATTGGGCTGGTTCCCCTCGGAATATGAGTTGGAGAAGGATATAACCAATTCGGAACCGTTGAGGCTCTTGCTTATCGAGTTGAGAAGATCTGAAAGCAAAGAACTTATTATATTGTAGTAGTCAAAAGGAACGACGCATCCGAAGAGGAAGGATCTTACAAAATGAAGGTGCCGGACCACAACATCCTCGCGAACGTCCGTTCCTAGCCCCAATTTCAAAATTTTAACTAAGAATGCCTCATAAATAATACAACAGCGTCCAGTGCCATCTTGCACTTGGTAAATCTGGTAGAATCTAATATTCGGAATCCCTTAGCAACTGGGTTTCTGCGTCAGAACGACCACTAATCGAGTAAACAAACGAGCATACCGTATCATAAACATATTTCGGTGTGGTAAAAAGGAATTTAGATCTACCCTGGAGGGTAGAGCCCTATAATACTTTAGCAAGTTAAAAATTAACCCCCTAAAAATCAGAAAAATAAATTAAAAGGATCATACCTTGTTTACTCACTCCTCCCATGCTGGCGATTTCTTCAAGTTCCTTCTCGTACTTCTCCCGTTGCTCTTTCCTTCTCCGAGCTGCTTCCTCCCTAAATTTGTTCAGATCTAGACGGCTCGGAGGGCCGGAGCCAGCCGAATCCGGCTTCATAACGGCTGAAATAAAAAACAGTGAACTGAAGAATACAAAAAGAATTTTTTGAGATAGCAAAGCACGCTGAAATAAGTTCAATACGACACAACACTCCACTTTTACAGAATTTTAGATATTTCTCTTGAATCTAATTACAGAAATATATAAACAAACGCCTTCAAAAGGCTTTCCGAAGACGTAGATTTGCTATCCGATCCAATCGTGCGGAAAAAATGCAAAAATCGGTTCAAAATCTTCCAATTCTCGCGTTTTGGCGAAGTGCCACTATTGATTTTTTGATAAATATTTTTTGTGGCAATTCGTCGAATTGCGAAGAGCTAATCTTTTAAAAAACCGCGGTAAATTTTGTTACTATTTCAACTACCGATTGCATCAACATCAACTGTTGAATTTTAAATTTGATTATGTTGCCCATGAGACATCTCATGTTCGAGCTCGCTTAGAAGGTTCCTGGACGTCTGATTCTACAGGTTTTCCCACTACATCTTCGGGTTAATTCCAGTGTACACAGAGGTATGTGACTTTTTTACGGTAGGAGCGAAATACGTGTCTTTGATTTTTTTATTATGACGTCATTTAACTTTATTGAATGATGGATAATAATAAATAATTCGTACTGATAAAGACGTTGCGCATTATCCTCAGACCTCATAATCGATAAAAAAACAGGTTATACCTCGTTCGATACGAATTAACCCCAATTTTTGGACTGTATATTGTAGTGTTCCGCGTATATTAAATTACCACGTTGGACTCTTACTAAGTAGTACTTGTTTGCTTACATAAACTCCAATGCGTGGCGTCTAACGTACTTTTCGTATTAATTCCGGTTTGTTTCAACATTTTTATTGAATTTGGCAGTTCGTGGAAACGATTGATTGGGTAATACCGTATCAAATATACACATCATTGGCAGAGTAATTGTGGGAATAGTTAATGCAAAAACCTATCTTTGATTTGAGGCTTTCCTTTGACCTTGTTAGGTATTTAAATTATATTTTTTTCTTTCTTTTGTAATAATATGTGAAGTTTAGTTCAGGTTTTCAAATTTGCTCAATATTTTTACGTCATTTCGTATCTATTTTGTTGCATTTTTTTGACTGTTCACAATATTCAAAGTTGTTAACGTTCCTTTTATACTCTAATTACAATTCCTATCATGGTTTGTAGAAGAATGCTTGCGGGGTTGATTCGTGATTACAATTTAACTACTCACTTGTTGCAAACAAAATAATTTATGGCTCCGAGAACGAGTGTGTGAGGTCAAAGGGTTACTTTGAAGCCGTAGATAGTAGTTTCGTCTTCTTTTTACTGTGGGAAGAGGGTCGTGGAGAATATCTTTTTTTTGTGTTTGCCAAAGATATTATACTGTGACTAGTATAAAATAACGAAATATTGGATTTTTTTCTAAATATAGGCTCTTATAGTACGTTCTATTATTTTGACTGGTCATAAAACCGATTACTCCTCTTTCTGTGATCTCTTAAATAATTCATTAATTTTTTCGCCCATTTTTTGCCACACAATCTTATGGCGTATAAAGTCATCAAAATCCCGACTTCTGACCGGTAACCCATTTCGAGGCGACATAAATTGTGACTGAAATCGAAGCACGTAAATCACGCACTCTGCTATCTGAAGACGTGAAAAGTGGAACACTTGAGACATAATAATGGAGAGAAAGGCCTAGAAGGCGCATAAAAAGTAAGGTATTTCCTTATGAATGAGCGTTTCCGTGCCATTGATTCCCTCCCACTCAGCCCAACGGTTCCGGGAACTGGCTCAAAAAAGAATGGAGTTTGAATAATCGAAGTTAAAATTAGTTCCAACCTTGGTGTTTGATGGTAAACATGAGGGTTTTGTGTTGTAAATATATGGCGCTCAGATATTCTGCACGATTTACTGCATAATATACCAAGATTTTTCTAAACGTTTGGTTAATTTGCATGCTGCTAAAAAAGCCTTCACATCTTTTTGATCGTCGCGCAAAAATCTTTCATTCTATGCTGATTTTTTTGCATTCGCTGACATTTTATTTCCAAATTAAAAACAGTGCGAAGTCTGTGGTGTCCTGCAGTATGTCCGTTTGATTGTATTTTTGGCATTTGTTTCTCTTTTCTGTCAACATTACACTCGATCTTGCTAGTTCCAGACAGGGGTTCGTCGGATTTGTAGATTCTTTGTTCTTCCTCTAAACCCGTCTGTAATCGGCCTCAATGTCTAAGCGGTCACTTTTGCAGCCACCTACCATCGACACTTTATCCTGGAACATGTTTATTTCCTTTGTCGCCTCTGAATGTCTTCCGGTTTCCGGCTTTTCCAAATCTCTTTATTCGTATTTTAGGCCAAAGCTTTCACCAAAATATATGTGGCTAGTTAGAATTGGTTTTGGCAAGATGAGAGATTTATGATGATAGAGATTTGGAAACAAAAAACGATAGAATTAAATGACTGAGGGTACGAAGATTATCGGGTTACAAACTTGTCGTATGCATTATAATTTGCAGATATTTATGTTACACTTGACATGTACTGTCTGATCTTCGAAAAATAAAAAGTTTGAAACTGTCTTTAAAGGTCAAAGTTAAGGATTGGAATGATAGGTTGAGTTGTAAAGATAAATTAAAACCAGATTAAGCAAGGTTCCGTCGAAATACTAGACCGTCTTTTCTTAATCGGCCACATTATTTGCAGTTATTGTAAGCTACAGGAAGCTAAGGATTATAGAAGAAGTTTGGGAAAAACAAATTTCAACATGATTGAGGAATATGTTTAAGAATGTCAGAGTTGAGAGCTTCAATGGCCTGGGTGGCTCCTGAGGGGCCAAAGAGTTCTGCTTTGCAACCCAGGAGAACTGTCGCCTTAGAGTATTTATCGACTACCATCTGCACCTTGAATGCAAATGCAAAATGGGTTCCGAGTGGACCTTTTACTCCATAGTCTCTACAGTTCCACCGTCCATCCGCTAATTTTTGCTTCTCTGAACCTTTCGGCCACTCTGCAATCTCTTTCACCATATTTTCGTAATCTTTAGCTCTCATGTTAAAATGATGACAATTTTTTGTCAAAATTCTCAACTTCCTCAATATTTTCAATTCCTCTTTTCCATCAATTGAAAATATTATACATCATCGCCGAACATAAAAATAGGCTCTCATTTATGGCTTTAGACTTCCTGTTCCATTGATCAAATCCTTTCCCGTCTCTTTTGTCACATAAATTCGCCGAATTCAGACCGTCGCCGTCTCCGCCGACCGTACATCTTATTTGAAAAAATCACCGTAAATGCTCTCTCATCATAAAATCCGCTTATCCGCCACCCAAAATTCCCTCAGTTTCACAACAAACAGCAGTCATCTTCTATTGTGGTAGGAACCCTTAATTCTCGAGAGATTTTACACCAAAGAGGCGTCTTGATCCTCTTTTTGAGCGTATGTTACAATACGAAAGTCTTTGAAACGGTCGTGTCAGCCCTTCAAAGGTTTTTTGGAAAGATGACTGATTTTTTGGGCGTAAACTATTATGGTAGACTTGAGATCTACCGATTAAAAACCAGAGAATACGGCAGATGAGCTGCTTATTAAAATCTTTTTTGTTTTTGTCGCAACTTAAAAATATTATAACAAGTAAATGCGTCACAAAAAGACATCTAAGAATACACGGGGTCGGATTAGAAGACTTGGACTTACTCCCTCGCTCTACTGAGCAGTAATCTAGAAAGTAGAAAAGAATACTCAGATAGGTAGAGCGGGTCGATGAAAGAGAGAGTAGAGTCTTGCAAATTGGATAAGAAAAATTCCGTTTTTACCTTCACAAATTAAAGAATCAAAGCCTTTAATGGTAGTGGGTTAAGTGGTAGAACAAGTATTGGGGGGTTGTTTTGAAATTCATTGGATTTGGAACGGCTAGATGAGGGTGTGAATTCATACGTTTTTTAATATTTATAAGGATTTTTTAATTTTTTGCTAAATAGCTTAGCCTTTATATTTACATACTTTAATGTTAAAACACACAATTCCAAAAAAAATCAAAATGATTAGATCTCCCGTGAACCCCATTCCTAACTGTACATATTTTCCCTTTCATCCTTTTCCGTTACATCGTAATTTCTAAGCACACAATTCATCGAAAATTAATTTAAACTCTTAAAAACCTTTTAATTATGGCAATCACCAATGAACGCAGTTTTTTGGAAGAAATGAAAAGTGATTTATTTGCCTCTAGGGTATGAAAAAATGTGGCTTAACCTTTTCCACACCACAGATCTACACTTTCTGCTAGACCCCGTTTACCCGCGCTAATCCACAAACATTTTTTCCAAATTCACGCACCGGATATTACTGTAGAATTACATAGGACACAAACAGCCAAAAAAAGTTCAGGGATTTAGATTTGGGACGTCAGTACCGTATTCATCGCTAAGTCTGGATATAAGCTGCTTTCCGCGCTTTACAATTTACCATAATCCCCAAGTTTGGGCATAAAAATGCGGACCTTGAATAGTTATGAAAGCGATCAGATGTTTGGAAGACCATGTAGGATAAAGGGACGTCACAGGCGAACAGGAAATTAAAGCTCTGGAATCTTTTGGTGTACGGTCTACTTGAATATCCGGGTTTCTTATTCTGAAACTTTAAGGGATACAGTGGCGATCTGCGGGATTTATAATCCGTACAAGTAAATTTTGTAGATTTTTTCTGGATTTTGCGCAGCCTGTTTATCGATTTTTGAATCCAAAGACATTTGGCTAACGGGCCGGGCGTTTGAACATCGAAAAGTGGGCTGCCCGGGTTCAACTTTCAGGATCTCGAGCCTGGGCTCGGTTTTAAAAAATAGCCTTGAAATCAATCACGATACCATCGTTTAATTTTAATCTAGTAAACTTTTTTTTGATCGCCGCTAAACAAAGTTAATGGGAAATTTCCTAGACGGGAAATTACAACTTATTTGCCTAATGCATAACCGAAGGCGGATATCTGAACATTAATTAACGACTTCTTTAAGACAACAAAAATCTAAAAGCGCGTCCTTACCTGTGTTTATACACCGCAATAAAAGCAATTGCAGTTCCTAGAAGACTTCTTCAGCACCTACAGTATGGTTATCATCTGTTTTTTCATGCCTACTACGTACTGCTGCGATTTCATTTGTTTCTTTGTAGTCCTTTATCCGCAAGCCAAAGAAACTCTATTTTGTAGTTGGCTACAATTTCTTTTGGGATGGCAAAGCTTCTAAGGGAGGATACGTTCGGTTCCATATGACAAGTAATTTGGGGAGTGACAATTTTAATAAAGTAAATAGGAAAAGTAGGAAGATAGGCTTATGGTTTGTGCCAATGATGACAATAAGGTGTAGTTTTTTTTTTTATTTTGAGTTTTTTTTCATAATAGAATCAGCCGCCAATAAAAAAAAATGCAGAGACAACCGAGATTTTTCGGCGCGACATTTGACGAAAATTCGATTTTTTTCTAGCTAATGCATGAAAATTTTAAGTCTTCTCGGCTACCCCTGCAAATTGCAGGAGATGCGAGTTTTTTCGATATGTAACCTTGCAAGGCCTTGGCCAAAAAGTATGCAAAATTTTAAAATTTTAGTTTGCACTTTGAACACATGCCTTTTCGATTTACGACGCTCAGAGGCTTTCCAAATTTTACAGGGTGCGGCAATTTTTCGGCCGGATTTTAATTGGTCATAACTTTTTTAGTTTTTGGGCAAATGTTAAAATTCTTTTTTTCCCTGAATCCACAGACAACCCCATTTTGTTTAATACCAAATATGTTATACCCGTTCATTAGACTTCAGTAAAAATTCGAGACAAAGAAAAAGCTCTAATTTTCATAGCTGACAATGGAATTACCCCTAGTGCGGCTCTCAGATTTTCTTTAAATTTTGCACATGGGCCGGACATAGGCCACACATCAATTCCTGAAAGTTTCAGCCCGTACCTTTCAGGGGTGACCAAGATATTCAACGATTCTTTGCGGTCAGGAGGGCACATGAGTGGTCACACAGACAAACTTTTTGGCTATATCTTCGCTAGTTTTGTGCGGAGATAGCTGTTTTTTTGTGGAAACGGTATTCTCCATGGCATGAACAGGCATGAAACTTTTTACGACAAAATTCGTAAAAAAAGTCATTTTTTCTGGCGATTTTCACACACGCCGAAAAAGCAGAGAAAACGACCGAAAGGCCAATAACTATGAACTAGGTCCCTGTATATATAACATATTTGGTATTAAACAAAATGGGGTTGTCTGAGGATTCAGGGAAAAAAGAATTTTAACATTCGGATAAAAACTAAAAAAGTTATAGCCAGTTCAAATCCGGCCGAAAAATTGCCGCACCTGTATTGCATGATACAGGATTTTTTAATAAATTAGCCAATCAGAACCGGAACATCGCATTTCTATTTTAAATGCGGTCTATGATTGCTACGTCGACTTACCTCTCCAAAACATGACACAATCGATGTGATAAGGGCCTTACTTGGTCATCTTAATTTTTAATATCAATCCTCTCAATTGTGTGGTCCAATAGGCCATGTAAACAGCATCCGAGTTCTTGGTCTCCCTTATTTTTTGTATAATATAATTTGGGACCCATACGACATTCTGACGAGGTTTATTTCATTTATTAAAATGCCCAATTTATCGTCTAAGAAGTCTTCCTTAAAACATTGAATTTGTATGTTGTCACAGCTGCAAGTTCAATCGCCTTATGGAGTTTCGGCGAAATTCCATCGCATATAATCATATTTTGATCTCCTTGATTTTGAAATTCCTCAAACATGGTTTGGGATTGTAAATCTAAAGATTACATCTCTCAGTGGTTCCTTTGGAATTTCGTTTCTTGGCCGCTGAAAAGGGGCGGAGTCTCGGGAGACCATTTTTGGAACCGAAAATGTCCCTGTGAATTAATTATATATATACAGTCGGGGAAACGAAATGGTCGGTTGGGCATTTCCGAGGACACTGTTTACCTGATGGCCTGCTCGGAGAACTGTTAGGTTTGCTATAATTTTCGGGGAGATTTATGAGTAAGACTAGGACAAATTTTAAGGACATGTTTGGGGGTAGTGTAGTCGAATATACTAACCTTAAAAATTTTGGGGTATACGGTAGTATCTAAAAAATTATTTTGAATTTCGCCTGGGTTACTGTAATTTTTGACACTTCTGAATTTGACCTCAAAATCTCACGGCTTATATTTGCTATAACACATTTAAGTTTCTTAAAAATCAGAGACCGGGTTACGGTAGCTCAAATGTTTTAGTCATCAAATATCTTTTCTCCAAGGAACTCCTTAGTTAATGTTTTTTTAAAACAAGTGAGTGTATCATTCAATTTATTGTTCGTAAGATTAAAGGTCCCTCCCCCATCCTTCTTTAAATCTAAATTACCGGAATCCTCCAACTGACATCTGACACCGTCTGCAGACTTCCTTATGGTATAGTTGCAAGAGTTTTACCATAAAAAGACCTCCCCCTTTCTTCGCGGAATCTCCGATGACAGCTTTTAATTTGTAAATCGTAAGCTTTGTTTTCCCGGATATTGCGTCACACGTGCAATTGCACGTAACCTTTAAAAACCCGTCGATTTGGTTATCCGAAAAAATTGTGAAATTTTTTGAATTGAACTCTAAAGCCGACCAAATAATATTCGAGAGCCTTCCGCATTCGTGGCCGGAACTTAACAGCCAAAAGTATTTTTGTTCGAGATCATCCGCAAGAATTGGAACGTGGGAGTAGAGCAGTGGGGGCATCTCCGGGTGGATCTGAAGTTTGGATAAAGGACATGACTTTATGCAAAACCTGGGTTGGGATTTATGAAAATTGTGAGGGCACATGGAAATGTTAGGAATATTTTTAAATTACTGAAACTCCCAATTTTTGCAAAAACAAGTCACGCTTGTTTTGGCCAAAGCGAATTTATTGTGACAAATTATGCAAATTTTGGGCAAATTTATAAAATCATGTTAGTTTTTTAAATAAAATTTTCCGGAAAATCAACAAAATTTATACATGAATATGTTGGTAATTTATCCAAATCTTACGGTATACCCTCCCACTGCCTGATATAGTCTTTGAAATGTATTTTCCTCAGTAAGTTTTCACATCTAATCTCTACAGTATTGAAATGCCGTCCTCATCCTTTATTTGCATAACATTTTGGTCATAAGGAATGACATCTTTCCTCCCTCACTTTCTTATTTATGTTAGTCTCAAGTGGAAGGTGTAGGATTACAACTAAACTATAACAAATAAACTCCTACAATAACAAGATCCGCGCCTTTATCCACATGAATCGGGTCAGCTTTGGGCCGAACATGACGCTGGGCATTACTCTTGGAGCACGAAACCATCGCTCAAATTTATGAAAGGCGTTTGGAAAGGGATACGATGCTCGTTGAAAAGCACTGTCGCCGTTGGCATTTATTATGTTTTTTGCGGTTTTTTTATGATCCTCGTTATAGACAGTTTATGTTTTATTCAGTAATGACTCCAGCCAATTTTTTATTTCTTTTCTCTTATTAGATAATAGAGTAATATTTAACTCAAATTAGAGGCCATTCTACTTCTGGATGATCAGTTTTGACATATAAAACAGTTAGAATGCAAACCTAAGGCCGTATGCAAAACCTTTCATTCGAATTTTCGAATTCCCGCCAATCTTGGCATTCTGTTTTATGGTCTAATTTAGCCCCCATTTGACAATTATAAAGCAAAAACATCGAATAAAATTGATTTAAAGTCCAGCTTTTTTATTGGGTTATTTTGAGGCATTAAATTATGCATGACGAATCCTGAGACTGCATCGAGAACCCCACGTCTTTAACAGCAATTGAGCTTGGCCTAATTCTCAAAGTGCATACGACGCTGTTGTATTTTACAATGACATCAGCTCGTTTTTGCGCCTTTTACCACCCCGTCTTCCAATTTTTCCCCCGCATCCGGATATTATTGTAGATTAACGGCTATTTGTGGTCCGATTGCGTAGTTGTCTGGTCAATTTATTCACTATCGTAAATTCCCTCTACGTAACCCATATTTTTTGTGGATTTACAGTATATTTACTGCGTTGTCAAAAGAGTTTCGTGTCATTTTTTGAAAAATTCCAAAGACCAAAATTTTTTTGACTCCACTTATTGTAATATGCCATTTATCGGACTTGTTTTGATTCGTTTCACCGTGATTTGAGCTTATTTTTCTAACGAAACTGCTTTTTCTAACAAGGAAAGTACTTTTATGGGGGCTCCTACTTTTTGACGGGACATATCTCAAAAAATCAGAAAAAATGCGCTGATCAAGGATATATAAATCTTAGCTGCCCATTTTAGGTTTTTAAGGGTGAAAATGCCCAAAAACTGATTTAATTTCCCTACAAAAGGCAGACATTCGAAACGATAAAAAGAGCACTCGATCTCTTCCTTCGGAAGAGAGCGGTGTGGCCGAGTGGTTAGTGCCGTAGTCTGGGAATCAAGAGGGGGAACGCCGCACGGGTTCGATTTCCCTTTTGGGCTGAATCAACTTTTTTGAAGTTGAAGGTCGGAAAAATAAATTTTTGGGCCAAGACTGTCTTATTACGTCTTAGAAACTCAATAAACACCATTTTAAGCCAAAATAAAAATTGTAAACCTTTGAAAAAATTAAGCGAAAAGGGGTTCATATAGGACTTTAAGTCAACTTCCGACTGAGTTTTCACCCCTAAAAACCTAAAATGGGCAGCTAAGATCTATATATTCTTGATCAGCACATTTTTTCTGATTTTTTGAGATATGTCCCGTCAAAAAGTAGGAGCCCCCATAAAAGTACTTTCCTTGTAAAAGAAATTATGAGTTAAAGGCCTTGTTAAACCTTTTGATGACACTTCCTTCGATTTCAGATTCGAAAATGTCATTGTACAGGCTTCCGTTGTTATACATCATCTACTTTGCCCTTCTTCTGTCGATATTATCCATGGTTTCGGCGGCTCTTCCGCCTGAATTCGAAGCCAATTACGATCAATCCAATTTCTACGAACCAGAGGTATGTTGGTTCAAGGAAACATAATGCCTAATGTCCTCTAATATCATCTCCATCCGGTTCCTTGTCTGATTTCAAGGGCAATTCCCTCCACATTTTACAATTCATTATGTATCAAGCAATGTGACTATTTGGGAGTTCCCGGGAAAAGATGAGAGGATATCGTATATCCGCTCATTCAATGTGTAAATCCGTCTGCAGTGAAATTCAAAATATTTTTGTAGTCAAAATAGGACTTGCAAGGCTTCGAAAACAATAAGGAACAGGGGTAAGGAGAATATAATAAAAGGTGGGATAGACACTGATATCATAAGCATCACTTTTAGAAACTACAATTCTAGGGTTTCCAAGCGAAAAAAAATATTTACACATGCACTTACTGTGCGGTTTATCAAAAAACTGCATAGTGCAAAAGAAAAAAATACATTTTTGTTAAGCTTCCTGTAGCACAGTAGAATTAAAATTAACAACATTATAATGTTGTTAATAAATTATTATATAATGCATTATAACACACCGAAAACATTTGTTCTGGTTATCGTCATCGTTTTCGATATTACTTTTTAACATTCAGACTCTAATATTTACTGTAATTTTTTCCAGTTCCCTCCACTTTCCACGCAACTCGCGATCTTTTTTATCCACTACTTAATCGTTTACACGCGTTTTGTCTCCAAAAAATGACCTAAAACTGCGTACGGATTAAATTTTTACATTTTCGGTCCACAAATGCCACCGTCTTCGAATCTATAGTACTCTGACTCTTATACGGACATAAAATTGTCTCTAAATGATTCCGGAAATGGATGTTTACCTGCGATATTACAATTTACATTAAAAAAGGGGCAGAACAATGACCCGGATTACTGTAACATGCAAAAATAAGATTCCGGGAATAGCTAAGAGGGAGTGGAGTCGCGTGTGGGAGTGATGCTTATTCGTTCCCGGAATCCATCACGTGCAGGTATTCGGTATTTTAAATTCGAATTTACAAACTTATTATACAAAGTTATGAGCATTTGGGCCACAATCTCATGGGTTACGGTGGAATTTTTAGAAAACAAAGACCACTTAAAATTTGCTTCATAGTCCTTCTTTTCAAAAGGATCTCTTCCACATCATCCCACTACAATACTCTCGGAATACAATTCTTTTTTCTCAAACTAAAACAATACAAATTTAATCTTTGGCATTTCAGATGCTGCGCTACCCCTTGCGCGTGGAAAGGCTGCTCCGTCGTTCAAAACCGTGGTATTTGAATATCGCGGCTCGCTCATGAGTTCCCCCGATTTTTTTTATATCACGCTATCTATTGTTTATATAAATACCCACAATAAATTATCTGCTGAATATGGTATTTAATGAGCACTTGACAATAAGAGGCTGTTATGTTCCATTTAACCGTCTAAAAGGTTCGAAAAAGAGATAAATACACTTCTAAACGCAACTTTTTGCTACTACCCTTGGTGTTTGAGACGTTGATTCTGCTCTTGAAACCGAAGAAATTCGTGAAATGGGCCAACTACAGTGTGAGAGACGAGGATTGGAGCAGTCTTGACACAGTCTTCACTAAAAATCGATATATTTTATATTAATTTTCTTATACTTGACATACTGTAAAAAATGTCATCAATACCGTAAGATAAATTAGCTAATTTCTTCCCAGAAAATCTAGACCGAGGACTAGTCACATTTAGATGTTATACGCAATTTTACCACAGTGTAATCGTCTTTTGTAATACAATTTTGGGAAGTAAATCACGAGAATTGGCGAAAACAAGGAGATCTCCGCTCAAACCCCCTTCCTCGGAAGTCAAATGCACAAAAGATTAGGCGAATTATCATACGAAATCCCCATTGTGACATCCTAATCTGATATTACGTGGATACCACCCGTTTTTAAACCGCTTATTCTACCAAAACATCTGATTTCGATATGTCGGACTCTATTACATTTTCTTAAGACCTCAGAGACTGCTTACTCGTAATAATGCAAATCCATAACTCTGGGAGTCTCCTCGTCTATCTGCACTGACGTTCCGCTCCAATAATCGCCGTTCTCAGCTTGAACAACACCTTTTAGAATCGTATCAGCAGCATCAATGGTTTCGTATTTTAGACCACCGTCCTTCAAAACCCGTTGCAAGTGCGGTTGAAAGTGACCTTTTGAAAGTTGAAACACGATTTCCAAGCGCAAGAATCTTAGAATTTGAATGGTCGTGTTTAAAATCCTTCTCAGCTCATCTTCGATCTGAATTGGCTTGCAAAAAACAGAAGCTTCATCTTGGTTCCATCGAACAAAACTTTTGCTGGAGCCCTGTCTAAAAAAGACATGTTAATTTTGGATACCTAAACTCAACAATAACAACAAAATTATAGTATCTTCACTTGCTTGTGCAAAACTCCAAAATCAACGTATCTAACGGGCAGGAATCGATGTGAAATAGGATGAGAGTCAAACACTATGCATGCGGGTATCCTTCCACTTGATTTTAATACAAATTCATCATTTTCTGACCCAATTCTATAATTGTTACATCATAGATAATACACAAACTTACATAACATTTTCTTCAAGCCCTTCTATACCAAATTTCTTCAAAAAACTAGTGCGTAACAAGGTTGGAGTCATAATCTCACGATAGCCATGCCGACGATACTCTTTCCTCAAGAGATCAACCAGGTCTTCATGTTTCTTGGCACTTTCTGGACCGTAAAACTCGGTTCCTGGCGCGAAATCACTCCGAAAAGTTGAAAGAGCCCTCAGACCAATCGTAGAAAGATGTCTTGCATGTCTTAGGACATAAAGTAACCTCATACGACATGAAATACTAACCATTTTTATTTTTAGAAATTATTTTGTGAAGTTATATAATTTGGGCAAAACGCCAAACATTTTTGGCATTGCAGTTATTCGCTTCAAGACGTGTAAAAAGGAATTTTCCGACATTAATATTTTTTTGTCGCGAATTTTTTGGAATTTAGATAGTAAAGATGTCGACAGAAGAGAAAGCAAAGGCTAAATTCGATGATTTTGAGTTTGACGATCGTCTCCTGCAGGTAGGACTCTATATTTTTTTATTTTTATTATTATCCTAGGCGATACGAGATCAACAATGGAAGAATCCCACTCAAATCCAAGAAACATTGATCCCAATGGCGTTGGAAGGGAAGAACATCATGGCTAGAGCTCGAACTGGAAGTGGAAAATCAGCGGCATTCTTGTTGCCAATTATTCAGAGAGTTTTGGCTTCATCAGACAGAAATGTAGGGATCTGTTGCAATTTTTAATTGGTTTTTAGGGTGATGAAGGAGAATTGACTGCGGTGATTATTGTTCCAACTAAAGAACTGTCTACTCAATTGTATAAACTTCACGCCACTTTAACATCGCGATTTCCTTTCCTTGAATCCGTCAATTTATCCGAGAATGAGAGTGCTGGAGAGGACGTTCTTCTTCAAGCGAATGTGGACTTCTTGTTTGGAACTCCTGGACGGATTTTGGATGTGTTGAAGAAGAAGGCCGACTTGTTAAAGAAGGTCCGGACTGTTGTTTTGGACGAAGCGGATTTGTTGTTCAGTTATGGATATAAAGAAGAGTTGGTGTAAGTCTCGTCATGAATAATATAAAATCTTTGTAAAATCTGTTTCAGCGAGATCAAAAAGTTCCTTCCTAAGAAATTCCAAGTGATTATGACTTCAGCCACATTAGAAGAAGACATGACTGACATCAAAAAGTTATTTGTAACTGGCACTTTGGCCTCGGTTATGCTGAAAGAAGGAAATCTCCCTGGAACCGATCAACTTACACAATATTCCATCTTCTGCCACAATGACGAACAGCGATTTACGATCCTGGTATCGTTGATCAAGTTGAAATTATTGGCAGGGAAAGCGATTTTCTTTGTCTCTTCGATTGATCGGTGTTATAAGTAAGTTAATATCAATTTTTATGGACTTTTTAGATTGCATTTGTTTCTGCAAGGTTTCAAGATTAGATCCTGCGTTCTGAACTCTCAAATGCCAGCGAATTCGAGGTCCCATGTTATAAATGAATTCAATGAAGGCAAATTCCAATATATTATAGCATCCGAAATCAAAGATGTTGGAGAAGATCAAGGAGAGCAGAAGAAGAAAAAGAAACAACGCATCAAGCACGACAAAGAGTCGGGAGTCTCCAGAGGAATTGACTTCCATTTCGTCTCAAATGTGATCAACTTTGATTTCCCACCAACTCTGGATCATTATATTCATCGAGTTGGAAGGTAAGGGCTTAAAAATATTATTCATTCTGTATTTTAGGACGGCCAGAGGCTTCAACAAAGGAACTGCCATCTCGTTTGTCACAGAAAGTGAGAAAAAAATCTTTAATGAAGTCAAAGAAGAGATAAATGAACAAGGTAAAAATGCTGTCCTAATATTTTTTTATATCATTTTTAGTTGGAGAAGAGGTGATCCAGCCGTATGAGGTGAGAATGGAAGACTTTGACAGTTTCCTGATTAGATCTAGGGTAAGTTTTTATCCAGTGTAATGTATATTATTTTGTGTTTAGGAGGTTCTAAGCGCAATTACGAAGACTGTGATAAGAGAGGCGCGTCTGGATGAAATTAAGAAGGAACTGCTTGCCTCAAAACGTCTTGAGGCATACTTTTCGAAGAATCCAAGAGAGAAATCAGTCCTGGAAAATGATCGTAAAATGTTTGTCCTGAATTTACATTCAACTGGAATCGCTGATGTTGCCGATTACATGGTCCCTAAAGCTCTGAAAGGCCGTGATTTCTCAGAACCAAACTTTGAACGACCAGTCAGAAGGAAGAGGAAAATGCCTCAGGGGAAACACGCCAAGAACTTCCAAAAACGAGCAAAAGATCCTCTAAAAAGCTTCAAAATTTAAAATTGATGACTAAAGTAATATCAATTTGTTGTTAAATCACCTTTCCGTTTGGATTTTGTTGTTATTGTTGCCTGTTAATCATCCCAAAATAAAAGATTTTACATTTTTTATTTGTTTTGTGATGAATTTTGTGTAGAATATATTACACATGACTATTGAACATAACTGAGTAATATTTGGGCCGAGCTTTTAGAATGACCACCACTCTTCCCTCCAAACTCAGCGGCAAAGACCGATATGAGAGTGTGAAACATCTGGGAGAGGGTCAATTCGCTAATGTTTACTTGGCCAAAGACCTGGAAACCGGAGAGTATGTGGCCATCAAGAAGGTAGCGTCAGTATCTTGTTTTCGAATCCTTTTTTAGATCAAACTTGGAGGTAGAGAAGAGGCTCGAGATGGAGTTAATCGAACTGCCCTCAGAGAAATTAAATTGCTCCAGGAGTTGAGACATGATAATATCATTACAGTAAGATTTTTGATGATTCTAAGGCAATGTTTTGGCATATTTCTTGATTAAATCGTCTGTTTTAGCTGCGAAACGTCTTCAGTCGCAAGAACAACATCCAATTGGTCTTTGATTTTATGGAAACAGATCTCGAGCAGCTGCTGAAGAACGGATCGGTCATTTTAATGGGCTCCCATGTCAAGAATATGGTGATGCAGATGCTTTTGGGCGTCGAATTTCTGCATATGCACTTTATTTTGCACAGAGATTTGAAGCCAAATAACTTGTTGATTAATTCCGCCGGTCGGATGAAGGTTACCGACTTTGGTTTGGCCAGATTTTTCGGTTCACCGACTCGGGAATATACTCACCAAGTGGTCACAAGATGGTATCGATGTCCGGAGTTGTTGTTCGGAGCCAGAGCGTATGGAGTCGGAGTGGATATGTGGGCCGTGGGATGTATTATCGCTGAATTGTTGCTGAGAGTTCCGTTGTTTCAAGGCGACAGTGATTTGGATCAATTGGTCAAGATCTTTACCGTAATGGGAGTACCTACTGATAATGATTGGGCTGTAAGTCGATTCATTTTGCTACAGTTTTTTCTATTAGAGTGATTTGGAATAGGAGAGGAGACTTTTTTAATATTATCCATGATGATTTGACCCCTTCTAGAAACGAAAATCCCTCCCCGATTACATTGAGATCAAACCGGCCAATCCAATCCCCGTTGACCTCCGCTCCCTCTTCACTGCGGCCTCGGATAACCTACTCGAATTGATGAGAGGATGCCTTCGATTTGACCCCTTGAAAAGATTAACCGCAACGGAAGCCCTCAACTCGGCATATTTCCGCGAAGAACCGTTTGCCTGTGATGATGAACAACTTCCAGTCCCCACAAGCGAGAACATCATGGATTATGGGACGAGGAAAAGAAGACGATTCATGGATGGAGACTCTCCGGCAGCTAGGAGGAATCTTTTTGACTAAATGTTTGAGGATATCGTTGTTGATCTCACATTTTTTGAGGATTTCTTGGTCAATTTCACTTCTCGTAGGCTATAATTCTGTATTATAAACTAAGAATGTATCTTCATTTTGTACGCGGGGAAAGATTTTGGGCAGATTGAAAAAGGGCTTGATATTTCGATATTATCCATGACATCCAATGTGTCCCATAAAAATGACTCAAAATTTTTATAATACCCCTAAAAAAAGTCAAGTGCGTGTCCATCATGCCCCTTGATCATTCCTATTCATCCCGATATTTACTTTTCATATAATCTCCCATCTTTTTCGCTGATTTCCGCTCAGGTATTCATGTATAATATAAAACGGGGCCTGCAACCAAGAACACCCCAATTGTTCGGCCGTCTCTACTCATTTACTAAAAGGCAATGTTCCGAACTTTTCGGGGCGCCCGCCTCCACAAAAATCGCTTTTGCCTCGGGGCGTCCGGGCCGGTCCGAAGCAACTGGTGCTCTTCCTTCCCCCCAAAAGTCGGAAATAATTCGAAAAAGTGGCCAAGGATTGCGAAAAGCGGGGAGCGCTGGTCATGAACCAGCAAATCCGATTTTTATTTACTTGTTTACGCACAACATTTGCTGATTTGCATTGGGATTTTAATAAAAAATTTGGTTACGTCAGCTATTTTTGATGTCATTTGGGGAAATTTGATCTCTCTTTGTTTTTAATTTTAATTATAAGATTTCGAGAATCCTTGGGCTATTAATAGAGATTTGAAATCCAACGGAACATTGTTTTCGTTGATTTAGCTATATTTTTTTATAATTTTTTTGGTTTTTATGCTTGATGATTTTTGAAAATTTTGTTTCAAATCATGCCAAATTGAAGCATTGATCTTATTCCAGGTTAAAAACAGTTATCAGAGGTCGACGGCAAGATGTCGTCCCTCTACATGACGCCCAGTTACCATCAGATTTCTCCCATGGTCCGTTCTCGGTCCTCGAGTGCCCGCAGAGGCAGTGGATTTGAGTGCGGATACTACAGTCGGGACAATCGGAGTTTGGTCCGGTAAGAATCTAATCATATTCAAGACCTTTTTGCGGTTAAGGCCAAAAATTATATTACTATTTTAGAGCCCAATCTTATACAGCCGCCAGTTCTGGTGGATTTACCCGGCCAAGCTATGGATATGGTGGCGGATTCATGTCTAGGTCCATGACTCGATCAGGTAACATCAAGTTTCGCATTTGGCACTTGAAGTTTATAGCAAATTTTGCATTTTTTATCCCAAAAATTCAGTTTTTTTCGTAAAAACTAGACATTTTCTGTCCTCTGGGTCACCAAATGGCTACTTTAGACTCTCCTGACTCTTAATTATCTTTTTTATACTCTTTGAATCTTTTATTTTTATAAACTCAACAAAAACTGCTGTCCGTCTGTCTCTGCCAAGAAAACATTCAAAAATCACAATAAAAACCTTCCTTTCGCCTTTTCTTTCGAAACGGAAAGAAAGAATGCCAGCCACGTGCACTTTTAGTCTAATCGGGAAAAGCGAAGTCTCGCGTTCGAAAGTTCGCGGGTTCGATTCCGGTTGGGTGCAGTGATGATCAAAATGCAAGGACGTAATGCCGAACAATATTGAGGAATATTTACTTATGAGCACCTTTTGCAAATTTTGTAAAAAATTGAATTTTTAGTATTTTTGTCAAAATCAAGACACTTTGAGAGTTGGTTTTGTAAATGAAGCCGCTCTTTTGAAACCTTTTATAGTAAAAAGCTATTATTTTTTTTACCCAACAAAATCGTGGTCTTTAGGTTCAAACCTCTTCGGCCGTTCATTAAGTGCCTCGGCTCTTGACCGCACCCCTCCCTTCTCGAGCGTCGGAGTCCAGAGATCCACTCCCCATTACTCGGACAAGTTCCCATATGTCCGCTACTCCTATGGAAACACTGACACTGCCCTCTCCGTTCTTACACAGACTGAATTGGTACGATTTTTTGATTTTTACAGCATCTCTGAGCAAATTGTTCAATTATCATTTGATTTCCAGAAGAATCCGCCAATTTACGGGATCAAAGACACTGGAACAAAGAGATGGCTGGAGGGGAAATTAAACGCCTATAACACTGGACTCTTCCAAAGGGCACCTCCAACTCGAGTTGAACGGCCATTGGCACCGGTCAGGAGTTATGTTAGGTAAGGAATTTGGGTAAAATAATATTCAAATTAAATTTGCATAATTTTAAAAATTTTGCATAAATTATTCCAGGATTAAATTTTGAATATTTTTCAGATATATGGGACAAGACGACGCTGTGGACATGTACAAAAACAAGTACATGACAGTGGGCACCCTCTCCAAATACTGGCTTTCCCCCACCACAGCTTCCTCGAGAAGAGATCGCGATCTGAACGTGGGATCTTCCATTTCAACCAGTGGCTATGGCTCATATTCCTCTCGATTCGCCACCCGACCCACCTATTACTCCAAAGTGGCCAACCGATTATATTAAACATGGGAAAAATTATATTAACCATGACATCTGATGGTTCCAATCAAAAGACCTGATGGCTACATGCTCCGATTGATCTTAAAGCCAGTGTTTTTACAACAAAATACAGTAATCTTCTTGTTTTTTATCGATTTTCGAAAAAAGTACAAAAAATATTTTCAAAAATTTATTCGTATTTTATATAAAAACCCGTGAAAAAAGCACCCGTGACAAGTTGAATTAAGAATTAGATGGTGGAAAGACTGGAGTTTGGACGTAACTAACTTTCAGTAAAAATTTTAGATAATAAAATTCTAAAATACGCTAAAATTAAACATGTTTCTAAATGAGATCACTCGGTCTGGAATGTCGAACCAAATGGGAGTGAGTTGAGCCGAACGGACGATCCTCGATGAACAAATTGTTATTGATCAGGGCCTGCGCATCAAAACTACTTCTTTTCACAGGCCTCGAGGGCTTTAGAATGGGATCATTCTCTTCGGGCCAACGCTTTCGACGAAAAGACTTGGCTCCACAAACCGAAAGGGTACCACAAATAAGCATCAGACCGGCGCCAACCAGCAATATTATGTAGGCCCAACCAAGCTCGCAGTCGCCTGAAATATAAAATGTTTGCGCACAGTGCGATACGTTTTGTCATAAAAAGCAAAAAATCGTTGCACCGTGCAGAATCTTTTCATTTGTTTGCACTGTGCGTCGGCGACAAAGAGTGCACAGTGCGTTGAAAAAATTTCCCCGCACTGTGAAAAATGTTTTCGATTTTTTTTGCACTCTGCAATGCATTTCTCAAAAATCGCACGGTGCGAAAAAAATTATTTTTTTTGCACCGTGCAAAAAAAAATAAAACTAAAAAAAAAATACCAAAAAATACATACCGAGTAAAAATTTGCTGGCATGGGCACCACACGAGTCCTTGATCTCCTGATTATCCCATCCCATCGGGAATAATATACATCCCACACTAATCGCGACAGCTAAAATTACCAATATTAGACTTGCCGTTGGAGAAAAATGAAAAATTTTGTAAAAATTATAAGTCAAAAATTGTGATCTCTTACCTGACAAAAATTGGAATAATCCGACCAGAACCGCGGTCTGTTTGTTCAAAATATTGTCGAAACAACATGCCGGAAGTAAAATAAATACAAGTAACAACGATAAAAATGCGGCGCAGGCTATGGTTAACGTGCTGAATTGCCAGTAAATGGAGGGAATGTGGGCCAAATCTTCGTAGGTCCCGCATTCCTGGATGATTCGGAACTGTTCTAAGCGCTAAAAATTTTGATAAAATATAATACCAACAGAAGAAAAAAATTTTTCAACATGTTTTTTTCATTTGGGAGTTAAAAAAAATACAAGTTTCCCAAAAAAAAAAAAAAAAAATTTTTTTTTCTTTTTGAAATCAAATCCCTCAAATTTAGGTTGTTCCTGCATAACGCGGTGCCAAAAATTCTAAGGTATTTGGAAAATAATGATAAATATTATCTTTAACGAAATTCAGGGAAAATCCGAATTCTGCCCTCAGGGAATTGTTACTAAAAATCGAAAAATCAGCAGCTTACCAAATCGTAAACGGGGAAATTGCATCTTCTAAAAGCACTCAAGTACACAGGAGTTGTCCTTCCATTCAGCGAGACTTGCCCGATCACCCAATGCGGCACATAAAACCCCGAAAAAAGGCACAACGAGGAGATGGCGGACAGAGTCACCCACCAATAACCGACCGGTGTCAGGCCAGTCCGGCTCATAAAAGCTGGAAATCCAAAAACTAAACTTTTATTTACTCGTCTACAACATGTTTTGACATATATCCACGATTCTCCTCAAACATATGACATTATCCATGTCACAAGAAAAAATTGAAGTCCGCAGGGCTTTTCTCGTGGGAATTGCATGTTATAAATGTTGTGGATTATGTACATAACACGACATGTTATATTCCGAGGGGCTTGCATGTAAAATTTAATTCAAATCTTGGTGCAAAATTATGGCAATGGAAAAAACGTAAAAAATTTGAATTACTGATATTAAAAGGGGAATGTAAATATTTTTACTGACAAGGGAAGTCACTTAAATCACGGATCGATTTTGCGAAACGGCTGATACAGCGATGGAAAGAGTGGGACGGTGATATCGAATCTGAAAACCGCTACCTCCACCGGCCTCTGGGAGCCGAGATAATCCACCAACAAGTTTGGCCAAATTCCCTCCGAAAAGGTTTCCCTTCCGAAAGCAAAGGGAGAGCGACCCGAATGGTCCGGTGGTCTGGAAGCGCGCTTCCAGGCCTTCGCCTTTTGAGGTTCGAGTCCGCATGGGTCCGGACTCATACAGGGCGGGCCACAAATTTTAAAAAATCATTTTTTTTCGTCTCCAAAAAAGCTCAAATTCAAATTTCGGCCTTGAAAGTCGAGTTATTCGGCCAAAAATTCGCATAGGAAATTTGGCCCTGCTATTGACCGGTCGGTTTGCGTGAAGCGTGAATGAAGAAAATCAGTGTTTTCGCGTAAGTCAATTTATAATGTAAACGTGGTTAAGAGTCCATCTTGCTTGCTCTATTTCAAGGAATATTTTTTGTAGTTGTTCCGCGCCGCGCCCGGACTAAAATTTGTTCTAACAAGGAAAGTACTTTTATGGGGGCTCCTACTTTTTGACGGGACATATCTCAAAAAATCAGAAAAAGTGTGCTGATCAAGGATATATAAATCTTAGCTGCCCATTTTAGGTTTTTACGCCCAAGCTTGGGAACTACAGTCAGTTTCATCGTATAAAGTGTAAAATCGCAGGCTGCAGCAGTTTTGTAAGGGTAAGGCGTACGTAAAAAAGAAGGTACCTCACTAACTAAATCCGCTATCCGGGAATTGAAAACGATGAATTGAGCCGGATGCTAAGTTTGGGCTAATTATGACCAGTTTCCGCAGTTATAAGGCAACTTTTACCTATTTTCTTGCCCAACTAAAAAGTTCAATTTCTCCTCCTTACCTTGTTTATTAATTTAGCTTCGTCCTGCTGTCGGCCGTGAACGCGGCCAATAATCGCCCGATCAGCGAACGCTTCTACGAAGGCAGTCCCAGCGATCCGGACACCCCAATCTCCTGCGATTCGGACTCGGTGGTGTCGACCTCGAGCGAAAAATGTCTCACCTACTATTTCAACTGCCTCAAGCACAACGGCAAGTACCTGGAGGTGGGCGATTCGAGCGAGGGCCGCCTGATTTTCTTCGAACAGAACGGCCACACACTCGAAGAGTATTGGGACACCCTGGCTGCGCTGATGTACTCGTGCCTCTTCTTTCCCGACAGACCCTATATCCTCAAGCAAAAAGGAACGGCGTAAGTAAAAAACATTTTTTTTAGTGAAAGATTTTTTGGCAAAAGTTGCGCCGATTGGCCAAAAAAATGTAGCCTTGGAAAACTGAAAGCCGCACGACCTGCGGAGGACATTTTCACGTCAAACTGAGGAGTCCGGTGACCGGAATAGACTCTTCGCTATCGGTTTTTTACACTTCGTCTGGATTTCGCAGAGAAAGAGAGAAAAAAGACACGCAAAAACGTACTCTCTCGCCCCAAAAATTCCCCATTTCTTCCCCGACAAAACGTTTTTTCGAAAACTTATGACGCTTTTTTCGTCTTTACAGAGAAAATGACACTACTGCTTAAGCAAAATTGTAAAATTCAGAAAAAATTGATATGATTTTCGAAACCAGCGCCATGGAAAACCTCCCCCACCCCTCGCCGCCCTCCTCTTTTTTTTAGCGGACCTTTCCGCAGCGGGCCTTTCCGTACTCAATCAATTTTGCGATATTTTTGAGCGATTTTTTATGGAATTTCACCGTTTTTTTTTTTGATAATTCTAGGAAAATCCGAAGTTCCTTATTATTAAAAAACCTGCCGGACAGTTTTTTTTTATTTTTGGCTCGCCTAGTAGAAGACTAGCCAGAGATGAGGCGGCTAGGAGATTGACCCTGGTCTAGAAAAGGCCCCTCCGTTCGTATGTATTCTCCATTTCAGACAATTAATGTTTGTGGATTGCATGACCCTTCGCAAGAAGGCAACAAACAATCTCGATAATACTAAACAACTCTGTCAATTCAATCGTCGTCCTCTCGCCAATATCAAGCAGGCAGATGTGATGGCGGCCAAACTGGCGGAGACAGGCAAGTATTTGGAAAGAGTTCCGAAGATTGGCCACCACCCCGGAAGATGAAAAGTTTATGCGAGCCGTTTTTTCTCAATCACACTTTTTGCAGGGTCTATCATAACCTTGAAGACAACAGGCAGCGCAACGAACTACGGTTTGTTCCCCTTCGACAGGGACTTTTTTGACTCCGTTGGGGAAGGTGAGTATATCAAGACGACCATCAGAGAGCGCGGAGGCTGCGCATATTCGACAGACGGAATTGGAGTGGATCAGAAGGATCAAGACGTCAGGAAAGCTGCCGACAAATTCTGCAGATTCGGTGCTGATGGGCAGTTGTAAGTTGTGGAAGATTTCGACTTAAAAGTCGGATTATTAGGGAGACCTGGCCGGTCAATTTGAGCCATCTGAGCAGTAGCGTGCCAGATCAAAACCTATCAATTTTGCACTATATTTTTTTGGCTAACTTTACAATGGAAATGCCTCAAATTTTGATGAAACCTGGCACAAATTTAGAATATTTTTTTCTCAGGCAAATGCGAGACTCCTAGTTCGCGAAACGACCGAAATTTTTTAGTCGGAAAATTCTAAAAATTTCATTTCAAAATTTTGAGGTCTATGCGACATTTTTTGGCTTGTATTTTGCTAAAATTACCGAAATTTTTAGATTAAAGAATTTTCAAATTTTCAAAATTTTTTTCCGAATTTTACCATCAAAAACTTCATGCCTATTTCTCCCGTAGAAGGTAATATTTACATTTTACTTGATATAGCCAAAAAGTGTTGCCCTCTCACCGCTCTCCGCGTTCCGCGTACTCTCTCGGCCGCAAAGATTGTTCCATATCTCGGCTGTCCGTGCAAAGCACGAGCTAAAATTTCCAGTAATTGCTATGTGGCCTATTCCCGAAAAGTGCGAAAAATTGAGACAAAATCTGACTGTCTCACTTGAGGGTACTTCCCTTTGTTGGTTATTGACCGGTCAAGGTCCCACATTTTTTAATTCTCATTTTTTATTACACATATTTTTAGATCATGTCGTGCGAATCAAGGAATAAACGCCTACGAATACAATCTCAAGAATATGAACCCTAATCCTAAGTAAATGTATTTATTTAAACGAGCCGTTTGGGAGTTACAAGTTATCGAATAAATATATAATTTGGCTGAGCGTCGGTACACTTGTCGGTCTTTGTTAAAGGATTTTTGAAGCCAATTTCCGCAAGTGAAAACCTCTCACGATCCGCGATTGCTGTTCAAAGTAACAGACAGTGTTCTAGCATAGCAGAAAAACAGCAATTTTTCGTAAATGTTTCGGCTGCCCGCAAATGTGACCCCCCAAATTTTGCCCGCAAACTGGTTGCCCTCAGGTGTCGCGACGCCATTCTATTATATTCGTTGCCTTCCTTTTTTCGAAAAGGAGAGCTTTTTGGGGCAACTTTTTTTTTGGTCAAACTTGTTGGTTGATTATCTCGGCTCCCAGAGGCCGGTGGAGGTAGCGGTTTTCAGATTGGATATCCCCATTCCACCCTCTATATTGCCGTAACAGTCGTTTTTAAAAATCGATCCGTGACTTAAGTGACTTCCCTTGTGAGAAAATGAGACATTAAAAAAACAATATGGGATATTTTGAGACAGGAGATAACACAAGATAGCAAAATTTGTTATAATAAATTTTAAAAAATATATTTTTTTAAAATCTGTTTCATCAAATTAATATTAGAATTAGTTTGATGAAGCTTGGCAAAAAATTAAAGGAAAACTCTCGGTCACTTTTGCAGAAATCACCGTGGTTTCTAAGCCGAAAAATTCCAATAATTTCGGCCATTTTTGGCTATTTCCGAGATAAGAAATTTCTATTTTTGAAAAAACAGTTTTTTCCAATATTTTCCCCAAAATAAAATCCCGTTTCTTCCTCCAGAATCCCCATTTCGTCCTCAAATTCAACTCAAAAGCCGATTTCATGCCTCTGGAGAAAAGAAAATTACAATTAAAGAGGCCAGATGTCCTGAGGAAACAAAGGAATTCCCATTTAACTTTAATTGGCCTTTAATTTCACCGCAAAACAACAAATAATACAAACTTTAGAACTCCCGAAAAGAGATTTTCAACGTAAAAAAATAAAATTTTACTCTGTAAACATTCGAAGATACCAAAAAAGAGCCTTGTTGCCCTCCGGCAACAGAATTAAAAAGCCAATTAAAGACGCGTTTAAAGAGACGGAATCGGCATCTGAATTGAGCCAATAAAACGGAAGGACGCGGCGCGCCGAATGATCAGAAAAGAGCCTCGGGGCTTCCGGCGGATAAACCAAATCTCTCAAGGCCGAAGAGATCTCCAAAAAAGGGAAGAAAAGAAGCAAAAGGTTAAGGAAATCTTGTTGATGCTGTGGTAGGCGCAAATTAGCGCGAATTTTTGAAATTTTGGGGAGAACAACTAACTTCTCTGGAGATTTATTTCAAATTTCGATTACTTTAGAAAATGGGTATTTCTTTGAAATTCCTAGAACAAAGTTTTGAAACTATGTAGAAATTTTGCACGAATCTTTTTTTAAAGTTATTTTTCCCCGCAATTTTTTTCTCTGGCCGCCTCTACTCACTTTACACAGTCTCTCGTCTGCAAGGAGCGTTAAATATTTCGGCTTTCATTGCGAGTTGTCAGCAAAATTTTTCAATAATTAATCCGTGGCCTAGATGGATTTTCATTAGCTAAATTCTAAGGAAGCCTAAGAAGTTAACCAAAAAATTCAAAATTCAATTAAACAGCCAACAACAAGTTTTCCAAAATTCCGCATTCCTGCAAAAAAGTCCACTCCCATAACTGTAAGCAATGACTCCAAAACAACTTCGGTGTTACCCCTTCAAAACAGCCTCCAAAAAGGCATGAATTTGTCAAAATATCCCCTTCGGAAAGCCCCTTTCAAAAGTTATGACCTTTTTTTGGCTTTCGAAGTTTCCGCCTCCAGGCATCCGACGCGGGCAGGTGTGAAATTTGGAAACGAAAATAAAATTTGCATATTTTAGGAGGCGACAAGGACAAAATTAATGGACCATGAGGTGATTTGGGGGAGAGGGGGAAAAGTTTTTGCGGTTTTAGAGGAAAAAAAGAGAGATTTTTTGATCAAAAAGTGGATTTAAAAGGAATTAAATTAACCAAAGATATAAAATTAAAACATTTTTGTCCCAAATTCTCCAACGATCCCTTGGGAATTACACAAAATTCAGCGATTTCCCGTCATTTCTTTTGTTTGTTTTTGAAATTTCGTCCGAAAAATGTTTACAAAACGAAAAAAATAAATCGCCGGCGATTTAAAATTACTGCGAAATCCGGAAAACGGCTCTTAAACGGTTAGTAATTACTGTACAAGTAGGTGGAATTCTCAGGAATCCAGAAAAGATTTGTTTTGAAGGTCCAAAATATTGAGGATGACATAAGGAAGAGATAAAAAAAGTCGTAAAATAAACAATATTCACAGTTCAGAAGTGGCCATTGGAGATGGCCAAGTGGATTGGGAAATGACTTCGAATTTTTCGAAAAAGTTTTTGATTTAAAAAAATCATGAGGAAAGGAAAATTAATGGTAATATTTATATGAAAACCGAAACTTTTTGATGAATATCCCCACAAAGATCGCCCTTGTCCATTCCCGCCGCTTTTTTAATTAATCACAGATCTCTTTTCCCCGAAATTTATCCGTTAATCGACTCAAAGCCCCTTCAAGACTCCCTTAAATTATTCAAAACTCCCGTTGATCTCATGTATCCACTCCCGCGGCTATTCGATTACGTTTTTCGGATTAAAAAAATCAGCGGATTTAAAAGTTGCGCATTAAAAAACTCTCGAATGACCGCCCTCGAGAGGTTTCTTTGGGTTCTCGAGAGTAGCCAGGACTCCGAAACAGATTATATGACAATGTTCGGAATGAGGAGTGACATTTGAGAGGGGATTTTAATGTTTTTGGATTAAAAATGTACTATAATATTACAAGTTTAAAAAAATTATTTTAAAAGAAATCTGAGATTTGGGAAAAGAAAATGCCCTAAAGGCATAAAGAAAAATTAACTTTAGTCAAAATGTTTTCTTGGAAATTCAAAAATTCATCAAAAACAATGTCAAATTTTTTTCCTAAAAAATTTTCAAAAAGAAGACATAAAACGATATCCTTTTTGGGCATTCGTACAAGTCCACTTCATAAAACATGTCGCGACAAAAAGGTTTATGCAAATTCGCAGTTTCAAAGATGGAAATTAAATTCGGCCGAACGGGATTTCCCTCCAAATTGGATGAAAAATGCGGGAAAAATGGAATTTCATTATTTCCGCCGCTTCAAAGACCCTAAGGCTGTAATGAAAAACTTGGAATAAAAGGGGGAAATGGACTTGGAGTTGGTAGGATACGGGAATATTTTGATTGGTTGACAAAATCTTTGTATTATTGAGTCTCAGGATTTGAATTTGTTCTATCAATCAACCCCAACAGTAAAATAAAGGTCATCAAAAAATTTGTTCATTTATTACTGTAGCACAATAAAAATTTGGTTCAGAACCATGACTGATAGCAATATAAAACTCTGGAAACGCTCTAAAAAAGAAGGAAACACCAGTTGTGATACTAGCATCAAATTATGGCAAGAGACTCGGACTGAAAGTTATACTAGAAAAATTAAGCAAATTTCTGATGATTCCATCTGAATGTTCATAGAAAAAGAGAGTATAGTCACAGAATATTCAATACAAAATAAAGACAAACAGATTTTACAATAAAAAACAATTTTATGCGAAAAAATCCTGAATTTTGATGGATAAATTTCTAAATTACAATAAAGATTTGATAATAAAAAACTTTTATTGTCAAAAATAGCTAGTGAACCATCGAAGAGTGTATTTTGCACCCTTAAAATTTACTTCCTAATCATCATCAAAAATCTTTCCATCATTCAAAAAATCGCCAATCGGAGTTCCCGGCTCAAACTGGCACCAGTTCAGCGACATCTGAGGATGGGCCAAATGCATTGGATAATACATACAGACGCCTCCCAGGAAGAACAAAGCCGCCAGCCAGAGCCAGAATTTGAATAATCCGAGGCGACAACAGAGACGGCATTGCTTGAAGTAGGTCATCGCTGTCGAAATCCAGAACAAAAGAATGTCGAGTGTCATGGTTAGACTGAAAAAAATAAATCATTTTGAATTTGATTAAAATCGTATTTTAGAAATTTTTTGGCCAAACTTCAAAGATCAGGCCGATTTTTTCCCTGACCGTGTCTCCTCATTTTCCATAGTCCCTATCCGAGTTTTGAATTTTGAGAATTTCCCTTGTTAATTTTTGCCCAATTTAATGTCAAAGCGACTTACGTAAAGGCCATCATAACTTCTGGATTATTCAGATGCTCACTCTCATCTCGGAGATATTTGGGGACAAAGTTTCGATGGATATTTCCCACCAAAATGGCGAAAGAAGTGAATAATCGGAGACATTGGAGAAGGATGTCAATGGAGTCGGAAATTAGACGTCGTCTGAAAGTATACTTTGGCGATAAATTCGTATTTTACGAAAAAAGTTTTGGGCTAATCTTTGTTTGAAAAATCAACATTTTTTTATTTTATGGTAAAAGATTTAAAAAAAACTTAAACATCGATAATAAAATTAAATTCGTATTTTACCTCCGTTCAATTTTCGCCTGCTCCTTGAGGTACTCTTTCCTCCGCTGTCTGATCTCCCTGAGCCTCAGTTTTTCTTCCTTTTTCCGCCGTTTTTCTTCCCGTTCTGACTCAGCTTCTAAAAATTTGCTTCAGATTAGAAACTATGAAAAGCATTTTTTGGATCTTTAAATTTTTACATGAACAATGAAACAGATCAGAAACATTCGGATACTAAAAAACCGGAATAAACCAATCCTCACCTTCTTCAGTCTTCTGTAATGCCTGAGGCAATAACTTTTGTAATTGGAATTTCTTGTCTTTCCCGTCATTTTCCGGGGTACTTGAGCCATTGGAAATGTTGCTGAATCTGTTCTTGACCACATCCGGGATCTTGATTTTCTTCAAAATCCCTTTTTTCTCTGGCTTTTTCTCATTTCCCATCAATCCCTCGCTTTCCAACCGCTCTGTAAAGTTGACTTTGGATGATCTGGGTTGATCACTGTCAGTCGAGATTCTCGGATAGATACTTCCGGGGTCAGAACGATCGTCTTCGTCGTCTGAATCTTCTGCCAGCTCGATTGTTTCGATCTTTTTCAGCTCTCTTTCGGATTTCGTAAACCTCTTACTGTAGGTGGCTTGATAAATTTGCTAAAATTGTCTCGTCTTTAGTCTACTAGTCACTTCAACTCACTCTAAAGCTCCTGTTCTTGTCTGTGGTGCACTTCTTGTACATGATCACACACCAAACCAGCAAATAATTCTCGGATCTGAGAGGTTCGAAGCAAATGCAAAGGATAAGATGCATCCAAAACCAGAGGAGATCATAGGACTTCCACAGCACAAAGTAGACGCACTTCACGTAGACTGCCGCCGACCAGTTGGCATGGGCCAGAAGGGCCATAAAAAGGCGCCAGGAGAACCAGTACAAGAATGTGTAATAACCCATTTTGTGAAAAGACCAGGCAGTTTAAGCTCGTGAAATTGCCTGAAATAGAACCTCTTCATCACATTGCGTAATTTGTTTTATGAATTTTTGATCTTTTTCTCTTTTGTAACACAATTTCCAGATACGGTCCATGGCCACGCAGCTCAAAAGTATTTTTTTTTTCTGAATTATCCGCAAGCGTTTGCCAAAATCCTGAGCAAAAAATCTCTAAATTGTCCCACAAGCTCCTTTACTTAATTTCAATCCGTTTCGACGACCTCTGAACCGGTTTTTGACCTTTAATTAGCCCATACCTCTTAGCTCACGCGCGAAAATAGAGCTCTCAAAAAAATATATAAACAACTCTCATTGTTGTAAAATGCACTCGCATTTATTACTCAAAACCCTCTATGACAAATACACTGCCCTTAAAAGCCACTTTATAATGTTTATCTGCCCGAAACTTACCTATAAATCAAGAACACATGTCATCCATCCACTTTTTTGGTGTTTCCAAAAAATTTATAAAATTAGACGCGCGATGTTCAATCAGACCCTCGAACCATCTTCGAATTTGTATTCTCTCCTTTTTTTATTTATTCTTGTTTGTTTCGGGCTCTTTTGACGGCTTATTCATCACGTGTTGTTGGGTCCCGCAGTTAAAACAAACGTTTTGGCATTCTGTTTTTTTCGCTTCTTGGAGAAATAGGTGGTAAAGTAAGGTCTTTGGTGTGGATAATGGTAAGTTCTACGGGTTTATATGTGGTTGTAATGAAAGATAGGCTGGCTTTTTAGGCGTGGGTATATTATTTTTGATGCTGGATATCGAATTTTTTCTATTGCTTTCAGTGGTCTCCCGACGATCTCCAATCCTTCTGGCAGCACGAGGCCGCTCTTCACAAGTGGCAGGATGTCTTTGCTAGTGCGTTTGACACGGCACAACAATATTATAACCAACATTTTGATAATTACCCGGTGGATGAATATTTGAGTCTAGAAGAGCAAGAAGTTGGCGTTGGTGTGAGACCAGACGAATACGTAGGGTTGTTGGAGTCAGGCGCAGTCGATGAGATTTCTCACAGCTTTGAGGATGCTGATTTGTCTGCAAATACGAGCCAGGAGATTGATATTGCAGATGAAGAAGAATTGAGTCCAGAAATGTTGGAGTACTATAAGGTTACCCTGGCTCACAGGGAGAAAAGTAAGTCCTTTGTTTTGTGTTGTTGTTTTTAGGGATCAAAATGCGATTTGTACTCTTTGTTGGATCGAATTAATATTTTCTGCCAGGAATTGTATAATTTCTTTAGGAGCTCGAGAAAAATTAGAAGAAAAACTCAGAAAACATGAGAATTGGCTGGAAGAAGACGAAGATGAGTATATTGAAGCAGATCAGATAGGAATTCACGGGCCAATTCGCAAATCTACTCAAGCTCCAAATCGGGTTGCTGAAGAGGAAGAAAGGATCAAGGAGATGAAAGAAAAGTATGGAGACAAATGGGAGTACATCAACAAGATTGAGAGCAAGATGAATTTCGAATTTGAGAGCAAAGTCAAGGAGTTGGATGCATTTCTATGGCCGAATATTCCACTTAGGTTCCGATAAGATCTCATCTTTAATAAATTTTTATATCGGTACATGTCAATAAAGTTTACTAATTTATTGTAGTATTTGTAAGTATGTACTCTGTTTTCCAACAGTTTTATAACGGTATTCTTGCTCTCGCAGGGTTTTTGAACATATATTTTTTGTTTATTACTATCTAAACTATTATTTTTTAGAGAGATGACGACTCAACTTCCTACAAATGAAGTCAGCAAGACAGTTGAACCATTTTTAGATCCAGGGAACTTGCTGATTATAGACAGAGATGCCCATGATTCGGTCGAAAAGAGGGGAAAGTAAGTGGTTTCTTGCGTGGTTATTGTGTTTTATTGTATCGATATATCCTTCTCGGATTTCTAGTTTAACCCACACCCTTTCAGGCATCCATCGGAGCAGGAACTCAAGGAAATGACTAGGGACAACATCCAATTCCTGTTCAATGAGATTTGGAAACTCCCGAGGAAGTTTGTCGGTGATGCAACATGTGCCATTCTCCCGGAAAGAAAGTTTGTGATACCCAGAGAGAAATCGGTAAGTCGACTTTCCGGATCTTTGATTTTTGGATTTCAATATCGAATAATATTATATTATTTTAGTTGCCATCCAAGCCTCCAATGACCCGTTGGCAAGAGTTTGCCCAACGAAAAGGCATCACCAACGATAAAGACAAGTCTAAGAAGGTCTGGGATGAAGAATCACAGGTAAGAAGATGTTTTTATATTAAATTTATTATCAATTTAGACCTGGGTACCCCGATATGGATATCAACACGCGAAACATGCGGAAGGAAAGGACTGGCTTATTGAAATCCCTCAGAACCAAGATCCCAATGCTGATTACTTTGCTAAAAGAGACGATGCAAAGAAAGAGAAGGTCGCTAAGAATCAACTCCAACATATGAAGAATGTGAAGAGGCAATTGAAGGATATGGGGAAAGGAAAGGAGCCAAGAACTTACACCGACTTTGGAAAGGGAGCTAATGCGATACCACTGGGAGTTGGCCAAAATCCAAGAGAAAGGACTCGGCAGGAGGTGGGATATTAGATTTGGTTCATATTCCATGGATATTGATGATAACAATTGCTTGATTTTTTCAGCTTGGATACAAAATGCACCATGCCAAAGAAGCTACAGCATCGGCAGGTAAATTCCAGAAGACCCTGAAGGGGGAGAAGACTCCAAAACTGGGAATCAAGAGAAAGGTAAGCAAAAAATTATGTTGTACTTGATGTAAATTTTAAAATCTTTGTTATTTTTTTTTGTTTTAGTTTGAATCCAATGAGCAAGATCCCAAGTCGGAAGTCTCAAAACAACTCCAGATCCTAGAGAAATTGAACTCAAAGAAACCGAAAATTGATACCTCCCGAATAAACGCGGCCGCTGAAGCCATGGAACGTCGTGGTGGCGGAGATTCAGATGATGAAAGTTCAAGGAAAAAGAACAAAACTCCAAAGAAGGTGAAGGGAACTGGAAGAAAATCCGGCTTCAAACCAACGAAGGGAGGAAAAGGAGGCCCCGGAGGAAAACCCGGAAAACCCTCGGGCAAATTTGGCAACAAAAAAGGGGGAAAATTCTCTAAAGGAAAGAATTGAAGGGAAGTGAGACAAATCGTATGGGAAATGTATGCATTCGTCTCCAAAATACAGATTATTATTCATCATTGTTCTTGTTATTGTTGGGTCAGCACCTTGTTCTAATCAATTTATTGTTGTTATCTCTCAACTGGCCAAAATAAATGTTAATTGTTGAAATATAATGAATTTGATGGGGCAGAGTAATGTGTTTTGATAAATTTATATGAAATTTTCAATTAGGAAAGAATTGAAGACAAAGCGCAAAAGAGGCGAGAGAGTGTGGAAAATAGATAGTGCGCCATCCCTCTTACATTTTACAGAGAAACGAAAGAAAAACCGATTTGATTTAGCATATTTTTTCCGCCTGTCCAATTTCCATACTCTATAGAGTTTCCATGCAGAAAAATGACTGCTAATTAACCGAGTTTTGCATAACTTTACCACCATTTGATTTTTTTTACAAAAGATTTTGCCCTCCTTTCGCTGTGACCATAGAGCCATACCTAGTCGTACTTAACAGCCCAAAAACGTAAGCTTGAATGTGTATTTACAAGTAAGAGCAAATATACGAGAAAAAAATCATCCCTACCCAACCAATTGAGTAATGAAAATTCAAACTCTAACAAGTAAAAGTTTGAAAGTAAATAATTCGAAATAAACATTATCAGCCCGACAATTTGCCAAGCATTCCAAAATTTACCTCCAAGCCACACTTTCGTGAGCTGGATTGTTCAACAAACCTTTTGTTTGGAACGTTTGTTCGAAGAAGTTTTCAATCGTCCCAAAGCCCATAAAAACCTCACCTGCTTTTGAATTGGGTTACTTTGGGAAAATATTTTCTCTCTTCTTTCGTTTCTCCGGACCACTCCGTTTTTTCACAGTCTTTCGCATGTTGGTTTCCTGAAAATTTTATCTCGCTATTTTTTCACAAAAAATACTTTGTAAATTGTGTGCTGTTTCCGCAATGTTAGGTAAGAATTCGCGATTAAATCTAAACTTTCAGTATTAATTTACAGTTTAATTTTGTTTAACTTCTTGGCTGCCATTTCACTCTAAAATTGTCAAGTTATAATATCCGATTTTCAGTTTCTTCTCGGCTACAAAATCCCTTATCGTCCTGGCCAACGTCTCCGTTGGATTGATGAACAAATTCTGGAGGTTTTTTCACGAAGAAAATGTAGAACTCTGGTCAGCCAGGGTTCCAGGCATCTTCAGGGAGTGTTAAACTTGACGTAGGTTGTTACCTAAAAATTTAATTTCTGTTCGTTAATTGGGTGTTTTAGGTACGGATAGGCACTAAATTGCGCGTGGAAGCTTAGTTGATTGGTTGGAGAGATATTTCTCTTGTATTCTGGCCATTATGACATTCATCTACACAAACTCTTTTAGATCGGTCAATTTTTGAAGGGAAGTCAGCTGTGGAACTTTTCTCACCGATGTGGTTGGCGTGGTGCCTAAATATTGTTTGCTAACGGTAAGGCATTTTGATTTCTTTGGTTTACATAATTTTAGGTAACACTGATGGCAAACTTGGAGAATTTCAAACTGTCTAGCCCAATCCAGACAATATTGGAGGACTGACAGTTACTGGAATGGCTATATCCAGGGTTCACAGCTATGTTTAAAGACAATACTCACATTTTTTGTCTTCCACAGCCATATTCAACGAGAATTTGATTTATTTTATTTTCCATCTTCTGCAGAAATCGGCGGCGATGTCCGCGGAGAAAGCGGATCCTAAGCCTCAAAAATATTTGGGATTCAACAAGAAGGTCACCGATGACTTCCTGGAAACCAAGGTTGTCACCACCAAGATTACAAAAACTGATAAGGTAAGCCGATTTTGGTGTAAAAGTCTTTGGGGACTGACTAGGGAACCTTTTAACGCCTTATCCTTCAGCGAGCAGCTCTGGTTTCGACAGCCTTGCTTGTAATTCGAGTTGATGCAAAATCAAATTTTGGAAATGTTCTGGATATTGGTGATTTTGTCGTTGAAGTTAATGGTGTTTCCCTAAAATCAAAGGAGCAATTCTATGTGGAGATCAAAACAGTTCTGACGAAGGGAGAAGAACCTCAGGTTAGGCGATTTTCTTATATTATACTTGACTCGGACCGTGCTTTGTTCAATTAATATGATTTAATGTGTTTTCAGCCGCTTTCTCTGAAGATTCGACGTCCAAAATGGATCCGCCAGACCGAAAAGAATCAATTCGAACAAGAATTAGGAGGATTTTCTTACCATACTAGCCTGATGATCTTATTGCCGGGATCCGTCCTTGGCATGAATATCAGAGCTTATAATATGAAGGTAACCGGTCTAAAAAATTATTTCCCTTTCAATTTTAGGTCTATGTTTCCCGGGTTGAACCGAATTCCCTGGCCGCAAGAAGTATCCGAATTGGCGACTGTATCCTTGGTGTAGATGACGTTGGCTGCACCTCCGTCAAGCACTGTCTGGACCGAATGAACGAAGCCATGAAGAAGGATAAGGCCGTCATTTTGACCATCGAACGTCCAGAATCAATTCAAGCCGTGGAAATGGTGAAATGTGCCCTGAGGGCACAAAAACAGACAATGGTAGATAGTGCTCTTGCAAAGGATGCGGTGGAAATTGGAAAAAGGGAGAGCGAGAGGATCAGAGCCGGCAGATTAATCAAGCCCAAGCCCATTTATCGAAGAGTAGACAAGAAATCGAAAAATTCCTCGGCAAAAAGGTAAGGAGAATATAAATTATGGGGGTTTTGGACCTAAAGTTTGATTAATTTAAAAAATTATAGTAATAAACAACATGTTCAAGTCAAAGACAAGTCCTCCCAGCTCAGTATCGGCGCAGATCCGTTCAATCCCATCTTTATGGCAAGGGTAAAGAGCAAGGGAAACGACAAAAAACCGGATGGCAAAAGTCCGAAGGGAATGGGCACAATCGGAGGAATCGGAAATTTCGACAAGTAATTGAACTGATAAGCTGTCGATTGGAATAAAAATCTACGGGTCTTTTGAGTAGTTTCAACGCCAAAAATGGCGGGAAATGAAACATTTTGAAGTAAGTCATCGTAAACTTCAAAGATTGCTTCGGATTGGTGCAAAATTAGAAGTTTTGTCAAGTACATAAAATTCCAACTGTCTGATCAGGCTTTATCCGGTTTTTTCTCTCCTTTTCTTCCTGCTTGGTCTTGTTTTTATTTTCTCTTCCCTTCAAACTTCTTCCTCTCTTTCTTGGTACTCATCTCCTTGGCACTTCTCAAACTTTTTGAGCTCTTGCCACTAATAGCGTTGCTAGTAGTACTTCTCGAATTCGGAGTCTTGGAATTACTGCTTCCTGCAGTGTGGACACTGCTGGAACTCTTGGGGTTTGGGGATTTGACGTTTTCCCTCAGGGCTTTTTTGGAACGATTCAAGGGCTCAACAAAGGGACGCATGGTGGTGTTGACGGACACAAAGACCGTCGGACCATTTTCTGGACTGAAATTGATCGATTTGCAAGATTAAATTCCCTTATGAAACAGCAAACAGTCATCATCGACAATATAATAAAATCATTTTTGTGTCGATAGAAAGATAGTTTATGACTAGATAGGTCAGTTTGGATCTAATGAGATAGGCGCTAGCCATCTTGAGGGATAAAAATATTCTTACTCGGTTTGGATGCTGCTGATTTCTTTAGTTTTGACTCCACTGGAAATGGCCTCCTCTTCAGTGACAGTCTTGTCTTTCTTTCCTTTCTTCCTCCGAGAGGGAGTTCTGGGACTTCTCGCGGTCCTAAAACCATTATCTTCACATATGCACCACGTTAAAAGTCATCATTGTCTTATCCATCCGACTTACTTGGCGTCCTCACCGGGCGATCTTCTGCTCCCCATGAGACGCCTGAAGAAGGATTTTTTCTCCGTGACACTCGTTGCATCGGACTGTCCTTCCCTCCCCCAGCGACGCATTTTTCGATACCAATCCAACCCGCACCGTGCAATTGGTCGATGGGCAAATGAAAAGACAAAATGCGAGAAAATAGGAAAATTGTTGATTTCTCAAGAACTCTATTTAAATTTTATTAACGTTTACAAAAAAATTAGATATTATTGGCTTGCCGTCGTCGTACGCTTGATAAACATAAAAATAAGCAAAAATTCTCCATTGAGCGGTCGTTTTTTTCGACCGAAAGTTTTGTCGTCGATTGGAGAATTTGGAAAACGTGTGAGACCCAAGCAAGTGTGCTCGTCAGAGCTTGTTGAGACCATCTGTGGATGTTGAGGAACGGTAAGGGCATCGATTTTGGTTTTTAGGCACATTAGTACTAATTTTTCCAAATTTATTTTTTACTATTTTTTGCAATTTCTACAGTCATCAAAATTATCAAAAAAAATTTTTTTGGTACAGTAAGTCGTATTTTCCTATTGTTTTTTATCCACAATTGCTCCCTGAGGGTTTACAAAGCGTTTCCCAAGAAAATTCTCTTAAAACTGCCAGAATTTGCATACTGAACAAAAATTTTTTTTGAAATTTCCCAAATTTCTGAATCGGCCATTCAGACTAGAGCGATCCAACTGACCGGCCGGGTTTGTTCTCTCCGGCTCCATTCACCAAGCTCTCTTGGTGCACTGATTTTTCCCCCAAGGATCAACCGCAACAGGTATTTTATATCCTCAGCGCATTCGGAAGAAAGTTTTGGCCAAAATCATTATTTTTTTGGATTATTCAAAAATTTTAATTTGATGTTTTAAAGTACGCACTTCCGCTAAGCCAAAATTGGCTTTCTCCCAGCAAAGAAATTTTTCGTTGCGGGACCCGCACCCGGTGGGTGCGCCACTGAAAATAAAAATAATTTTTCAAAGCAAGTTGATGTTCCAATGTAAAAATGATGTTGAAATGAGTTTCCACAGAGGTAAGCAAGTTTTCACACCTATTTGAGCTTGAGAATGCTATAATAGTTCTTAGTTGTCCATTTTTTCCTCATTTTTCGTAATGTTATGTGATCTTGCGGACGGATCAAGATTGGCTATGGAGAATTTGAGTTTTGTGATGTAATTTCAGAAGTAGAAGCACAACAGTCCATCCAGACACTGGAATCTCCTCCAAGGCCGTCAAAATCACGAACTCCATCCCCAAAGATGTTTTTTGAACGCATCGGTATGTTGTTTATGTTATTATTGCATTATTTATTTAGATTTTAGGTAAATCTTTTCGAATTTACCGATGCATCGCGATGGTGAAGCTCCTCCCTTCGCCCAGTACAACAATCGCCCCATGATCGCTGCGTGCGTTACTGATCCCAAACGGCCCTCTTTAGGGCCACATTTATTTGATGTTGATGCGGTGATGTAAATAAAGAATCTGGTTTTAGTGGATTGTAGACGATTAATTTTTGAGGACGAACACCGCCACGTCAAGAAGCTAATCATAAACCTAGAGATTACCAAACAGAACAATCAATAAATCCAAAAAATCGTGTATGCGAATCCTTTGTGAAAGAACGTTATTTATGAAATTCTGTAGTTTCAGATTACCATTTCAACCAGAAGCTATCTATAAAACAAGTTTTTAACCACCTGAAACACGATAAATTGAAATAAAAGTTTTATTTATATCAAAAACATCTAAAACATGCCGAAGTAATATCAAGTGTAATATGTGGCCCTAAAGAGGGCCGTTTGGGATCAGTAACGCACGTAGCGATCATGGGGCGATTGTTGTACTGGGCGAAGGGAGGAGCTTCACCATCGCGATGCATCGGTAAATTCGAAAAGATTTACCTAAAATCTAAATAAATAATGCAATAATAACATAAACAACATACCGATGCGTTCAAAAAACATCTTTGGGGATGGAGTTCGTGATTTTGACGGCCTTGGAGGAGATTCCAGTGTCTGGATGGACTGTTGTGCTTCTGCTTCTGAAATTACATCACAAAACTCAAATTCTCCATAGCCAATCTTGATCCGTCCGCAAGATCACATAACATTACGAAAAATGAGGAAAAAATGGACAACTAAGAACTATTATAGCATTCTCAAGCTCAAATAGGTGTGAAAACTTGCTTACCTCTGTGGAAACTCATTTCAACATCATTTTTACATTGGAACATCAACTTGCTTTGAAAAATTATTTTTATTTTCAGTGGCGCACCCACCGGGTGCGGGTCCCGCAACGAAAAATTTCTTTGCTGGGAGAAAGCCAATTTTGGCTTAGCGGAAGTGCGTACTTTAAGGTGACTAATATGGGGGTATTGCAGAAATGTTGGAGTCTCTAATACCACAACACTTCTGGCCATTTATGGGTCTGGCCATGACCGCGTCTTGGGTTCTCGGGCTGAGTATGGTCATGTGCGGCAAGAAGAATAAGGGAGCAAGTGTGGCAATGCCCTCTCCCGCGCAATCCCAGAGCTCGGCTATGAGTAATGTTAAGGTAATTTGATAAACAGTTTTTGGGTTTCAGTCAATGATGATTTTGCAATCTAACGGTTTTTTTCAGGAGAAATCTACCGCGAAGCCTGTATCAGCCGCTGCACAGCCAGCCCCAAAAACACAGACTCCAACGGTCGAAAAAAAGGTGAGCTGACTTTTTAAAAGCTAGTTAAAACCTCAAAAAAAGCAATTTTTTTCACTCCAAATTTCCCCTAATCCTGAACCTCAAATTTTCAGAAGAGTGAAAAGGAAAAATCCGAGGTGAAGGAAGAGAAACCGGCCAAGGAGAAGTCGGCGAAGAGCAAGAAACCACCAGTCGTCGCGCCTGGCGCACCTAAGTCGATGAGGAGAAAGAAGGACGCGCCTCCGCCAGAGGATAAGAAGGACGAGGAGGAGGACAACGGATACGAGAGCTGTCCCGACATGACTCCCGAGCAGTTGGCCAAGGTCGTGGAGGAGAACCCCAAGTAGAAGGTGCGGGAAACGATGGGAAAGCTGACTGTGGTTGATCCTTTGGTCCCTTTTCGAATAAACCATTGATCTTCGGTGGGATTGTTCTCGCTCGTATACATCGATATTCTGACGCACGTCAATCCTAAATAGAAGAAAAAGTTTCCCGCCCTTTTTGGTGATTCGTTCAAAACGAAATGTCACAAAACATTTTCTTGCCTTTTCGAGAAAAAGCAATTATTTCGGGCGAGAAAAAGTGCCGATAATTTTGCAACATTTCGTCTCTCTTCTAAATAAATCTTTATTCATCAAAATCCCAAGTAATTTTCATCTTTTTTTATTATTCCACTAATCAGTACTGTAATGTCTCAGTAGAAGCCGATATTACTGATAATACATTACAACACAGGGTGCACGAACACAAACTACAAGACATGAAAATGCTTATACTATTAATAGATAGTACTGCATGCACTATTCATTACAGTAAAAGAGAGCTTTAGATGAAGAAATAGAGCTGATTGTCGGCGCTGACGCTGACGGCACCCTTTTGTTCACGGAGGAAGAGGCGGGCTCCTCTTTGAAGGCCATGGGGCTTCAAGTATAGTAAAATACGTTATTCAAATTTACATTTTCATCTTGAGTCAGTCTAAAAAATGCTTCCTAACAGCAAGGCATCATCGCGATGGCCAAAAAAGAGCCCAAAAGCCTGCGCCGAATACACTACTCTTCGTTGGCGAAGAAAATAATTTTCTTGCGCAGTAAACCGCCCATCTTCTTCATTATACTGCAAAAAGATTTTTTTGGATATATTGGCTGAAAGCCGAGGATGAAAGCTGAAACTTTTAGCTTATTCACGATCTACTTTGGCGACGAGAGACTGTGAAAAATGATGAAAGATGGTCCGAGAAGAAAAATCAGCGTTTTTGATTTTCATGACGAAAATAAGAGAAAAAATTGAAAACATCGAAAAATGTAAAAGAATCGGGTTTGAAATTTTGAGTGGTTTTATGGTCATTTTAGTCGGAACTTCACTGACAGAGCAGTAGGATCTCCGGTGGAAACGGGTAGGCCGAAAACGCATGTCCAACGAGGATTTTGAGCGCTCAAAGCGGAAGAACATTAAAAACCTAAGCATGAATCTATTCGGCATCTTCCATAAAAAGAAACACAGGTCAGTTTGAGTCTTTTTAAGAGAGTTTTATACCATTTTGATCAGTTTTGATGACTTTACCTAAAATAATATTCTAAAAATTTTTTGGTTGTCTAAAACAATATCAAAAAGTTGCTGCTGCGTCTAAAATAATAAAATTTCAGCGCTGCCAAGACTCCAGTCCACACTCCTCCTTGCGAAAATGACGAGTTTCAAATGAAAACATCGGTGTGGGTTACTGTAGTTTCGAAAACAAACTTTACTTTTAGGGCAGCCGAGCATTCGAAGAGAGCGAAGAATGCCAACAAAATGGAGAAAAGCAGGAGATCGAAGACGTAAGTAGCCTACAACAAGAATAGTTTCTTTTTTAGTCATAGCCGTGATTCCACTTGCGTCAAAAAGAATCCGAAGGAAAAAGACAAGGACGAATGTGATATCGAGGAAATTGTCAAAGACGAGAAATGCAAGAATGTGCTGAGAGAGGGGGACTTGGAGAGATACATTTTGATAGGAAGGAGGATCATCGAAGAGGAATTTGTGAAACAAACAGAGGAAGCGGCCAGAAATGGGGAGAGAATGAGGGAAAAGTCGGTCGCGGAAAAGAAAGCTAACTGTCAGTTCAAAAATGTAATACTTGATGAGCTGATTACAGATTTTTTTATAACCTTTTGTGTTTTTCAGGTCCCAAAAGCGACGCTTCGAGCAAGATAAAGGCGAAGAAGAAGGTAATCAAGGAGGACAAGGACTCCATTGACTCCAAACCGTCCAGTGAATCCAAAGAGTTTAGGGAACCAAGATCTGGAGAAGCCAAGGTGTCCAAGGTTGGTTCTGCCGAGGCCAAAGTATCCAAAGAAGGCATCAAACCTGTCAAAAAAGATCTTTCCAAAGCTCTGCCCTCACCACAAGACGATGGAGTCAGAAGGAACAGTGAAGCCAAAGATTCCAAGGGATCTGGAGTAGCCAAGGTGTCCAAAATTGGTTCTATCGAGGTCAGAGAAGACGTCAAATCTCTCAAACAAGACCGGTCCCAAGTAATGCCCTCGATACAAGATTATGGAGCCAAAAGGATTCCTGTGTTCGTGCCCAATCAGATCACCCCGACAAAATCTGTGAGTAAACCCCCTCAGGCAAAAAAGAAATTAATTTTCTTTTCAGCCATCGTATACTATCGAATACCGTCTGGTTCAAGGACAAATGGTCGCTAGATACGTCCCAAAGCAGTGAATGTGAACGCAAATGTATAGCTAATGGATATTTGTAACTGATTCTCGTATTTCAACTGTCTGGATCTCAAAAAGCAGTTTATTTGGGGAAATAAAACTTTATTGCGTAAGAATTGCATAGAATCTGATGAAAATTTACCTAAAAACCATTATAAAGCTATGTAACATTGCTAAAACCATTAAAAAATGGAAACCGAGTCTTGATTTACTGGATTTTTGACTGAAAAAACAATAGTGAAAAATTTTTGGTAAAAAAGTGATCCCACATCAAAACCCATCTCCATCAGCTATAAAAGTATTGCTTTTGTAGAAAAAAGAGGAGTATAGTACGACTAGACGATAAAATTTTGTATAAACAACAAATATTGTACTGTTAGACCATGTAGAAAGTAGTGTAACCCTAGTTGCCAAAAAAAATTTAAAACCAATCACCGGATGATTAAATCTAATGTTCGATGTCGGTTGCCCTCGCGTCTTCTGGTATTGCTTCCATATCATCGTCCTCGGCAGCACTCGCATCGGCATCAACGCGACCACTAGCCAGATCTTCATCTATCCCATCAAGCCAGTAAGTCAGAAGGGTCCCGATTCCCTGAAAAGGAAGTGGTTTATACATGAGTAATATCAAAACGACCAGATTGCTGAAAAAATATGGCCCCAAAAGCACTTAACCAGCTACTGTCGGCAATAAACGAAAATTTCCCATCGTGCCCGTCCAAATTCTAACTTCATTTGGAAGAAAAATCCAAATTTTAGGTAATAACTTACCTCCAGTTTAACCCCACCTCTTGAAGTCGTCCTAAATTCTGGATAACGCTCTGTCAGCAACTGTTGGCTCTTCAACGTCATTTGGATCTTATCCGGTTGCCCGGAGTTCTCCATTTTCGCCGCTAATGTTACCTAAAAACAGAAACCAATAAAAGATCAGAGATTCTTACCGTTCCTCCGAAAACACAGTATCGCGGGGCTGTAACACCAACAACACCTGTGAAAACACTCCCAGAATTGAAGCCCCAACGACAATGCAGCCGCTGACCAGGTCGATGTGGAATTTCATACCCAAAAAGGAACTAAAATCGGACATTATACATGACAAATCGAACGAGTTACCTAAAACGTGCTAAAAAATTTTTGAGAACCCTTACCTGTCTCTGCTTGAGGGCTGTGTAGGCAATCTCCTTGACATGTTCGTTCCGCAGCTTCTCCGGTACTCCAGATGCAACCATATAGGCATCTCCGATCGTCTCTACTTTATAACATTTTTGTTGTCCAATTACGTTATCAAAAGCCGTAAACATTCCATTTAACAGATTGACAACTTCCATGGGCTGACTTTCCGAACAAAGTGAGGTAAATCCGACAATATCCGAGTACATTATAGTCGCTGACTTGTAGAGTTTTGGAGCTACGGTCTTCCCAAGTTTGAGTTCGGTGATCACGGATCGAGGCAACAGCTCTTGAAGGATCTCATCGGATCTTTTCTGTTCGATCTGAAGCTGTCCAGTCCTCTCACTGACCAAATTTTCGAGGTTATTCGTGTAGTTTTCGGTGTTCTTCATCATCTGATCCACCAAAGAGCCGGGTCTGAAAGAACAAGGATAAGATGGATTAAAATAAAACTAATTTGCTGTCAATTCTTACCTGACATTGGGGAAGCATCACAATTTTGCAAAATTTACAGAGGATTTTTTTCCGAAAAATTTACGACACGAATTTTTTTTGACATGAAACACAACCTGCGAAAGACTGTGAAAAAATGGAGAGGTCCAGAGAAACGAAAAAAAGAGAAAATATTTCTCCAAGGAACCCAATCCAAAAACGAGTGAGACTTTTATGGGATTTGGAACGCTTGTTAGGGTCTTCGAACAAAAGTTCCAAACAAGAGGTTTGTTGAACAATCCAGCTCATGAAAATGTGGCATGGAAAGTAAATTTTGGAACGCTTGGCAGTTAGTCGGGCTAATACTTATTATTGTCTTTCGTATTACTTGGAGCCCGGTTTTTTCTCAGCTGACCAAGCAGGATGATTTCCTTTTCCCACTTTATTTCTTACTTGTAAATACGGAGTCAAGCTTACGTTTTCAAGGTTGCATCCGTGATTTTCCTGCACATATTGGCGTCTGGTCTCTGATCCGGCTTGCCATTGAAGCACCGATGCATCAGCGAGACCAGATCTGGATGCATGTCCACTTCTTCGGGGAACGTTGGATACAACGGCAACATCTCTTCGGCCGCTTCACTGAATATTCCCAAATCCTCATCAGCATCTGTATTCGTATCCAACGCGTCTTCCAGCTCCACAACTTTTCGATTGTACAAGATCTCGAATAGAATACATCCGAATGCGTACATGTCATGGGCCTGTCCTTCCTTCATTGGGAACTCCAAATCTTCCGGTTTGTTCTTTTGCACCGCCAATTTTATTGCCCTTCTCGCTTCTGGCGCGTAATAATGGAGTTCGGAATTGGGGATCATCGGAGCACCTCCGCGACCTGCCAGCATTCCCGTGTTCCGCCATCGATGGAGCATTCTGGGAAGACCGAAACCGGAGATTTTGAGGATCCAATGGGAGTCGATTAGACATTGTTCGGCCGTCAGACCGCCATGATAGCCAACGGCTGAACTGTGGATGTAATCTAGACCCTAAAAATCGGCAAAAATTATATTGTGTTAGACACACTACATGTATAGATACTTTTTATCGAAATTTTGGTTTGTGGAGTTCAATTTAACGTACTCTGATGATATCTCGAACAAAAGCACTCTGGAAATCCCGGTCAAATTTAGGCAGATGCCCAGCGTTACTATTCGCGATGATATCAGTCAAAGTTCCTCGCAGACAGTGCTTCCAAATGACGTAAAAATCGGACGCCCGATCCATACTCAGTCCAATAAATGTGTTCACATTGTCATGGATTAACTGCTTCATCTAAAAATCGTATTTTAGAATTGGTTTAAGTTGTTTACCTGAAAAAGCATGTGCATGTCCCTTTTGTCGAACATGATTTTCTCCTTGAGTTTGTATGCCTCGACTATTACAAATCCCTGACCAATTGTCCCAACATGCCGATAACGTCCTGCATAGATTGTTTGTTCATCTTCGAAGGGATTGGCGTCCAGTCGAGGAGAGTTGACACTGTGGATTTCAAGGTCTTCAAATTTCTGAAAATTTATTTAATGACTCAAAAATTGGTCCCTTTGAATTCGTTGTACATCTATTTTATCCTAGAATTAGTGTATAGAGCTCCCACTATGTTCCGATTATGACAATTGAATTTTGATTGAATTTGGTTTTCTGTCAGTAAAATGGTCGATAACCCCAAAAATCTTACCGAAACTGACTGTCGAGTGTAAGGAATGTCTAAAAAATTGATCGTGGGTGATTGGATCGCCCAAGGCATTCTGGCTGTTTCTCCTGTCTTCCTAAATTTAGATATTGATTTGGCTTTTTCCAAAAAATAACTTACATCCTTCTCACACACAAAAATCCCATGAACGCGCAGCAAATTGCAGTCATAATCGCGATCAGAATCAAGATGGTACCCCTCTGGTCACAATCTTTGCCATCAAATCCACATGAGGGCATGTCTGGAGGCAGTAGATTCAGGAGAAAACGACGATCTTCGACTAAGTCTACGTCCTAAAATTAAAGAAGTGGCATGATTAAAATTTGTGGATCAAAGAATTATGCAGAAATATGACAATTCTCCTTTTTGATATCTCCCAAAAAAAAATTCAAGAAACTGTAGGGCCATAGTATGATTGCACTTCCTATCAGAATTCTCACCAATCTGTAACAGTCCGAATGATCGTAGATAGTCCTTCCAATATTGGAATCGTCCTCGTACTCGTAGTCTTGAGAACATTCGTGTTTCACATTTATTTTCATAATCTCGGCCATATTTGGCCGGGTTGGATCGTCAGTCTCATTGGAGACCATGAACACCCGGAAGGGCTGAATACGGATCCCCATTTTGTTGAAGATCATTTGACTGAATGGGCCTGTAAGTAAAGTCATTTGATGAGACTGTGTGAACTTCTATAGGTTACCGCTGATATTATAGTCTTCGAAAGTGTGCCTCATCACCGTTGAATTGGTAAACGGGGCTCCTTTTCCTTTCTCTTTCAAGGTCTTTTCGAGTACGGTGACATAGCTGTAAATGGCTTCGTAGAGTCGCAGATGTGTGTTCATAACGTCCTAAAAGTTATTTTGTTTTTGTATTGGTCGTCTAAAATCAAAAAGAAAGTTTATAAAATTGGCTTACATCATTTCCCGAGACTCCAGACTCACTGATAAACGATTGTTGTGCTGCAGAGTAATTGTTGATGTCATTTACAATCTGAAATTTAGAATACTTTTATTTAAACGCTTTTTAGAGAATTTTAAGGCAATATTTACGCAAAAAAAACACTACTTACAATGATGGTTTGCTGAAAGTACTCCAATATATTCATGTTGATCTTCCCTCCTTCAATCCATGGAAAGGATGTTGGCATGCGTTCTAGGACAATGATTACGGCGTATTCTTCCTTTGGGATGTCTTTTTGAGTATATAACCGCATAAACTCCTTGTAATTGCTCAGTTCATTGCCAAAGGCTGGGAGCATGACTAAAAGAATTTTTTTTATATAGTTTTCACTGTCAGCAAATATGTCTTTAAATAACTGTGTAGCATCAAGAAAATAGGTCTTACTCCTTGAAGCCGCAGTTAGTTGGTCGACAACTGCTTGTAATACTGGCCCCTGTAATTGATCTGGTGTGATATCATGCTCAAATTGAATGTCAGCCGAAGATTCCACCAATGTCTTCTTAAATTCGGCGACAAATGGATGCAACTCTTCGTATTGTCCAAATTTTGGAGTATAAGCGCCGTAACACAAGGAACATGAGACTATTCCCATCTGGAAAAAAGCCAAATTAAGAAAGGACAACAGGGAGACCCTTAGGGAATCAAGTATATATGTTTCAATTACGGGGATGAATTGACAAGGGCACGTTCATAGTATGCGATTTGTAGTAATTATCATCGTCATGGCATGATAAAACGAAATCATTTTTCAATTTAAAGCACAAAAACAACTTTTAGTTATGTATCAAAAATTTACAAAAAAATTCGTTTTTTTCAGCCACATTCAGCAAGAAGCCTAAAAAATATTTTTCTGACCGCCTCTCCTCATTTTATTTTCTCTCTTACAAAAAGACCGCTGGATTTCTTCGCTTATAATTTGGTTGTAGACAAGCCCCAACTAATGCAAGATAAAATTCAGATTCCATTACCTTAAACCAATCCAAAATCTGCATCACGGCGACGACATTGAGTCCAGTGTTGGTCGCCGAGTCTGTAGAAACCTGGATCGCATCCCCATCTTCAGAAGTTGCCTTCACATCGTGCCAGAAATTTATCTGGATTGTGTCCATTCCCCTTGTCGCCCTCGATATTATATCCGCTTCTAAATTGCAAGCACTAAATTACATATGATTATATTACCGGTATCACACATGGGTCCGAAGATGACGTCATATTTTTTACCGGAGGTGTAGAAATCGCTCAAAATCTGAGCGGCCAACGGGGCCGTGCCCTGGGTTTGTGTGCAGGTCTCCTCCTCGACGATGTTTTTCCTAAACATAACAAGCAGTAAGAGTAACACTTACTGTAAAGCAAAGTTTTGGAGGACCCCATTCTGCTGAAGTTTTGATATGCAAAAATCGATGAATCCTGAGGCCGAAGAGAAGACCGAAGAGTTCAGGTAGAAGGCGCTATTGATCTGGATCTGGGACTGCGCCCTGAGGGAGAAGAGCAGGACCAGCCATGGCCACAAAGGCCAGGCGCGGAGAGGCGTCAGTGCGACGGCAATTTTTGTTTTTGGAGGCCTATCTGAAAGCAAGACGAAGGTAATTTATTTGGTTGTTTCTGCAAACACTAGGGCTCTAAAAACTAAATGATTTCAACAATCGATAAACGATTCAGAAAGGCGCTGTAAGACTTTACACTTTAAGAAACGACAAAGAAATTATAAGCCAAATGAAGGGATGAGTGGGTTCGGCAAAGGGGGCTCGAAGGGAAGGCTACATTTCAAAAGTAGGACTACAATCTCACAGCATTCATGCACAAGTTTTTTTCGCATTTTTTGGTGTTTAGCAGAGCTTGGGAGGTTTTATAAAAAAAGTTTGAGTCATGATAAAATTTTTGGACACTGTTACATAACTACGATGACAATCGATTACTGAAGAAGATTGATTTCTGGATTTATACAGAAAGGAGGGAATTTTGAAGTTTACGGTCTTATATGGACTTTATTTTCAAAAATGGGAGATGAGAGAGAAGGAAATTTAGAAAATTAATAAGGTCAAAGTTTAAGGTCTAATTTGAGTCTTTATATTAACTACAATATCTTTGATATCCCCTATTCCCCACTTTCGCAATCACTTAATAATATAGTCGAAGCAGAGTCCATTACAAGGCCCATTCAGCCCACCTTGACGGCCCAACATCAGCCATAAATTCGAGTATAAAAAAAGGGAAAATGAAACTAATCCGCTAATGGGACTGGACTGATACGAACGTGGGTAACGCTGAGAAGATTTTGCGGCCAGGTAATTACTCGCGATTCAGTTAACAGCAGCCCATTTAATGGCATTCAATATACACCCTCACGTCTCTCACTTCAGAGGCCACATATTTTTTGGGCGATGCGTGGAATGAGTCGTATATTAAAGGTAATCATCAGACATAAACAACGGAGAGCGTCCGGCCGCCAAATCTCTTATAATTGTCATTCTTGGAGGGGAAGAGGGGTTAGTAATAGGTAGGGGAATAGTAGAGCGGCTAGGATTATCAGGCAATTATTTTGATCATGTTTTTAGTCATCATAATGCAATTTATGTAAATTTTATCAGTTACTCTTGATTTATGCAAACGATTAGGGTAGCTAGGACATTCGTATTTGCTTAGATTTAATTCCCATGTTTTTTTAGTTCCTAATTTGAAGTTTGTAAGTTTTGATGACTTTTTCAAATTTATGCATACCTCAAAACACAGCCGTCAAAAAATTAGAATATCAATTGTTGAGTAGTCTGCTGCTTCCTTAGACCATCTTTGCTCACTTATTACTTTTACTCTTTTACCCAGCGCCGAGTTATGGCTGTCAGACGGGCAGAAGAGTCAACGTTTCCATGGAGACCTTCCTTTGATTGATAGTCAAAGTACACTTGGCGATACACGGGTATTACTTTCTATATTATATCTACGCTCGGACCGAAGGGACCTGCGAAGACGTTTTTTATCAAACGAGCAAGGTTATAAACATAACAAAGAAAACTGATATCAAAGAGATGTAACGTCATGTGGGATCTATACCTCATCCGTCAACTGGTGATAGGAATTGTCGGGAAATGAGTTTATACGATCTCTGGAGGCTGTTAGTGGATATTGTCTACAAATAAATTGTGATAGTAAAAAGGAAAACACTTACCCTTGAGTCCATCGCCAAAATCGCCGATAATCCCTGAAAAGAATTACAGTAAGAAAAAATAACTTTGGACATCCAGCAATACAGGAAATGAAGTGCTTACCAACAAGTAAAAAACACCATGATTACCGCGATGATCGAAGAAACCACTACTGCCAGAAAGAAGATCAGAGCGATGTCCAGCTCCACACAACCGACCGGTTGATAATCGTGGTCAACATTCTGGGCCAATAATGCGTCGTTAAAGCCCATTACTGTCACCTAAAATGTAGCCAAAAACATAAAATTTACTTTTTAGTTTATCAAATAAGTTTTAATTTCAATATTGTGACAAGTTTCATCGAAATGTGGTGGTCGCCATTCGACAAGTTTCCTTAAAATTTTTTCCTTACTCTAAACATTGGCCTGCACTGTGCACTCTCAATCAACTTGGAAAACTTTTTCATGCAGTCCGAATCGGCGTTATAAAAGTTGTAAATATCACAATAAAGCAGCAGAATTACCCCCGAAAATCCAGGCACAGCCATTTTACAGTAATCCCTCGCTTTTCTTACTCAAGAAATTTCTTTTTTTTCGACGAAAAAAATAATAATTCTTCAAGAAATCCTATAAAATCCATTTTCATTTGTTCCGTTTGGCCTATAAATGGCAACAAACCCGAATTTTTGGATTAATTTTTGGATCCATTACTTACGCGATATCTGAAACAGGAATTAAAATACGGAGATTTGGGTTGTAAGACCATCTCCGAAAGTAATTCAAAATAAATTTGTGCGGTAATTACTGGTTGTGTGGCATAAATAATAGCCATATCATATATAATAAAAAAGTTCCCATTTGGCCGGAGTTGCAATTAAAAGAAAATTTTTATTCAAGTAGATTTCAAAATTTCGGCCAAATTTTCTGAATCGTTCGAAAAAATTGAACAAATTTTAATAATTTTTAAATGTTTATCCCAAAATTACAAACACAACTCTACTATTGACCGGTTTATTAGTAATAAAAATCAATTTTTCAATCTAAATATCGACTCAAATTGTAAAGTTTTTTTCATCCACAATAGTAATATCCCCGCTCAATTCGGCCTCTTGAACTCGTTGATGTCGCTTGACCAAGTTCAACTGCTGTTCTAGATTCTTTTTCCTTTCATTTAGCTTCTCATATTCTACTGTTTCTTCATCTAAAAATAATTTTAGGACTTTCAAATTACAGTAATCTTACCGTAAGGTTTGAGCGTGGCCAACTGCTTCTTGGCCGGCTGATTTCGTTGGTCCGAAATGGCGATTAAGTTCTGAATTTCGGCCAATTCTCTTTCACTCTGTTCTACACGATTCTGCCATTCTTCCAGGGTTTGGGTTGCAGTTTCAAGTTGCTAAAATCTTTTTATATTATCCATGACAAAGAGGTAAAGTCACATCTAAAATTAAGCGCCTACTTTGCTCTGAAGTTTCTGATTGATCCTCAATCCCTTGGCCACACTAAATCGGTTCCTCAGGTTGTCCTCATCAACCTGAGCCTGTCTAATCTCGTTGCTCAGCTTGTGATGATGCTGTTCTTTCAGCACCATCTTGGCTTCAAGATCGGCCAAACGATTGTAAAGCGATTGCATCTGAAAGAATGGAAAATAATCATCACAACCATTGTCCTTTTTACACTTACTCTTTCTTCCTTGGCCTTTCTCAGAGCTTCGATTCGATCGCTTTCTTCCTTCTCCTCTTGTTCGAAGACTACGACGGAGTCATGAATTTGCCGTTTGACAACTTCTGAGTGCTCTTTTTCCCGCTGAAAAAAATATTTTTGTGGAAAAATAATTTTTAATTCAAAAAAAGTAAAATTTAGAACATTCTCTTAAAATTTTTAAGCAAAACTTGTATAAATTATCAGCAAAATCAGTGTAAACTTCCACCAAAAAAATCTACGACTACAGTAACCCACCTCAATCTCCTTGGCCAGCGTTTCGTGCTCCTGAATGAGCCGATTGCATTGTGCAGTCAACAACGAGCACTCATCTTGCAGTTTCTTTTTGCGCTCATTCATATCACTCAAAGCCATTTTCTCCTGCTCCTCTAGGATCTAAAAATGTCACAGTTCACCTATAAAGAGCTCTAATCTCACATCCTTCCGTTTCCGATCCAGTCTGGCCAATTGAATTCTCGGAGCTTTGGTGTGCTTGGATAGGTCCGGCTCACTTCTGACGCTCTTCAACGAGCCAGAAGTCCCAGACCGCGCTGATTTATTGTCAAAAGGATCGGCCAGATATCTCTCGGAGCTCTAAAATCGTGCTTTATGAAGCAAAACTTAGGCTCACCTCCAATAATTCGCGTTTTCTGTGAACTTCTTCCTTCACAGACTCCAATTTCTTTGTAACCTCCTTCAATTTGGCATCCCTATTTTGGATTAAATTGTCCAAAGCGTCGGTGGTGATGTCCTGAGGGTCTATATCCATCTCCGGAGCTCCAATCACATAGGCTTTGTACATGGCGAGGGAGCTGAAAACGAGAAATTAGTCATTCTTCAGACCTCAGGGTAACTTGCAAAACATGCGCGAAATTTTCAGTGATTGAACGCTTCAAGAACTTCACATTTAAATTAGATAAATAGCACAATAAAAAAGCCTTACTCCTCCGAAATCAACGCTTGAGTCAACGCTCTAAATCGCTCAATCCGATTCCTCAACACATTATTCTCGGCATTAATCTCGGCCAAGTCCAAGTTCATCTCGATTTGCTAAAAGAAATTGTTTTTTTTATTCAATTTCATCAACTTTTACCTTATTATTGTGACTCAACCACTCCTTTTCCCATCGTTTCCCCTCCTCTTCGAGATGTTTTATTTTGATATCATTACTCTGAATAAACTGTTCCTCCTCGGCTTGTCGCCTCTTCAATTTTTCCACTTCAATGTCAACATTGGTCGCGTGATTGGCCTAAAGTAATATTTTTTTGGTGCTAAAGACCTTTGACTTACAGATTGTTGCACATTCATCTTCAATCGATCTCTCACAGCCATGTTTTTCATGTATCTGTCTTGTATTTCCTTCTGTTTCCCTTCAATATTTTTTATCATCTTCCGGAGAGATTCGGTTTCTGCCTAAAAAAATATTTGATATCTAAAATAATCTACAGCAATTTTACAATCACTTGTATCCTAAAAGCCCTTTTCTTTCCATTGAATTCAACAGAGTTTGCAAATGATCGCGAAAAAAGCGGAGAGGACCAGAGAGAGAGAGAAAAGAATGAACGGGAAATTGGTTTGAAAAGGAACCCAGCCGAAAAGCGGGGAAGGTTTTTATGGGCTTCGGAATGATTGTGAATTTTTTCGAACAATAGTTCCAAACAAAAGGTTTGTGGACGTTTCCGGCTCATGCAAATGTGGCTCGGAGGCAAATTTTGGAATGCCTGGCAAATATAGTAGTCGGGCAAATATTATTATTCTTTGCGTCTTCAGCGAGTTATTGGGCGAAGTTTCCGGTTTAGAGAAAAAGTTCGGAGAATCTTGCCCAAAAACGGCTGTGACTTAAATACAGGGTGGGCCACTCGAAACTCCCAACCTCTTTTTAAGTATTTCTCCGCCGATAATGCACCAATTTCTATGAAATTTATATCAAATTGAAGCTGAGACACCCCATTTCTTGTCCACCAAATATGGCCCGTCTAACTTCACGGAGGCACCCGTGCTGACCTTTTACATTTTCATTCCAAATTTTGGAGCCTGAAATCGGTGAAACTTAGAAAATTTTTGGAATGATTTCCAGTTGAGTTTCTTGAAATTGGAAAATGCTCGCGCCTTTAACTAGATAAAACTCTTATAAGCAGCAGAAAAAAATTATGGCAGTCAACGGAATAGTCAAAATTATTCTTCAAGGCGTTGCTTTTGTGTTCTGGGGCGATAGGCTTAATTATTCGAAATTTTTCAAAATGTAAAAAAATGGGCGAAACTGTCTACATGCATGACGACATCCACCCCGAAGATGCATAGAAACTTCCCAGTCTTAGATTGCCCGAGAAAACAGCTTTCGTTCTCATTCGCCCAAATTGGTACCTCGCCTGATTGAAATATGGGCTTAACACACTTGGTACGGACGTAAACTTTGATGTTTTAAAATTTTTTCCGCGAATTTATCGACTTTTTTCTTGCCGGTAATCTAAAAATTTTCTAAGTCCGAGAAACTCAATTGAAAATCATTCCAAAAAAATTCTAAGTTTCACCGATTTCGGGCTCCAAAATTTGGAATGAAAATGTAAAAGGTCAGTACGGGTGCCTCCGGGAAGTTAGACGGGCCATATTTGGTGGACAAGAAATGGGGTGTCTCTGCTTCAATTTGGTATAAATTTTATAGAAATTGGTGCATTATTGGCGGAGAAATACTTGAAAAGAGGTTGGGAGTTTCGAGTGGCCCACCCTGTAGAACAAAATGTTGCAGGCAAACCTTTCGGCGACTAACTTCTGTACAGCGAAAACTTCCTAAAACAAACAGTTGTACTGGTCGAAAGGTTGAATTTACAGCCAAAAGTGTAGGCATAACAAAGCGCTTCCATAACAAATACTTTTTCCAAAATATTTGATATCTAAAATAATCTACACCAATTTTGCAATGACTTGTACCCTAAAAACCCTTTTCTTTCCATCGAATTCAACAGAGTTTGCAAATGATCGTGAAAAAAGCGGAGAGGACCAGAGAGAGAGAGAGAAAAGAATGAACGGGGAAATTGGTTTGAAAAGGAACCCAGCCGAAAAGCGGGGAAGGTTTTTATGGGCTTCGGAATGATTGTGAATTTTTTCGAACAATAGTTCCAAACAAAAGGTTTGTGGACGTTTCCGGCTCATGCAAGTGTGGCTCGGAGGTAAATTTTGGAATGCCTGGCTAATAGTCGGGCAAATATTATTCTTTGGTTCTTCAGGGGGTTATTGGGCGGTTTAGAGAAAAAAGCTCGCAAAATTTTGCCCAAAAACGGCTGAATGTTGCAGGCAAACCTTTGGGCGACTAACTTCTGTACAGCGAAAACTTCCTAAAACAAACACTTTTACTGGTCCAAAGGGTGAATTTACAGCCAAAATGGACCGCATAACAAAGCGCTTCCATAACAAATATTTTTTTTGCCCCTGGCGAGTTGTTGCATGGGCAATATATACGGTGGTTTGAGTGCATTCTCACCTTCCGATCCAACTGCCCCAACTTCATATCATCGATGGCTCGCTGTCTTTCATAAAGTTGCTTGGTAATCCTGGCCAAGTGCACTTCCAATTCCTGAAATCAAGACATTTCATAGCTCGATTTCTACTTGTAACAGTATTTTTTACCCTAATAGTTTTGGTATCACGATTTATTTCCTCCTGAAGATCGTTGGCATTGCTCTCAGCGACAAATAATTTGGTGTCCACGGCTCTTTTTTGCATGGTCCTTTGATGCACTGAACGTATTTTTTATGAACTAAATTAATTTTTGATTACTTTTCTCCTGCAATTCCTGATAAAACACTTGTTGTTTCTGCAGATGATTGGCCATTTCTTCACGGCGAGCGCGCACCTGGTCCAACCGATGTTTCACGGCTTCGATTTCCTTGTGCATCCGACTGGTTTCTCGATGTCCAATGGCCACATTATGCTTTTCTTCTTCGAGTTCTTTGCTTTGGTTTTCGAGAAGAGTCTGAAATTTCATTTTATGCAGTTTCCGTTTTTACTCGTCTCTTTACCCTCGAATAATTTTTGAATTCTTCATCCCAAAAATCTCAAAAAATAAAGAAAGAAAAATATTGATGTTTGGCCTAAAAATCTCAAAGATTTCAGCAAAACGAAAACTATAAATTTTTGATGTAAGCATTAGTCATAATTTCTCCAAATTTTGCGACAATAAAATGTAAAATATTTGCTACTTTCCGTGCCTTCCTTTATACAACTTACTCTCAAGGAATCCCTCTCATTTGTCAGACTCTCAATTATCTGCCTCCTTTTATTGTTATCATTCTGAAAGAATTCCAATTTCTCTTTTGTTTTGGCCAAGGTTTGCTCTTTATCGCGGATCTGAAAAAAATTTTTTTTGATGACTATCTTTACATCAAATTTAATCTTAAAACGCCGAAAAAACTTACAACATAGCAATAAAGCGCTAACATACCTGATCGTAGAGACTCTTGGTGTATTCCGAGGCCGTTGGGAGTACGGATTCCACCTCCGAAGTGCCAATATGGACCATTAAATCGCTGGCAAACAGGCTCTCCTTGGTCTCATCGTTCAACGACTTGTTCATTTTTATTTTTTGTCTTCTGAAAAGAAAATATAAAAGAGAAAAGTTACAGTACAATATAAATTAGAACAAATTTTTGATCGGACAATGTAAATTCGCATTATTATTGGTATTTAAAACGGCAAAAGAAAGGAATTTCCCAAAGACTTTACGGTTTTTTAGTTTCCTGCCCCAATAAATCCCGAAAATGTTGGCCGGAAGTTGTTAAAACTTTACAAGTTTATAGGGCATTCGACTTATAAATACGGGCCTTTAGGCAAATTAAGGATGTCTGCAAAAAATTTTGTCAAAAAAAATCCGAAAAGACTGAAGAATAAAAAATTTTTCCAAATTTTCCGTCCATTATCTGCAAAGCTAACTGCTGGAATTTTGCGTTGGAATGGATATTCAATGACCTTTACCAATTATTAAGAAAAAATAAATTTTGGTCTAATAAAAAGCTACAAATTCCAAATGGATAAGTTTTTTATCTTTGTAGAACAATTTTCATCAACACGAGCATTTCTGCAAAACGCGAGCTAAAGATCTCCCAAATTTCGTAGGAAATTGTAATCTGATACCAAGTTCATCAATATCCGGTGGTCGAAAAAAATATAAAGAGCTTCAGAATTTATTAAAGTCATTTAAATTGCAACTGACCTTACTAAAATGTACAACAACCCCACTAGTCCTGTTGTACAGTTTGTTTTCGACGTACTAAATTTAGTGCAATGTTGCTATGCTTTCTCTGGATGTCCATCTTCCCCGTTTCGAAAGGTCGTCATGGAATATGCTTCTTCTATTTTTCTCCATTTTGTTTTTTGCATTTGCTCCAAAACGTCGTACTGCCGATAAACAAAATTTTTGAGATTTCTGGCACTTAATTTCCACCGTTATTCAGGAATTTGTTTACCGCCTTGAATAAACTTTATGCTCGTTATCTTTTTATTCGCAAGTAAATCAAGGAACTTGGCCAAAAATAATTTTTGAATAAACTTATTTGTCATCATCACTCAAAATTTTTCCAATATTCAAGAAGATTGCAACGGTTGGCTGAGGGTTGATTAATTGGGATTTCATATTTTTACTAACACTTGTGGTGCATGCCTCTAGGATTTTGAGGTTTGCAGACAAGTGGGAGGCGTATTTAAAAATTTTCTAGGAGAGTTCTTGAATCCAGTTTCTTGTGAAGCTTGACAAAAATCTATTATATTTTGGAATTTTCTATCTACAAAGATCGCTTAACATCTAGCTGCTCTTGCAAAGGACCAGCTAAAATTCTTAGGAATTAATTTATGTACATATAGTGTATGTAGATCATTTCTACAAAATTTGAGAAAAACCTGAACTGTATGTTAACGACTAGACCCATTTTTTAAACTTGAAGAGGGTTACAGTTTCAAAATCAACAAAACTCTAAACGATTTTGACCTCTTGGTCCCCTCACATGTAATACATCATGTTCTGCTCAGAAATCTCCGTGAAAGTTGAATGATTTCGTGCCCCGAGGGTTAAAAGGTGACCTGTCATTCGCGGCCGTCAGGGGAATTTGGGGCCGAAAACATCCGTTTTCTTTTTTTAGGCCTCTATTTATTGCCTTCTTTGCATTGGTTTCCGATCTTCCGATGCCCTTTTTTGGTAGACTACCAGATGACTGGGGTCTGATTACATTAGCAGGGTATTTTAAATATATGTATACATACAGATTGATATAGAAATTGGGGTTATCCAAGAGTGCGGAAGTAAGTTTTAGGATCCTGCAAAAGACGATTTTTTGTGTTTTTTCCCAGGTTGGCCATATTTTTCCATTGTATCTTTTCAAAAAAAGTGAAGGAAGCGTTTTTAGGGCAAAAAAACTTTAGTGCATTTGTTGTATTAACACTTCAAACATAATGTAATTTTTCGAAACAAAACCATTTAGTCGATTTCAATTTCCTTGGAGACAAGCGAAAACTAAAAATCTCAAATATGCCTTATAAAATTTTAATCTAAATTTGCGACCTGTTATACCAACATCCGAGCCTTCCAATATGAAGGTTTCTTCAAAGGAACATCAAGTCCACTACCATATCCTTGTTTGTTTTTTTGCGAAACACACTCAGTTTATTCAATTCCCAGAACGGCTGAAACCCCCGTAATTTAAAATTATATAAAATTAGTATCCAAAATTAGCCATGCATTACATATTGTGCGCGTCTCTCTTCTTGGCGAGCTAATTGACACTCTTCGAGACATTGCGTGAAATTTAAATTTAATTTCGCCCATACATGGGGTTAATGTATGATATTTTGGGGGGTAAACACAAGTGTTTTTACAGAGGACCTTCCACAACTTTGAACTTGTAACTTCAGCAGAATTTGAAGCAGTTTTCTCAAGGTCAATTAAGATTAAGATGATTGACATCATTTCTTTATTTCTAAAGGATTTCCGAACGCACGATTTAATGAATTAACGGATATATTAAAACCGCTTATGTCGTCGGGGACGTTACGAACAGGTGCCCAGACTGACGCGTTATCATATTTGACAGCTCACTTGTTATCCTGCCTTCCTTTAACCGCTTTTTTTTCAAATTCTCTCGCCTTTTCGCTCGTCTGGCATCACGTAAATAAGCGGGGTTAATTATATTGCCCGTGGGCGATGATCTCGTCTGTGTGTAATTCGTTTTACTGTAATCTTGTTATAAGCCGTGGCGGCTTTTTTAGACGAACAACTTGGGGTTTTTGGTGATTTAGAGGGAGAATTCACGCAAAGTGCAAAAAAAGTAAAGAAGCTATGGATATGTATTTAATTTTGTTGTAAAATACGGAGTAGAATTTTTGGGCCATATTTTATGCAGGTCGCTTATCAATTCCAGAAAATTTTAGCTCTTGCTTTGCAAACAGCCGAGATATTCAACGCATTTTTGAGAAGGCGAGCCCACACTTTACACACATAACCAGTTTTCATTTTGACAATGGGTAAAAAAATTTTTACTGAAAACTTGGACCCAGAAATCCTGTGTTGCTGCAAAATGTGAGACTTTATTGTTAGGTCGAAATTATCTTTTCAAATTCTTTCACACCGCTAAAACAATTTTCCTTCAATTTCCCCTCTAATTGCTTGCAAAACAATAAACATTGCCTTCATAAAAATACTGTGGCCTGCTGCTTTTGCTTCTCTATTCCTTACACCAAAGACCATCCGCTTTCCCAAATCAAATAATCCATTTTCGGCGGCCCGATTGATAAGATTATCGGCCGTTCGATGCAAAGAGAATTGTGGCGCCAGAGGCGTTGTTTATAGGGCGTTTATTTCGAGCGATGACAGACGTTTGCTGAACATACTTTGGCTTTATTTGGGGGGGGGGGGATTACGATCCATTCTGGGATCTGTTTGGGGCTGACAATGAGCTCATCGGGTTTATTTGCGGTTCTTGGAAAAATCTTTAAAAAATAGCTGAATCAGACTCTTAAGGCAAAGTCAAGATCTCTGGTAGATTTTGTGAGGCGTAAAATACCACAAACTATTCAGAAATGGCGAGGTAGTTTTTCGCTATTTTTGGGACATTATTTATATTATCCATGATGAATTCTCCTATTTTTAGCCAAAAACTGCTGAAAATAGATTCCCGCCCCTTTATTGTTGGCGTTCTGCCTTTTATCCCTAATTAGAGACCACCTGAAGTCATTACCCAGATTATTTCTCTACGGAATGACACCAATCCATGCTAGAATATTAATTTCCCCCCGCAACCCTCATTACTCCCGAGTTTTTCGCGGAAGTCAAACCCGAATTCTATTTGCCTAATAAGTCGTATTTATAGCTGCATTAACGACATTAACGAGCCTGAAAAATTTTTTGAATTCCAAACGAGTCCTGTTTTTTGATGCCCTGAGGGAGAAAAAAGCCAAGGTTTTCCGCACGGTGCATTCAAGCGGCGGGGTTACTTTGCAAAAGCAGACTAAAAATAGTACCCATATTTGGGCACTGATTGCATATTTGTCTGATTTTGAGGGTCATTAGCGAAAGAAATTGGATTATTGGACATAAATATGGCCATATTTGGGAATACGATGAAGCTTTTCGGAAGTAAATGAGACAAAAAGTAAATTTGAGTCGGTTAATGAGCAGATTCGCCAATTTTGAAGTACTGTAAGACCCTACGGAACTGAAAAATGTCTGAAATTAACTAAAGAAATCATCATTGTATCAGATTATATAATTTTATGCCATTAATTAACATGTTGAAAGTCCGGCTCTTTTTACCAGGAAAAGCTTTTTTAAAAAAATAGCGTGCGTTTACTTCACACGTACTACTCAGTAATTGTAAGGGCTTTTTGCGGGGGTTACTTGCAAAAGTAATTCGTTTGAGCTCCGAAATTCGTTGGGAAAATGTTTGAACAAAATTTTTTAAAGCTAAAATTTTTTTGTGAAGGTTTTTTGATATGAACAGTAAGAGTGGGAATCTATTTCGTATGTGATTTTGAGCGAATCGAATGAAATTTTTAGATTTTGGTCTATTTTTGCGCATGAGAAAATTGGTAATTTCTTGATGAAAATCGTCTTTCCTATGACTTTTTTGATGCCCAAAACCTTTGAAAAGGCATTTAGTTTTTACTTGAATCCGATAGCCTAAAGGTTTAACCAAATTTCTCCAAAATTTGACCTTAAATTCAACCGTTCCTTCCAATTAATTCGGCCTTTGTTATTCAGATTACGTAATTTTCGTGGAATTGGTTCGTTAATTATGAACAGAACTTTGGGAGTGTGCCGCTTTTTGTCTTTCGGGCTGTTTAATGTGAAAAAGAAGTTGACTTCCTTCCGGCGTTTTTCTCCCCGTCCTAAAGACCCGTTTTTATGTTTTTTGTCCCCATTTTCATCCTCAAATGCCGTGATTCAGAGGGCGACATTCAATTTTCACTCTCCTCTCATCCATTCACCACACAATTTGGGGGAGTAATATCTGTTACTATTTATACTTTTTTTGAGTAATATCATCAAATATAAGTATAATCTGATGTAAATTAAGGTCGCTTTTATGCGGGAGCTCATTTATTTTTCCTTTATTATTATTGCAACTGCCTTTGCATCCCACACTTGTAAAAAATACTGTGTACTTGTTAATTTCGACAAACATTATTATTTGTCATATGTAGCCGAATTAAAAAACGTTGGCGAATTTCCGCTTTTTAATAAGGTACTTTTTTTTAATACTGTTCACGTCGCTGGAGGTTTGAGAAAATAAAAGTGCACCCTGCCCTGTGCAATTTGTTGCTTTCTGCGCCGTACAGATAACTGGCTTCTTCGAGCTGTCGCCGAAGCTACCCCAGCTACCTTGCGAACGAAATGCAATCCCTGTTTTTACTCAAAAATTCGATTTGCCCCATTTTTTAAAAATTTGGGCCGCGTTATACCGTTTGAACGCTTTTTTTTTATTTTTTCATCCAAGGTTTGACTCAAAATTTACAGTTTCCACTTTTCCGATGACGTCACCGTTTTGAAGTAAACTTCTGAATTGCTCCACTTCATTAGAGACTGCTTTAAAATGCTGTAAAAAGTACCCTCACGTTACCCGCGCCATTCATGCCCTCCGGCATTCCCTTTTATCCTCCCCTTTGGTTAATATACAAATTCCTTTTTACGGTTATTTCGGGCCCTCGAATATAAAACTCGTTGAAAGTTGACTCCTTTCAAAACAAATTTCGGTTAGCTTGATGTGGAATAAAAGGGATTATGAAGGTTGTTATATCTCATTTCAGAAGTTTGCGGTATTATATAAGTGCATAATATACATATAACTATTTTAAAAATTAGTTTTTATTGAGAGTGTAGAGTGAAATGTGCCTTCAGAAAATCCTCTTTTTTCTACCGTGCCCGCTCAGTGATAGCCGAGACTTCTCTGCCTCTCATAATTTTCTGTAGTCTCTCGCCTACAAAAATCCTTGGAAATATCTGTTAATTTTGGAAATTAAGAGCTGAATTTTTTAGTACTTGTTTCTTGATCATACGCACAAAAGTTGACATACCTCCGACCGTTGAGCCTTGAGCATCACCTCAAATCTCCTCTAATCAAAAACTTTTCATAATTTTAAAATCTTTTTTTTTGCAATCCGTGAAACTCCGGAGCCTTGCAGATTATGCAAATGTGTCTGGCCCGCCTCCCACCACCGGCCTTTGTTTATGTTTTTGTCGAATATTTCAGAAATTCGTGGAAACTACAGAGTTCGGGGGAATAAGTAATGTCACAAGCCAAGGCCGTATTTTGAGTCAGGAATGTCGAGTGGTGAGAGTGTGAGAAGCGGCAAATATATCTGCGGGACTAAAGTTTGGAACAGGCTATATTTTCTTTGCGGCTTGAGATCGGAGTTTCATTTCTTTTCTATAAGAATCGGAATATATTAAAACCCCATAATGGATGCATAGCCGTAGAAATCAGAAAGCTCATATGAGCAAAAAACAAAATTTTTAAAAATAGGTGGGACAAAAGTTTGGAACAGGGTTAGGAATGCGATCATAAATTTCGCAGTATAGTCAAAAACTCCTAGGCTTTGGTATTTTTAGATGCTGCGAGGAGTCAGGATCTCAACGACATACTGATTTTCATCGATGAACTCAAAATGAAAAAAATTCTTATTGAGCCAACAATGACGGTCAAACTTGCGAAAAAAAATTATTTTTTGGGTTGGGTTCTCTATGTTATCGGTGTGTAAGCATTCTAAAATATTTGATATGGTCGTATAACCGTACAAAGACACTCAGATATTCGCATAGGAACCTTATCCGCACAGTATAATTTATGAAAATTTTGGAATGTGCTTCGAATCTTGGTCTAATGAATTTTAGATTTTTTGTATGACGACATGAAGACTAATTGGCCCTTTTATGATCACTGTGAGATAAAAAAGTATCTTCACAAAGCGAAACCTGACCGCAATTTGCAATATCCCACGCCAGATGTTTCAAACATTTAAAAAAATTTTCGGTCACCAAAATCAATGTTTATATCGACCTGGATTCCTAGTATGATACATTGTAGAGTTGGCTAACAAAACTATATCAGTGTGGTAAGGATAAAGGCATTTAGTTTGGCGCCATATGGCGACCTAAAATTAAGGTAAAAAATATGGGTCATCTTAACATCTCATATATCCGGGTTTTTCGAAGTTGTGGCGTTTCGTGTTGCAAATAGCGGTTGGTTTTTGTTTTTTGAAGATACCTTTTCATCCCACAAAACCTAAGAAAAGGCCAATTAGCCATCAAGCCGCCTTATAAAAAATATAAAAATCATTGAACCAAGATTTGAGGCACAACTCAAAATTTTCATAATTTATACTATGCGTATACGGTGCCAATGGGAGGATGTGACTATCTGTATGAGATTATGCGACCATAATTGATATTTTAGAATGCTAATACATCGATAACATTGGTAACCCAACCCAAAAAATAATTTTTTTTCGCAAGTTTGACCGTCATTGTTGGCTCAATAAGAATTTTTTTCATTTTGAGTTCATCGATGAAAATCAGTATGTCGTTGAGATCCTGACTCCTCGCAGCATCTAAAAATACCAAAGCCTAGGAGTTTTTGACTATACTGCGAAATTTATGATCGCATTCCTAACCCTGTTCCAAACTTTTGTCCCACCTATTTTTAAAAATTTTGTTTTTTGCTCATATGAGCTTTCTGATTTCTACGGCTATGCATCCATTATGGGGTTTTAATATATTCCGATTCTTATAGAAAAGAAATGAAACTCCGATCTCAAGCCGCAAAGAAAATATAGCCTGTTCCAAACTTTAGTCCCGCAGTATACGGGGGGAACTGACGTCAAAACGAGCCTCGGTATTTTTGCCCTAATAATCTTGGCAGTTTCTCCAAAACGCGAGCTAAAAATCTCTTACGTGACTTACGAAAGTTTTATCAAACTCTGAGCGTCCCACTCCAAGTGATGCCTCCCTGGTGCAGAATGCCAAAAACAATTTGAATTTTGCGAAATTTTAATCCGGCTGAACTCGAGATTATTAATCGGCCTCACCACTTGAGTCGGGCACTGACTGACTACATGTTTTGGGTACTTATACTTTTTTTCAGCAAGTACTCATATTTTTTGACGGGAGATTGTATGTATGTTGCCTCTTGATAGCTTACAATTCTTACCTACAGTCTTGTTTCCACTCTATTTTGGGCTCTAATAGATCAAATAAAATTAATTTTTCTTTGGATAATGACGCGAATTCACTCAGCTGAGTCCCTTAATTCTTTTATTTAGGGCCATTCCCCTCAGGCATTAGACTCCCATCTCAGGCCAATGGTCTCTGTGGACCTTCCTTCTTATATTGTAATCCAGTATGCGAGTAATTCACTACTCTAATTTGCACTTTGACCAGTAATTCGACCTTCTTTGTTATATTTTTTCCCTGTTTTCTTCTCCTATTTCTATTCATTTCAAGTGTCATTTTCCGTCATGCAGCCGGATGAGACCCTTAGGGCATGCGTCTCAATTTGAAAACTGAGAAACCTTAACTGAGCCACAAATTTCCTTCTTGATTGCCAGGGGGCAATTTCTGCTTTCCTTCCAATTACTTTTTACTTGCGATGAAACATTGAGATGCAGCTGAGCCCTGAGGGCGTCCAGATTTATGGAGATAAATGGGGACATTATTTGCTCTCTTGGGCTTGTCTTCAATTTTTTTAAAGACGTAAACATGGGCTATTTTTCACTAGAGGTCGTTGAGTTTATTATACCTGAATGTTTGGATGAATAGGTTAAAATTAGTTGATATTTACCACTTCGTAGTTTTAATGAGGTAGTTAGAAGAGATTGGCTAGATTAGTTGCCTCGTGTTCTATTTTATGCCACCAAATCGGGCCAATTATATTGTTCTCGAGGACCAGAAAATTTCAAGAATTCTATTATCGAACATTCGCCAAAAATCAAAAAAAAAATGTTTCTGAGTACTTAAAATCGTTTTCATACAAACTGTTATGGGAAAAAAATCAAACTTAAATGCCCATACAGAAAAATCTATATTCACATTGCATTTACATAAGTCCGAGTGCGTGTTGTTGTTTGCGCAAAGGGTTTCCCACCAGTCTCCGGATTCGGCCGCTTTTGGCCGCTATTTCCTGTAATTTTAATGTCAAAAACATGGAATTTTCTGGGTATGATGGTCATGGCCGGAATTGGCTTCAAGTGCTTATTTGGAGGGTTTCCGTGATTTCGAATACTTCAGGGCTTCGAGGCTTCGTTTTTTCTTAAGGAGACGGTTGTTTTTGAACTTTTTGGCACTTAAAAATGGCTTCGACGAGTAGATCTCTGCATTTTTTGGGTTGTTTTGACTCGAAGAAGGAAGTTGTAAGAAGCTTATGGGCGTGTTTTGACAGTAATGACCCTAAATCGTGTAAAGTCGGTTCATTTTGTCCACGAGTTCATCTTTTTTCGGCATTTTTGATGGTTTTATTCATCTTCTTTTGACATCTTCCCCAACATTTTAATTAAAAAAATGTAACTCATATTGTACTTGTTGCTACAAACCGCCACGTTCATTGTTCATTTTAGAAGTGGCAAAAATATAAGACAATTAAAAAATACAAAAAAATCAATTTTCAAGCATTTTTAAAAGCCTCCTTTTGACTACTTTTTAATCTTGGTTCGTATGCTTACAATTCCAAAAAAAAATACTTTTTCGAATACTTGTGACCTATCGCCTCAGACATTTATTATTTTATCTCTTTTTGGACGTATTTAATATGCAAAGTGAATATCTGATATTGTTTTCAGCACAAGACAGTAAAATTCTCCAAGCCCTGTTTTCCAAAAACTAAAAAAAACTTTCTTGCGTCAAATACCCACGCAAATTGTAGTCAGTATCTGCCCATCTTTGTACAAAAAATGAATCAAGGCCATTGTTTTTGCGTTTTCCCTTCCGCTTAGAGCTTATTTAGGTCCCCGCGGAGGGGGAATATGGCCAAGAATCTGTGCGGCCACAAGATATTTTTTATATTTTTTACTTTTCTGTTTATTTTTAACATTTTTAGCCATGAAATTGGAGAAAGTGGGGCCTAATTTCAATTGACCGCTCTATTTTCCCTTAGGGTTTTATGTAAATGAAGCCGGGATTTATTTCCATTAGGGAAGCGGAAGAGATTTCAGGGAATCCGTTTTATTGTAAAAGCGTTATAAGAATTGTTTTCGAGGATTTGAGATTTTCAGAGGAGGAAAATCATGCTAATGCTGTTTAGATTTCAGTCAGCGAGTGGCTTGAGGTTCGTATTTAGTCTTTATTATAATATTAACAAAAAATTAGCAGTTTTTATGGCTCCTTGAAGGCTTGAAACATAATGCCAAAAGTTGGCGGGAAATTGAATTTTTGAATTTTAAATCAGTTTCAAATAGTTCAATACTGTCTGGCAGTTTTTGAATAGCACTCCATAAACTTAATTCTCTGTTTTCTATCTCCCTAAAATTCCCATTTTCTCTTAATTTTCCCCTGAAATTGGCCTTTTTTCTTTTCTCATGTGGCCAAATCCAAATTTATTTAGATTCATTAAGCCCATTTGCGTCTCTAATTGTCCGCCTCAGGCAAAAAAAAAAGAACATTGGGACACAAAACGGCGGCTAACGGATCCATTCAGCCGCAGGGGATTCAATTTATTAATTTTCGTCCAAATTCCGGCTGAATTTAAATTTTGAATATAAAAAACGGCCGAAAACAACTCATGGGTTAACAGTATTCAATTTTTCCAATTTTCACTTAGACAGTGCAGTTTTTCCAAAAATAAAATGTTTTATTTTTTTTGATTTTCAAAACTTTTGTTCAAGGAGTCAAAAAAAATTGTTGTCGGATGTTCACAGTAATTGAATATTCATAACTTGAGTGTATCTCGACTCGCTGACGTCTAAAAAATATCGTTTTGAATGGCCGAAAATTGAGGAGTCCCAAAAACTTTTTTATTGGTTGCGAAGATCGAATGACCTCAGGGCATTTGAGAAAAAAACGCGGGATGATGTGTTCTAGTTAGACTTGATTTTGTTTGAGGTGAATCTTGTTAACGGCGGCCTTCTTCTCACTGAGGACAACAGAATTTTAACTTATGAACTTTGGAGATGTCTGAGGGCAAATAGGCTCCTGAACTCTCAAAAAAATTGTGCAAATTGGAGTAAATTTTATTAACAATCTATTGTGGCCTTACCCCGTCAATTGGGGCAATTCAGGGAGAAAAAATTTTGAAAATTCAAATTTCCCGCCAAATTTTTTCCTTCTTTTGAAAGGATTTATGTGGCCTCACAATGGAAAAGCGAACTGTAACAGGCGTAATAGAGTAATAAGGATAGCCGTATTCATACTTTAACAGCAATTTTTCTGACCCTTTTATATTATTTATGACGTCTAATCTCATTTTTCCTTTATCAGCCATTTAAAGTCCAAATTTTTTGAATCTTTGTTTTCACTCCCACTTCTATCAAATTTTACATCCTCCTTTATCCTTTTATTTCCTTAAATTCAAGCACTTAGGATCTCAGCATGCGATTTACAGTACTTTTTTGAATGCCCCGACCTCCGCTTTTCTTTATGTTTCCAATAATTTCCAATTTCCAATTTCCAGAGTTTTCTCTGCTGGAGATTTCCACTCTTGCTAGCAGTAATACTTAACTACTCAGCAAAAAACTTTTTTGTTTTAAATAATTTATTTTGTAACTTTGGAATCGAATAGTTATCGTTTTTATCGCTTGCGGGCATTTCCCGGAAACCTTGAATATTTTGTGCTGTTCCTGCTGAAAGCGAAAAGCGAGTGGAATGACGGGATGAAAGGCTTGCCATCGGTCTCTTCTGCAAAGTTCTTCATGATGCCATCTACTTTAATATTACGTAGTGAGGGCGTTCACTCTATTTTTAAGGGCCATTGAAAATATTTTTCCTTTAATATTAATTTACTCATCTATTAAAACACTTTATTACCAAAAACATTATTATAGGGCCGAAAATTTTAAGATTAAAAATTCCGCCAAAATTTGGCATTGTGTTTCAGGTATCCAAAGTGCATCGAAGCAGTCCAAAATAGAATATTATTATTGATAAAATACAATTTAAAATACCGCTTTTCCTTTCTTTATGTCGTTTTTGTTTATTTGATTATATTATCCATGTCAAATTTGATTATTTTCGAACCCAATTTACCTAAATTTCCACCTTTACTTTAAAGACTACCACTATCATAACAATTACCTTTTAAGTTTTCATTTGCATGTCATTTGATGCATTTTCTGAAACGCAATTTCCTTCGTCATCACGACTCAAATCCGTTTAACAGTTCTATTTTGGTTTTGTGAATTGTAAATTGCGGGCTTCTGCGAGCATTCCCAGGTAGTAGACGTCCCGCGAGGCATGGTTTATTTATACTTTCTACAATTTTTGGGGTTAAATTTAGATGTTTTGTAGTTTTGGTCATGTACAATGTAATGGTATTAAATTTGTAAGATTATTTTGGTATCTTGTTGTCGTATCTTACAAATATAAATTTAGTTGCGTTTAGTTTGCTCTGGCTTCATTTACCATGTTATTAGCCGTCGTATTTCCGAGAATGCGAGGTTTTTCTTGGGATCTTTGCCCAAATTCCATTTTCCGAACTTCTTTTGGCCGAATTTAATATTTATTTTTTTCAGTTATACCTAATTATCCCTTCAACTCTCTGAATACTCCCTAACCATTAGTCACAGACGTTTTTGAAATTATCTATACTGTGTTTTTACTCAACTTTTGGCCTTTTTCCCGAATTCGGGGGAATAAATTGAGAAAATTCAATTAAATTTGTATAAAACCCATCCGGAATGACACGCGGATTCCAATTTTAAATTAGTGACGCGTGAAATTGGGGAGTCTAGGCCTTCAGGGGATTTGGGATTAGAAGGTTAAGGGTGGGGGGAAAGATTAGTCTCGGGGGCAAAGTAGGGGGAAAAGTTGTCGTAAATATTGTTAGGATAAGAGTTGGGGGTGGGTTCGGGGATTCAGAGAAAGGAGGGATGGCTCGGAGGAAAGTGAGAAAACAATAAACAACGCAAAACCGCAAAGAAATTTGTTGATTTAGAGGTTGTCTTGATTTTTACTATCATCATAGCAAGAATTTGATTTTTTTCGAAAAATTTAGCTGTTTAGAATACAAAATTTCTCCCACTTTCAGCCAAAAAAATATACAAAACCTGCGAAAAATCAACCTTTTTTCCCTGAAAATCCCAAAAAATCGCTCAGAAATAACTTTTTTTGGCCTACAAATCCACTTCAAACTTGGCCCAAACTTGTGTCATTCCTTATTTCTCGATAACGAACACAAATATCCATCTAATCCTTAAAAACGTCACCGAATTCGCTCAAAGAAACTTGAGCGATTAGCCGTTTTTTGCCTTCATTTCATCCCTTTTTAAGCCTTGTTTTTATTCCGAGTTGAGGGTGGGTTTAAGCCTATTTACCTTGACGAGGAAATGGAATTAACCAGACATTTTTATCGCCCTTATGCAAGACTACATCTTTATTATCCATTCGCTCTTTTTGCGACTTCCTGTGTTCTATTTTAGAGATGAAAAACAGAAAAGAAAGGAGGGCCAGACTGCTAGACTGTTTCGGAATTAATTCGGACTAGATGGGGGATAAGCGGCTGAAGGAGGAGGGAGTTCTCACGGCATCTTTGATCAATGGTCATATTTTATGGGGGTGTGTTGGAGAAAAAAGAAAGAACAATCCATTTTTTGGACTTGGAGACACTTCCTCAACAAAAATTGTAACTTTTTAATCCTTTTTTATTATTGCGGGCCATGAAAAACTATACGATAAAGGCTCAGATTCTAATAATAAAACTTGGCATAACTTTGGATTAATTCTTTCTAACAATAAGTCATGTTCGAGATCCCCGCTCGATACATATTGCAGAAACGACTGGGATTTGAGTTGACGGAGGCAATATTCTTTTATGCAAGCTTATTCTTAAAACATTTCAACGTGTTTTTTTACATTCTTTTCTATGACACATCACTTATTTATAAATCCCAATTTCTCCAAAAATACGTATACCTTTCAAAATATCCCCTTTTTTCTTCCATTCCTCTCCAAAAGTGAACCCTTGTCAGGCCTTGTATCCGGCTCATGATATTACTGCGTTTACAATTTTTACATTTGTATCTACATCATCACTTTTTCGTTTTATCGTGTCCGCTTAAACAGGTCACGATACGTTTCCAGCCGTTTTTTACAACATTTTTGTTTTGTCTTAATTCTCATCGCGATTTTTCCAAATTTAAAGTCATCATAGGGATTGGTGGGTAATAAAAAATGTGTTTTTAGATCCACAATTGCTCTGTGTCCCCAAAAATCTTAAAATCGCGGCGCGCAACGACTCCATCGAGCTGGGCGAGCAGTGGCGCGCCAGTCCGGCGTGCTCGTCCACCACCTCCACCAGTTCGGCCTCCAACGCCAACGTCTCGAATGGGACGCGAAGTACGGCGCCAGAGAATGGCTACCGACATACCACTGTGACGACGATTATCACCGAGGAAGAGGAGAAGAATGGCAACAACGCGCCGGAATGGGAGGGCGTTCAGACGGTGCACCGGCCCAAGAAAGTCAGGCTGCCAAGTCTGGGGGCCGATTCCAACATGAGCTTCGGTCACAATGATGGGTAAGTTTTAACGTTCTTCTCTTGAAGGGGAATTAAAATAATGGAAAAGGGTTCTAACTGCGACGTGAAGCTTTTGCACCACATTTTGAAGAAATCTGAGCATCGCACTTGTGGTTCTCGAAGGAAATTCTCGAGACACAACTTCCAGTTGCCACAAAACGAAGCCAGAAAGTGAACTTGTCATCCCATTTTACGTTTGGTTGACTTCCTCTAGATAAATTTGAGTTCCATTTCTCACGTTTTAATACCAATGTTTCGAAGAATTTACTCCGTCATTTGACCTCTTCATCTTCATTTTCACGTAACACGCCGAAAAGGTTGATCAAAAATTTCGGCACGTATTCAAAAATTGTTTTAAGTATTTTTTAAATTTTAAGCGTTAAGCGATTTTTACTATGGTAAATAAAAAATTACAGACAATTTAAAAATTTTGTTATTTTTTTGACCTAAAAGTCTCGCTTTTTTTTTGCAAATCAAAAGCTAAGAATTTGGCAAACATCTATGTAAAAGAGACTAAATGTGTTCCAGGCTTGATCAAAATTAGATAGAATCAATTTAGAGCTACCATTTTATCTTAAACTTGACCCCTTGTTCTCCTCAGCACCCCGAAGCCATTACCTTTCCCTCATTTCTTTGCAAACACTGTCATTTGTCATCAGACCCCCTCCATTTGCCTCAGCCTTCCTCAAAGCGCGTTCAATTTGCTCACCGAAAGTGTCCATGCTTATTTTGGCGAGGAATACGCTGAAGAAATCTAATTTTCGCCTCCTTTTCTCGATATGCGAAAAAAGACATTTTCCGACATTTTGCGGGTGGAAAAAGTTTTCTGGAGCGCATAATATATTCGGATGAACATCCGGGGCAAGAGCGTTCAGTACGAAAGAATCACGTTGCTCAGGTAATTTGAATATTTCTTTTTGGCCTTTTCGGGGTCTTTGGGCCGTTTTTTCCGAAAAGGGATGACAAAAAATGTGTGAGTTGGAAGTGGAAAGTTTGGTGATGTAAGTATAGGGTCGATAAATGGGGAAAATCACCCCGCAGACTTTATTTTAAGTTCTCTAGGACTTGAAAATCAATTTATGATTAATTTTAGAACAGGATTTATATTATTTTGGGTATTTTTGTAGATAAATTTTGCAAAAAAAAATATTTTTTAAACTGCCTAAAATAGTATTTTGGGCTGTGTAATGTCATTTACAGTTTTCTGTTTCAGCACTCTCCCTCAGCAGCCTCGGAATTCGCTAAATTCGGAGCTCGCGCAATCTACCTCATTCACGAACGATCCCCATAAACGTCAATCCAGCAGTGCATTTACGGCCGTTTCCGAGGCCTCTTCTTTCCAATGTGATAATTCTCCGTTCTCGGCCGAAGATCGGGCCTATTATGAGTTGGAACAGGCGCTGCAATACCCAGTCTTACCACCGAATCCGCATTTTTTCTGTTGTTTTGATCGGTTTCACATTACAGTAAGTTGGAGATTCGAATTTTAAGATAAAAATAGCGGGGGTAAAGTCTTTGGATGTTGAAGAAAATTGACACCTTTCTAAGCAATTTTTAAAAATTTTTGGTCGCGCTTTGCAGAAATTAATATTATTTCTTTTATTTTGGCATGTGCTTGTAGAGTAGAGATAATTGAAAAATCGGGCAAAGGGTCCAAATAGTTTTTGGGCTATATTTTCGTAAAAAAATTCGTTTTTGGTCATTGCATTAACTTAAAAAGTTTTCTGAATTTTTCGATCTAACAATTTTGGTGGTTACTGCAAAGGGTATGCTAAAAATCTTACTCATGAATATTCTTAGAAAATTCTATAGTTGTGTCAAGCTTTATGAAAATTGGAGTATTTTTGGCAGCATGAATACTAAGAATCTTTCCCATTTTCAGGCAATATCGAAGGTCCTTTGTCTGCTCTACGTCATCTTTTATGGCTTTCTGTGTTATCTCAGCTACGATCCGAATCACGCAGCGGCTTTCCTGATCTCTGTTTTGGTCGCCATCTCGGTTGGTTGCTGCCTGGTTTATGCCGTTTTTCAATGGTCCAAACTTTGCCTGATGCCGTTCTTTCTGCTCCAGGTAAGCTTATATTGCACTGGGTAGTCACAATTACAACCAGGCATCAAAAAATAGCAACTTCTGATTTTTTAATTGTAAAAATTACTTTTTTTCAGGTGATATTGATCATGTACACGATGGTTTGGATGGTCTTTGTGGTGTATGCGGCCTTAAGTCCGGGAGATTCCTATGTGTTCAAGGAAATGCATCAGACCTTCGATAACTGGATGGGTATTTGCACACAATTATGTGAGCTTTCAACCTTGCTATAATTTTTATTTTTATAATTTTTAAAAATATAATTTTTTTGGAAAAAGTAAAATAAAAATAAATTTAAAAAAATATTATCCTTGCCAATTTCAGGGTGCTGGATTCTCCTGGCCGCCTTGGCCGTCTTCTTTGCCTTTCTCGCCTACAGTGCGCTCCTTTTTTGGTACGAATACCAGTTCATCGCGGAGGTGGATCACTTTTTGAAGTCAATTCGAAAGAGTTCTTCCAATGTCTCCAAAGAGAATCACGAAACTCAGAATGGGGCCAGGATGCAGATGTAATCAAAAAAGGAACTTGAACTGCAAGAGTCTAAACAGAATCCTCTAACTTTATTTTACGGGTATGAATAAAGATTTGAATTCTTTTTGGAGGAGTGCTTACCAAGGTTTGAGCCTTTAGGGCAAAGATTTATGTGCATTTCAGGCTATGCATAAGCCAAAAAATTTTACTGATCTACACAGCCAATAAAAAATAGTCTTAAAATTAAGCATAAGACTTTCTGATGTTTTCTAAAAAAAGTAATCGCAAAACTTTTATTTCGTCGCACTCGATTGTCTAGTTTCATTTCCCAAAATTATTCCCTAAGGGTTCTAAGACCACATGTAAAGAGTAATCATTTTATTACACTGTCAATTATAAATATCGCTTTACCGTATAAGACACGCAAATAAACTATCAGGTCGATGCATAACTATCCGGCGTTTTTGACCAATTGCGCGAGTTTTTGTCGGAGAGTTCGTGAGGGACCCATCCAGCCAATTTCCATATCATTCCAAGCTTTTTGAGACGTCGAGCGATCGTTGACTGCATTCGTGTTGTCAAGCTTTCGTCGTCTTCCACGGCTGCCAGAAGTGCGTCGAAATCCTATGGCCGACCTCTTCTTGGCTTATCTTGCAAGCTGGTGTCACTTGATTTGAAGCGGGCAAACCACTCCCTACACTGACCGAAAAGTTTGTTGAGATCGCGAAATGACTGTGCTGCCTTCCAACCTTTCTCGAAGTAGTAGAGCATAACATGGCGAATATGACTACGGTTTTCGACACGCATTTTTATTAACTGACTAGAGAAGATTATTTTTACGAAAAAAATTAAAGGACCAAAACAACTACATTTGAACGCGGATTTTTACGGCTTGGAGGTGCGCCTCGCCAAAAGTTGCGAAAATCCCGCGAAAAAAATAAATACAAAAAATAATTGAGAATTTCTCTCGAACATGTTGTTCACGGCTTGCCCAAATGTAGAAAAAAACGTCCAAAGAAAAATTAACGACATTTTATACGATGAAACGTTTCTAATCTTACTTTAATGCCAGAGAAAGTAGAACTGTCGATATTGATAGGAATTGTTAGAAAACCCATTTTACATCTTTATTATTAACACAAAAATATTATTCTTGGACATTAAATTTAATGAATTTGGTAAACATGGATATAATATTATAGTATAATACATGGATGTTGCCATCAAAGGATGCTTCAGAATAGGCTTTGTTTGATAATAATAATGCACAAAGTTGAATCGTCAATATCGACCATTCTGACTTACATGCGCGCGAATACTATACTTGCCACGCGCCTAGGGGTAAATGTCATGACTTCGCCTGTGAAATCTCACAAAATCTGTCAAAAGCTTAAAAATTGCAACAAGTGTATGTATCGTTATTAGTACCTTGCGTAATCTTCTAATATTCCAAAGCAAACCGAGCCTTGTCGCCTATCAATTGTTTTCGGTATTGATGTATACGTCAACTGCATCAATCATCGAGGGCACCTCAATATTTTTGAATGATGCAATGCTGAATTTGTCTTCAATTGACAAGGCTAAAAAAAAATGCTATAGACACCCAGCAATACCTTACACTAAAACCTATTTTAATGAAATTACGAAATTTATAATTTCCAGATATTGAACTTGCCTAGTGGGAAACGTTGAACATGCTCAAAACCTCGGTTTCAAGCCTAGATTTGGATTATATGGGCTTTAGACCCGTTTTATGGAATTTTAGATAGGGTTTTCTAAACCCAGACATCTGAGTTTTTGTGGTAAGTCAGATTACACCTGCATATAGTCATCAATATTCAATATTCACCATATCGCGTTAAAACGAATCCAATAAGCATCCATGGGCATCCTTTGATGTTTTTAGAACTATGAAATTGTTAACTGACCCTTTTCTTCACATGGAAGATTGCTAATCGATGGAATTCAAATATTCAAAATATCACCACAAATCAATGGGAAACGTTGAAGTTTATCAAAAAATTGTTTCAGAATCCTCAAAATTTGCGTATATACCCTTCAATAGGTTCGCCGTGGACTTAGCAGAGAACATTTTGAAAATTGTACCATTTACGCATGTTGTGGCACATTGTACTTGGGGACTTGTTTGTCACCTTTTTACAAATTTTGACATAACTTTTTTTTCGTCATTTTTTAAGCTGCAAAAAGTACAGGGCCTAATAGTAGAACATCAAGGGTGTCAACTAATACAAAGAAGCTGTGAAATCTATAATTTTTCACAGAACAATAGGACTTCAAAGGTAGGCACCTCCGCTATTTGCAATGGGAAACGTTGAAGTGTATCAAAAAATGGCCCAATTAAGATGAAACTTTTTCTGGAGCATCGTCTAGGACGTCTACATGGACTTAGCAGAGAACATTTCGTTTATTGCATTTGTTTGATTTTATACATGTTGTACAAGATACATCAAAATTGCTGATATTGAGGGCCTCGTATTTCTCGATTCAGAAATGATACCGATACAAATAATGGCTTAAATAGATGGTAGACATTCAAAGAAAATAATTATCAAAGTTGTTTTATGTGATAATAAGCGCTTTGCACCTTTTGAGCATCAACTCTGAGGTCCACTTCTCTGGAATTTTTCAAGAGTCGGGCGCGACCTGCGAAGGGCGTGTACGTTTTTTTCTCAGATTTTGGTCAATGTGGGCAAGCCGTGTGTTGACAAGAAGAATTGAGGTTTTTATTCATGTTCAAAAGCTGGGAACAAGGCTGTTTGGTCTTGTGGATCGAGACAATACCCCTTCAGACGCTTTTGGGGAACACTGATGTAAGTTTTTTTTGATTTCGACGGTTTTTTTTCGCATTTAGGTAGATGTGAAGGAAATTGTGCAATTTTTTTGATGTCCTTTGAAAAACGGCATGCGCGCAATGTTGAGGAGTAGGTGTTGGACTCAACGCTTTTGTGCCGGCGATTTTCTTACCTAGTTCGACCTGTTTTTACCCATTTTGAGGTGTTTTATATTGTTTTAGTCAAGTATTTTAATTCCAGAATTGTTCAATCGCCTGGAATCGCCAATGAAGAACGAAGGAACTATTGGACCACGCGGAATTGTGACTAACGTCAACGCTTCTTTATCTGAAATGTACTTCAAACCGAAGGAATCTAACTTAATCTTTTATTGTCTAAAGCATAAATAAAACATCAGACGAAGGTTGAATGTTTAAAATTCTGCAGTTGTTGGTACATCCGGTGATGTTCTGCCCGTTTTCGTCTCCTGCACAGGACCCATTGGCTCACGAACACAAGTCCCAGTGTAAACTAAATGTAGCATTTAAGCAAACAAATAAAAAAGACATTACCTACAAATCCATAGATGTCTCGAATCTTGATGTCAAGGTGGTTCTTTGGAGAATTCTTCTTCACGCGTCCTTCAAGAAGATTGAACTACTCTGGAATTAAAATACTTGACTAAAACAATATAAAACACCTCAAAATGGGTAAAAACAGGTCGAACTAGGTAATAAAATCGCCGGCACAAAAGCGTTGAGTCCAACACCTGCTCCTCAACATTGCGCGCATGCCGTTTTTCAAAGGAACATCAAAAACATTGCACATTTTCCTTCACATCTACCTAAATGCGAAAAAAACCGTCGAAATCAAAAAAAACTTACATCAGTGTTACCCAAAAGCGTCTGAAGGGGTATTGTCACGATCCACAAGACCCAACAGCCTTGTTCCCAGCTTTTGAACATGAATAAAACCTCAATTCTTCTTGTCAACAACATGTTCGAGAGAAATTCTCAATTATTTTTTGTATTTATTTTTTTCGCGGGATTTTCGCAACTTTTGGCGAGGCGCACCTCCAAGCCGTAAAAATCGGTTGTGTCCGAACAGTGCACCTGAAACAAACAGTGCACCTGGCTGAACGGGGCACCTGAGCGAACGGTGCACCTGGGCGACAGCGCACCTTGAAAAAGAGATTTTTCATGAACAATTGAACAAAATTTGAAATGTTTTCGCTTCGAGACAGGGAAAAAGGATTTTTTTTGGAAAATTTTAATAAAATTTTAAAGGTTTTCGCTTCGGGACAGGGAAAAAGGATTTTTTTTGGAAAATTTTAATAAAATTTGAAAGGTTTTCGCTTCGAGACAGAGGTTGTGAAAAGATAAATATGGCAAGGGTAGATCAAGGCAAATTCTTTTGACGGATTTTTTTTATATGACAAATGGGGATCAAGGTAAGCCGCTTTTACTGATTTCTTTGTTAGTGAAAAGCTAGATATGAAAGGGGAGATCAAGGCAACTTGTTCTGACTAATTTTTCGTCTGTGAAAAAAAAATGTTATTCCAATAACGTTATTGTTTTTAACGTTTTCTTTTGGGCGCAGGGTTCTGTTCACGCCTTTGGTCTGGTTCCCATGGTGCTTACCTTGATCTCCCCTTGTCATATTTAGTTTTTCAGAATGAAAAAAAAATTATAAAAACGGCTTACCTTGATCCCCCCTTGTCATATTTAGTTTTTCACAATGAAAAAATGATAAAAACGGCTTACCTTGATCCCCCCTTGTCATATTTATCTTTTCACACACAAAAAAATCAGTCAAAAAACTTGCTTTGATCTCCATTGTCATATTTACCTTTTCACAAAGAAAAAATTGTTTTTTTTCCTTTTCCGAAGCGAAAACTTTTCAAATTTTTTAAAAAATTTCCAAAAAAAAATCTTTTTCCCGGTCCCGAAGCGAAAACCTCTGAAAACTTTTAAAAATTTTCCAAAAAATCCTTTTTCCCTGTCCCGAAGCGAAAACCTTTCAAATTTTATTAAAAATTTCCAAAAAAAAATCTTTTTCCCGGTCCCGAAGCGAAAACCTCTGAAAACTTTTAAAAATTTTCCAAAAAATCCTTTTTCCCTGCCCCGAAGCGAAAACCTTTCAAATTTTATTAAAATTTTCCAAAAAAAATCCTTTTTCCCTGTCTCGAGCGAAAACCTTTCATATTTTATTAAAATTTTCCAAAAAAATCCCTTTTCCCTGTCCCGAAGCGAAAACCTTTCAAATTTTTTAAAAATTTTCCAAAAAAATCGTTTCTCCTTGTCCCGAAACGAAAACCTTTCAAATTTTTTAAAAATTTTCCAAAAAAATCGTTTCTCCTTGTCCCGAAACGAAAACCTTTCAAATTTTCTTCAATAATGCACAAAAAACTTTTTTTCAAGGTGCACTATTCGCCTAGGTGCACTGTTCAAACAAGAAAATATCAGGTGCACCGTTCAGCCAGGTGCACAATTCAGCCAGGTGCCCCGTTCAGCCAGGTGCACAATTCGTCAGGTGCACCGTTCGGACCGAATCGTAAAAATCCGCGTTCAAATGTAGTTGTTTTGGTCCTTTAAGAAAACGCCAATTCTCACGAATAAAAAACGTGCCAACATAAACGCCGGATAATTATGCCACAACCTAATATTTTAAGACTCTATATTTGATATAATAAGAAAATAATTAGTAGTTCCAAAGTTAAAAAAAAAACGCTAAATAACCGAGTTTGAGCCCAAAATACAATAGTTGCAGTTGCAGGTGCCTGTTGAATTATTGGACTTAAAATTTCTTTAAAAAACTTTAAAAAATTGCTATAGCAAAGTAATTTGATTGGGAATGGGGTGTAGAAAAAAAGGGATTTCATTCAAAGTAATCATATTATCCTCTGGCCGTATGTATTAGGTCTAGAAGTATGACTCCGCCGTTTTTTTGTTTTCCATTTTTTTACAGGTTGCAGTAAGGTTTAAAAATTTCTTTTGAGATTCTCTGAAAGAGCTTTGAAAACGCTATCTATTGATATATGTTTTGTATAGTAGGGGTTGACACAGCGGTTTTTATGAAGCTTCAAAGATGACCAACTTCGTCCCTGGAAAATCGTCATTTGCGGGAAATTTTACCTCTCACGTGTAACGCGAGGGAAAACGTTGTTAATGCATCGATTGCTTAGAGAAGCTTACGTTAGTTGTGCTTAATGAGAAAAAATCCGTGGGGAATGGGTTTAACGGTTCTAGCTCCGTGATTTTCAAACCCATCTAAAAAAAGTGAAGATGGAGATTACTGGCTACAAAGCGATGCCCATACACAAAAAAAGTTGGCCGTGGTGCTCAAAGTGCCACAGAAAGGAGTTTCACTCAGTTTGCAACGAATTGAAAAGATCCAGAGAGAACGGACTTGGGTGTCTTATGGAATGACCTACAACAACATAGAGAACTTGCGAAATTTTGATAGGCAGACCAAAAGGAAGCTATTTTTGCATCGTTTTATGGTCACAGACGAAAAACCCAGCGACTTTGAGAACCCGAAGCGCATGCGACCGCATAGTCTAACATTACCGGTAGGAAAGCATTGCGCTGTATATGATGACATAAACAAGTTGTTCTGCACTGTAAGCTCTTGAAACTCAGTAAAACGGTTATTGGGCTCCGTTGACAACAGTGGCCGATGCAATTGAACGGAGAGCTATGATTAAAGCGGGCGGAATGACCAATTTTTATTTTGCTGCATGATCGCGCTGGACCCCATGTTGAAAAACTGGTCAAGCACACCCCAGAACAGCTAGGATGGGAGGTCTTACCTCACCCGCCATACTCTACTGACAACGAGCTTTCAGATAAGCACTTATTTCCACCGATAGCACACGAGCTGAGGCAGCAGCGCTTCGCTAAACACAATGATGCCAAAAATTAGGTTGATATTTCGATGGCTTCAAAACAGCCAAAAAATTTTTTTTGGTGGATTGAAAAGTTGACCAAATTACGGAAACACCTCGTAATTAATAGTAGAATGTAAAATTGGATGAGGTTTAGGGTAAAAATTTTTTGCTATGATCAAAACAATCAGCAGAAAAAACGGCGGAGTCATACTTCTAAACCTAATATAAATATAAAGCACGAAATGAAACATTGATTTTGCACTGGGCTTTCAAGCTCTAGTCAGAGTTTTTTGATGGAAATTGAGGTCATTGGCCACCGAACAAAATAATAATTTTGTGTAAAAAGAGTTTAACTGGAAGGAAGTTTACAATGTAAACGTGTTGACGATCATCGAATGGAATGCGTTTGGCACGAGTTTTAATGAAAACGCATTTTCTCAAATTATGCATGTTTTATAATATTTATAAGGTGCCTTCTCAAAATTTCGTAGGTTCATCTTTCTTTTGAAGATGCGTTGCTCTAATTTTTGTGCTAATTTTCTACCCAGACGGTAGATATAAATTCTCAGAGTACAAAGTCTTTTACGGGCTAAGGACTATGTAGTTAGAACGGAAATGTTTTTATTTTCTTGGCCTGATCCTCCCTTGACTAACTGCGGAATTTTTTTTTGCGATGATTATTTATAGTATAGAATACCATTTTTTACACAAAAATATCTCAAGATTTAAGCCATCGTAGTTGCCACTAAACTTGAGAAAATTTTCGGTTTGAATTTACTGAAACAAGGCTGCTCCTGCCCAAAAATATAATTACCAAGCTTTGAAGCATAATCAGTTTTAAGCTTATTGCTGATTTAGGTTATTTATATCTTCCTTGGTTAATCTAATCTTTTTCAATTCCAATTATTTTTTTTTGATGTAGCAGTATATTTGAGAAAGCAAGTATAATAAAAAATGGATAGAAATCTGATCTGTGCCTTTCCAAAAAGTCCACATTATTTTATCTTTTTAATAGTTAACGCTATGGCTGAAATTCCATCATTTCGGAGAGAAATCCACAATTCTTTAGCTACCGCTAAAAAAAATCAGAACGAGCTTTTTTTTGTCAAGATTTCATTAACGACAAACACGAGTTGTTTTTGATCAAACTTATGTTGTATTCTTTGTTTCATGTATGTTGGATCTCCGCAATCCCCTAAGAATTGAGATTACCATCCAACATTCAAACATTTGAACCTTCGATATTTTAAAAGCAACATACTCATTACCTTTGGCAAGTAATGTTATAGATAAATATACGTGCCCTTTACCATCCAATTTTTGCTTTTTGAGCCCTCCCATCGATTGTTAATTTCAATTACAATTTATAATTACACATAAACATGCCTCTGTTGTCCTTGCTTATGTTGTTTAAATCCTCCTAATGACCCCTCGGAGACACAGTTCACAAAACGGTCTCTGAAGGGAGGATCCTTTGACGTGAATATCCGGAGGGTCATAAAAAGACGGTAATAGGAGAACAAGTTGTTATAATCGACGGAGAGGAATTGTAGTCTTGTGGTCGATGTTAAAATGCGGAATTAACTCTGTTGAAAGGGTCTTAGCGTGAAATTTTTAGTCATCATTGCTTTAGCTGTCAAGGGAAATTCTGAATTTTCAATTTATGGAGAAAACTTGACATTCTCTTTTCAGCTATGTTCAGTCTTTCTGTAAAAGATAAAACATGGCTTTCCGAAATTGGAAGGAACTTTTTTGGAAACCGAACGTTTCCTCCTCTCCCTGTTTTCACCTACCTTTTGTCAACAACAGTCTGAAAAGTTGGCCAAAAGCTGCAAAGTGGATACTTTATCCGCCTCTAATTAGAGTGTTTTTTGGAAAATTATTTTCCAATTAGTCCAAATCTTCAATTTTATATTCACGCTGAAGCTTATTATTACCGTGCCTTATGGTAAATAGGGTCTTTATGGCCTTTAGTTTCTATGAGTAAAAATTAGAAAAATAATTTTAGAAAAAATGCCAAACCGCTTGGATCTTTGAGTGATTTCAGCACCACTTTTTGTCAATATGCTCAGTTGATCCGCAGTAAAACACATTTTATTAAGTTAACCTTTGTGCGCTTTTCACGTTGCTCCACGCAAATGCAATGCAACAACAAAACTTCCTTGCCAACATCGTTTGTTACACATGATTTAGTCACACTTTTTTTTGCACTGATTCCAAGAGTTTGATGAAACCCGTGCGTGACATTATTTGACGTTACTTTAGGCTTAATCTTTCTTCTGTTTACTGCGATTGTTACAATAATTTTGAACAGAGTACTTTTTAGAAATGTTCAAAGAGCTAGGCCAGGAAATAGATCGGGCCAAGAATTATGAAGGGGGCTTTTCAAATCCAATGGCGGAATGGGTAAGGAATCGGCTGCTGTTTCTTAACTTTCCTTGGTGTTGCAAAGTCTGTCAACGGCTTCTTTAATCCGTTCGCCTCCTCACTTAACTCTGTTGCATGCAAATACCGTTGAAAATCTCCAAAGACTTAAAATTTTCAAAAATCGAAATGTGGTTAAGATATTATTGAACCTGATGTAATTTTTCTAACCAGCTATGTGTACCTCTTTCAGTTATATCACACATACAATGGAGCTGGTCGTCGAATCAGTATAATTATGCCTCCAATTTTATTTTTTTCCTGTTCATTGGTCAGTTACTTTGGGAATTCGATGGTAATTTTGGCGACGCTCAAGAAAAAGTGGGTCCACATAAAAATATTTCCTCTCTAGCGTCATGATAATTCCAAAATATCTGTTATTATAATTTTCAGAAAGCTGCACGGTTCCTATAACATTTTCGTTAGCCTTGCCAGCCTCGGGGACATTCTCCATCAAAATAGTCACTGGTTTTACATGGCAAACATGCTCTCTGGCAATAATTTTATCCCATATTACCTCTGTTATTACATCAACATTCTCATGGTCCAAGGAATCACATTGTCCATCTTCATGACCATGTTTGTGGGTGTTGATCGGCTGATTGGAGTGACTTTTCCGATTATCTACACCAGCATCAGCAAGGTCCCGTATATTGGGGTTTGTTTGGCGGCTTCTATCAGTTTCGCCGGTTACATTTCGTGGCTGGGATATGGCCATACAAAGAGTGAATTCGGACGAGAGTAAGTCTTTAATTGAGTTGACGTCTATTTTTATCATTGTCGGCCTTTTTGTTGCTACATTTTAAAATTATTTTTGATTCTAAAAAACACAGAAAAAACACTTCCCTATATCAATTTGTACCCGTTACAGTGTGTCACGCAATAGACGAATTCAAATAAGTGAACATTAGACTGTTTCTGAACAGCACAAACCAAATATGTTTTAAAATAAGAACATGGACTTATGCAAATTATATACAAAAAAATCTGCGAATCCCATTTTTTTCATTTCCCCTGTAAACAGACAAATGAATCTTTAATATTGAAATTTCAGACCAGTTATGTGCAGCATCATAGACAGCATGGGAGCCGGCTCTCTGCCTTGGTTTGACGCATGTTTCATTATAAATCTTATCGACTTGCTTATCTACTCCATTGTCTGGATACAATTGAGGAATAAGACCTCAAACAACGACTCAATGAGAAGAGTTTTCAAGTCATTGTTAGTCATGATGGTCGTTGTCGTCTTCGGCTGGCTTGTCAATGCATTTGTGAGGTCTGTGATCATCCCATATGGCGAGATTCCCGTGAGTCAATGGTTCTTCTGGGCCTCTTATGGAGGATTACTGGTCAACATCGCCAGCACGCTGAACTTCTTCATCCTGTTCAGCTTCAGGTAAGGGCATTATAATCAATGTTTCAAGTGTTTTAGTTCCGAATATCGGACTGCGTTTACCTCGTTATTGCCATTCCTCAAGGGCTTCCGATCTCACAGTTTGTTAAAAATGCAATCATCAAATGGGCTGACGAAACTTGAAGGAAAATCAAAGATATCCACGTCTACTGTAAAGCCGGTCCATACTATAACCGTCGATTAATACTGTGTAATGTATAGAATTAAAGTGAAAAATCTAATCTCAAAGTCGCATCTGCATTCATAGAAATAATCGTTAAAAATATCAAAAAAAGTGATATGATTCTGTCAGATCAAGCAAACAATATTTTTTTGTCAACGAGAGATCTTTTACTGGCGATCATTGACAATGATCCTAGTGACCTTTCAATAGTATGTATTGTATGCAGTTTTCTAATACGCCGTATATGAATTACCCAGAACTGCCTTTTATTTGCAAGCACAATGTATAATATATTACCATCAGAATATCTCCATTTCAAATTATTTCTTGCCCTTCTTCGACCCACTTCTGGTTGGTATTCTTTCCAAATCCATAATATTCTTTGCACTCCCACTTTTCTTCAAATCACCTTTGCTTCGGCTTCGATTTCTGGACAAAGGCGCGGCCACAGCGAACCCATTCAGCTCTCGGAGTTCGGGTTTCGGCGATTTGGACCGGCTTTTCGGAGTTTTGGGCTTCAGCGATTTTGACGGTGTTTTTGGAGCGCCATTCTTGACGATGGAGCCATTTTTGGTGGGAGTTTTTGGAGTCTTCGGCTTCGTTGGAGTCTTCGGAGTCTTTGGTTTGGCTGCTTGAGTCTTGGGAGTTTTGGGGGTTCGAGGAGTTGAGATTGGACTAAAGAGATTGTTTTTAGCGTTATAAAGTATTTCTAGAGCACTAAAAAACAGCAAGCAGGCACAGTGACAAGGATTATTCAAATTCTAACTTTTCAAAATTTTACTTCACACAGTGTCATCCAAGATATTCAACAATTTTTGTAAACAAAAGACCAGCATTTGCGAAAGAACAAACCCGATAGTTGGCCTACAGAACTCCTGATTTTTAATATTTGAAACCCCCAACGTAGTAAAGTCGTAAATTAACATTATTATCCCCAAACAACATTCACTCACATCAAGCAGCACACTCAAAGCAAACGTTTTTTTATTTACAAACAATTAAAGTTAAGAATTTTAAATGTTCATAGTGCGTGTAAACCGCAAATTGAATAAAAAGTGAAGTGCCTCAGGCGAAATACGTATATCGAACAGCAATCAAGTTATAACCTTTTCCCAGACTTGGCCGTACTGGCTCGAGACGTGGCCGAAATTGTCCGTGGGGCTGATCGGGAACGTCTGAAAATAAATTACGAGTAATTAGGATCACTAGCAACCAAGAATCGCCAGACAAAGAATGCATAAAATTTTTTTTGGTGTCATAATTTTCTTTAAAAACCCTGATTTAAAAAAAATCCTTGAAAATCTTCGATCTTTTCCCAGAAAACCTCAAAAATTTTTTTCCTGAGCCTTTGCCAAATTTCATTGTAAAAGAGTCAAGCTTGCCATAGCTTTGCTATTTTTTGCAATTAAACCGATAACTTCCTTACTTGACAGGAGTTGGCAAAGCCGAAGTTCTTGTATGACTGGCACTGCTAACTTGTTGTCCCGCCCTCGATTTAGGGATTCCAGTGGGTATCCTTCCATTCACCGGAGCAGGCGATTTCCCAGATCCGGTCCTTTGTCGTTGTCTTGATTGTAAAGGAGCGGCTGGAGTTCGAATTGGCGAGTGTTCGCGAGATTGCCGGCGTGAATTGGATCTGTTTTCCTAGAAAAAATCGATATTAGAGGAGGTACTGGTAAGACTCTGATCTTTTGCTAATTTTGAGAAACAAATGAAGAGCGGTGATCCAACAAGCCAATTTTGCTCGAAAAATTTTGCATTTTTTGTGTAAAAAACTTTCATTTTTACTTTTTTATAGGCTGAAAAATATTTTCGTTTGAAAAATCCCAAAAAATTGTCAAATTTCGCCGTAAAAGTTGAAAACGATTAGCAACGAAACCTTGTGTTAGCTTTAAAATTAATATTTTTTGTAACCAAGTCTTACATTTGGCGTCGATCAAATTTTCTTGAAACGTGGCAAAACTTACCGTGCTCTTCGCGGTCTGTGTCCGACCTACGGACTGACTTCGACTGGCCATTGTCTTCTGTCGCCCATTCTTCTCGCGACAGTAGGGAATGTGCCTTTCGGCCGCGTTTGGGTTGAATGACCGGCCGCAGTAATCGCACCGGACATAATCTAAAGACCCCAAATTATGAGTTTAAACTGCATTTATCTCGTTGAAAATGACTTGAGTTTAGCCTCTTACTCGGATTAACACTAGTCTTTGGCGGGGGAGGCAACGGCCCTCCGGTTTTCAGGGCATGCTCAACCTGGCGTGAAGCGCTCACAGCTCCAATAAACTCCTGATGCCGTTCGCGCCAATGGGTTTTCGGCCGCGGGAATACTCCACCCACCTAAAACAAGTGATCTTAGCCTTAGGGAAAAACAAAAAAAAATATAAAAATTGTTATTAAAATTGGATAGGGCTTGAAGTAATGTAAGCTGTTTCAAGATATATTGAAACTGTTTTGTGACATAAACCTGAGAATTTTATGTAGAAAAATACAAACAATTAATTTTTTGTGTGATTTTTGGGTTTCAAAATTTTACCCGCCTCTGTAAAAAATCAGGTGTAAAATTTTTCTACTATAAATCAATGGTTTCTAAGTAAAAATATAAAAATTTATAGAAAGGCTTTTCGTCACCGGCTCTCCTCACTTTACATACCCTCTAACTAACAAAAAGCTCACAAAGCATTTGCTGTTTTAGAAAATTTCCCACTCAAAAAATTTATTTTTTTGCGAAAATTAGAGGGTTATGAACGGAGACAGTTTTTTTTTCTAACCATCTCTCTTCATTTCCCACAGTCTATCTAAAAAGGGTACTGAATACTTCGGCTGAATTGGAAAGCAATTGCTAAAATTTTTTGAGATTTATGAATATTTCTGGAATGCCTAGAGTAGTCATGGAAAATTTCGAAAAAAGCAAGTCTTGGGTAATATTTTGAAATTTCAGAATTTTTCCACTTACATGTTCTTTTTCCTTCCGGGCTTTTATGACTGCAGTCAAGGGGATATCCGATCCTTGGGCCCTCTGCTTCCCCGAATCGAACACTTTTCTCTGCATTTTTGTAAGTTTCTTGCAAGCCGGTTCATGTTTGACCTGAAAATAAGCATATAATTTATTCTCATAATCTCAAAGACACATAACAGTCATTCCAAAAGCTAAAAAAAATACAATTCCAACTTACAAGCGAGCTCTTGATGAAATGTCGACCACAGACCTTACAAGGGTACGTCTTTTCTGTGGGGTCTCGATCATCTAAAACCATGAAATAATTCGAGTAAATAACGAATCCGGATCGCTGACATTACCTTGAAACGTACCGTTTTTCCCCGCCACCGCCGCAATGTTATCATGCGGATTGGGCGGTAATTTTGAGGACGTCATCCTATACGTTTAACTTTTCAAAAAAGTATCCTCCTTTTTGGACCCTACAAAACAGAAAAGGATGACTTTTGAGAGCGAAAACACGTCCGAAACGTCGAAAAAACGGCTGGGAATACGGTAAACGGCAGATTCTCCCAAGATTTTGAGACAACTCTCAGCGAAGACAGTAGATGCGTCGGCCAAATCGAAGGGAATAGCGTGCAATTACAAGTCAAAAGGTAATAGAAGCACCGATTTCAGCCAACAAAACGCCCTGTGAGAGACGCATCGGCACCGTTGCTAAGCCACAATTTGGAGGGGGAGAAGGAGAGGTTTCCAAAATGCCTTCCACAGGAATTTCACGGCAAACTTGGGGCAGGAAGGGAGAAAAGTCAGGTGAAAGAAACTCAGAGATTTACATTTTTTTTGGAAATCCACTTTCACGCTTCGAAAAATGGGGAAATTTGTAGGGAAAACATTAAGGATGTCAAGTGAGGAGAGCGGTAAAAACAAGGAAGCTAAAGGTTGTGTGAAATAAGTTGACTATTTAAAGTTAAGAGGCTTTACCGGGCAAAGGCTCAAGGTGCGATTTAAAGATTTTATTTTAAATTTGCCCACATCTTTTGACTAGAGTTCAATTTGTTAAAATTTAGCTCTGGCTTTGAAAAGGCTCAAAAAGTCGACGATCTCACAGCCTAACAGTAAGAGAATGCGTAAAATAAGGAAAATTGTGGTGACAAAAAAGATTTTTCAGTTTTACCTTTCCTTCAAAAAAGAAATTTTTATTGAAGCATAGAAAAAATTTTTAGGTTTAAGCAAGATCTTGAATTTCGCACGTAGAGGATCTCCAATGTGAGTTCGAGATGCCGAAAAATGATTTTCTACAGTAATCCCCACAGTTTCTTTATTTCACCGACGATAACTGACAGGTGCTTAACGCGTTGCGCTAAAGCCATCGGGTGTTATGTTTTGCTGTCTACCCGATATCCTACAGCTTACATAATGAAATCACCCCTTAGCTATGTGATACCCCCCACAACATCCCTTCCAAACTCTCCCAAACGAACCTTCGCTTTTCTTTGTTGGCATCCTCATTCCTCTGGTTGGCCTCGCTTTCAACGTATCTTATCACAACTTTCAAGTAATCAGAATAAGGAGACCTCGAATAAAAGGCATACGGCTTCCTGACAAATGGGAAAGAACAATATTTACAGCGGTTTCTCACACTATACGAGGGAATTAAGACCCCACCCTGAAGGGTTTCTTTCGGCGTTGGGAAAGGTACATGCGCTAATTTATGGAAAATTCAATTTTGAAATGCAAAAAATAAAAAAAATAAAGAAAAAAGTTGGCAAAGACCAACAATTACGAACTATACAAAGCTCGGCCGATGTCCACTCTCCTCTATATGATGTACAATGGAAACGGCGTCTATACGTTTTCGATAATTGCCTCCGGCAATACAGCCGTTTTTGAATGGCCATCTTTGGGAGGGGGAGGGAAATACATTCGAAATGCCGTAATATCAGGTTGGGGAAAGGGAGAGAACAGGTTCCTTCCTGGTGAAGATGGGTTTATCAAGTTCGAGTATAAAGGGAAAACAAAAATATTTGCGGGGTACAAAGTGGGAAAAAAGAGGATGTTGAAGATCTATGAAGAAAAGTTTGTTAAGGGCAGTGGAATAGACAGTTGAAGACGAAAAAATAATAGGTCATGTTGTTTTAAAATAAGACTCACAATCAGAACTTAAGTGATATGTGAGGTTAAACTTGACAGAATTTGGAGAAACTTGAGGCTAGAATTTTGCAAGGCATATGACAGATTCTCCGCGCTCTGCAAAGCAAAAAAGATAAAAATCCGATTCTCTGCGAATTTTAAGATCAATAATCATTATTTTGAATTGGCAAAAAGTATGTAAAAAAAATTTTTTTCTTCCCCCATTTCCCTAGGTTCTTGTTTGTAAAGATCTGAACTGAAAGTGAAACTAATAGGATGAATTACATAGAAAATGTGTGAAAAAACACAGGCAAGTCCGAGTGGCACTTCACCTGTAAGATTTGAAAAAAAGAAAATTAGCAATGCCATCTAGAGAGTACTTTGATTTCACACAAACTACACAAGAATGCAAGTAATCTCCTTGAATTTTGAAACGTGAACCATTATTTATTCACACCATGCATGAAAATTGTGAAATCTATTTTGCAAACTTCCCATAGTAATCTACGTGTTTGCCAAAAATATTTACTCTTACCCAACCATTGTGCTCAAAAGTAAGTTTGGGAAACCCTAATGACTAGAGTTTCCCCGGAAGGGAAGTAGCCATTGCCCTATTATTAAACTCTTGGTCAGCTAGTTTTGAATTGCCAAGGACAACGGAGGCGGAAGGATTCTTCTTTTGGGGAGAAAAACCCCTCCGGGAATTTTACAATGAACTTATTAGAGAGTGAAAAAGCATGTAATGGCCATTTGGCTTTGGATTTATGAAAACAGATCTGATCTCGTGTTCAAGGATTGCCGCCAAATATTTGTTATTCATTCATCAGGCAGATTCTGAATACGTGAACTTCAAGTTTTGTTGAAATTTTCTTTATATCCCAATTTAATTACCGAAGATCTTAGCTGGAGTTTTGCAAGGGCAGCCGGAAAATTCAACGTTCTTTATAGCCAGGATTTCATGAAAAATTAATATTCGGCCGGAAAACAGTATCGCTCATATATGCCATTGTGATTTTTGGCCATTGAGGTCGACTCGTTTGTCGATGTAAACGCAAAAGCTCGGCGAATTTTGAAAAAATAAAGAAAACGATAGATAAAGCTGAAAGATAGAAGATACCACGCACTCCAAAGTGAAGTGGTAAAACTGTACTTTTGCTTACAATTAGTGTCGTAAATACGCACAATATTCATCTTGTATTCTTAATTTAAAAATTTAGTACCCGTAACAATAAACAGACTCAACAACAATGGCATGTGTTCCTTGACAACAACACTAGTAATGTTCACAATTTGGCCAACACTCTCCAACATCGGGTAGTTCAAGATGCGGAAATACTCGGCCTTCTTTCGGAAAACTACGGGCTGTCTGCTCCTCAAAGTTCGCTAAATGGTAACGAATCTCAGAACAGGGCATTTGCTTCTTTTTCCGCCAATACCAGCCGTTGTAACCCGTACCACATTCTTCGAGAACTACCGGCTTCTGAAATGGAGCAAAATTTTTTGCTTACTGGAACTGAGTTCTTCGACATCTCACCGTCGCATTGAGAAAAATAAACAATCTTATAAATGGCCCACCTTCCACGGACTTTCCCATTTGTCCTCCCCGATCTCGTTCTGTTTGTATCCATGGAACATAAAGTCCGCATCACAAAACGAGTCATAGACCAGGAACCCATCTCTGGCCATTCCATGGCCTCTTCGCAATATCCTCAACTGTTCCGGATACAATCTTTGGGCGCCCAGCATTAGTTTGACACACATTACATAGGCCATGTAATTGTCGTAACTTGTTGCGTTCTTCCAGATTTTGTAGCAAGTTTTTCTTTCGTTGATTGCCTCGGGCAAAACTGTGTTCAGGATGTGAATCTGAATTTCGAAAAGATTAGAGAGTTTTTTAAATATTTTACTTGAAGAACTCCATTGTCAGCGCCGTTCCAGCTGTTGGGTTTTGTGAATTCGTAATTGGCCCATTTCATGAGGAAATCCCGGCCAAATGCAGTGTTTTTGACCTGAAATATTAATGAAATTATCTATGTAAATACAAAGATAAAAGGGGAAGTAATATCGGAAAACTACCATGAAGATATTCAACAGTCTTTGCGAACGAGAGTCTATGGGAAATGAGGAGAGACGGTCAGAAAAAAACACCTTCTTTGAGAAGCAAATTTCTTTACATAGCTATGTAAAGAAATAAATGCATAGAATGCATAGAAGTATAACGCACACAAATTAAAGTGCCTACCAAATAATTTCCACTCATAATTTCCCAATTGAAGAACCTCTCATAGAAAACCAGATCAACTCTGTCATCGATATACTCCTCAATGCAATGATTTGGGTTCACCACGGCAGTATCTGCATCCAAAACCAGCATCCAGTCGCTCTTTCGCAGATAAACCGAGGCCGCGCAATGTTTCAGAAAGAAGATTTCGTTGTGTCTGCAGTGCCTTTTCACCTCCGGATCATTGTACAAATCAACCAAATGGAGAGTGTAATTGGTCGATTTCAAATAACATTGCAAAGTAGCTTGTGCAATCTTGTATTTCTTATCGTATTCTTCTTTTCGATACGCCACGAAAACAGAGACCTTTCCGTAAATCGGTTGACATGCCCCCATTTCAACGCGTTTTCCACTGCCATAAGGGAGATTACGACGGACAATACCTGTTGCTTCATCAACTATTTGGACATCTTCTTTACCAAGGAGCTTGGCCTTAGGAACTTGTCCTCCATGAACATTGTATCCGGGCCTCAAATTTAAGCGTGCTCGGACACTTTTAAAACACGATTTCTGACTCACTGAATGTGCAAGGCCGGGACATAGAAAAAAATCGATTTTGAGTTTTTTGTTTTAAAATGACTGCAGGCATCCAGTAAACATATGTCTGAAATATTTTTGTCTAATTCTCGCATTAACCTACTGTAATTTACAATTTACTTTTTTTACAGTAATCGACTATAACAACAAAACCACACGTCAGAACTGGCTGAAATTGACAATACTTATGTTTTAGGCTACGCCCGTCATAAAAAACACTGAATTTGGACCGTCGGGTTACTGTAACATACCGCAATGTGGGTTCGGCCGAACAAAATCGGCCATAAAAAAGTTATTTCCCAAATGCCGCAGCTGATTTTTACATATGTTAATCAGCGTAAAATTCTGCCCTATAAACATTTAAAAAAAGTGTAAAAAGTCATCACCCCTTTTTCGTGGTGTAGTGGATTTTGGTCAAAATTAGTAATCCGAAGGTCGCGGGTTCGATCCCCGTGGAAGGAAAATGCGTAAAACTGCACAAAACCTCAAAAAATCGGTTGAGGTGGATTGATTATGTATATCAGAAGTATGAAGAATTGTATCAAAGTTGATTTCCGAACTTGAAAGCATTTTTTTGATGATGAAACTTGGATTTTGGTTTCCGTGGATTATGGTGCAAATTTAGTCTAGGAAATGGCTAGAGTTGTTTATAATTAGGTTTTTTAGCCTTCTGAATTCAATGGAGCAGGGTTTTTGGCCTTAGGATTACTGTAACATAGACAAAACGGATTTCGGCCGCTTAAAATCGGCCGTAAAACGGTTGTTTCTAAACATACGCAGCTAATTCTTCAATTTTTGGAATCAGCGTGAAATTTCACACAATTTGCGCCTAAACAATGGCTTGTTGGTTGAATACTTTGTTTTCAGTGGTGACTTACTTTAAAACTGGTAAATTGTAAATAAAACTATGTTAGCGAAAGAATTAGCCGAAAATATTTTGAGGCTAAGTTTCATCAACGTATGCAAACATTTTTATACCAAAATCTCAGAATTTTTTTTTCGATTTCCACGGATGACTTTTTTTACTGAAAAATTTCTAATCTGCTCGAAAAAAAAATCCTTGGAATTTGTGCGGCCAGTTAGGATATTATAGTTAATGATTCTAGAGCAGAATTTCACGCTGATTCCAAAAATTGAAGAATTAGCTGCGTATGTTTAGAAACAACCGTTTTACGGCCGATTTTAAGCGGCCGAAATCCGTTTTGTCCATGTTACAGTAATCCTATGGCCAAAAACCCTGCTCCATTGAATTCAGAAGGCTAAAAAACCTAATTATAAACAACTCTAGCCATTCCTAGACTAAATTTGCACCATAATCCACGGAAACCAAAATCCAAGTTTCATCATCAAAAAATGCTTTCAAGTTCGGAAATCAACTTTGATACAATTTTTCATATTTCTGATATACATAATCAATCCACCTCAACCGATTTTTTGAGGTTTTCTGCAGTTTTACGCATTTTCCTTCCACGGGGATCGAACCCGCGACCTTCGGATTACTAATTTTGACCAAAATCCACTACACCACGAAAAAGGGGTGATGACTTTTTACACTTTTTTTAAATGTTTATAGGGCAGAATTTTACGCTGATTAACATATGTAAAAATCAGCTGCGGCATTTTGGAAATAACTTTTTTATGGCCGATTTTGTTCGGCCGAACCCACATTGCGGTATGTTACAGTAACCCGACGGTCCAAATTCAGTGTTTTTATGACGGGCGTAGCCTAAAACATCAGTATTCTCAATTTCAGCCATTTCTAGTGAGTAATATTGCTGTAATTGTCGATCACTGTAAAAACATTAAATTGTAAATTACAGTAGGTTAATGAGAGAATTAGGCAAAAATCTTTCAGGAATAGGTTTACTGGATACCTGCGGTCATTTTAAAATCTAAAACTCAAAATCGATTTTTTTCTATGTCCACGGCTGATTCAGTGACTCAGAAATCGTGTTTTAAGTTCTTGAGCTTGCTTGTCATCATTTTGGAAAGGCCCGTCCACATTAAATTGTGACTGATATTCTTTGATTTGAAAGCCGTAGTAGGAAAACCCAGCTATTAGAGAGTAAAGGGCAAGGAGGGTTAGCATTAGCACTGCCTGAAAAGCAGATTTTATGTAAAGATAAAAAATGATGACTTTTTTTTAGAAGTTCTCAATTCTTTGTGCTACTCGTAGATTTTCAAAACTTGCTCTTTGTAGGTGATAGACCGCGGAAAATTGGTTGTTTGCTACCTTAAAGTTATTATAGAAAAAGGATGTTTGTTAGAACAAAGGTCTCTCAAAAATATATTTTTTCAAAAATTCAGAAAAACATAAACTACTCACCGTCTTCAAAACGCACGAACATGACGTTCGATTCATTAGAGTCAGCCTGAAATTAAAATAAAAGGTCTAGGTATTGTTGAATCCATATCAAACGGCGAGAAAGACAAGCGTTCCAGGAAAAGTAAAACTTTCAGACATTCGTTGCCCCAACCGGATGTGACAGAGTGCTCAGTGACGGGGATTGGGGGATATAACGCAATCAAAAAGTACGAATAGCGACGGCTACATTGACTCAAGGATTATATTAGAACTTACTTCAGTAAGAAAGTTCAAATCTTTTTTTCAAAGGAAAAGAAAGTCGACTTTACGGATATACATATGACTCACGCGTCACTAAAACTTACCATTTTCTTTTGTACCGCAGCTCCATTCGTCTTCTTGGATGTAAAAACCCAACTTTATGACTGATTTCCCAATACTTTGTTGCAAGTTTTACCCCCAAAAAACCTCCAAATTGAACCTGTACATGCAAGGGGAAGAACAACTCTCCCACTGAGGATTATCTTTGTTTCCAAATTGTTTCGTTTCACACAAACTAAAGTTTTAGATAAGAATTTCATAGTTCTTGGCTGAAGACATTCCTCACGGCTGCACCCTTGTTTTGAGGACCGTTTGCAATTTTTTTTCATTATATGTAATATGTACGACTGTCTTGTAAGAGATCGAAGGGTATTGTTGTTGCGAATGAGATGCGAATCCGGGTACAAAAAACGACCTTATAATTGCTGTCAAAAGATTGCTGACTGACAAAATTTTCGGCAATGGAAATTGGAAAACATTTGGGGAAGACTTATGGAATGCCTGTAGGAAACTTTTAGCTCGTTCTTCGCAGAGATAGTCGAGATTTTTAGGCGGAATACTGCGGAAAATAACTTCAGGATCCCAAAAAAAATTTTGGCTTTTAAACGTATGAACGAAAAATTTTGACCGAAATTCTTTTAAATATGACCGTGTCTCCTCTTTTTCCACTGTCCTTCGTTTGCAAAAATCAATATCCTGCCACTTCAACCCGAAAATTTTCCGGAATTCATAAAAGCCACCAAGAAAGAAGAAAAAATTAAAGAAGGTCAAAGCCATTGATTACTTAACTTCAAAAATAAAATAAAATAAAGACCCAAAATTCCAAAGAAGTTTTATTGTAGATCCCCCAGTACAAAATCAATATAGAATCTAGTTTCCAGATTATTTGACTTTCCTGTCTTTACCGAACGGCTCTTGATTAGACATGAAGGCCAACGTCTGATAATTGGGATCTCTGGACTTGGCAAACTGGGTTTGATTGGTTGGCGGGGTGGGTTCGGGGGCTGCTGCGGACCCGGTAAAGGATCGAATGATACTGGCCACGAACTCAAAAATGGCGACGATAATTCCAATCAAATTGGATATCAGGGCTAAAAATTTTTATTGGATTGCTATAGATATGGTAGATATTTGCAAAAAAAGTTGGGACCGACTTACAAGGTGAAGATTCCTGAGTTGCTTCAGACATTTTTGAGGGGTTAAAACGACCGGTCGGCGGGGAATAAATTCGGCGAAAAGAAATGAAAATGAGATGAAAATTGAGATGAGATAAAATAATGACATTTTTTATTTTGTCACCCATCATTCTTTTTGTAAATCACCAAAACATGTAGCAACCATTTATTCTCTACAAAGCTCGCATAAATACCGGATAATATGGAACAACTTTCTTCATTTTATCCTTCTCCGAAGCATTTGGCGACCTTGCCGGGCATTCACAATAAGGCAAATCTTGTCCATCATCCCCAACTTCGCCCGCTTTTCCCTGAGGGCCTGGCTCTCCATTTTCTCCAGGCATTCCCTCCCATCCCTCCATTCCTTCTTCTCCCGTCAATCCAGGTAATCCAGGCTCTCCGTCTTGTCCAGCATCTCCCACATTCCCAGCAGTTCCCGGATCTCCAGGCGGACCAGGTGGACCGGCTTTGAAGACGAAGCCAGGATTTCCAGGGAGCCCTGGGAATCCGTCATCACCTTGTTCGCCTTGATCCCCAGCCGGCCCAGGTGGTCCAGGAGGGCCAAACAATCCGGGGAATCCGTCTGGACCCTGCTCTCCGGGAAGTCCGGGGGCTCCAGGAGGTCCAGAGATGCCAGGAGGTCCTTCCGGACACATGAAACAGACGGGAGGGATCTTGTTGTAACTGCGGCCGGGGCGGCCGGGCTCTCCGGGAGTTCCGGGCACTACAAATTAAAAGATGATATGTATTTATAACCAAGCATCTTTCTTAGGGTAAAAAGTAAAGGCAAGTGGTCAAAAAATTATGTTGCCCCAAAAGTTAATCATTTCAAAAAATGTTGTCCCCAGCCTAGAGAAACCCGGGATACTATACTTGAGGGACCTCATCAAAAATTATATCCTGCTGTCTAAGCCAACAAAACTCACATCCAGGCAATCCATTCTCTCCAGGAGCCCCAGTTGGACCTCTGGGGCATTTCGATCCCCCTCTTAACTCCTGCTTCTTTTCGATCTCCTCTTCTTTCACACTGTTTTCCTGGAATCTCTGTGGATGACGTCTGATTTCGTAAGGCCGTCTCCTCTGATGTAATCTTGCGCGATGCTCAGCCTCAATATCAACCGGGATTGGTTGAATTGGAAGTTGTTTGAGCCGAGAGAACTCTTCATGAAGCTGTTCTTTCATCTCCTTTGTGTGCTTTGGGATATGCGGGTTGTTGAAGACTTTTACTAAAATCTTACGTAAAATGACGTCGATTTATGGCAAGATTACTGTTCAAAATAGACTTACAATCGTCGTATTTCTCTTGGAATTTCTGAGTTTTCTCAATGAAGCCTTTGGATCGCTCGCGGGCTTTCTGGCGCTCCATTACTCGCATCCTACCTTTGAATGAGCCTAAAATAATTCAAATTTTAAATCACATGTAATCCCAAAAACTTTTAACATAACCAATAATCTTAAAAAGGCCCTCCATTCTCCCGTCTAAACCCCCAAACACTTCCTTACGTCTCTCCAGAATGTCCAAGAAGCTCGATTGTCTTGCAATTCTGCTCTTCACAACCTGACGAAAATGCGGTTTTTGCCGCAACTGCAACTCCATCGCCAAAGCATCAGCCGCGACCTTAAAGGCGATCGTTTCGTCCACCAATTCGTCCATTACAATATCCAGTCGAGCAATCATGACCGGCAGCACTGTCACCGCAATGAAAACGGACATCGAGCTGAGGATGGTGGCGGCCACAAAACACTGTTTGGCCGAGTCCATGGTGAACATTGCAGCTCAAAAATGAGCCAGGAATCACTTCAAAATTCTGCCGACTAACCGCAACTGAGGTGAGCGGGGTCTTTTATCCCACATGGGCATCCGTTTTGCTGATTTTATCTCCACTTTCACCTCCGTTTCCGGGCGAATTTCACTCTCGTTTGGAGGGAATGACCCAATTTCAGGAGATGCAGAAAAATAAAAACAAAACTATCAACAGAAATGTTATTGTAAGGCAATTCCACTCCCGCCAGAAATCAAGAACCTCATAAAAATGCAAAAATATTTTCTTGCAGCACGGTTTATTTACATTAATAATATTAATAAAGGTGATATGTACATAAGAGATCATGATAAAATAAATACTGAGTATCACATTCGATTAGGCGTTGAATCTGGTAAGACCCAATGCATCCTTGAGGTAGGTGAATTGATTGGAAAGAGCGCTATAATACTGGGGATCGTTGTGGTTGATTCTCATCTCTCGGCGGATCTCATGGCTTTTCTCCAGCTGACTGAAAATTATAAAAGATGAGGATACCTTTGTTTTCTAGTACTCTAAACCCAAAAGAAATCGAAGGACTTACTGGTATGCTTTATAGAGGGCATTTCCTCTCTTGGCCAACTCATCGGCCATAAAAACAGGCAACGGAATAGCGGTGGGAGCTGCGCAGATCTGATGCATATTACAGAGATAATGAATGATCCATTCAACATGCAGGTCTGGGATCTCGAGTTCATTTAAGAGGACCGTGTACTGCGTTGGTTTCGGACATCCCTGAAAAAATATATTACATTACACTTGACAACATATGAAGAAATCAAGATACATCCAAAAAGAAAGCCCTCCAAACTTACTCTGACTGGGTTATGGGACAACAAGAAGAACTCCTTGACATCAGTCCGAGTGACTTTGTCCCGGATCACAGCTCCAACTGGCGGATTTTCGATTTTTCCATTTTTCGTCACAAAGAATCTCTTGTTATGACGCTTGCTGCAGACAACAAAAGTGACTTTGGAATCGACTCCAGCCTTGACCAGTCCTCTTTTGATTGCTCTGAGTTCCGAATCCAGAGCCATTGCAAATTGACCCTCGCTCAGACCATCCCGGATGATAAGAATCCTCTTGATCTCCCTCTCTTGTTTCTTGCACCTCTCCAGAAAAGCGGTTGTCGCTTCTTGGAGGAGTTCCGAGTCCACTTCTTCCTTTAGAGGGTCCTGAAAAAATAATCAACTCAACGTTTCATCTCAAAAATAGTCAAACCAAAATCCTTTTCTCACCTGATAAAAAAACTCCCCACCAAAAACTTTCGTATCCTTGAACATGTTGGCACATATTCCGACAACGGACGGCTTTACATTCATTGGATCCGATACACTCTGTCCGTTGATTCCTCTCGGATTTCTGTCCTTTCCCGTTGGATGGGCAACATCGTAACCCAACACCAAGAGATCCTTGTTATCAATGAGATCATAGTCCTTAATAAACTCCGGGACAATTGGCCAGTAATTGGTTCCAAATGCTTTGGTATTGATCTTCATAAGGATGTTATTCATGGTCTGCGGCTCCGTCAAATCCATGCTCTTAACTCTGATATGTTGCGTGAGGATTCTATAATGCGCTTCGAAGAGTTTGAGATGCTGATGAATCTCCGACATCTGTCCATCGATGAAGAAAATAAATCGGACTTTGCCAACAACAGCTTCCTTGAATTTCTGATGAAGAGCGTCGGAATTGCCAGTGTCAACTGGAATGAATCTGGAGGGTTGGTTTAGAGCCAATCCAGCCTTCTTTGCGGTCTCAACCAACTTGGTAATGTACTGTCTAAAAGCAAAACAATTATGAAATTACCCATGATGGATGTTCAACTTACTTCACGTTGCTCTCAGTGGTGTCCCTGCTCGAAAACAGGCACCACCACGAGACCAGCATCTTGGACGGGCTCAGAAATTTCTGTTTCAATACCTTAACCAGAAAATTTCCGTCGGCCTCTGGCTTTACTGGCTCGGCTCCAGCAAATTTGAAGTTAAACAGGTTCCTCTCATAAATATCCACATCATTGCCAGTTGGATGAATTCTAACACCGAACTGAGAAAGGAATTCTGCCCCAGGACCAGTTGAAATCACCTCGACAAGTTTCATGACAAAGTCGTAGCGCTTGTCCGGAACATCACTGTTCTCCTGAAGTGATCGATAATATAAAATCGGTTTATAATAAAACAAATGGATAGAAACCAGAAAAAAAAAATTCAAAAATCTTACCAATAAGATCTCAGCGTCCTTGTGAATCTTTTCCGACGGGATCAATTGTCCCGGTAACGGGATACAGACCTCCAAAGGGTAAGCCATCGTTTTGCCAGGGATGTCCGCCTGAACCCCAGGCAGTGAAGAGTTGATGTCATGTCCACATCTCTTGTAGTATTGCTGAATATCTCCTTTGGCATTGTATTTTTTGTCAGAGATCGGTTCACGAGTGATTCCTTTGATACGAAAATGAGCTCCCGGACGATGGATAGCTCGACATCTGACTCCACGGAACATATTGGCAAACTGTGAAGGCCCGTTCTTTTTATCCCGGGCAATATACTTGCTGCGGATCTCGGCCAAGGTTTGGGTGGACTGATAGAAAATGGTTCGGCGCACTTAAATCAATTTTTATATTATACATGACACTTGAAGAAAGCGTTAATTACCCGTCCAACACGAACAAAAAGGAGCAGAAACTTACTGTCAGCTATGAGTAGAGGCCGAACTTGTCCTTGATATTCGTTTACTCTCACTGCTTTGTGCAATCCATCGCGAGTTTCCATGGCCAAAGTCAATGGAGTGCGAGATGTATTGTAGATCGTTCCGGGGTTCACCAATTCATATGTGCCACTAAAAATAAGTCCAATAAACGCATTGGTATCAACTTACGAATCAATCAAAAACTGAGAGGTTAGCATTTCCAAGAATTGTCTCGAACTGTGATCGACAACATCTCCGGCTTCCCCGACCAAACTCGGCTCAAGATCACTGAACTTGAAGACCGGAACTCTCTCATTGGGAGTAATATTGACTTCGAGCCCATCACCTTTGGTGCAATCTTTGGTAAAGTCTGGCAGAGCATCTGCATTTATTTTAACGTGTTGAAAGAATCGATACATAGATCAAGTCTACCTAAATTAAAAAAACCGAAAGATAAACCTACAATTTGGTTCAACTTCTTCAGTGAGAAAAGTATTGACTTGCCATCATAGACACAAACCGAGATGTGTCCTTTTTTCTTCAAGAGATTGATCACCTCCACACAAGTGTTTCTTTGGAGCATTCGAAGGCCTCTGAAAACAATTCATTACAGTAGATCATCACAAATTATCCAGACAAGCAAAATAGACGCTATGTCTGAGCTAAAACCCTGAAGACTCAAATATAATTTAATATATTGACCATGCAATTTCCGAACTTACTTTCCGACTGCTTGGTCAAGACCTTTGGTTGTCCGATTTTCTTCAACAATATGATCTCCACATCGTATCTGAAGGCCTGTCGGCCTTCTTCGATATCCATTTCGAAGATTGTGCATTTCCCAGAGACTTTTCTTCCAGCTTCGGCATCTCCGCTGATTTTTAATTTGGCCAAGTCTTCTTCAACTTCTGTCATTCTAAAAATAATAAAATTAATCAAGCGACTCGACAAGGAACCCGATTGCGTTTAGCACACGTGAACTTTCGCAAGTTTAAGTTTCGAAATTCTGAGGAAAGCACTTTTTCTGATATTGCACTTAATTTGGGTGCCAAATTGATGAAAAATGGGGTAAATCTGGGCAAAGCAATAGTAAAAACCAAATTCGATCCGTCTAAACGGAATTTCGAAACTTCTAAATTTGACAGAACGTTAGCGTTCCGTTCCGTGCGCAACGAAAAAATAATCGCAATTCATTGGAATTTTCGAAAGAGGCAACATTTTATACGATGAAAGTTTTACAAGTCACCAAATACAGATTTCAGACCATAAGATAAAAAAACAAAGTGCAAGTATAATATTTATATTAAACTTGTTTTATTTTACACTATGGGATAACAAGTAGACAGAACTTTAAAAGTTTACGCTATAATTTACAGACTACAACAACATTAAATGGCCTTATAAACCTGTTAAATGGAAAAATACTATAGCCTTCCAATGCACTTAGACGAACGTTTTGTCCCTCTTCGGATCTTGTGATCAAAATATTTTGGATAAAAAGGGAATGATTGGGTGGAAATTAGTCACTTTAATCCCTGTTTCAATGGATTGTTTACAACATTTTTTGAACAAAAAATGACTTTCGGTCGACGAAGGGCAGCGATAAGATCTGTTGCAATCAGAAATTATTTTGTTATCAATGTTACCGCAGTTTATTTAGGAATAAGAGAAACTCGGACATTTAAAACAATCTTTTTACATAGCTAAGAGGTGATTTCATTATGTAAGCTGTAGGATATCGGGTAGACAGCTAAACATCCCACCCCATCGGCTTAGCATAAATCAAAAAAAAAAATGCGATTCTAATCTTTTAGAGGCGAGGAAGAAATGAATAACGGCGGAATAAATAAAAACATTGCATCTGGTGGGTGTTGCAATGACATTGATTGATTTTCTATTGCGACAGGCGTAAGGTCAATCGGATTATTTAATAAAAGGAAATAAACCCATCACAGAAAACAAACGAATTGTCATCATAAAAACCACATATGCCATACAAGATTGTCTTCATCGCACCATGTTTTCGCCAGTCCACTGAAACCTTTTCCGAGGTCTGCGAAAAACTAAATAATGGGCATTTACCGTTAACCAATATGTTCTGTGGAGTCAGATGTCGAGCTATTCATCGTCCGGGAGTTCATTTTCGTATTAAAGGAATCACTCGTAACCAATTTCCGAAAAATACAATGTAAAAGTACATATTCAGAAATACTACAGGAGGTGTGGACATGATATTGACCCTTCGTTGCCTAGAGGTGTGTTGAATAAACAGCCGTTTATATGTAGGTTTTATTTTTTTTGGAGTTTGTCGCTAGACAATTTTTGTTATACATGTTAGTAGAATACACCAGTGGGCATATTAGTACTTTCATAAAGTGCATAGACATTTGTCGCGCCCCGCATCGTGCACAAAAACAGCTGTCTTGCACTGTGCGCTTCATCTTTTTTTGGTTTTTGCACTGTGCGGTGAACTACTACGACATAATTGGAATTTGCACAGTGACGTCCATTATGCGTTGGCGATAAGCGTTGCCACCTATTTTTCATGTTATCAGTCTGTCGGGAAAATAACGGCGGATTGTCGCAGCAAAATGTCTCGACTCGCCGCTATCGCGTACCAAATCCCCAGCCGCGGCTTGCAGTCGCAAAGCGACGATGGGCGATTCAGAGGCGCGACGATCCGCCGTTATTTTCCCGATAGACTGATAGATTCTCCAATTTTTCTTTCTAGATTCTATTAAATACTCATCTACGTTTAAGTGCTCGACCACTTGAGTGTTAATTTTGAGAGGGTTTCTGTATATAAAGTTACAATTCTTGGGTATATGGTACAGTTTTGCTTGTAAAAAATAGAGTTTCATGAACTGGAATGTAGTTGTTTTTGAAGTGGAGTCCCTCTTTTATTTTCTCGAATTGCCGCAGGCAAATTTCGGGCCGTCTCAGTTACAGCCGGTTGATTTGAGAATACACCGGGTTTGGGTGAACATGTGTGAATAAAATATTTTAGTGTCTGCCTGTGAAATTGTTTTTTCTTAATTTTTCTTTTACTTGTGTAGTTGAATCTTCTAGATGTACGATGATCTTTGCGATGTGATTATCCATTTTTACGCAATAATTTCCTTGGGTTTTGCTGTTTACGCTGCCTTGGTCTCATTATGCGCCTGGAAGTTGTCCGAAAAGCATGCTACGTTTTACTTGTTCTGCAGTCAGGTGGGTTCAGAATATTTTAAAGGTTTTCTTTGAGGTTTTTAATGTATAAATGCAAAATGACTTATATTTTTTAGAAAGGAGGCTTTCGAAAAACCGTTCAATTTAAAACAAAATTTTTCTATGACTTGCGCGAGATTTTCAGATTGTTGTTTGCCACCAATAGCGTTTTAGGCGGAAAGTTGGCAAAAATTTGAAACTTTTTTGATTTCCGGTTCAAAAATCTCACAAGCGAGGTGTTCGAAGTGCGACGTTGCAACCAGGTCATATATCAATTTTTTAGGGGAAGTACCACAAGTGCGACGCTCAGATTTTGATGAAACTTGGCACAAATTTAGAATAATTTTTTTTTAAAAATATATATGCGAGAATCCTAGCTCGCGCTTTGCAGAAACAACCGAGATTTTCAGATCGAAAGTTGGCGAAAATTTGACACTTTTTGCCAAATTTCGGCACGAATATTTTCATGCCTACTTCTACTGTCAAGGATAATGTTTCTACAAAAAATCAAACCTTTCCGCACGAAACTGCCAAAGTTATGGCTAAAAAGCGCTTTTCTCTCTGACCGCTCTCCACGTTTAGCCTGCTCTCTCGGCGGAAAAAATGGTTCAATATCCCGGCGTCGCCTGCAAAGCGCGAGCTAAAACTTTCAGGAATTGATATTAAGCCTATGTCCGAAGCGTATGCAAAATTTAAAGAAAATCTAAGCGTCTCACTTGGGGTACTTCCCTTGTTAACTTCTTTTGCTAGTCAATATATTAAACAGTCTTTGGCGCCGTGAGAACGCGTATATGCGGAGAGCAGTCAGAAAGAAAAGCGGTTTTTGGACTTTGCCAATTTTTTGAAAATAGAATTTTATGTTAGAATAGGAGTTGTCTTATGCTGTAGAGAAAGGGCTGAGATTTTTGATGCATAAAGAAAAATGTCACTATACACTTTAACGTAGTCTATGACTATTCACCAGGCACGCATCGAGTTTGGCCCCTTAGTTGGTCCAAAAATGTAGTTATCTCATACTTTTGCTCTCTGCTTTGTTCCATTGTGTATCTTGTCCGCTACAATTTATTTTTTAAAATTTTTAGAACGCCTCCGTTTGTGTTGGCCTCACCGTCCGATTCTTGGTTAATTTCGAGAGTATAATCGGCTTCTTTTTAAATCCCCAGCTTCGGTTCTACCTTTTGTGTGCCAGTATTTACACCCACAGTATTCACATCTCCATTATTGCGCAGCATCGTTTCCACTCGATTATTTTACCGCGACATTACACCAGAGTTTGGAATAAGGCGAAAAACATTACATTAATCGTGCTGACCTGGATCTCCGGGACTGTGATTCTACCGGCAATTACTATTTTTCCAATACGAAATGAACACCAAGGCTCTCTGGAGACATTCTTCAAGACTTATGACAAAGTTTTGGGATATTGGCAACAGAATTTGTTGATCACGACGCTTTATATTACAACTTTTATTGCCGGCCTTTGTTATTTGACGTCAGGAATGACATTTTTATACAAGAAATACAAAAGGGAGCGATGTGGTAAGTAAAGGGCAGGCATAAAACTATACAGTCTGGTGGGATGGTGCTTGTTGTTAACGCGGTCACAGTGAGGAATTATAGTGGGATGATCATTGTCTCTAGGGAAGTGTTATTTAGAGGTAACGCTATAAATTTGTCACATTTTCATGAAAATTGAATACAAAGCGAGGAAGAAATACATGCTTGAGAAGAAGTACGTGTATCTTATCAGGAAGAAGTAAAGATGAAATGGAAATATTGTCAAAAATCAGTATTGTAGTTATGAGGAGCAAAGAACAACTTATAATTTGTTGACTAAAACCTTAGAATCTAGAAAAATCCTGTCTTAAAAAGAAATTAAATTATAAAGGGAAATTGCCCAAGCTAAAAACCCTGTCATGAAAGTTAGCGGAACTTTAGATCATAATTTTAGGAGGAAAACGGGGATTTTTTTAGCTACCGCGTTTTGCTTCCCTAAAAGTTAGCCCATGCGTTATACTTATAAAATTTACTTCTATTTCAGCGTACAGTAATGTGTACAGACGTCTTTTCTTCTGTGGGTTCCTCATCTTTATCCCCACGCTTTCCCACGCCCTCCTCACACAGTATCATGCCAGAAATTACAGTCATTGGGCGTTGTTGGCATTACGAGGATCGGAGATCTTTTCCAATCTTGTTATTCCCGTTATTTTATATTGTACTTCGAAACTGGTTCGGAGAAAATTTTTGGGAATAATTCGAATTGGAAGAGAGAAAAGGAAGGTGATCTCGGCCACTGGATTCGTCGATCTACATAGTCATCGGGGCGAAACTTTGTCGTGAAATATTGAAAACTATTTTAATAAAAATTGAAATTTTGATCATTTTTCAAGCCGAATTCCTCAAGATTCAGGAGAAAAAATTTTCTCAAGAACTGTAAGAAAATTTTTGAAGGATCATCAAAGGAGCCTGCGAAGTTTCACAAAAAGCAAAAACACAATTTCTTAAAACATTTTCAAGATTTTTAGCTCAATGATTGCAAAAAAATCAAAATTTATTGGTCAAACATGGCCGCAACAGTTTAATACTGTGGCCCTACAATTTTCACCAAGGCTAGATCTTAATGATTATGTTTCGCAGCTACTTAATTACTTATGCCTTTTGCCTTTATAATTCCCAACTTTTGTTCGCTTTGTTCTAGCCTCAAATAACCTCGAACCCAAATTTAGTTTCTTGTTTCGACTCTCAACCCAATTTGATTACAAACTTCTTGAATGGACATGTATGAATATTCGATTACTGTAACAAAAAGTATTGTTACTCTGAATGTTTTTCCTCTTCCTGGAAATTAGTTTTTTTCGGAACGGCGGAGGAGGGAAAATATTTTCAAATTGCATATTAAAATTTATTGCGTAAAAAGGGGATTTAATAAAAAAAAGTTGAGAACTTGCGACAAACCAATTAGCATTTTTACAATCATATAATAAAAGGCCGCTTTCCAAACCCACGCATTGATTCAGGGAAAAATGAAGGTCCAGACGTGAGATTAACCGGTTTGGATAATCCAAAGCCCACAAGAAGTTGGAGTACCGTAACCTTGAGGGGTAAAAGAGCTTGGTCAGATGGAGAAAACAGATCAGAATTATTTTGTTTGGCATTTTGATATAGACATTGGCAAAAAATTTATAAATTGCGCTTCGTCTGATCAACACTTTTACCTTCCATGCTCTCTTGAAAACCGCTAAATGGTCGCTAGTGGGCGTAAAGTAAGACTTTAAGTAATGTAGGTAAAAAGGATCTTACAAGATTAGTCCTTCTTTCTGTTTGCAATGATATCATCAAACATTTTTGCTCACATCACTCGTGTTCTGTTATCAAAGATTTTTTTGAGTATTGGTCCTGAAAAGTCTCAGTGATGATTTTCAAAAGCAGCCTATAAACACTTTTTTAAAGAAAGTCTTCGCATTGCACTCTTAAATTACTGTAGAAACATACTCAACTCCCGACAGCTAATATTCAAAGTTCTTTTATGACATCATGTCTGCCTAGTGACCTCTCACGTTTCCTGCCTCCCTCTTTATCATGTGTTGCTCTTTAAATTTGATTGTCACCCCTTTTAACATCGAAATCAAAAGGACTTTGAATATTGCCGAATGAATGGTTGTTGATTTGTGAGCGGAACTCGACCACAAAATTGAATTTCATTGTCCTCGAGAACATCCCTGCATTGAAAGGGAGATTTTATGAGGTTAAGCATCCGTGTTTTCCTTGCATTTTTGATAATGGCGGTTCGAATTTGTTTTCTACACAATTTTTATGCAATTTAGAATATTGATCTGGCTATATGTAGCGCGCTTTTTAAATATGTATGAGGCTGAAAATTTTGCGATAACTATTAGATGCCCTAATAATGGATGTTTTTAAACTGCCTGAAATTATGTTGAACACGAACAAACATCATTCCTTCTTGTTTATAGTGAATTTACATGGGGAATTTTAAATAGGAGCGATTTTTAGCTCGTTCTTTGCAGAAACAACCGAGATTTTTTGGTCACAAATTGCCAAAGGTTTTTGTAGTTGGAAGATATATTCACTGGTCATGATATTAGGGCATAAGTAATGGGCCCCTGAACAAAATGGATTTGGAAAGTCATTGTTTTAAAAACCTCTTTTTTTATCCGCTTCTCCAAAGATACTACTTCGACTGCGTACGATTCCCTTTTAGGAGCGCCCAAAAGCTCAACAAGAATTTGCGCCCCCTTTTTTGACGTGCTCTGTCAGTGATTTGTTCGTGTTTTTGCAGCTCGAACGGCATGCATATCCATGCATTAACATCAAACCCCCTGCCCTCCCACCCTCTCAAACTTTTCTTGGCCCTAAATTCGGGGACATTTTTATGATTGTGCATAAATGTTTTATCGGGTTGAATGTCTCGGGGCCAAAGTCATTCCCTTTAATTTCGTGTTTCAATTTGGAAATTCGATCCTCTCCGTGCCAGAGTGGAAGTTGTACGAAAATGACACGGTTTTATGATATAATAGCGCTCGCCACCTACGACTTCTTTTGTGCAGTTTTATGGACGGCCTGGTAATCTTAGCCGGAATTCTGGAGGGAGGACGTTGGCCTTTATTGGGTGTTTACAAAACATCTGGAGGAGGAATCATATTGGCATTGCGCAACATATTGGGTTTTGAAGATGTAAACAGGGTCTGATTAGAGAATAAGTGATGACCAAATTTTATGTAAAACTTAATGCAAACTTAAAAATGCAAACTTAAATGTGTGGGCAAGTGCAAAAATTAAAATAAATTCATCCATATACCCCTGACATCACTCGTAGCGTACACACTGAACTTCTTGATCTGGATTACTATCTTTTCTTCCCAATTATCCTAGACAAACACCTCCCTAAACCCTCGTTGTTCTGGAAAATCGCAAACAGGACATCCGATTAACATCCTCTCTTACAACATTTTAATTAATCTACCCTGAGGTATTTTTATCGTTTGTTTTCGGTTTTACTTCGAAAGCAGAGCGTCGGATTTACCAGTTTCTCTGGATCAATTTAATCCCCGCCACCGCACTAAACGAAAAAAGGGTTGAGTAAATTTACGTGGGATGTGATTACATGTGATTTGATTGTACTATTATGTTTGGTAGGTGATTGTAAATGCTAATTTACAATTAGCATTTTTGCAAATTTGCTAAAATTAAAAAATTAAAAAGTTTTTTTGGGAATTACATCAAAAATTTCCAATTACCCCGAAACCCCTATTTATATCCTGTTCATAACAATAATAGAGTCAGTAAAAACAAGTTTTGAAAGGGCAGTGCTATAAACAGAATCCGCAATGAATCCCAGTAGATTTTCGAATATTCAATGGATCTGGTGTCTATTATAATCAGACAGTCGCTAAGAGATATAAGAGATATCTTTCGGTGTTTTTGCGGAATTTATAGAAGATAATGCACTATGTGTATTTTGCGGTCTTTGTTCTGCTCATGATCTGTTTGGAAAGGCGAAAAATACGCAAGAATAAGAGATATCTTCGTGACTGGATGAATAGAAAAAGTTTGAAATAGTCGTACTGTTGTGACGGTAAATGAAAACAGACCAGTGGAAAAAGATTTCTGAAGCATGAATAAATTACAAGGCTGATCTTGAAAGAAGTTATAGTTAGAGATCGATAAAAAAATACTTCGAAAAAAATCTTCGGTGGCATATTTGGGGATAGAAAAGTACTTTTTGTTACTTTATCTCATACATCTTGAACAAAATTATCTTGGAAAAGTTTGTTCTGGATTTGTACCAAGTTTGCCAACAATTTTTGCATTTTTAAGAGGAATTCCATGTTTCGAAACCACTCAAACCTCCCAAAAATTCTCATACAAATGTCGCAAAATGTAACTGTCGTCATTGAACTCCTCCGCTTGCCTCCAGGTGAAGTTCTTGCCGTTCCTTTTCTTTGTTTTCTAATTTTAAATCACTGCATAATCGAGGGCTCCCAAAATAAATCCTTTTCACGCCTTTCCTCGGGATGTCATAATTCTTTGTCATAATGTTTTCGAATAAAACTTGTATAAAGTATTCTCGGCGGGATATAACACTCGGCCTGGGATCCGCTTTTATTCGTAAACATCTACGTGACGAAACTTTTTGGATATGATTGATGGAAGTTCCGGGATTCGTCGAAAGTAATAAGATTTTACAATTTTTTATAAAAGTGATATATGTAAAGATCGTTCGAAGATGAGGGATGGCTTAGGCGATGGTACTGTAAAAGACGCTTTTTATAGGAGATATACATTAAGAGTGAAAAAAACTTTTCAATAAGTTTTCAAAAAGTACGTTTAGATCTAGCCCAGGGAAAAAAGGACGGTTCTCCACGCATAAAACTTTCATTTCCCTAAATTTTATTATGCATGATCCATCCAGCTTGGCCAAATATCAATCTCTAAAAATTTTTGATTCCGCTATATGATTCATTATAATCTAACGCATTCAATAATCATTACAGCCAAGAGGGCAAGAGACCACGGAAAATAACCTAGATCGTCAAGAAAACAGCTTTCTCGGAGACGGTTTTGTGGATATCGTAAGAAAATGGGTTCCTAGTTTAGACTGAAGAGTGCCTTCTCATCTCGGCCTAATTTTTTTATTCTATTTTTTCAAAAAAAGTGAGAGAAGCGTTTTTCCTCTGAACGCCGTTAAGGACTTTACATTTTTTTCGGACTAGACTCCAATTTCTTATCCTAAAAATCTAAGAGTTGTCAAATCAGACGTTGAAGTCAGACGTAAGCGAAAAGCATCGTAAATGTGTTTAAAATCCTTTTGTAAGCTTCTTATAAGCACATATAATCCAAAATCTGCGCCTTACATGGCAACTCCTCTGCATCTGATTTCTGTTAAGCTTGTTTGAAAGCTGTTACATTCAACTGTCATCTTTCACATTCGCCAAATATGATCCTTTCTCTTCTCCGGAAATTTTATTCCTCTTGACGCTGCAAAAATTTTGCGGCTGGTTGCGCTTCGAATAATTTTATTTTGCCGAACGTATGACAATGAGTTCTCATACATCATATTTTTTCATCTCTGAAACGCGTAATTTAACGTGATTTAAAACAGCTTTGGGGTTTTGGTAGTTCAGCCCCCCAGGAAAGGTAGTTCAAACCCCCACTGTTTTGTCCATTTCACACCCCCATAATGAAAAAATTAGAATAATACAAAAAATGCAAATCAGAGTAAAATGACCCGCGGCGTTTTAGCTCAAACCCCCAGTTACCGTCCAAATTCGTTCTTGTGGTTCAGTCAACGCTGACCGCAGCCGAGAGAACCCAATCCCGAGTAGGCGCTTCAGATTGGATGAGGGGGTTTATACTGGGTCAAGGGGGCTGAACTGGACTGAGGGTTGTACTACCTTAGCCCCACAGCTTTTTTACAAAATGAGGCTTAGCCCGGCATTGTTGCCTCAACCGTCACCGATTTGGGGTAAACTTCCAAATTTATTATTGGTATTGTTTTGACCTATCTAGTTTGCTCCGGGGACGGATTCTGCATACTACATGAGCTATTTGGAAAATAAAAGTGGTACTTTTGGAGAAAATCCGGGAATACGGTAATTTCCATATATTCTTAGATAGTTTGACCGCTGCACTTTCCAAAATGACGATTGAATCAGAATTTGAAGCCGGCAAACCATTCTACATACTCCAAGAGCTATCTGGAGAAAGAATAAAGAAAATAAAAATAGTACTTTTTGAGAAAATGGTTGCCAAACAACCAAAAATATACCGAAATTACCGTAATCCCTGATTTTCACCAAAAGTACTATTTTTATTTTCACCATTCTCTCTCCAAATAGTTCATGGAGTATGCAGAATCGTTCTCCGGTTTTAAATTCTAATTCGGTTCACTTTTTGTAATGCGCCAACGTGCTCTCTTGGTAGATGCACCGGTCTACTTTGGCGTCCCATATCTCGCAAAGTACTCTTTTTATATATATTTATTTTACAGCTTATTTTAAGGCGAAGAGGTCCAACTTTATCTTAGAATGTTTAAAAAGTAGTTTATATTTTTTTATGGTAATCGATGCGATATCTTGACTACTACAGTAACCCTTAAAATTTCCGGAAAAGATTCCAAGTACAAAAATGATCAGCGTGCCAAAAGGGATAAACTTCAGAGAGCTAGGAAAGCTTCTGTTCGTAAAAACATCTGCTTTAAAGCCGTATTAACAAGTTTATTACCGTAAAGCTTCCGCTTCCTTCCCCCGCTATTGTCATCATCATATCCGCCGTAAAATGCATGGAGCCCGTCATAATCCTCAAATCCAACGGATTCTGAATGCTCTGTAAACTTTTACAACTATCGTAAACCGATGAGCCATTTTTTACAATTTATAGCCATGTCTTACATCGATAAGCCAAAGAGATAAAACCCAATGAATTTCGGAAGTACGTGACATTCAAATGAATATCTGAACCACTTGAGGATATCCCTGGAAATGAGTTTTGAATAGTCCCAATTTTAATCAAAGCACTTTCAATTTGTTGTTATTCTACGTAAACACACAGTATATGTGTATGTCACAGTAAACCGGAAAACATTCATGTAGGCGTAGTTGGTGATAAACATCATAGGTTGCTTGTAGACTGTAAACTACAAAAACGTGTTCTCGAACAAACAATGATCGTTTGTCAAGAAGGTTATTTGTTTGTGGTCTATGATAGGATAATGACACACTTATTTTTTCAAACCACAGCAGCCAAATATCGCTTACGTTCTTTTATAATACTTATAATAGTGTCCTTGTCGCATAGGTCTCAAATTAAGAGTAGTGCTGAAAAAGAGACAACTGTAGTCAAACAAATACAGTATATCGTTTTCACTTCTGCTGTTTATAAGCGCCTATTGCACAGACCAGTAAAGCTTTGTTCTTTTTGTAAGACCCGTTTACTCCAACCACGTCACTGACATTTTCTATCATGTCAGATGAAATAACAGACAGATTATTTGAGTCTGCTCAATTTCTAAATTGTAATAGAGCTTATTTTGAAAAGAATTTGTTTGCTAAGAAATTGCAGTGGTATATCAAATATTTTTGGAGCGACTTTTATGAAAGGCTTTTTATTATAGTACTTTTATTCTACTCCACCTAACTAGTTTCTTATAATTTATGATTTATTAATATAATAGCTCCGCTTCTCCATTGTCCCTACTTCATCGATCATTTGGCTAATTCCATTTCACCCCCTCCAGCTATTCAATTACTTGTTTTCATCATCCCTGTAGTTGTTTTTTTAAAACTTCCTTATATTCTAACACGGAATAGATCTCTATTGCACGGACTCGTATTGCGCACTCCGTTCATTGCAGAAACATTCCATTAGACGCATTACGACCAATGTCCACGATGACATCACCAACACATTGTAATCGATCCCCCAACTTCGAACTCCCGCCCCATCTAATGAAAAAACAGTAAGAATAGAGATGCGAATTATTTCCCAGACCCCGCCCCTTTTCTTTTTGGATTTCAATTTGGCCGAGGGCACGACGGAACGAATGAAACGCCTGGGGGCATTCGGATGGCTTTGTATTTATTGCACCGTGCAGATTGGTTGGAGTGCAGAGGAGGGTGTTTGGAGGGTGGGGAGATGTGATTGGAAGTTGGGAGGGGTCGAGAAGGGTTGTGAGGCTGATAGAAGTTGATGAAGTACCATAAGGCATATTCTTCAAGGTGTTTAAAAAATTCATGTTCGGATTTTTTGCAGTGTAAAAAATTTAAAACGGTTTATCCTTTTGCTATGACGATAGTCTTTTTTAAATCAGATGGTAAGTTTTTTAGGTCATATGACTGCACTACCAATATTTAATTTAATTTGCCTTATATTGTACCTTCATTTCATTTCCTGCACTCTTTCCCACTCTTTTTGTTTTTACTTTTTTATACTAATATGCCCTTCAACAGATTTATTCGTAATCATGAACACTTCAAAGCCGTCTAAACCCTTATGTCACTGTCGCAAAAAAAGAAGATTACAGATTATTATTCCCACGTAATGCGTAAAGGAAGTCTACATGATTTCGTCTGAAAAATAATTTTTAAAGCCGTTTAAGAAATAACTCATCGAAAAATCTTGGACTTCTGACCTTGATTTTTACTGTATTCGCCTCTACTAACGTTTAAAATTTTTGAAAATACCGCAAGAGTATAAATTTCTGGCCTCATTATTGTTATTTACCGCTCATATTATGACGAGTAGCATAGTAAACAATTATTTTCCCATCGCTCTTTATATATTTTCGCTTTTATTTTCCGTGAGAAATAGAAATATTGAAATTATTTTTTCATTTTAATGCCTGTTAATCGCTATAATTTAATCACTATTTACAGTCTCCCAGCTCAACATGGTCGCCTCATTGCGTTCGCTTTGCCTCCGACTCTTCGCCGTTCTCTGTCTGGTGGTTCTAATGGTCAGCGCAGCGCCAGTCGACGAATCAGAGGGGTGAGTAAAACACAGGGTGATTTAATGTAGTACGTTGGGTCCAAAAATGAAATCGATAAATTCTTGTTGCCTCTGCATGTATGAAAAGCTTTCTCTCTAACTGTCTCCTCGCCTGTCATATTCTGCCGTTTTTATAGACTGTTGATTATCCGGGCTCTCTCTGCAAGTCATAAGAATAAATTTTGAATAATTGTATATGGCGCATATACAATATCTTTGCCAAATTTTAGAACATTTTCCCAGGTTACTACTTTGAGATATCCCCCTTCTAAAACACTAAGTAAAATATTCTAAAGAGATCGCAAAGCCGCTATCAAAAATTTTAAAAGAAATCTCACAGTCTAATCTGACCGAAATGAAAATATTCCGGTTCAAAATTCAAATTTTAGACGTTCCCCACTTCCGTTTTTTCCATTTATATTCTTCCCCTGTTTGCTCATTCAACTCATTGAAATCGGATCTGTTGGATATTAAATTCAACTCTACACGCATATTCAAATATTAAATAACTTTCATCGTGTGATGACATAACGACACATGATCTTTTCGTATAACAATCGTTCGATTTTTGTTGGAAATTGATCTTCTCTGGTCAAATGGTCATCTTTTTTGGAAGAAGTCAATTCCGGGTTGAGACAAAAAAGATGACAAGAAGATGGCATCACAGTTATTTTGGCCTACTTTTTGAGCCAAAAAAAAGATTTTTCAAAACAAACTTTCTTGAAAAATCCGTTTTTTCCTCCTCAATCTTTGTCCCACGGATGTCTGCCTCGGATGGATTGTTCCAACTCGACTTTCAACTTTTCCAAATGACATCTTCTCGCCTTTCCATTTCTCATCCGACGAATTGTCGCCTTGAGGGCATGTCTCTTGTCCTCACTGTTAACACCGACCAGTCTCTGGGGGAATCAAAGGCCGAAGAGAGCGAACAGACGTCATGAAGGGCTTGATTGAAATTGGAGGGCGCGAATGGGACAAGGAAATTGGGCCAATAGGTCCACCAACATCATCCGGAGATAGGTCTAGAACTTTTACACAGCTACAAGTCTGTAAAACAATGGTCTTTATATGTGCCAAGTTTCATCAAAAACTGTTCTCAAAGACAGGATTTTTATGATTTCAAAGCTACACAGGCAACACTCATCAATCCATGACCAGGGCTTATAGCAATAGTCTGAATTTTCAAATTCCAAGTTTTTTCGAAATCCGACCAATGAAAATAATTTACTGTAACTTTTATCACGATCCCATCAATTACTGCAAAACGTTTTCCGGAATCTGACGTTATATTCCCTCACGAAATACAGGGAATTCTGACTTCCTCAATCTGAATGGATGACAAAGCCAAGGCTTCGAAATGTGGGACTGGGAAACTCTCGACGCAAAAGAAAGACCGGAAATTTGAGTCTTGCATGAGATTTGGAACGGAATTAATGAAGATGCAACGATAAGGACCACCAAGTTTCTTGTTAGACATCCGTGTAGAAATAGCGTGAGCGGAAAGCTAAAAAAATTAGAAAAAGTAAACAATAAAAAAGAAAAAAAGCTAATGTATTTTGATTGTACTTTCATTAAAAACGGTCTCTTCAAATTGGTTGAGACTTTGATAGTTTTTGAGACATTTCCGACCCATGAAACACAATGCCAAAAATAGCGGAAGATTCAAAAATTTCATACTTGTTTGCAAAGATATTATGATTTTTGAAAATTTCAGACTATTTAAAATCCGACTGTAACAGAATTGATCTCTTTGAGCCAATTGCCAAGAAATTACAGTAGTTCTTTATTCCAAACTACATTTTCCGTGTTCCCGATAATCCTGTCTCTATTTACTGTCCCAAAAATATCTGATTCCGTTATTCGATCCGTTCCATTTCTATCACACCGTCTAGACGGTGTGATAGAAATGGACGCGTCTCCCTTTTTTGGAATCCAAATCTTTTGAGACTAATGGCCCAGCCCTGGGCCAAGCTTCTCACTCAAGTCCCAATGGATTTAATTCGTCCATTAAGGACTAATTCCGCTTAATCTGATTGCAGTATTGTTTTCGAAAAAAAGTAAAAATAGCAGTTATAGTGCAATTTCAGTTTTATAGCACAGTAATTGTCATTATTTCATCGTGATTTCAGGTATCTCCGGGAGGCGCGGGCACCCAAGGCCAAATTTATAAGATTCGGACGTGCTGGCCAGAAATTCATTCGTTTCGGACGAGGAGTAAGTTTGAATTAATTTTTAGGGCACTTCCTCTTTTCTTAATTTATTAAAATGCAAAAGTCTGGAGAGCAACATCAAAATTTAAAATTTTGGGCTTACTTAGACCTTGGTCAAAAAAGATCCAGTGAAAACACGTTTGACAGGAAACAAGTTTGCAATGCCTTTTGCAGTATTTTCTTCATTTCCGAATTCCATACTTTGCATAAATTTAAATAAAAATTTCAAAAAATAAGCATTTTGAATGAACCCGTAGTATAATATAATTTTTGGTCTAGAAGTGGTCTCAAAAGGGAGCTTAGTCGGGAAAAAATTTAAACCCAGATTAATTCACCCTTCCTCTCGCATCACTCACAAGAATTCATGTTCTTCCTCCCATTTTTCATCCAAATTTAATATGTAATTTATACATTTCTGATGGGAAAATCTGAAAAATAAGGCCGAAATGCAGTCTGTTAAACGAAAATTGGTATTTTATTATAATTTATTTAAATCTTTAGGGGTTTCGGATTTTCTGTAATATTAAAACTTTTTTAATTCAGAAAAATGTGAAGAGAAATCCACATTTCTAGGTGGATGTAGAAAACGGTAACACGTGTTTTTTACGCTGAATGGAAAATTTATCCATTGACGCCAACAAACTCGGTCTTGAATGGGTTTTAATCAGGGATTTTATAGTGTATTTTAAGTAAATTTACGTGGGATTTCGGAATGTTTTGAATTATTTTTGATGTCATAAAATTTAGTCATACTCACGTAACCTATTCTTTTACCTATTCTTTGAGTATCAAAGAGTTTTTTAGTCCAACAAAATTCAGAATTTATAAACGGCCCCACAACTTTGACCTCATTTTAGACAACAAAGATTCCTTTGCAACCTTTTTAAACTTTTCCTCCCTTGCATTAGGTTGATTAAAACTGTTTTGTGTCCTATTAGAAACTTCTGCTGAAATGGACCTTGACCCGACTCAGAAATGGAATATAACAATAAGGGTTACGGTAATCGTACGACGTTTAAAAAAGCCGTAAAAAATCCGCGGCCATAAAAAAGAAATTAACTTTTATCGAGGGGTATGAGCGGAGGGACGTAAAATTAGGAAATCGAAGATTTATGAGTGTATTTTGGAGGTTTATAGACTTTTAAAAATTTTGAAATCCGCATTTCCGCCAAAATTGGCATTGTGTTTTTTAACCAGATTTTGAAGATTTAGGGATTCCAATGGGTAGTAAATAAAGAGCCCAGAATAAACAACAGGGCAATAAAATTAGGCAGTTAGGCAGTTAGTACACAGTTTTCTAAAATCTTTTTATTTCCAAACTACTTTTTTTAATTTTGATGGTATAAATTATTTTTTTATTTTTCAGGGTGCCTACGGGCCCGGGACCGCGTTTCCATCGGACTTGTACTACCAGTACTGAGCATCTGCACCATCCAGCATCACTTGTTACAGTACGCGCCGTTTTATTTGAATCGAAAAGAGAAAAGAAAAACAAAAACCATGCATCCATCCACCGCTGTTACACCCAAAAACAAGATCTCAGTGTCAAAAGTCGAGTCGAGTCAACCCTAAATAGCATCTCTACATCTCTATGTAACGCTCTACTTATTAAATACCTTTCCCTGTTACTAATAAACCAGAAATAATTATTGTAAAAATTCTATTCCCACTGCTCCTGTAATATTTTTGAAATAAATTTTGAGTACATCTGCAAAATTTATAATCAGAAAGTGGCTAAGATTTGTAAAATCTAAGGCCTCCTGAGTCGACTGGTGGAGATTTGAAGGAATTGTTCATCTTGCTGATTAGCAATACGTCCATGATTAGACTTGGGTAAACATGTGTGTCAAAAATTTAAGGTACCCAAGCCTCACTATTGTCGTCAATTTCGTCAACCTCTGGCCATCCGGGAATCGGCCTAGACTTGTGACCTACCTTTTCGATTAAAAAAAAAAGGGCGGAGGATGAAATAAAACTAAAACAAACGTAATTGTTTGATCCCCAAAGATTTTATTGTCTGAATTTCTACTGTTTTATCTTATTGGCCGGCTACGCCGCTTATTTACAATTTTTTATTTAATTCGACTACCATCCAAACTTAACTGGCACAAAATCACAATTCAACAAAAAACCGGAAAGTCGTGACGAAAGACCGCAAAGCTTTCGTGCATGCCAGAAAGTATCTTTAATTTTTTACAAGTGGAAGCTTACAGGGGAAGTACTCCAAGTGCGACGCCCAGATTTTCTTTAAATTTTGCACACACGTCGGGTGTGGACTAAATATCAATTCCTGAAAGTTTGCGGGCGCCGCCGAGATATCGAACGATTCTTGCCGCCGAGAGAGCACGCTAAACGTGGAGAGCGGTCAGAGAGAAAACCGCTTTTTGGCCATAACTCTGGCAGTTTCGAGCGGAAAATTTTGATTTTTTGTGGAAACATTATCCTTTACGGTTGAAATAGGCATGAAACTTTTCGTGCCGAAATTCGGCAAAAAATCCAAAATTTTCACCGACTTTCAATCTAAAAATGTCGGTTGTTTCTGAAAAGCGCGAGCTAGGATTCTCGCATATATCTTAGAAAAAATTATTCTAAATTTGTGCCAAGTTTCACCAAAATCTGACCGTCGCATTTGGAGTACTTCCCCTGTTAGTTAGAATAAAAATCGAGCAAAAGAAAAAAAACTGCAATAAAGGCAAAGTAAGGAAAACGAAAAAATAGGACTTGAAAAAAAACAGTGAACAATATTATTTTTCCTTACGGCTTTGAAAGACGCGTAGCTGTTACTACATACTGTTCTCTTGGATCCTTCTAACACACGACATTAGTTGACTCTTTCGGCAAAGATACGATGCGTTTTTTCGTTGAGCACAACAGTCGACTCGCACTGTTGGCAAATTTTTCTTTGACTTTTTGTAGTTGAAAAAAGTTTTCGTGCAAGGGGCATGATGGGCTGACCCAGAGTTCTCCGAATTCAAAATTAAAAAGTAAAATAAACTCCACTGCAGTGCACTGCACATTGTGAGCCTCGTCTACGATGCTAGATGCCAACACAAAAAAAATCTAGCGTTCATTCAACGCGCTCTGTTTTGCCCCGCTGATATGTATTAGGTTGGGGAATAAGTTCGTAGAGCTTTTTATTGTTTTGTTTTGCAAGGATTGTTTGTTGTTTGGCAAAGGTTATATATATTATTTGATACAGTTTTTTCTCCTCTACAAAACTGTGCTTTTAGTTTTTTTTGAAAATTTAATTTTTTATAATTTTTTGGGCTTAAAAAGTTTTTGAGGTCCTCTTCGCCATCGAATTTTTCACCTCGGATTTGGTTTGGCAGAAAGCGGAAAAGGTGGTAATCGGTTGGCGCAAGGTCTGAGAGTATGGTGGATGCTAAATAACCTCCCATTCGAACTCATGGAGTGCGGTTTTGACGACTTGTGCAACGTGAGAGCAAGATGACTCGTGGAGCAAGATGACTTGGCATTGATTTCAGTCGAATAGCCCCATTTTCGAGGTGTAGTTGGGCATCATAGTGCTCCTTGTTGACCGTGGCGTTCTTTTGAGGCATGTCCCTATGCACCATGCCTTCCCAGTCCCTCCAAATGCAGATCATGGCCTTTTTGGGTGGGGATATTGCTTGACTGTCCCCTGGGGCCACCCACTCCAGGAAACAGTCAACATTTTGCTTTATATTGACGTACAGACACCATTTTCATCCCCGATGATGATTCGATACAAAGACCGCCGTTTGCGTCCACGTGCTGCTCGGCGAAAAAAGCAGGTGTCGAAAACGCAAATTTTTGCCTCCTAGATGGTTCACTTTTAAGCCCAAAAAATAATTAAAAATTAAATTTTCAAAAAAAACTAAAAACATAGTTTTGTAGAGGAGACAGAACTCTTTCGAATGCATATATAAACTTTTCCAAACAACAAACAATCGTTGCAGGACGAGGCAATAAAGAAATCGTTGCGGACTTATTCCCCAACCTAATATTTTCTTGACCGCTAATTGGGAATCTTCTGGAAGACGCTTTTACCAAATAGGGTACAGTGTAATATTCTGCATCCTATGATTGCAACGCATGACGCATTTCATGGTTATGGCACGGAAACTAAAGTAGCTGCAGTAGCCAAGCGGGGTTGAAAAATTAAAAAATTACTGTATGTACAAGCTTCTAAGCTTGCACTATTAAGTAACTTCACAGAGTGTTCAAAGGTCTGTTCACGGAAGTCGCTGCCAAATGCAGTGCCGCTGGCACTCTTCTGCCTTTTTTCCTAAGAAATATCTGGCGTATAATTAAAATTATACGCCAGTGTTTTTGATTTGTCCTATGGTTGCAAACGTTTTGAATCATACAGAGCTCATCCTCTCATGTCTTGCAGAGTGCTCGGTACATGTGTGATTTGTGTACGTTGGCCGTTGAAGGATGTGATTTATTGCCCATTTAATACCCACCGTGACCGTTGACGGCGATTATATTTCCGAGTATTTAGCAGCTAGGTGGTGGAATAGGACCTTTTCAATACCGCTTGAAAGTGCATAGATAATTGTTTTTTAAGACTTCCAAGGATTCTTTTGCACTCCATGGCAGCTTTTCTCAATAAGGACGGGGCTTCAGTTTCTTGGAAACGGTATTTATTTACAAAACGAGGCCCGTTCAGTGTGTTGTATTGCGTAAAATTCCAGGTTGCATTTGCACGTAAGTTCAGAAGCTCAAACTTTTTGTACTTCAACTTAATGAGGCAGCAATCTTTAACTTGTTCGAATGGTCAGTAGCTTGAACTATTTTACAGTTTTTTCGGTTGATCTTCTGGGCCGATTTTTTCGGAAATTACAGGCTATTTGCCAGGATAGCGATATATAAAACATCCTGAGCAACTCGTAAAGATGACTTGAAAATCGTCAACTGCCAGGTTCCTAACCGCTGATTTCCTGGTCAAAAAATTCTTTGTTACTTTGGTTAATGCAGTAATTATGATATTATTGTAATGTTCTTTTGAAATTTAAAACTTTTCAGACGTGAAAGAAGTGAAATTGAGCATATCGTGGATTGCTTGTAACACTAGTTCATGCATGAATTAGTCAGCGGCTAGATCGGCTACTTACTTTACTTTTGAAGTTAATTTTAAATGCGCCTTCCTTGTTTAATGGCCAAAAAATCTACTTTCTTAAGCAGACGCTAACTTATAGTATTTGTAGTACAAATAGTATCAATGCTAAATTTTGTTGAGCAAGCAACATGAGCAAAATGTCATGTAATATTTCCTTGATTTCTGTCAAGCGAAGGATTGAGATCTCATATATGTCAATAGAACACCCAATTTTTGTCAAATTTTTATCAAATTAAGTTTACAAACTGAAAGAGTTTCCTTGTGACCTCATTCCTTCAACATCTTCCACTTCATTTTTTTATCTTTTATCCTTCGCATTACAAACCAAACGTCAGCTTGTTGTCATAAATATTCGGGATTATTTTTGGCCAATATATTCTCGCGCAATTGCTTAGATTACTTTTTTTCTTTTGCGTCGGATATTACTCTTGTTTAGTATTTGCAAAATTCGGCTACGTATTCGGGAAAACATATACGCGGGCGTTGCAAGAAGGCAGAATTTCCTTCAGCGGGCAATTTAGACTCGGGAGGTCATGGACTATATATGATGCTATCCGAATTTACAAAAATGGATTACTTGAGCCTTTGGTGGGTCTGTCATGTCAATAACGGAATGAAACATGTATTTAATACAAGTTAATCCACCTTTTTCTAGGTTAGGGTTGACACTGTTTCCCTTTGTTTTGTCGGGATTGATTGGAATTGTGGCGATATCCTGAAATAACTTATTTTTTTCCCTTTAATTTCTGATTCTGAAAAATGGATTATGAAAATCTCGGTAAAAAGAGTTTGGTAGTAATCGGATCTATGAGCAGACAGGAAGCCACGATTTTTATCTGTTTTTCAAGATTACTGTGGTCGACAAAATATTTTTGCGATCTTCGCAGTGGTGCTCAGGTTTCCTTTAAATTTGGATTAATGGCCGGGCCGAAGCCATCAATCGCTGATTTTAGCTAACGCTTTTCACAGGGGTGGTTAAATTATTCAACTCGGAAACAATATGAACTTTCCATGACAAACCTCGCAAAAATACCAAATTTTCACACATTTTTTGCCGTGAAATGTGGGTGCTTCCGGAAGGAATTGATTTTACGGATTCGCATTTATTCGAAGAAATTCTAACCCGACTTTCTAAAAGGTTTATCAGCATCAAAGTCTTTTTTTGTTCCACTTATTCGCCAATACCAATTTCTTCGTTCCTTGCACCGCAATTTAAGTGCATGAACGATAATCTACACCGGAACTTCCGGAGATTTTATTTTCGTCTTCCAGGTTGGCTGTGTCCTCGGTTTTGTTGCCTGATGCATTCCCCGAACGTAGTTACATTTTGCATATTCAGGCCCTAAAGCAAGGGCATTACGGTAGCCAAATGCTTGCGTCAATACCACAATACACTGCCAATTTAGTTAACTTTGATTGCCATAAGTAGAAATTATTATTATCCTTCGTGTGCCTTTTCATATGATTCATATTCGTAAGGTATATTTCTTGCGCAAGAGGTCATATTTGACGCAGTAGAAACCTACTAACCATTTTTTTAGTAGGTTTCTACTGCCGTTTTGTTTCTGACGTTAGGCTTATGCCATGCTGCAGATAAAGTAAGGCGCTGGGACGAAGTACGAAGACCGTGAACTGCAAAATTTCTAGAAATATAACCATCCTTCTTAGAAGAAGCCTACAACTTTTCCGCAAACCGCCTTTACGGTAAATATTTTCCAATTCAAATCCCAAACTTCTCCAGCTTCCCGGATATAATCTCTCTGTCCTTTCTATTATGTTTTTCACAAAACGTAGGCGTCTGCGCTTTCTTGGATTCCTAAAATACCGATTGTTTACTCATAAACAATTCGCCGAACCCAGTCCATCAACCCCCCTCGCGGCTAGCTAATCCAGGCCTCGGCCTGCGGCTAGTCTAATCGTTTCCAGCTAGGGTTTTGACTTCCAATGTCAGCAGCGGATAATCCCTCTTTGTCTATATAAAGGGAACGACGTATTCGCGGCGTAGTCATAGTCCTCAGTCTGTGGGATTTCACCGATGAGATATTGGGAGTTAAGTCGGTCGAACGGAACAAAGATAATCGTTCGATATTTGTGGAAGTTTAGTCGGCGAACGAATGGCGGTGACGGGCGAACGGGGGAATTACGGTGGATTTGACAATGCGAACTGACCTCGTTTTGTGGTTTTAATAGTTATGGCTAAAATTCCCTTTAATTATATGTTTGTAACGGGACCCTTCTGAGTCCTTTTAGCAGTCTGAACTCTTCATTATTCTAGGTATTGGAATATATATATTTATTGAGGAGACTCCTCAGAGCGCGCGTCCGCACCCTGGGCCTACAATAAGCTCGATATGATAGAACGCGGGCTTTGGCTGGCTTTACCCCTCCGCTTGGGTAACGCGCGCCAAAAGCTCCCGCGACATCCTCCCCCACCAAGGAAAACGATGACCGCATCGTTGAAAGTTAACAATTTGAATTCTAAAAGACAGATACAACAAGAGGGGATAAGTGCAAGGGCCTATGTACATACAACTTGTGTTCTTGGGGTCTTAGAAACATGTTATTAAAATTCCCTAACACGATAATAGTTTTTGGTGGCTTACGGGTTAGAATGATCATAGTCGATATTCCATGTTTTCGTCTTGAGCGGTACTGTTCTTCCAAACGTTCGTCTCGGTGGCGGATCGTCATTGACTCACGCATCTTCTTCGTCTTCTTCTGGATGTTGACCGTCGATATGTTCCTGTGCTTGCCCTTTGTCCATTTGCTTCGGATTGTAGTTGCAGTGCTTCCCTTTGCATCTGCAGGCTCTCCCCCCTCAGAGAGAGGCGTCCTCGCCGATTTTGTCGCTTCTTTGGCGTTGAATTTGTTGAGCATGTCTCTCCTCATGCTGATCGGCCTTCTCCGGTGGATCCGTTGCCTCTTCCTGGGTCGGTCCATTTCATCTTCGGAGTTCATCATTCCATTTCCTTGGGGCATTCACTTCACCTTCTTTGCAGGTGGATATAGAGGACGTCGATAGATTTTAAATATTTGGGGTAGGCAATTGACACAGTAGGACAACACACACAGAATTAAACTTAGAAAATATACCATAGAATTCAGAGAAGACTGCTCTGGTGGGACCTCCATCTGTAACGGGACCCTTCTGAGTCCTTTTAGCAGTCTGAACTCTTCATTATTCTAGGTATTGGAATATATATATTTATTGAGGAGACTCCTCAGAGCGCGCGTCCGCACCCTGGGCCTACAATAAGCTCGATATGATAGAACGCGGGCTTTGGCTGGCTTTACCCCTCCGCTTGGGTAACGCGCGCCAAAAGCTCCCGCGACATGTTTGTGTATAAGCTTTTCGACTATTTTTGATTACTTTAGGACAAATTTATACACAATGATTACTTGTCCTTGAAACATTACCGTAGTCATACAGCAAAATTTACAGAGGGATAATCTGACAATGTACTCGAATTATATTATAATTGCTTTACTTCCTTTCTTTCCAAAAATGCGAGAGAGGTCTGTTTGTTTTTACTATCATCCACAGTATCTTCGTTTACAATGGTCTTCGAGCTCACAAACATCTGAGAATTCTTCCTTGTTTAGGGTCGTTTCGTTTCCAAAAATTTCTAATCGGAGCGTCCAGACTTTATGTTGCAAATTGTAAAGCGCACCACAATTTCTCGAACCCGACGAACCTTATTAGTAAATAATGTTCTCTTGTCGAGATTAGTTGACCCTCTTCTTTTCAATAACTTTCTAATCACGTCTCCCCGGAATAGAATTGTATGCAAATAGTTTTGTTTGGAACACTTTTTGCAGAACATCATCAACAGCGAGCTCTGATGTGCTCCGATTTTACGTTTGCGTCACATATGTATCAGAGGGCCAATTTGCCGGTATTTACCAGGCCATATGAGTAAACACATATGAAATCTTTTATAAATGCAACCATTATATGGAGAGTTGTGTTGGAAAGTTTGATATAGGCCTAAACTTTGACTTGTCGGCCGGAAATGACACATATTTACAATCAGTGTTTGCTATGTTAGTCTTCGGAGATATTGCAAAAGAAGCTGCTAATGACTCAAATACATTGAACAAAAATTTTTGGCAAGTAGATGACGGATAAAGCTCTTTAGAACTAAAAATATGTTAGTGTTTTTCCCTCGCCCTTTGCCTGTTTCACACTCACTTTTACGAGACATCTACGGGCAGATGTTGTGATGGGTGTTTTTTGTATGTCAGCACACCGATGTTGGGACTATTTGACTTGGAAAGGATTTCTTAAACCAATAAGTGGATTTTGATGCAAAATAATGATAATGCAGGCTACGAATGCTTGAAGAACGAGTTTCTTGAGTTCAGCGTGTATAACTGATAAATGAGAGGGCGGCCGGAAAAAATTGCCCACATTTTTTGACGCAACCTTGAAAAAACATAATGTTCCTTAAAAAACCCGGAAAGAGTGTAAGAAGTTTCTGAAAATCTTCTCAACAAACTATAGAACATTTTCTGCAAAGCAATTTCCAAAACTCTCGCATCGATAAACCGTAAGCCACTTTTTTGTGCAAGCTTTCTTTGGAATCTGAGGGCCATCAAAATCACAAATTTACCGTTAAAACCACGGCTTTTAATCATAACGGAAATATGGAGAACGTTGAACTTCTTGGTGCTTTACAGATGACAAACTCATTAGACCTTCTATAGGACCACTCTTTGGATTCGTGTTTGCTATTTTGTTATTCATTATAGATCTATTCGAAAGCCGCTGATTCGTTTCTACATCCTTTAATCTTTACTTCCTTACCTTGTTACTTCACTCTCGGTTATGTGACATCTTTGCAGCCATCTCCAACCTATTCCCTACGCAACGGTGACCCAAACCGAACAAACGGATGCTGGGAAGTGCCGTTCAGTTCCCGGACGACCGTTTCTTACGATTCACGAGAAAACCTCGTCAATTCTTGAGGAACCTCGCTTCTTCTTTTGATTTTCACACAAAAACAAACCATGTTTCCCGGTAATGTAATATCCACAAGCGGAATATTTGATGATGCGGCAAAAAGGGGATGGGTTTGTTTATGGTTCAGTCCACATTTTTCGGTTTCTACATTGCTCACTTTAATAGTGTTAAAAATTGACACAGTTGGACCGATCTTTTTATAGATGTGATAGCCTTAAAAGAGGGTCGAGAGGTTTGCCAGAAACGTTACAATGATTCGTGCACGCTTTTTGGGAATAATAATGGGCTGTGTTAATTAAAGGCACATCTTGCAGGCAATAACAAGCGATTTTACAGAAAATACGTGGAACAATCTTTTCATTCACTAACTGTAAGGGCGCAATGCCAAAAAGACTGTCGACGTTTCTGTGATTGTACATATTCATGTTGTATGAAAGGTACTGTAGTGAAGGCGAGGATTAAAGGAAATGTCAGTTTCTGTAGAGAATATAATACGTCTCCAATCAAAGGACGTGAGCTTGTGGATTATGTATTGTAAAGATAAAAACGGATATCTTATGACTTAGAGGGGTATTATCAGGTCTGTCTTAAGAGGTGGTAAATCTAAATTGGTCTGACATATTCTGCGATCAAAGCCGAGGGGAAATTGCGATGCAGTTAGAGATTGCCGTTTACCCTTCAATAATTCTGAGGCCCCAATATCTCAGCGTCCTTCAGAGTAAAAGTCATTACCGATTCCTTTGATATCTCAAATTTTTTGACAGAGTTCTTTAAAAATGACAGTTTATGTTGACTTTTTCAAAAACAATATTTGAGTCGTATAATGGAACACCAAACTGTGGCCAATTACATATATGGGCATTATTTACTCGAACCCTTTTATTTCGATGTATATCCAAACAGTTTAGTACTTTTGGACTTCCTTCCCGTCAATTGTCCTCTTCAACTTTATGGCATAAATATTTATAAACTTCTAAAAACAATTGCGTTTTCCGAAGGAACAGATAACTTATTAATAAGCCCATAATCATGCCATCTTAATCTTAACGAGTTCGTTTTGTCAAATGAGTTGGTTATTATTATTATCAGCCTGCCGTGAAAATAATGTGGATGGTTTGGTGCGCAAGGGCGACAATTTGTTGCGACAAATGCGCATTATTTTTCAGGCAGAGTGATGTGTCACTGGTAAATATAGAAACGACCTCAGTCTTAGGATTCGCCTCATCTTGTGAGTTTGTAATGATAAGGTCGAAAATCATCCGAGACTGTATGAGTATTTACAATGCATTTACTACATTTACGAATATAGTATATGTACATATGTATTACATATATAATGTCATCCTATGCCAATACAATGTTCTTTGTGTGGGCGAGTGGACTGATAATTTTTACTGTGTAGTATAATAGTATCGAAAGTCTTTCGCATTTCATGCTACGACTACGCCTACAGATCTCACAATTTTTTCATTTCTCATTCTCTTGTCAAACGAGGCTGGATGTGTTTAGGGTCAGAACATTCTTTTCTATTTTTTTCAACGAATTCTGCATAGGTATCAATTGAAAACTTTAGAAAGTTGCCTTGAGCGTTGCATCCGACCACTTCCTTGATAAGCATCAAAAATCTTCCAAATTTATAGTAAATTGGTTAATGATTCCTATTGTCACCGATGTAATCACCCTTTTTGTATCCCTTTTGAATATCTCATTAATCATCCAATAATCCGCGTCCCTACAGAATCTTGGCATAATTACAACTACACTTCCACTGGCTTAGGGGGACAAAGGATTTCGCCATTAATTACGGCATCTAATCTTGTAAATGCGCGCGGATTTTGCATCATCTCTCTCTTTTTTCGGGTCGAGTGTATACCAAATTTAGGACAAGTTATTTTTGTGTCGGCTTCCAGTAAACAACACGATTGTTTGTTGTGCCCTGTTTCTTTGTGTTCCCAATGTTTTTCCGAAAGATTAATGGCCAAAAATGACAAACACAGGCTATGGAAATTATTGCAATCATCTGCTCTTGACGCTTTTTTGACGTAAAAATATTTTCCCAAAATTTCGAGATGTCGTATGTCAGCATAAACATGATGGCTATGAAAACCTTTATAATTATACGGTCGGGAAACGGAATTGCGCGTGTTTATGTTATTAGTAGATTTGAAGGACAAGAAAAAGGTACTTTACACGTAGTATAAGATATGAAATGGAATAGCAATTTTGCAAATTTTTTTGGTTTAAGTTTTTTGGGCAATTGTAGGTGTAGCGAAATGTTTACACTAAAATAAAACTTGTCATTACTGGGTAATTGAAGGGTCCTATTGGCTATTGTAAGTTATAACCTAAACAATTTTTTTGCGAAGAAGCGTATGTTTTCGAGGGTGCTGATTTCGAAAATCATGTAAATTTTTCCTCTAGTACTATATTCGAAATCAGCACCCTCGAAAACCCCTAAATCGAGTATTTATGAAAAAAATCAAAAATTACTACTTTACAGTACTACTTAAGGAAAAAAGTAAGAATCAAAAAAATGAATGTCATTTTCGAAATGAGCACCCTCTATTATCCTAACTTCGACATTTGCATGGAAGAAAAATAATACTTTTCGGTTTCCCCAATCGTACTTTTCCCCAATCGTCTTTTTCCCCAATCGTCCCTTTCCCCAATCGTCCCTTTCCCCAATCGTCCCTTTCCCCAATCGTCCCAGTTCCAAGGAAAATGCTCGACAAATTTTTTACCGTTTTTTTCCAAATTATTCCTGAATCATCTATTTTTTATATCTGTAATATTAAATCCAGAATACTTTATGGATCGTGAATTTGTGGTTCAGTAATGCATAAAAACGTACTATAGATGCTTTTCGATTTGCCATGACAATTGTGGGTCTCTAAAGTGGCGCTAGGAATCGCTTATCTTAAGAATTATCCTCTCAATCTGTGCCGATTTTAATCCAATTCTGTTTGCTCTTCGTCAACACAGCGGACCCAAATTGACTTATAAAAACATATAATGACTTATAATGAAATGATTTTTTTATAAGTCATTATCTGTTCTTATAAGTCATTTTTTAAAATGACTTATATGTTCATATATGATTTTATAAGGGTTCTCTGTGCGCTCTTGTTGAATTGACTTAATTTCATATACGTTTTTATAAGTCATTTTATTTATAACCGCACCGTGCAAAAAAATGAACATTTATTTCAATCAATAACTCAAACAATCAAGCCGCACAAGTAGAATAAGACTTCAATGCACGAACGACCTGAGATTTTTTGATGGGGCGTTCGCCGCTTCTGTAGGCGGCGGTAGATGTATATTATTGCTTCAATGCTTCTGGTTTCACTGCAAATATTTGGAGATATTAGAAAAGTTTTTTTTCGGGAAACTATAATATGAGTTCGGCTTAAACTCGATTTTTTATGCGTTACATACTAACAGTAAAACAGATGAATTTGAACTGCCTAAAAGGTCTCTGGCGGAAAAATTTTTAGACATAAAATTTGCGATATTGTACTAGGTCCAGGTGAATGTTATCAACCATACCTGAAGCTACCGGATGTCATCTTTCTATTCATCGTGTATACATTGTCCGTTGGATTCCTCCATGACCATTTTTGTAGTTATCTAAAACCCAACGGATTCACCTGGACCTAGTACAATATAACAAAACTTTGTCTTGAAGTTTTTTCGAGACCTCTGAAATGTGGAAAACAATTAAAAAAACACCTACCAAAATTGAGCAAATGGATCCTTTAGCAATCCGTTGGTTGATCGTACATGTTTATACGTCTTCTGGGGATGGATCTTCTTCAGGCTGGCATGCTCCCTGCACGGGAAGGCTATTACGTTCGGGAACGTTCGGGACTTTTCATCTAAACACTCTAAGCTCTTGCAAAACAAAAAAAGGCTGATTAAAAGCATCTTACTTTGATCGATCCAAGGTAGAAATACGTCGCGACGTTCCAAAAACTTAGAACTTCACAAGTCCAGCTCACGCGTGCACAAAGCAAAAAGCGTATTTGGCGCTCAAAAGTTTTCTTTGCAAAGAACTTATTTGTTATTATAAGTTCTTATTTGTTTTTATAAGTAAAGAGAAATAAGCCCCTCCTCTTTTGACATTATTTTGACTTATAAGTCATTATCTGTTCATATAAGTCGTTATATGTCTTTATAAGTCAATTTGGGTCCGCTGTGAAAGACTTCCCTTGCAAGTGAAAAACCTCCCAAAATACACCAAAATTTTGCGGACCGACAATTTGTTTACTGTCAAACGCGAAACTTATAGTTTAGCTTAGGAAGTACAATTTGAAATCATAAATACAATTTTCTCAGCAAACTTTTTCTTCTATCTTGCGACATTATTTTCAAATTTGCCGGCGCTTATACACGTATATTTATCAAAATATTCAGCGTTGTAAAAATCGGTGTAATTAAAACGGCTAGGCTCGCATAACATTCTGAGAAGACATTTCACTTAAAGGTGGCTCTAAAATACGCTAAGCCTTGGGTAATCAATGTCCTTGGATTCTATTATAATTACATATTTTGGATTTGGCCTCAAAGAGCCGCACTTCTTATAGCCGCATTTCCACGGAGTAGCAGCGCTGTTTTTGAAAATTTTTATTTCGCCATTACTGTCTGAATTTTAGTACCGATCCCTGCAAAGCACGGAGGAGTTTGGGCATAACCTTGTGATTAAGAACAACGTATTTTATACATCCTCGCTGTGTCATATGGGCCACATTTTTAGAATTTTGCATATTTTTTTAAATTAAAATCGGGACGAAATTATTTTTTTGCCATAGCTTTACACCCTCAAACATTTCAGCCCAATTACCGACCCTTATGCTCGTCATTTTCAAGTCCAACCATCATTATTTTTTCCGTCTCTTCAATACTTTGTTGTTGTATATTATACTTCCGAAAACACGGGAATTATATCGGGTAACCCTAATCCCCCAATTTGCGTATGCCTTTTGTTTGTTTCAAGCTGTAGCCTGTAAATGACATCAATACACTTAAGGCTACGAACTAATATAGTTAGCAGTACTTTTGGGGCGTTTCGAAATGACAATCCTCTCCAAAATTAATCCCGTTTTCGTTGCAAAAGAACAGGGACGACACGGCATAAACCATGGCGACATTCGGGTTAGCTGATAGGTTTTTGGGGACCTTTGTTTGTACGGGATTAGAAAGCAATAGGGATTCGATTTGGAGGCGGGGAAAAATAGAAACCATTTTGAATATATTTATAAGGACGTGTAAACTCTAAAATGATGGTGTCAGTACAATTTACTGTCGGAAAATATTTTCATTACAATTTTGAAGCCCTAAAAGGACATCTCTCAATGCTTTGTATCTGCAGAGGTCGACGAGTTTTGCAAAAGCCTTATGAATTTTTAACTCCCCTTCACGCTCAATTACCCAAAATATTTAGGCATAATTTGAAAGCTCAAAAAACTTTTTCAGCAATTGTCTTCCAAGTTTTTGCGGGGGTTTTAATCTTCGGGTCAGCAAAACACAGATACATGCAATTCTCTTGAGCTAACTCGTCAGTAATTGGGACTATGTTCATCAGATCATGACTTACGGCAGAATTAATTGCACGATTTATAGCATAATTAAAAACAACACCATAGCCTCTATTTCGGACACATTCAATCGGTATTATTTCCTCTCTCCTTAACCATCAATGATTTCCAATTTTCCAACAGCTGATAATAAAATATGTACGCTAATTTTTCTTGTATTCCTCTCCCACACTTTCAAAAATCTTTGCATTTTACGAATTTAAGCTTAATGTATTAGCATTTCAATTAACCCTCTTTACTCATTCATGCAACAAAGAGGTCAAGTTCATGTTTAGGCGTGCTGCCAGCCGTACTTTGGCTTAACTACTCGAAAATTAATTGTATTTTACGACCTATCCGTTAAAAGGAGACACCTTTTCGCTTTTTTATGATGTCTTTCAAAGATCAGCGGTTGAAAATAATGCTTGTCCAAAGATATACATTAATGGTTAGGGGAAGGAGCCTCTTCTGAATCGATGGCCAACACACCGATTTTGGATGTTTTCTTACCTTGACTTTTGCCTTATCTCGCCCGCCTATCGACTACAGTAACCCCGAACGTCTTTATTTTGTCGTCTCTTTGATGTTGGAACCCTGTAATCCCCGAATGGTCGAGTGTTTGAATATGAATTTTGCTCAAGGACCAAAGATAAAGCCGCTGCGTATGTTACGTGAGTGTGGACGTATGCATCAGCCCAGATATCCTATAATTACGGGTAGGGGGAGGTCTTTTGATGGGAATGTAGGTGATGTTTGCCCGCAGTTACATGCAGTCCTCCCAGACATTTTAAAGGAGGACCTTTACGGTGAATGTGACACCTTTATGGTTACTGGGTATATATGTTGGCATACTACATAAAGGATCAATGTTTGGGGGATTGATGCGTAGGCATGGTTTTATCCACCATTTCCTTTGCTGACTAAGGTTTATGTAGCCCTGCACGTCAAGAAAAAATAAAACAAAAGCGCTCAAGCAATGAAAAATTCTTGGCATTCTGTTTGATCTCAAAGACAATTTTTTGCGATAAAGATAGCCTGATTACACGATGAAGATGGGGTAGAATGGGGTTATTGCATACATAAATTTGAAGCTGGGCTCCTGCTTAACCTGAACATATATATTTCATATAAAAAATCGGTCGTCTTCTATCTGTTTGAAGCCTAAACTAACAACGCCTAAAAAATGTTGCGATTTCGAGGATTTCTCTAAGATTTTCCCTCGCCCCTATTTGAAGTTTCGTGGAAACATAGTCTGGAACAAGGCGGATTTTTTGAGCCTAAAACGAAAAAAATCAAATGAGCCAGTTTCGAGATAGAAAATCTCTTCATTTTGCGCAATATTTCGCCTTTCCTCTGACCTCGTCCAAAAAAACTGTCATTGAGACGGATTTTTTGGACACTTCCGTAAGCGGAAACAGAATGCCAACTTTCGTGTTGATACATAACCCTTTGAGCGCAAAATCTTGACGTGCCCTGTTACTTATGAGGCCATCTGAGTTTTTAATTTTTTTGTTTACACTGCTCTTGCATTTTGCTCGTCTTACTTAATTATGTAATAAATTGCTAGTGAAATCCCACAAATATTTTTTTAAAATTTTCCTCCAATTACTTTGTAATTTTCGAGTTTTATTTATTCATTTTTGTGTCATCACTTTCCACTGCCCCAATCTTTAATATTTATGTTTTTTGGTCGTTATAGATTTCTGAAAGCTACAGTTCTTTTGACTTCACCATTTATCGTCTCAAACTGTTTTCATGTTTTTTTTTAACACTCAATTACTTTTCGTCTTTAATTAGTATTATTCCACATACCTATGTATTTATATACTTTGTCTTCGAAACCTTGTAATTAGGACCCAAGGCATGTTGCATTTATTTCTCAGGCCCTCAAAATGTCCTTCAGACGATACGCGCACTTTGTTGTAAATTTTTTTGCGACGTAAATCACGGTGAATAATTAATGGTGATTTGCATTTCAGTCTCGGTCTCATCCTGTTGGATACATCCAAAGTTCGGGGTGGGAACATTTTTGGATATGAGAAGAGCGCTTATTAGTAATGAGTTGAGGCTTGGACGCGGGGTGGTGACATTGCAGTAGATGGAAGATTTGAGACTAAAAATAGGGGGAAATGTTCTCAGATATTGGGAAGACTGCCACTTTGAGTTCAGGGCTGGCACGATTGATGTTGTGTTCCGAATGTTTTACTAGGACTGACCTAGTTGAATCAGTTTCTGGTTGTCCAGCAATTTCAAACCTACCATCATATCTTTCAATGGCAATCATTCCTATTTTTTTGGAAGTCCATGTGCCTAAAAGCCATGTTGCACGTCAAAGAAAAAGTGAAAAAACAAGGAACCTCGGATCATTGATTTTTGACGAAATGTCGCTGAATTATTGAGTCACAAAAGAAAACTTTCCCAGAGAACTTCGAGAAAAATGTTTTTTCGAAGAGGAAAATAATTTTTCAAGCTCGATAATTCCGTGGCACTTCGCAAGAAAATCAATGATCCGAGGTTCCTTGTTTTTTCAATTTTCTGAAAGAATTGTTCTGACGTGTGTTGCGCTTATAAAATGATCCGTTTTTAAAAGTTACGATAAAATGCCAGTGTGTACATAATGTCTACCTCATTTGAGGCTTTCTGATTTTCAATTTTTATTGATTTCCGCCAGTGAATATATACTCCCCGTACAATGTTTTGACCCCCCTCCTAACTCCGTCCAAAGTATACTAATTCGGACCAAATTTGGTATGTAGTATACTCACAGGCAAGTAACAAAAAATAACATAGCAGGACATACCTTATAGTTGAATTTCAAAAGCTAGGGTCAATTTTCAAAAATCACCTTAAAAAATCGAGGAAAAAGTTTTGACCCCCCTTAAATAAAGTTAGATATCGCCAGCGGATGCCACGCAAACTTATTGTAATCGAAGTCCCATACCTGAATTCAGGTTAATATATGGTTTTTCGTTGAATGCTTCGTTGCATTTGAGGATTCAACGCGTTAAACCGTTTTTGATGTAGAGCTGCCCAAAATTGTAAAAATCTTGCCCTAGCGCTTTCCTAGAGCTCTAAATTGGGTTTATATTATGTGCTTTAGACCTGTATTTACCTTCTCCTTTCAATAAAAGTGCATGGTGGCCTGGCGGTGTAGATTCGGCAGTTACCCTCTTGTCATGCCCAGCCTTGGTGAGCCATTTGCTCTTTGACTCAAGGTCGAGATGTGGTCGTTAGGTCCTCAGTGTAATCCTGAGACTCCTAGTTACTCTCAAACAAAGAATAAACTCCGGCTGACACGGTCTCATATGGTTTGCAGGCGCAACTTCGCCGATCTGCGCCTTAACGAAAACCCCGCGTTTTTCATATGGGTTTTTAGCCACCAAAAACGGCTTTCATTTGATGGACCAGGTAATTTAAGACGCTACAGCACCCACCATACTCATTTGAGACGTATGAAACGCCAAATGGGAGGTGGGGATGTAATAGTACTCGGGGTGGTCTACAGTAACGGCAAACTTCAGATTAAGGTGAATGAAACCCATTACAAAACGTGTCAAATCAAAACATATTACATTACTGAGAGTAAACAGGAGTCTCAGGATTACATTGAGGACCTAATAACCACATCTCGACCTTGAGTCAAAGAGCAAATGGGTCACCAAGGCTGAGCATGACAAGAGGGTATCTGCCGAATCTACACCACCAGGCCACCATGCACTTTTATTGAAAGGAGAGGGAAAATACAGGTCTAAATTACATAATATAAACCCAATTTAGAGCTCTAGGAGAGCGCTAGGGCAAGATTTTTACAATTTTGGGCAGCTCTACATCAAAGACGGTTTAACGCGTTGAATCCTCAAATGCAACGAAGCATTCAACGGAAAACCATTTATTAACCTGTATTCAGGTATGGGACGTCGATTACAATAGGTTTGTGTGGCATCCGCTGGCGATATCTAACGTTTTTTAAGGGGGGTCAAAACTTTTTCCTCGATTTTTTAAGGTGATTTTTGAAAATTGCCCCTAGATTTTGAAATTCGACTATACATAAGGTATGTCCTTCTATGTTATTTTTTGTTACTAGCCTGTGAGTATACTACATACCAAATTTGGTCCGAATTAGTACACTTTGGACGGAGTTAGGAGGGGGGTCAAAACATTGTACGGGGAGTATATTTATTACGACCCGTTGCTATACATTTTCCACGTTTTCAATAACCAACTATTAGAGAGCTTATATCTCATTTAAACTGCAATTATAAGAGTATTACGAAATTCTGCTCATCTCAAAGCTACAAATTTCATTTGATCATTGTATTTACTTCACCGCGACTCTTTTAGATTTAAAAAAATCCGAATCCTCTGTTTACTACTCATAATTTTTTGCAGCACGGCCGAACGGGGGCACACACACATTGATCAGAAGTCATGAGCCAATACCTGCAAATCCTCTTAATCTCGGCCGTTCTGGTCGTTCTCGGCACGGCCAAACCCGCCTCCAGTGAATTCGACGACGAAAAGATCCAAGCCCTCCGGCGGTTGTTGTTGGTGGACTTGCGCGCATTGGACGGCGACCTGATGCCGGATATGCCGATGCGACCACTCAATGTGGAGTCAGGGGAACGGCTACAGAAGCGAAGACTCGTCATGGGAATGCCCAACATCCTGCACATGGGCAGCAAGAGAATGGTGAAAAGAATGATAGAGAGAAACGCGCAACGGGAGCTGGTCATGAACAAACGCCGGATAAGTAAGTTTTAGTCGGCTGAAGTGTCGATCTAACGTCTTTGAACGATGAAAAAAGAAACGTTTAGGGGAGTTGGGCTCAAATTTCATCTGAAAACGTTGTTTTCTTCGGACGATCATATCATTTTATTGAACGGTGACAACAACTCTCACGGTATCAGATTTACCTCCGTTTTGTTTGCCTTTCCCAAGGGATTCTGCCAAGATAATTTATTCCTTTTATCTCATATTTGTTTAAGTCTTATTTGTGCTCAATTATCGGAAATAGCGCAAAAATAACGCTTGCAAAGAAAAATATGCAAATGTCTTCCAAGTCTTTAGAGAACTTGTTTTTCTTGGTTATTCTGCAACGAAGTATTTATGTACATGATTTAGATGACAACGTTCGTATCCCTGTCGGCTTGATCTTTCAAAAACTCATTTTCTTTCCTTTCTGATGTCATAGCTCCCTAAAATACGTCGTTTGGGCATCTAAATGGGCATCTCGTCCTAAAGACCAATTGTCCTTTCTGTTTTTACCTCTCTTTACCCTTTATCTCACGAAAGTCTCAACTCATAACCGCCGTCTAGACTGTTTTATCCGCTCTTCTCGACTCTCGATTCGTATAACGAACACAAATTTAATGAATTTTACGCAAACTTTCTTGAACTTCGCCCGACGCCATTTCCCGGAACGTTTCATATTCACAACGGCGCTTTTGTGGCGTCGCAAACCCCAAGATGAATATTTATCAATACCAAAATACCCTTCCACACAATTAATATGCATTCGAAAATTTTTTGCGATAATGATATCACGCGCGCCGTTGAGCGACCTGAAGAGGGCTCGGAGTGCAACGAATGGACGTGCATGACGAGCATAACATTTGATGATGTGAATTTGGGTTCGGGAAATCCACGAATTCTGTATAAGGTTGGGAATCTTCGAATTTTCAACTTATTAGGGAATTTAAAAAAAAATGTCGGCATCAGAACTCTTCGAAAAATCGAACAGCTTGACTCTCACAACAAAAGTTAGCTTCCTAGAAAGTAACCAACTATCAGCTCTCTTGTTTTTAGAGCCTTTGTGACTACAGTAACCGCACTTTTTTCTTCCCCGTCTTCCTCTTTCAAGGTACCATGCATAGCTGCTTGTAGTCTTCTAACTTTTGCCTTGCAAAAGTCATATGAGCCGTGTACCAAACTACTGTCTTCACATTCTAATTACACCACCTTCGCTCTTCTATTAAGATCCCCTTTTCGTGGAATGCCTTATGAACAATTACTTCCTAAGAATGCGAAGGCAACATTTCTGATGTCACGCTGTAAACATGCATTAAATATTATATATAGCTTCAGCGCTTCCTCAATTAGCCTAACCATTGATCATTTACACTGTCATCTAGTAGTGTTTTGGAAAATGACAAAGTATACCAGTTACGTATAATTTTGATGAAACTAATTACAGCTCTTTTGCAGGTATGCACATGCCGAATCTCGTCTACATGCGGCCCCAGAAGTGAGGCCAAACAACAGCAGAGTGGTGCCCGTCAGAAAACCAGTCCACAAACTACTACTATAACTATTTATGACTCAAGTTGTTCTCGTTTCAACGCAAAACGCAACGTTTTAATAAACAATATGATACGTACGTGTTCCTGGAAATAAAACGGTTAGAGTGGGTGGCGCTAATTATGACAAAAAACAATAAATAAAAAAGTTGCAATTATGTACAATACAGTGTGGCTACAAAAAAGCAGCAACATGTTGTCCTAAGCTTTTTAAAGTTTTAAATCAAAAATATCTGTTTTTTTCCAGAAACCGATAACAGAAGACACTGCAAAGTTTTGACTCGAGAAAGAAAACAAAGACTGGTTTTTATTGGATTCGCACCACAACACTACATATTTACATGTAATTCTCGACTTTTAACATCTTCCAATCTGGTGTAATCTTACTTATTCTCCTATGCCAGACCAACCGTAAACCCTCCCAAGAAACATACGCTAATCTTTTACAAGTCTATACTGTGTACACTTCTTTATGAGTAACATCATGATGCCAATTTTGTAGTCAAAGCAACCTTTGTTCATTCTAAAATGTCTCTAAAAATCGCGAATAAAAATAGACTGGCATCCACATGGATAACATAGGTTTTGATTGTAAGTAACTTTAATAATACTACAAAACTATCAAATTGTTGATTAATTCATGACATGTGGAATATCTCCTCCTACGTTTAAGTAAACCGCTTTGATTTGAGCATGTTCTTTCAGACATTCCTCGGAGTTTTCTCTTCCATGCCCCGAGTTCTTATATCCACCGAAAGGAATAAACGGCTGCTGCATATTGTAAGTGTTGACGAAGACATTGCCAGCGGCCAGTTGGTGCGAAACTCGATGAGCCCGTTGAAGAGAGTTGGTATGCAAACCGGCAGCAAGGCCATACATTGTGTCATTCGCCCGTTTAATAACTTCTTCCTCGGATTTAAATGGGAGCAACACCATGACAGGACCAAAAACCTCGTCTATGGCGATCTCCATGTCATCGCGGACGTTGGTCATGACCGCCGGATCAAAGTAAAATCCATTTTCAACTCCTTTGGGACGAAGGCGCTTTCCCCCGCGAAGTAGTTTGGCTCCCTGTAAAAAGGTTGCCTTTAATCATCAAAAATAAAAATTTAAAATATGCAAGTATTCTTCCCTGAAATGCTCAATTAAATACCAAATCAAGACTTACATCCTCGACAGCTCTTTTCACAAATCCTTCAACTTTTTTCAAGTGATCCTCGCAAATTACAGCACCAACATTTGTATCCTTATCAAAAGGATCGCCAACTTTTAATGGCTCCAATTTCTTCAATAAATTTTCTTGGAATTTCTCCATAATTGCCTCGTGAACAAAGACTCTTGTCCCATTGGTGCAGCATTCTCCTTGAGTCATAAAGTTGGCTCTAATCGCGGCGTCAGCGGCTTGAACTGGACAAGCGTCTTCAAAGACGATATACGGTGACTTCCCTCCTAGTTCCACAGTAACCGGCTTTATTCCATTAGAAGCGCAAGACTTCTGAACAGCACATCCACCAGCATAGGAGCCAGTAAACGAGACCATCCGAACACATGGATGGGTACATAGCGCTTCTCCAGTTTCCGTGCCGCCTTGCAGAACATTATAAACTCCGTCAGGTAGCCCCGCGGCTTTGAGGATTTCTCCAAGAATGACGGCCGTATTCGTTGCCCATGGCGAGGGCTTGTAGACCACAGCGTTCCCTGCGGCTAAGGCTGGAGCAGTCTTTCGGCAGGCAATGTCAAACGGGTAATTCCAAGCGCCAATGCAGCCAATAACGCCGTAAGGTTCATATCTAGTATATGAGATGTACCCTCCAGGGATGTCAAAATAGTCTCCTGGAAAAAGAACCAACACTTTTTTCAATCGACATACAATTTTAGGACATAAAGAGACCGATGCTTACCTTTCAACGCAGCCGGAGCAATTCCGCCATAAAACTGAAAAGTTGTAGCACTTCCAGAAACATCATTCATTGACTCCTTCAAAGTTTTGCCGTTCCCACAGCTCTCAGCCTTTGCGATTTCTTCGACATGATCCTAAGAGATCGTCAATGAGCATGCTGAAGTTATAAACTTACGTTAATGATCTCCGAGGCTCGTTGAAGGATCTTTCCTCTCTCCAAGGGCGTCAGACTGCCCCATTCCTTTTGTGCATGGCCAGCTTTCTTGACGATTTTGTCGACGAAATTCTTGTTAGCAGAGAAACATTTGCATACAACTTCTCCTGAAAAAAAGTTAGAGGTTACATTCAGAGCAAGTGTAACCACTAGGGTCAACAGTAATATGGCACAAGCAAACTGTACAACTGACCGGTCGAAGGCTTGAACACATCAAATTCCCCGCAAGAATCTCCTTTGTCAATATTCTGCCGTTTCCCATCGAAGAAATGGAGCCCTTCCTTTGGATTAGATTGAACTTTGAAGCCTTCCACTGGACATTTATCAGCAGTCATCGTTTCTAATAAACTGTGGACTTTTTGAAATAAATTTTGCAAGGTTCTCCTTAATCGCCGGTTTTCTTGAGTCTCTCCTTATATACCAGAATTGTTTTTGTTTGTTTTTTCCTTTCGATGTTTTTGTTTTCTTTTTGTTTTCAAAAAAGTTTGAACGTTCACTTGTTAGATGTTTTCACGGTGATTTGAATGGCGAAATCAGAATTTCCCAACTGGTTGAAACGATAAATTGGTGATCTTTGTCTGATCTGAAAGGGAAGAAAGCGCCCTCTCACACTAATGAACGCTAATGAAATTTCTTGTAAAAAGAACACTTCCCCTTTAGCCTCAATATAACGCATATTTTATATTCCCTTTCTTCGGTTGATGCTGACGTGAGTGAGAGAGCTACTGTCGCATATTATTTTTTTATGTTCCCAATCAGCTCTTATTGTTGTCTAATCATATTCATAGTGCGAATATTTCCGTTGTAAACTCAAAAGAAGGTACAGATGGAATCTTTGGGAAAGTCATCAAAGCTTTCAGTGGTATTGGAAAGATAATTGCGATGAGTGGTTATGCACTTATAATCGCCAAAAGTACAAAGTAATAAATACCGGATGCTACACATGCAAGACGCAATTGGCACAGGCTATTGAGATCATATTCGAAAAACGGCCATTGTAACGCAAAAATTGGAGACTATTCTTCTTTCGAGACTATGCGGTATAATTTCCCATCCAACCTTGAGTATGATAGTCATTTGAGAAATTCTTTAATCCGGAAATTAGCCCAAGCTTTGTCTGCATTCCAGATTAAAATGAGCACAAGGTCCATGCAACTTGATTAGTGTTTTCGAAGCCCGCCAGAGGCAATTAGACAAAAAATGTTGGATTTGGGATTGTTTTTAGTCCATTCCTTGTAGTCACCGGAGAAATTAGAATTGAGGGATTTAGAGTTTGAATGCCAACACTTTTGTAAAGTAAGATTATTTTGCATAAAATTAGATTTAATGAGAGCACTTGAATTTTGAGTAACTCGATTCTCCAAAAATGCCTCAAATTTTAGGCTGTGGGTTTCTTCTTTCATGTGGCATTTACTCCTGAGCCGGATTCGTGTAATTTGTATTTGTGAAAGGCTAGAGAATCCTCTTGAATAATTTTCAAAAATAAAATTTTTTTGCTAAAAAATAAATCTATACAAGCAAAGATCATAATTTTAGGCCCTCGGTGAAACTGTTTATCTGTTTTGATCAGTTTTTTTTCATGTCGGGCATTCAGGTTGGGCTTTGCAAATGATAAAGATTATGTCAAATGTGGCCAAGCAATCATGGCTAGGCCGGTTGATATTTTTTCCACTGTCGAATTTCATGTTGCCAAACAGTTTCGGCTAAGAAAATATTATACATATAGTTGAAATTTGAAACTGTTGTGTTTTTGTTTCCTCTTGTTCATACCGTCATCCATTTCCATTCAACCCCCATTAAAATCAGCCCATTTCTAAAAAACCTCTCTTAATTTCTTATATGATGATGGTGACCTCCCAGCCGACCTCCGCCCCCATCTCTCCCAGAATTTGCAGTCAACTATGCCCCTGGGCCATAGGTCAGTGTCCTTTCCGTGCAGAGCTTGTTTTCGCGGTGCTACGTCACAATTACTCATTACGCCACATCCATCATAACAAATCATTGGCTGGTGTCTCGGTTAACAGATTTCTCGCTTTTCTGTCGTTTCCAATTTACTAGTACGAATCCGGTAATTGAGGAATGGCTGCAGAAGGAAAAACGGTGGATCCTCGAAAGGAGAAGATCTATTTTCAGAAAAGGATTTTGAAATTCAGCAGATTTTTCTATTTTTGACGGCTGTATTTGTTTTTGCTACAACCGAACCTAAGGTAGAATACAATAGTTCCTACAAAAAAATATGAAACGACAATTTGTTTAATCGTGGGCTGGCTTAGAATGTTTAATCGGCTTGTAACAACAAGCTCAATGACTGTGTAGTCCGGGGGCAGCGGGAAATTGTCTTTCGTGGGTTTAATGGTCTTCTGTTACATACAAAGAGTTCGTTTTGTAGAAGTGGCTTTTGAAACTAATTTTTATTGTAAAAATGGCAAGTGAAATTTGCAAGGGTCCAAGTGTGAAGTTCATATTTCTTTAAATTTAGATTATATCACATAAACATTTAAATTTGCGGGTTTCAGGGTCATCAGCCCAGCGAACGCGAACATATTTAGAGAAATTCATTTCGATTATAATTCTTGGGTACACATAAGGCTTAGATTCTTCATTAGTGGAAAAAAAAATTTGAGTTTTCACCAACTTTTGGCCGAAACTTTTGACTGTTTTGCAAAGCACGAGTTATCTCGTTTTTGTTGGAAAACTTACTGTTTGAGATTAATGTACACCTCCAACAAAAAATGTTCTTGACGTTATCCTGCTTCCAAAGAACACTCCATGAATCCTCGAACCCTTGATTTGCTCTATTCCGAGCTTCCTGCTAACGAGACTTCCGTAACTTTTACACTCCTCCACTCTGCACTCTTGTCGTTGTTACTCTCACTCTCGCGGTAAATTCATTTTTGCACCCGAATGACCTCTCGAGTTTCAATGTGAACCGGCTGCCCTACGAAAGTGCTAATCGAATATTAAACTAAAGGAAGGTTATTACAGATTCCATTTATTTATTTCACCGGAAATGTAATCAGCGTGTAAATGAGGGAGAGACATTGGGAATGTGGGAAAGAAGTATGTTCCCAAGTTTGTTTTTTACTCTCATTATTAATCCGCCGGAATTGCCCATGTTTCTGTAGCGCTGAATGGTGGATCATCTTGCTTAGCCGCAGGGATTAAATTAGAGTTTCCTGGGGTCGTTTTTGAAAAGATTTTAATCTTTCCACAGTTTTCTTGTTAAAAAAATCGAATTTTTGGCCTATTACTTGTAGAATCGTTTTAAAGTCCAAAAATTTTAGATCAAACCATTTCAGGCGCTGCCAAGATACTCAGCGAGTTCCACAGGGTAAAGACTATGGAATGCGAAGAGAGCCAGTCATTGAGAAGGTTTCTTGACATAGGTGTTGTTCATTAAAGCCTGTATGCATCTAAATTTTTTTGCGTAGTTGTTCAACTCAAAAGTAACCTGCTACTCTTACATCTTTAATTTGTTGCATTATGTTGTCTCAATTTTTTATAAAAGTTGTTTTTCCTGAACGCCCGGATAAAGAGGTTTGTAATCAGCGGGCGTTCTGTTTACCGATGCCTGGAGGCTAATTAAGTTTGTTGTCTATACTGAAAACTCTCTTTTTTTTGGGTTGTTTTTCGTTCCAAGTTTTCATCATTTTCCCGCACTTTCGCTGGATTTATGAAGCTCTTCTGCTTATGCTTTTTTTCGTTTTCCAGAAGAAGTGCGTTTAGCTTTCGCCGGACTACGGTAAATTTTAGGAGATGTTTTCACTTTTTCACATCATATTTTTGAAGGTTTTTAAGGCGAAGAGTTGTGGTTCCTTCTATAAAAAAGTCATATCTTTGCTTAGATATACCAAAAATCCTTCTCTCCTTGATTACCCTCCTTTTTTCCCATAGTCGTTCTACTCAAAAATTGTTGAATATCTTGGCTGCGTCCGCAAAGGGAGAGCTAAATTTTTTAGTAATCAATAAGTGTTCGAATGAGACTATCCATGCCAAATTTCAGGGAACTCTAAAAATGTGCTTCTAAATTGGATCTTCACTACGATAACAAGCTAAGTCTTTGGTCCACTACTTGCTACAGGGATATTAGGTTTTCCGTTCTTTTCCTAATCCATTTCCCCATAATCACATTGATTTTTTTGTTTTGCGCCTCTTTTCTGCTTAACCTTTTCCTAGAAGAAGTTTTTCGATCGTCAAAATTTTTAAGGCCAAAGCCCCGTTTTTCCCACCCCGAAAAAAGTAATCAAAAATACCTACCGAAAAACGTGGAGCCTTCGTATTTTATTTACCCCTCCGAGTTTTGCTTTCCCCATTTTTCGCAATTTCTCCCCATACTTCATGTTTTCCCTCCGTCAAAATTGAATTTTCCGTAATTCTTCGCCTGTAATTCCCCTCACATTTAACATGTACATGTACGCGTATAACGTGTCCGGACGGGTAAAAGCGCGAAGGCGAAAAACAGCCATGTGGGAAATGAAATTAAAGGAGTGAAAAGAACGAGCCCCGGGCGACATTCGCTGAATTGAAACATCAGGAATGTATGATGGACTACTCTGTGCCGACAACGGCTTTAGTCTTGGGGGTTTGGTTGGGAATGGATTTGAGTTGGGTTGTTTACCAGGAGATAATATTGATGTGATGGACTGGGATGACGAGGTTTTCGGAATTGGCGAAGTTGAGTCGATGGAAATTCAGAACTTTTGTAATCCATGTAAGGAAAAACACGACTTTTCCCTAAACCTTGGCTTCTAAGCCCGAGATTTAATGTATGTATAAGGCTTGCCAAAAACAGAGTGTTTTTGATCTGGCTTCAATGTCCCCTTGTTTTCCAAGTATAGCGATTCCTATATTTTGACTTGGCGTTTTGCAGACATGATTTTCGATGGTCTTTTTGGAGAGTACGTCTGACTAGGGAAGTGTACAAACGAACCCTCACCAAATGGCAAGTGTTATACACCATTGGAAAGCCCTTGAAAAATGGTGAAAGGTACCATTTTCATTTTTTGCAGAATGCCTCAGGGCAAAAAAATATAAACGATTGATTTGTCCTTTAAGTAGTTACAATATCGGCTGTGGGGCAAAATAAATCTTATTTCAGAACGCTAAATGGTAAATATTGCTACTAGGTTGGCCTAAGAACATTATGAAGTTTGGCGCTTACCAGTAAAACTATTTTACATATGATATTTACTGGTTTTAAACACCCATAACGTGAAAAAACACTTTTAACTTTTTTTAATTTTGAAAAACATGTAAGTTTGATGGTTTTAACCGTAATCGACCGTCTTCTAGAAAAAATAAAGCGTTTGTAAAGGTTTAACTCAAATATTATCCT